GATCCTGCCAAAGACCTTCAATTCTAATACATGTATCAATCATCTGTACCCTAGATGGATCGTCCAAAATTTCAGTTTCTCCATCTTCGGATAAAGTTGATACGTAGTTATTCGTTTTAGTCCTTGGACGGACTCTTCTATTGCGTATCTTGCGCATAATAATCTTTCTGATAGCAGGTGATAAAGCTGCTAATTCTTCTGTACTCAAATCCACTTTAGCATCGAATATCTTCTTTGCTATATCTTCTTCTACACCTGGTCTCGAGACTTCATTCCTAATTTTATAGGCTGGAGTATATCCATGACTATCAATTTGATTCGTCTGGTCTCTTGGTACCTTCGTAGGTGTATTAATTTGAATAGGACGATACGTCCTAGGTTGAACATGATCATATGGTCTATGTTCGCTATTAATTTGATTCGTTGGTCTTGACGAAGGAATTAATTTAATAGCATCTTCGTCATCAGATTCATTAACATCTTCAATCGTGACTGAAGGCTTCTTCAAAGGCCGATCTATGGACTTTGGAGCCTCAAATCTCACTGTTTTCTGATTTCCATTGGTCGTTTCAACCAATTTCTTTGGTATTAAACCTGGTTTCTTGGGTATATGCACCCCATCAAATACTAATCGTTTCGTATTTTCATTAAATTGATTTCGTTTTGCTTTCTCACTTTCCTCCGGAGCTACAGCATTGGATCTTAAAGTTCTCATGGACCGATCCTGCTCCTTCATTGGAGTACTTATTTTTTTCCATTTGAACTATCTTGGTTGAACACCCGGACATCATCTTCTCGGTGTGCTTCTAAATTCCCAAGTCTATCTGATAGTTCCTCTATTCTTGTCATCCAAACAGCTAGATTGACGTTAGGATTCATCTGCTGATCCATGACTTTATCATCTTCGTCATCTTCCATGTTTGCAAAATAGGATTCAGCATGATCCCATCCTAAGTCTTTCGCCATTTGTTCAATTTTCTTGTATCGAGGTATATTCGGATCGTCTCGAGGCATTCTAGCGTTGTCTCTTAATTTGTAACACTTCGAGTCACCTCCTTCAGGCATCATCCAACCTCTTTTCGTAAATTCCAGCAAGTGTGGACAATCATTCATAAAATGATCTGTCGACTTGCACAAGAAACATGCCCACTGAGTTCCATTCGAACTTCTCGGTGTCGTATTTCTTTCAAATCTATTAGATTGATTCGAGGGACCACTCGGTGGTATCGAATTAATCTTTCCTTTAGCATTTTCTTTGGCCATCTGTGCCATTACTGCTGTTAACTGCATCATAATGTCTGCTCCTTCTTTGAAGTGCGACTGTAATGACTTCACAGCTCTAATTTCTTTCATGTTTGCCTCCATGAGGTCTTTATTCAACGCAACCATTTGCTGTTGTTCCTCCGTCAATTCCCTTGGAATCAAACTTTCTAATTTAATTCCCAGAAGATCCTTAAATTCGTCTTCTACTTTGGGTTTCAATGCTTGAAGATAGTTCCTATCTGTCTTGGGAACATCTGCAGCAAACGGTAAATTAATGTGTCCCCTACTAAATGAATTAGGGTTATTAATTGGTGGGCTCGAAGAAGCAATGGAAAGTGTTTGATAGTAGTTATCAAATGAACTCCCAATCATATACTTCTCGGCCGCATTCATTACTTCGTCAATCTTGAAAGGGTCTTCCTTTCGTCTATCTGACATAGAAGTAACTGATACATCTTTCACAACTGTTTCTAGCACGCCTCTCCTTACTTCGGGAGTCATAGGTGCCAAGAACAATCTCACTGCATCACTATTTGTGATCATTTTCGGTTCATCCATCAGCTTTTTCATTTCAGCATAGAAGAGGAGTCTGAAGATTCTCATCTTCTCCTGTTCACCTGCATCAATTGGATTAAATTGATGGACCAATTGTTCAAGCAATAATCTAGATCCTCTTTCGTCTCCTACAGATTGCGGAAACATATTCTTTAGATCCTTTTTAAATTGATCCCAATTCGGTTTCTTCACCGAATCAAAGACTCTTAATGCTTGTCTCGTTTTATAAGACGTCCATTCTAAAGCTAATCTCACTTTAGCCTCGTCAGATGTAATTCCTCCATGTTCAAATATGCTTTCAGTAGCTTCAAACCATGGTATCATTTGACTTGGATCAGTTATATCGAATAATGGTGCTGTCTTATACTTTCTTGGAAGTTTCGCACTGGCTTTATCAATCTCATCCTTAGCTTCAGCTGACAACGCAGGCATTCCATAATTATTGGTAGTCATTTTGACTGGTTCAATCATATTACTTGTTTGAGAGATAGTCTGATGTAACGTATCTATCAACCTAGTTGATTCAATCGACGTAGAAGATGTTGAAATTGACTCTGGAGCAATCAATTCAATTATATCTTCTTCAATATCAATCGGATTAATTCCTTTTCTCTTTCTTTTCAGATCGAGATTAGATTTCTTCAAATTCCTCGGCAAAGATGTAAGTCTTCCTCGAGATATAGATGATCCTGTTCCTCTAGAAACAGAACTTCCACGCAATTCTTCTGTCGGTATTTGAGAAGAGGATGGACGACTGGATTCGTTCGTAGGATTTAATAGGGATGTTCGAGCTGATGTGCCGAACGTAGATCTCCCAAATACAACTCCTGCTTTACGATATTCTTCCGGTGTCAATACTCCTGCTTTCTCTGAATTCTTCGAAGTACGCGGTTTTCCTGATGAACTAATGTTGACAGTTCACAGAAATGGTATCACAAAGATCAACACACTTCTACCAAATAATCGAATATAATCCAAACAAACGTTCAATTTAATTTATCAAGCTAATTGTAGCTTCAAAACCACCCCTCGCGGTGGGCTCCAGATACTGCAACGTCATCCCAAAATCACTTGTATTCCAGATACCTTGGATCGCTATTTATACATACAGAATATAGAGTCGCACAGTACAATTAATTTAATACAATAAATGTTCGGAACCGCAAGGAAACTTCTACAATCGGTCAGATACTATTTAATTTGAATCTTCATGTCCTTATTTGGTCCGCAATGGTTCCAAGATTCAAGTACACCTCCAAACATAGGTAGGTACTTCGTTATTCATTTAATTTAATTGTTTTAGAGAATGACTCGAATGGTGTTCAACTGTCATTGCTGTTTAACACTTACTTCAATCGTTTGTCACCTCGTCCGGAGGCAAATCAGCTCTCCTTGATTCTAATCCTATCAATCTGATTCATCTGGATTAAACTAATTGTTTCTCTCTTTCAACAGACACCCATTGTGCCTATACTCTATCAAGGGAGTTACGCATAGTATTCATTTAATTGCATTCTTCAATATCTTCTACGTCAGGACTCTTTGACATTCATTTGATATGTCTTCGGAGCCTCGCAGTATTTCGATCGTTCTTCTAGTCATTTTCCTCAGACATGCAACTTGATTGGTCTATTAGACTAAATCGCAGTCTTTTAGATTAATGCATGATCTCGTTCTAGAAGGAGTATTTGATAATTCCTGAGTTCTAGAAAGTCATTTCGAGTCAATCCTTGGCTCATGGTCACTTGAGTAAGTTCTTCCAAACTCCTGCCAGTGTAAGGTCCAATAAGAATACCCTTGGTATGTCATACGTGAATGGTCATCCTTCGGATGTAGTCCAAGTCTGGTATTATCCTGCTTGACAAACAGGTAGACTGCTATCCGAAGGTAGTATCGGGGATGGGTAAACTAACCACTTGTGGTAGTATGGGTATATGGTCCCTTCAACTTATTAGACTGATTCAGTATTGACTTTGACTGTCAATCTGGGTCTCAATTACAGTCCTCTCGATACAAATCTATACGTGAAAATGTCACAATTCACAGCATAGACGTCTAGCCAAAATTTAGGCGTGTCATCGGATTATGTATATATAGCCAACCCTCCACAGCCTGGTCCCTTATCTTGACCTCTCTGTCATTATCTGGGACCAGGTATGTGTTTACTTACTACTACCTATGATTACTATACTCAATATAACTCTGTCATTATCTGGGACCAGCCTGCCTCCATTCTGCTTAGTTGCTCTGCCTTGCTGCCTCGTGTCAGCGACTGGTTCTAGTAACAGGTGTCACCAGGTGTCACACTCAAGAAAACCTCAAGTAGTGAAGCGATAAAGGAAGTAAGCAGAGTTCTGGGCTAAACCAGGTAGAATAGACGAGATCAAAGCTAAGGAAATACAGCAAGTAGCTACAGCCTATATACTAGTGAACAACCCTCTGCCCTAGTAATGCCCAACGCCCTGGGTTAGTGGTAAACATGAGTAGAACATAAGTAAAGCAATGTGTAAGTAATGAAAGCTTGATCGCCATGCTGTATACGTGTTGTGAGACTGCTGTGTTTAATATAAGTAAATGAAAAGCGCATGTTGTATCAGTAAGCATGAATAATAGGTCAGGTGACAAGATAAGACAAGATATAGGATAAGGGAGATAGAAGATAAGACAAAAGATAAAAGATAAGACAAGGGACAAGGAGAAAGATAAGATGAAAAAGAAGTGATCGTAACACCTCGCTCAGTTGCTCTGCCTCGCCGCTCTGCTTAGTCTTAGTCACTCCACCTTTGCCACTTCGGGACAGGCCGCATCTTCATCTGCTATGTTGGAAAATTTAAGTAGGAACCCATCCCAGAAATAAAGAAAAACCTCACCAGTCACTATGTCTTCATCACGGTCCCTCTCAAAAGAATGCAACAAGTGAGAAGCAGTGATGCTCTGACCAGGTGTTCCGGAGCCTCGCAAAAGGTCAGCAATCTCATGCTTGTCATCCTCATCCTCTTCTCCTTGGTACTCTCCCTTGTTTTCCTCTTCTTGATGAGCCTTCAGAGTCCTCTTCCTCTCGTTAAAAAGGTTGACTGGCTCTGTAAACAAAGGATTGAAGGTTAATTTGGTACCCACACCACCACGGGAACTATAGACTTAACGGGCAATGCAAGCATGAGTCAAGCACATGAAATACCCCTTTACTCCTTCCAAAACCTTTGGATTGGACTCGTGGCAGGGAATAAGCACCTGTTTACAAAAATCCAGGTCTCGATGATCATTGCTGGCGTGGTGACAAGGGACCGGTAAGCAAGCTGTTTTGCAAAGCAATAGATAACTTGCGGAAACCATAAGATGGGCTAGGAGCAAATTAGACTGTGCGTTGTTTACTTTGACTAAACTGGCTTGAACTTACGCATTCCACAGCTGATAGGTCTTGGTCTCACGATCGAAAGAGACCAAAAGTTTTTGATCATTGAAGAACTTGGCCTGATCCGCATAGAACTTTGAGACCACAGAGTCTGGGTCCCAGGAGTTCAGTTGGTCGTTAAGAACCTTGTTGGGGTTGTAAGAAGGAGGAGCATGGCGCAATGGAGTGGGGCTTCCAGAATGAGAAAACAAAGGCCTTGACCCAGACTGAGAGGGCAGTGAGGTAGAGAAGGGAGGCATGCTGGAGCTGCGGCTAATACCAGCAGCATGATAGCGGTGGTAGCCAGAGGAATGACTAAAGCACATTTCAAAGAACTTTCTGGTGGATTGGAAGAAGTGGGAGCGAGAAGTACTTTGGCTAAGCTGTATATAGGGATTTGGTTTATCTAGCCAAGGTGAGTGCGACCTTAGAGCAAAAAAAACGGGACCTACCTCGGAGCAAGATAGGACGAGGTACGTGGAAGACATGGGGGTACTTCTGCAGCTCCACCGCCTGTCCTTTCTCCGAGGTGCTCTCAGCAATTTCAGGTAAAGGACAAACTCTTTCCAGTGAAGCAGACGGCCCACATGGTCTAGGCAAGGAGGGAGATCCTCAGAAGAAGAATTACCAGGGGGCAAGAGAGCAGCATGATACCTCGGGACCTTGTCTGGACTCAAAAAGGAAATCACGGCTCAGGTCCTGCAAAAAGGGTCAAAAAAACAATTGGCTCAAAACTACATCCTTATATATAAGGTATGGTTGAACTAATTTCTCCTACATTGAAGTATTGATCTTCTTTAGCAAGTGTTCTTGATGGTATCGGATAATACCAATCTGATATGTACTCCGCTCTCAAGTAACTTGCTTTTCGGTGAGTCTGGGCGATAAAACGAGGCTCAATCTAACCAGATTGAGAATAGTTGAGAATGCTTCCTCCTACGGGATTGTGTCAACAGAAAGGACGGGACCTCGAGACGTAGGGAACTAACTTTCCAAGCCAAGAACGACTGGCGTTCAATAATCGTTGTTTGAATGAGTTCCTGTCCCGAAAAGACGCCCCAGGTCACAGCGTTCCTTCCATCGTCAGGGACGTTTGTTCTACAATCACCCTCGAGACAACACTCAACGTCATATCAAGAATAACGAAAGATAAAAGGCCCACTTGTTGGCTGGAAACAAGCGACCGAGTGAGGATACTGGGAAAATGTTGATACCAAGGTTCGGTTCGGTTCTTTTGACTCGATCATGTTTTTGACTCATACAATAAGATTCAATGCGCGAGCTACGCACTGGAGCTTCTATCGAACGGTGGCCTTCGCAGCCATGTGATCGCAGTGCTCGTCTCGCGCAATTCCCTCGAATTGCTGTACTACGATCGTTCGCTCGTCCTTAAATCTCAGCCACGAGCTTCCTCACCATCCTTTTTGGCTTCGGAAACCTCATTCCTACTCAGTGGGGTGACCCCGCCTCAACGCTACTCAAGGCACCGAAAGTCGCCGCCTTTTCTGACGATTACAAGGCGATGTATTTTGGCTACGTCCTCACTTTATCCGAAGGGTGGCAACTCCAGTTGGGCAATGTTATCTTCCGGGCGCACGGGATCATTGGGCGCGGCACTGTTGTTGTGGGTGCCAAGGTGGTCGGTAGTCCTCTTCCCAACTTCGTGGGCAAGCGCGTGGTCGTGAAGTGGAGCTGGGTTGCGACGACGCGAAAGGAGGAGGGTTACATCGTGAAGAAAGCAGCGGAACATGCCGATGCGAATCGACCTAGTATGCGTCATCATCTACCTAACATATATCACTATCAAGAATTCCCCAAACAAACCCCGCAATGCCAGAAATTTCTGCTTGCCAATATCAAGGACGCATATGAAGAACACGTTCTTCGGATTGTAGTTCAAGAAGAACTTCACCCAATCACGGACTTGACCGACGCGACCGAGCTCGCCGGAGCGTTCAAGCAGATTTTTGAGTGTGCGTTGGCCTTTTCCTCATCCTCTTTGCGATCTTATTTAGTGGGTGCAGGCTATCGTTGGCTGTATGAAAGGCCCAAAATCATGCACCGCGACGTCAGTATCAGCAATCTGATGTTCCACAGGATTGACGGAAAGTTGTACGGGGTCTTGAATGATTTTGATCTTGCCGCTTTTCACGACGGCAGCGTGCCTTCGATCTCCAAGCAGCGCACAGGCACAACACCATTCATGGCGAGGGATCTCCTGGAGCATCCTCCCCCGAGGCACTTCTACCGACACGATCTCGAATCGTTTCTATACGTCCTCGCATTCCTCACGTGCGATACTTCTGCTCCGGGTTCCACACTTGGGACCTGGATTGATCTCGGGATGGTAGCGCTGCAGGACGCCAAGAGCAATGTTCTCACCATCAAGGGATTTCCTCCGCAAAAACCTGCCTTTGAATGCTTTGACTTCTGGTTAACCCTCCTCTGTCAATTGTTCACCGAAGGCCTTTCTAAGCGGACGAGGCACGAGGATGATGAATTTTTTGCGCGTAGGACAGGTGCCTTACTACCATTGGATTTCGATCATGAAACCCTTGGTGGCTGTGTGACTTTCGCGACCTTTGCTGCCGCTCTGGAAAAACCGCTCTTGCAGCCGGCGTGATATTGCGTATCGAGTAACTTGTATTTTACGACGGATGTGCAATTGAGACCAACAGGAAAGACCATGCGGGTCACATCTCGTAACGGATCATAACGAGATGTGACCTGATGTAATGCAGTGTCCCCGTCAGGGACCTGTCATTCCATCGACCCGACGGATCCACGCGCTCCGGCCAACGAGCGGGCAATCGACGGCGGCGGGAGCAAAACCTTGAGTCAAACATGAACATAAGTGAGAGGGGACAGAGGATGCCAGAGGCAGGATGTTGTGGAAAGAGCGGAAAGAGCTGAAAATGAGGCATAACGTTGTGGAAAGAGCTGAAAACGAGTTGAAAATGAGCTGAGAACTCACAGTTGAGATTCCATGATCTTTGCTTTGTTGAATTGTTAGCAGATGGTTATGTACGGAACAATGAAGAATTTGATGAAGTGAGAGCGTGAGGAGACAGTATTGGAAGATGCGAGAGCAGTGTGAGAGTATGCCTTGTGAGCAGACGGTGAGGAGACTTGTGAGGGGGTGAAGGGGTGTAGTTGGTATGAATGTAATAGAAAACGCGTCGCGAAATTGTATATGGTGTATGTATGATAGTTGGAGACGTCAGGCCACTGCTTAGATGTTGGCTGTATTCGAATTCAACCGAGTTGTCAGCTTACATGTAAACTTCGGAGGTTACCAAACATAATTTACATTGAAAGATGGCGATCCGCTGTCTGATTTTTGGAAGTTTTCCAACATACCAACTGAATAACATTTGTACATAGTCCAAATAGTCTGTGCAGGAGCTAGAGGCAATGTATATGCAATGCGCACCTATTCCCCAGAGTAAGCTTACAAGCTGGATGTTAGAATTGATTATCCGCATACTACTACTAGTAAATTTCATACCCAAGGCCTTAGAGAGCCATGAAAGACGGTGAGCAACGGTGAGCAACAGAACATGTTGTCTATTGAACAAGTAATTCAAGGATCTACTAGTATATGTCAAAGTGTCGGACCAAGTATATTCTAGTATATTAAGCTACATTATGTGCATCGTCTGTCTAATCTCTGTGCCATCGTCTTATTATGCAGCAATCTTGTCTTTCTAGCTTTTTCTCCCCCCCATAAAAGTTGCGAAGTTTAGTGGGCAGGTAAAAAAGACCATGTCCACGGAGATATCAGAATACTTACCGCCATTGCAAACCATTCTATTCTTTGTACCTTCTGCCCGTCTGACTCAATCTCTACAGAGCATTGACTCTGTACAACGATATAGTGAACTTTACATTATATTTTACAACGCTAATAAATAACCACAGTACAATTTTTATACAAGCTCATCTTCACTACTATCAGTAAGCTCAACGAGACCTAAATATTTAATGCTGGACTGAGTATACTTGCTACTCCCATCTACAGAGGCCAGAGTGTCCTTTGGTTTGGGTGTGTTTATGGACACATGCAATTGCGAGCTACCTATGCAGCATGGTCAGTTGTTTGAAGGAGATGTGAGAGATTTTAGTGCTCACTCGATGCTCCGTTATTCAAACCTAGATCATTACGGCGTTTAATCCGGACAGAGATATCGGAACTTGGATGCGAGCCTGCAAATTCAAAGGTGAATGGTGGAACGAAGTACAAAACGGGAGACTAACCGAGTAATTCACTTAAACGATCGACCTTGTTTGTTTGATTTGTAGCCACTGCAAGCATGGGAACCGGAACATCGACTCTACGAGTGGATTGAATAGTTGAGGAGGAGAGACCAGTAAGTCGAACGAAAAAGGCAGTATCGAAAGTAATGGGAATGCTCTCATTGACATGCTTTGCTCGGAGATCCAGGGCCTTGGGGTTCATGACAATAGTTGATAGAGTAGGCATATATGATTTCCCCGTGCTGTCTGTCTGAGGTTGACTCTGCAAGCGGGGAACGAGGCATTCCGCCTTCTGTACGTTATAAGCTATATATTTCTAAGAAAAAACTGTTAGCATTATATGCGAAGATAGTCCAATTGTACATACGGAGGAAAGCATTCGTATCACAATACCAGGCCAGAGATGAGTGTGAAAATGCTTCAGGGTGAGGATCGGAGACCAGGCGAAGTGCTCGGCACAAAATCCGGAAATTCCGGTGATATCAGGGAGTGTAGGTAGGCTTAAAGAGACTGGAACAGGATCAAACCCAGGTGAAGAGCTTGTTAATGGTTTGAGAAACGCATTCATGACATCAACGTCTTTGAGGGTAGGAAATTGAGAGTCCCGGAGGATATCCGCCCGAAAAGGGCTGCATAAGCCCATTTTACCCCGTTTGTTGTGCCGGATTTCATATGTCATATCGCTATTCAGTTTGCGGAATGCTTCAGAGAGCTGTTGCGGCAGGTTAAAAAACAACCGGTAGGCGTTGAGAAGGTCATCCCCAAATCCACTCTGAGCAAGGCCACGAGCAGTATGGTGGCCTATACCATTGACGCCGCTACCAAAATCATTCTGAAGCAATAAAGCAATCAGAATAAAGCCTCCCTGAGAGTAGCCTGTGGATTGAGCGTGGTAAACACGGACATCCAAATCTCCCCAAAGATTTCTTGGCTCCTTTCTATTTGAATGTCAGCTATATATATTGAATGCGAAGGAGCAGCTGTTTACGGGACAATGAGTTTCATTATAGTTCCAACCCCAAGGGGGAAAACATCGCTGTCTTTGGAAAGTACAATATCGATGATACCCCGTTCATACATATCTGAAAGCTCTGCTTCCGCTTCACCTGGGGCCTGTCTTTGTAAGGTAAGTCTCACAAAGACTAGATAGAAACACTTACTGTATGACTGTAATAGCCAAAATGCTTTATCAATTTTCGCGAATGCTTGTAGTGGTCTGATTCACGCAAAACAACTTGAGATCCCCGTTTAACGAGTGGGCGTCCATCACCGTCATAAACAAAGATGCAGTGGGCGCCGGCCTTTGACAAACCACACAATAGCTTGAAAAATTGTGTGAGGGTCGAGTCGGATGTATGAAGGCGGTGATTAGCATGGGCGATCCTATCCGAAGCGCGGAAGCCATCCAAAAATGAACTACGTAGGTCAAGGGCATGATGGTGAGATACTGAGTAATTGGCTTTGTCAAGACATACCTGATATCAACTCCAATAACAACTGTACGAGAACGATGGTGGTCTCGAATGAATCCATGCTCCGTGACAAAGTTTCTGAGCTTGCAGGTAAATCCAGTTTCATCCACTAACTATATAGGACATATAATGAGTAAAATAGCAAGCAATAAGGTGGTGACTTACAGGCCAAAGATTTTGAATGCCCATGCTTATGATGGGTTAGAGCGACGTCGGTAGACTACTCCTATTCATAAAGGGTTGTAAAAGACCGGGCCGGCCAAGCATTTGTTGCATTAAGTACATAAGTACATGTCAGGATTTCGTTTAGCAGAAGGACATGGAGGAAAATACATATGGAGAGAACTAAAGAAAGAGGGGGACCAGATCCATCCTCAAAACCACACCATTCCCACCAGTAGACAGAGCAACCATAGTAGTATGCCTATCCCTTGTAGCTATGCTCTTCTTTTTGAAGCAGCAAGGCGTTTGGGCCATCCAATCATCAGACAAAGGCTCTGTACGATCACGAGAAACCGTAAACTGCCTATTACTATCGTCATTAAAAGCAAATGCTTCAGCAGGCAATGTAACAGCTCGACGCAACCCAATGCTGCGACTGGATTCAGCATTATTCGATTCTCGAGGACGACCACAATTGCTCGTGATAGGAGAGATAGGTCTCTTATCAGAGCCAGAAAGGAATCCTCCAGAATCTGTGGGGTTGCAGGGAATCAAACTTTCGCTTCGACTACGAGCCAACGGGCGCGAGTTCGACGAACTCGGCGGAGATGTGATAGGCGTAGCTTGAGGTTGTGGGGATGATTTGCCCACCCAGAGACGCCAATCTAACGCATCACCGAGAGCACGCTCGCAACGACCGATTTCTCTTGGTGGAAGGCCAGATAGCTTGGCCCACGCTCTATTAGAGTAACACTTATCTTGCGTGAACTTCGACGCAAGGATAAGTGATGCTAAGAAAGCTCGACGTGGGCACAGTAATGGTGAAGGAAGATTGGGGAGGGGCACAAGCGCCGAAAATGGTCCTTTGCTCTTTTTGAGAGTGGATTCGGCATCTTCCATGATTCCACTGGATACAGCGGTAGAGCCAGAATAGGAATCTGTAATTCGGATGGGGTCCATTGAATCATCTGATTCATTTATAAGTATTGTGTCCGTTCCAATGCAAAGCTCGGCTTCACGCGCGAGTTCGTCTTCGGAAGCTACAGTAATCTGGTCAGCCAATTCCGTTTCGCCCTTGAAGGAGTCGCCCGATTGAGCTATTTCCGAAATTCGGGGCCGAATGGCTTCCAGATAACAAAGCGCCGTCTGAAGAACGCTTCCAGAAGTTCTGGAACGTCGAAGGACTTCGTGGACAAAGCCCTTCATGGGCACGAGATTGCTGGTGCCGGGAAGGGACTCGCATTCGGTATGGATACCTGTGGCAAATAAAGATGGAGGTGGCGTTTGAACGGGTTGGGATTGAATATGACAATTTCTCTTCGAGATTGACTGATTGATTGGTGGACCCGTTGCGGGAACGGCAGCACGGGAAGTGGTAAGGAAAACTGGAGGGATGTCCTGAGGACGCCATATTTCGCATAAAGATTTTACTGCTTGATCTGATGACCTATGAGGCTGATATAAAGCGATGAAAAAGAGTCTGCGCACCGACAAGGCCTAAAGCGAACTTATTCTTGTCGCGGGGTTGGGCGTCTCTAGGTGGCTGTGGTGTTGATTGTGGGCGTTGTTTGGATGGCTCCGAATCGCATTGCAGAGAAAGCGGACATTGGTAAAGAAGTCGCAGAAGAAAACGGAGGATTATGAAGCAGGTTTGGCCGAGGAGAGACAGAACCCGAAGGAGAAATGGTGCTAATAAGAGGAAGGTGTAAATGAGCTAGAATATACGTTTGAGAAGGCCTGGCATTACCAAGATTGTTCTGGGCACAGGGAGTTCTCAAGATGTGCTTGGAAGTAGAAGTGCAATTGGGGCAGCTCGGAAGAACGTAGAATAACAGCTGAAACGGAATTGAAAGAAACGCAGCGCGCGCTTGAACGGAAATCACAGCCACGACAGAGCGCGCGCTTAAACCATTCACAGCCGCCGTCACGCGTTTCTGTTGATGTTCCCTCATCTTCCTTGCTCCTCCCATCGCCGCCAACTTTCTTACAAAATGGGCTCTGATTTAGGTGAGCATCTTCTCTCATACCCATACCCATCTATTCTCCCCCCAGTCCGAATCTTCCAGCCAACGGACGCCCAGCCCATCATCTAGGCAAGGCTCTGTTGGCTGAAAATTCGAAAATTCGATCTGGTCTACGCGTAAACGCGCCGCCAGCTGAAACGAAAACCCCTTGCCCCTGACCTTTTGAATCGACGCGGCTCAAACTTGCCTTTGCTCACAGATAACACCGTTCCCACTGCTCGCATAAAATTCCCCTCCTTCGACCTATCTTCTGCTCTTGAGGCCGACAACAACGCGCGCATGGCTGCCGAAGATGCTGGGGAATTCTTAGACGACGGAGAGATAGAGTTTGAGGATGAGGATGAGGGCGTGAACGAGGAAGTTAAACAAGAAGCCTGCGCAGAATCAGTCTTTGCCATCGATCCTTCCAACAACTCTCCCTCAATGTCCCGGAACAACAAGAAATACGCAAAGCTTACAAAACGTTCACGCAAAAAACGCGCCGCTGAAGCTGTCAAACGCGTTGCGAGCAGGGGCATAAAGCCCTTTGTTGTCGAACTAGCTAAAGGAGCTCTGCCCCTTGAGCTTGAAGACTTCGATGCTTCCACTCTCCCAGTCTCATCGAGCGGCTGGAATGCTAACCCTCGCAAGAAGCTCTCCCCTGGGCTTCAAAGGGTTTGGAAAGATCTCGAAGTCCTGAGCTCGCTGAACGGTTTGAAGCTTCTTCGATGGGACGGGCAGTGCGTGTACCATTTCCTTCAACTATGAGTTTAATAACTAACTTCTCTCTGTTCAGGAGCTGCGTAGCACTTGTCGACACCCATGACCGAATTATTGCAGTCCTTGGCGGTGTTCCTCATGGGTCCAAAGGGGAAGCATGGCGGGCGGTGGAAGCTGATGCTACTGCTGCTGCTATGCTTTGCCATGACTCGAGTACCTTCACTGAAACACAAAAACATGGTCGGCGTGGAGATTTCGCCTCGCGGACGGTTGGATACGGTTATGGCAATGGGCGGCGCAAACCGCAGAACTACAAAGTTTCCGGCAGAGCGAATCAGAACGCCATGCAAGAGCTTCTTCAAAACGATGCAATTCGGCGTATCTCAGGCTTTCAAAACGGTGCGCAGTTTCTCCTTTTCTCAGTAGTTTGAATACTAACAAAACTCTTCCTAGCCCTCTTCAACACATTCTGCCACAAGAACTATGTTGAATATAGGGATACAAACGAGGAAATCCAACGCAAGCAACCTGAGCTACGAGCTAACTTCCGAAACACCGCGTTTGCTGCAACTACTTTCAACCTGGGACCCCGCTCATTTTCTCCACCTCACATGGACCCTGACAACCGCGCCTCCAGCTGGTGCGCTGATACCAACATGGGACCCTTCGACCCCGACAAAGGTGGGCACCTTGTGCTCTGGGATCTTGGGCTCATAGTTCGCTTTCCTCCTGGTTCCACGATCCTCTTTCCCTCTGCACTTATCACACATTCTACCATTCCCATCCAAGCACACGAGACCCGCTACGCCATGATACAGTACTCTTCTGGTGGTCTTTTCCGATGGCGCGACAACGGATTTCAGTCAGACAAGTCAATTTTAGCAAAGGTTACTGCAGCAGAACGCACTGAACGGGAAGCATCGAGGGCATCGCGATGGAAATTAGGCCTGCAGAAGTTCACGCGATGGGCAGACATTTGCAGGGGCGATTGGAGGGGTACGGTTCGTACTGCCGCTGGCCTGGATGAAGTCAGTGATCTTTCGGACCTTGAGGAGCCTCCAGTATTACAACCATCTAAACGCGCCCGTTGCTGTTGAAGTAATATAATTGTATTTTGATTGATGTTCGTAATATATCTGCATGTTTCCCCATGTTTTTTTAGATGAGTATTCCCTCGAGTTGGCCTCCAGGTTTCCTGGAGGCTTGTTAGACGTTGTATTAAACCCCCTTGGCTGCTCTCTTACCAGCCCAGTACCTGCACTGCATAAACAGAAGCGCAGTTTGTTGCTAATAGGGGCTTGATTCATTCCTCCCTCAAGTTCAACCTCGATGACCATCGACATCTCCACCAACAGCTCATACTCTGGGTTGCTCAAAGTCATTACCGAAGAACAGCACTTGAGTCCTGCAGATATTTTGGACGATCTGGAAGAAAGTCATGACCAAGTTGAGGTCGACCTGTCTGGGCTCAGCGATGCAATTCGGGAGGTTTCAAAAGGCGTATCTGAAAAAACATCGCAAGAATATCTCCGGTGGGTACTGTTAAGTGCTAGATCTGCATATCTTGCTAAGGCAAATCATTCACTCAAGGTTGATGAAGCAATGTAACACATTCCTTGTTGATCGACAAATGATAACTAAAGGAACCCAATTCTTCTGCAATAAACCTCATCCTCAAGCAGCAGTATATCTAGTGGCTTGGATAATGGATTCGTAGGTAACTCAATCATTTCATATATTAGTCTCTGAACCGTTTCCTAGTTGTGATATTATTGACCTGGATGGTAAAGCAATTCCGACCACAAGGGAACGGTCAACATATACGCATGCCCAGAAGATGCGTGCTGCTGCGACCTTTGGATTTGGCAGAGTCCATGGTTTAGGCATGCAAGCCTGGCACCGCAGTGAAATTTCTGGAAAGACACTAGGTAATCCATCAGTCTCTGAGACTGTCTCCACCTACATGCTTAGTCTTCGTCGTCGCAAGGTATGTTACAACTTTAACAAGCTTTGATACAAATTGCATCTGACTGATGTATATTTGTAGACACAGAGTGGTGATACGCCCACAAGTGCTCGAGCAGTCACATCTGTATGTATGCTTTGGCTCTTTAGCTCTTTCAGTAAAGCTCAATATCTACGTTAGGGCTTACTCAAAGACCTTTTTTATTTCAACCTTCAGCCACAACCCTCTTCGAGTCCTACTGCTAAAGGACACTTGCGCCCGCGTGCACGTTTGATGATGAATTGTGGATATAACTTTGCATTCTGTGGGTTACTCCGTGTCGACGAAATGCTCAAAATTCAGTTGCAAGACATAACGTTCGAAAAGAACCCTATAACTGGTCAGACTAAGCTCACGCTTCGTCTCCCCTTTCGGAAAACTAGTCAGTTTGGAGGTGAGTGGCAACAGGGGTTGCGTAGTTTGTATACTGACGTCAATCACTTCAGATATCAAGCCTTTTGTCTGGTACGAGTTGCCCGAGGAATATCAACATTTATGTGTTGTACGGGCTTTTGTCAAATGGATCCTTGTATCAGGTTTGAAAGAAGGGTACCTTTTTCGCAAGATTCGAGCCAATGATCGCCTTGCTGAGGAAAATGAGCCCATGGTATGATCTTGTGTAATATTCTCTCCCTTTGCTTTTGCTCAACAGTGCTTTAGACCTCAGAACAATTTCTTGAGATGTTTCGGAACAATCTTCTTGATGTAGGTGTTGACTTTGTTCCCTATGGAACACACTCGTTCCGACGTGGTGGGTGCCAGTGGCTTTCTGTAGAACGCCGCTGGCCTTTGCGTCAGATCTGTGAGTGGGGAGGATGGAGTCAGGAATTCACACATCTGACTATCGTGAAATACCTTATTTCATGGAATGACAATCCTCATGTTGATCGTGATGATTTTTTCAACATGAACCGTGCACCTACTACTGCCTGTCCTACTTGTAATCGCACATGCCATTGTGCTTGAAAAATAGATTATTTCATTATAACCAAATTAACAACCGTATACATAAAGCTGTTGATATACTAAATTATAGCAAAGAAGGAAAGGTTTATATAGAACGCTTTGCTAACTCAATGCGGTAGTGTCGAGCGATTGTAGGTTTATCAGTAAGTACATTACCACGGTTATTGACAAAGACCTTTGAGAAATTATCACCATATTCAGCCTTGGCCTGATCAACTAACTGCTGATCGTGCTCACTCCGAAGGTCGCGAAGTCGATTAGTGATGGCTTTCCAGTGGAATCGATCACCCGTACTGGAGGAGAACTCTTGCCAGAACTGCTCGGAGCTGCTAGACCGATAACGCTCCGCGACATACTAGAAAAAATCGTAAACAAAGAGCTGCTGTATATAGACGATTCCCACCTTCCATTCGACCCAGAGTCTTTTCAACCATGACCAGGCGCCGTCATTCTTGCGACTGAAGACTTGCTTCCAGTATTTAAGAGCAATAGGAGCACCGTTGATTTCCAGCAGGCTACCGCAGTCAACGGGGTCCCAATTGGGCTGCTCATCATCCCAGACACGGTCTAGCCGAGCGATGTCGGTGACAAATGAAATCTGGCGGGGCTCACGAACCTCCCTATATTTGTAATAAATTACTTGCCCATGCCCAATCGTAACCTCATCAGACCTCTCTTTCTGCATAGATGAAGCAGCGCCTGCATTTACAATCGGTGGTGGCACTACAGCCCCATTGCTGAAATTCTGTGAGAGGCCGAACGGGCTTGGGGCGGACACATGCGGAAGGACAGGAGGGACCAGTAACTGGCTCGGGGTGAAGCAGCCAGCTTGGACACTTGAAATACCTAGACAGGAAGCTTAGATGGATGAGCTGTGATCAGGGATCAGGGTACTCACCGGTTGTGGGAGAAGAGCCATGGTGGTGAATCGTATGGCTTGGCGTCAGCCCAGCTTGGAGAGAATTCGGAGGTAGACCTGTGAGAAGTTAAGTGAGCAAAATGTTGTGGAGGAAACTGAATGAATTACTTCTTGATGAGGATACCGGGAACGGAGCCAGTGTTGCAAGCGTTGAGTATGGGGGTTTGGGAGGTACTGAAAGCCCGCTGAGTATCTGGATGGTAGCCGTAAGGGTAGCAATTTGCTCAGACATTGAACGCAAGTTCTCTGCTACCGCTACCTGAAGGAATAACATTAGAGGCGGAATGAAAAAAAAGCCCATGATACACACCTTGCTATTCGCTTTCTCCTTAGCCTGTTCCTCCTCTCTAATTTTCTTTCTGCGGGCAAGCTCCTCACGGGGGATGAAGGGATGAGCATCATCGAACTCCTTTGCCTGACAACTGCATCAGCTTAGATCTACGAAGAACAGATAACATACCAAACGCAGAAGCGAGTTCTTCTCCTCTAGAGTTCGCATATCCTTCGAGCGTTCCGAGGCAAAGAGCTGGGCACCGAGCGGAGTGTGCAAGGGGAGGCCCATCAACTCGTTTCGTCGCAGGACCGAGGGCTTGAGCTTCTTGACTTTCGCGGGGCTTGCATTTGGCTGAGGCCTGTTCTTCGTGATACCGCCGTCACGAACACCACGATGAGCACGTCGAGCATTGGGAAGGAGGCTGGAATGGAGATGGCTCAGCTGTAGGAAGTGAGTGAACAGTTAGCAAAAACATACTGTTGCCATCGACTCTTATCCTGGCTGAACCCTGCTATCCTCTCCTTCAAAATTTTCTTATTGCCTGTGGTCGAGAGACAATACTGCTTGCAGAGTTCTTTCAGTCCTGGACCTGTCAACCGGTTGCTGGAGAAGGGGAAGGATAGTATGTAAGCTGGAAGTTTCAGAGATTAAGGAGAGAGGATACGGACATATTTGTATATATAGCATAGTATATACCATTCTCGTGCTTTCCTGGAAGCACAAGCGTATCAGCGGGTTGAGGGTCTGCCGGATAGACGACTTGGAGTTCTTCTTCGTTTTCAATACTCTGAGCCTCGCCCGAATTGCCGAGTTTGTCAACATCCATCGCGTCAACAATTTGCTGTGTTCTGATTGTGAGTAGTGAGAGAGCGACGGCCTGAGCGTTCACGACGCCGTAAAAAAGAGTGAGTGATTCGGGGTCGAGGTCGTCGAGAGCGGAGACGAGGAGCGGGACAGAGAGATAGCCGGCGGCAGCAGCGCCATTGTCGATCGAACTGCCAGGGACGACGCCGAGTGTTAGTAGTGGGAACGGAGGTAAATAGATTGAGAGGGATAGGCGAAACGACGGGCAGACAAACGGCCAACCCATGGTGAGAACGAAATAAAGAGTAACGTGATGGTAATTGAAAGGGACAATGCAGATCTCGGCCAAAAGTGCATCGTCCAAATCCGATCAAATTCACCCGGGCCTGTCATCCGGGCGTGACTACATGGTCTATACTCAGAGAGAAGTTACATACTCCTACTTCGCCTATGCAATTCGCTCCTATCAACGACGCTACGATGAGTGTACGAAAGCGAATTCCTGGACTAGGTGATTTCGAAACTCCACCACCGCCTCCTCCTCCGCCACCAATGAGCTGGGAAGAAAAGTCTAGAGATTGGGTAGAGAATCATCCGTGGATTGTTGGTACACTTCCCAATCAACGCCGCTGGTGATCCTTATGCTTTGACTTCTCATCCTTATATCCATTCTATAATTCCCCTACTCACTCTACCGCCTACTTCTCTGTACCCCTCTGCTCCATTTGAGCACATATCTCTTGTCGACACATTACCTTCCTTACAAAACCCAAACCCAGCTCACGCCTCTCCAAATCATCCAGCCCCTCCTTCCTCTTCTTCGTAACCCACACGGTCTACCAGCTGTCAAAACTCGGGTCGGGTTGGCATTTAGTGACCTTCAAAGTATGCGTGAAGTAGGAACACTTCGAGCTGCCAAGGTGTTGAGGAAGGAAATCAGGGTAGCGGCGAGTATGGGAAATTCCGGAGAGATGATGCGTGGTGTCAGAGTAGTCGTGGTGGATGTTGACATCGAGGGAATCATGAGGAGCGACACATCTTCATCGCCCCCACTGGGTTCAGGCTCGACACCGCCAGATGCGTACAAAGCGATGGGACGCTGGACGGCGTCTGAGAAGCTTTGACCGAATCGTCGTCGGCGTCGTCAACTCCACCTCATAGTAGCTTTGTATCTGCCATCATTGGCGTTGTTAGCAATGCCCGATATGGATTCGGTATTCATTCGGCGCCTTGGGTATGCAATTTGGTGTTGGGAGGTTCTTGAGCTGGATGAGAGGGGATAGGTTGTTCGTTGGATCTAGTGGTATGTTCCTTGCTTTGTCTCCTCGTGGTCCAATACTGAATTTTCTTACTCAGTATATTCCTCCACGTTTCTCCCGCCGTTACGTATCCTCACCACGATTCCTATCTTTTTCTGCAGACCTCATCCCGGACTAGGCCAAGGCCCAACTCCATCCAGATGTCCACGCAGGAGTCGACTGATCAATACTACTGCTTTTTATACAGCTTCGCCCATTAGCTTCAACAGCCGTTCAACAGACTACCACCGTGTCCAACTCGCCGTGCTCTCCGTCCTCACCGTTGTCTCCGACTCAGGCCAGTCGATCTAGCTAGCCCAATTCCATTTTATGCGCGCTTCTTCCAAAACATACTACCCCATTGTCATTGTTTCTAAGCAAACTGACCAAATTGTCTCCCTCGGCTGTGTCTTCATTGAGCCCAAATTCCTCCGCGGGCTAGGCAACGTCGGGCACATCGAAGATACCGCAGTTCATAAGCGCCAGCAGGGTAAAAAGTTGGAGTTGAGGATCATTCAGATGTTGACTGGAATTAGCGCGAACAGTGGATGTTACAACGATTTTGAATTGCAATAACGAGAATATACGTGCGTGTTTTACTCATTTTCTTTCCAGGCGGGCATCCTGACGTGTTATTTTGAATAAAGCTTTCTATGAGAAATGTGGGTTCCAGAAGAAAGAGAACGAGACTTCAAGAGATAAGAGAAAGCTACGAGTAGTGTGTGATTCTTCATGGGTGGTCTGCGCACAAGCGATTAACAAATCAATGTCATTTACGCATCGAAGATAAAGGTCCAGAGCGCTTCCTCGACCTTAAAATCGTGGTGAATTATGTTTACCAGAAAACGCTCGTTATGCACGTTCTCAAGTAACTTGCGTTCGGGTGAGTCTGGGCGATAGAACGAGGCCCAATCTAACCAAATTGAGAATGCTTCCTCCTACGGGATTGTGTCAACAGAAAGGACGGGACCTCGAGACATAAGGAACTAACTTTCCAAGCCAAGAACGACTGGCGTTCAATAATCGTTGTTTGAATGAGTTCCTGTCCCGAAAAGACGCCCCAGGTCACAGCGTTCCTTCCATCGTCAGGGACGTTTGTTCTACAATCACCCTCGAGGCAACATTCAACGTCATATCAAGGATAAACGAAACATAAAAGCCTCACTTTAGAGTTAGCAGCGTAATAATGGACCCATCCATCACCTTTCTCTGCGACCTTCTTTTCAATCATATTCACATCTTCCTCCGTACAAAAGAACTCAACAAATGATTTTTGAAATACATAACCATTTCTTGGTCCCCAGCCGACGACAGGATCCGAAGAATCAATGCCGTCGACAGCAGGCTGAGAACCAACTGTCCACCAACCACGTTCGGTGAGTTTACGAAGGTGAGGAAGGATGAGTTTCGATTCATCCAAAATAGGATCAGAAGAAAACGGAGTAGTGTCAATGTCTGAATGGAGATATTTGAGGAACAATGCAGTGAGGTCGTCTAGGGATTGCGGATTTCCCCAGTGCGAAATTGTAACTTGGTTCTGTATAAATCACGATTAAGCCTTATATTGATAGGTGCCACGTTGTCATGCTCACAATAGCATCATTATTGCCCCAAGGACCTTGTACGCCATAAGCAGGACTCTTAGAGTCACCCCACCGACCGTTAGGAAAGTCGTCCCATGAATCGGCTTTGTTGAGCTCCCCACTACCAACTTCTGTCTCTGTTGGAGGCATATTGTACAGCCCAAGGGTGGCGACGTTAGCAGCGGAAACTGGTGTTATAGTTCCAGAGGGGAGATTTTCAGTTGTAGGTTCCTTGAAGTAAAGGGTCAGCAAACCGAGTAGGTTTAGAGTCAGCAAACTCACCTCGATAAGTTTGTTCGGTACTATTTGGGGTGAGTACCCGATCCAACGGAGGGATTCGAGTACACGCTGAACACTTTTCTCAAGGTTGAGGGTACAGAAGTGAACTCCGGAGACGTCAGTCTCTGTCGTGATCCGACGAATCATTTTTACAGCCAATTCAACGCCGTAGTTTTTGACTAGTTGGTCATTGTGCTGCAAAGGATATCGTCGTAAGAAGCGCGAAGAGGGTGGGGACACGGGGAGATACTTTGATAGCATCGACATCGGACATGACTTGTGCAGGAACCTTTGAACCAGTCAGTTTCGTCAGTCGAACGAAAGATTGATAAGTCTGGATGGGCATGAGTCCAGGAATTATGGGCAACGTTATTCCTACAAAGTCTTGTTAAGCGAAGGCAAAAAAAGGATGAACAAGCCGCAGACCTTTCTCTCGAACCTTTCTGAACCAAGAAATGAACTGGTCCTCATCATAAAACAGTTGAGTGATGATGAAGTCGGCTCCTGCATCAACTTTTTCCTTCAATAAACTCAGCTCTGTCTCTTCATCAACCAGATGGTCTGGATGACCTTCGGGGTATGCTATTAATCAAAAAATATGATTATTGCGAACCACACTCGTGTTAGGTAAACGTACCAGCGACACCGATGCAGAAATAGGAAGAGAAATCTGGATGCGATCTGATGTATGTGACTAAATCCAGGGCATGCTGGAATCTTGGATCAATGGCTATCCATTCTTCCTTCCCTCTTGGTGGATCTAGGAAGGATAAGAGTTGGCAGCGTAAGCAGCATAAACGACGTACCCCCACGTAATGCAAGTATGTTCTGTATCCCACATTCTTTGGCAGCCTGATAGGGTGAGGTTAGCGAGAATATTAAGTAGAAGATCAAGACTTACTCGTAAAGCCTCGTCTACCTTTCCTTTCTCCATGTTAGTGCATGTCAAATGTAGGATCGTATCTTGGCGATACTCAGACTGCGTGAGCTCGGCAAGATTTAAGCTGGTGTCTTTCGTATTTCCCCCTGCGCCCCAAGTCACGCTAACTGCCAGCGGATTGAGGTTTGACATCCTCACGATACGAGGCAGAAGATTTTCGAATCCCTGAGAACATAAGAAGTCAATTATGTTCGAAGTGGATGGTACAGGGGCAAAGCACTTGATCGGTCCGAGGAGGAAAAAATTCGAAAGTATAGAAGGGATGTGGAGAATTGTAAGCCAAAATTTTATCTGTGAGCTTCATGGTTATGGATCCTTGAGGTTGCAGCCTTAAGCTTGTACGTACTTCAAAAAGTTAAGGGAGTGCCACGTGGGATCAACCGGTATCCCCGATCCGGGTCCACAACCAATTTGCAACTTGTCCACAACCGCGACTAAGAACGCGTCCAAGACGCGTTGTTCATCATGAAACGAAAAACACAGGAGAGTAACGCTGACGGAAGCCGAAAACGTCTGAAAACTACTTCTCCTCAGTCTCATTCCTCAGGCGCAGAACTATTCGACTTTCCTGAACACCAACGGTATATTGCCTCGATCCTTCATGACCAGGATGTCGACGGGAAACCTGGATACATTGCTGGCAAAGTATTCATGAAGTATCCCGAGTCTGAGCAGAATATTCACTTCATCATCACTACGGATGATTCGGAGATTGGGAGCAAGAGATTACGAGTAGAAGTCGTTTTCGGGAAGAAATGTTCGAAACTGTTAAGGCGGCTGGACATCAACTTCCCACTCTCTTCTGTTATTCTTCTGTCCCTGCGAGGGTGCTCAGCAGACTCTGGAAACTCGTCTCACGGTGTTACAGGGAAGTTGAAGTTTGCGGACAAGGTCTTGTTGAAGATATTGTCCCCGGGACTCGATGATGTAGTAGTGGATCTTTGGGACTGTGTGTGCTTCCTCACTTTGTTTTCGCATATTCGCTCAATACCTCCGTAGCAAACCCACTTATACCATCCAGAAGCGCTGACTCTGATTGGTTCAGCACCCCTAGAGAGCATCCCGTAGAGGGGTCAGCTGTCGCCGCAGAGACTAAAAAGATCAGCAGAAGAGACAGGAGGCTTCTCAGGGCTAAAGTGCATCTAGAGAAAGTCAACGACACAAATAAGATTGATTCCGACGTTGTCTCTATCAAAGCGCCAAAAGATCTCGCTACCGCATCTGAGCCTGTTACCCCCAAACATGTCCCTCTGAATCCCGTTCCAGCACAAGAAACGAAAGCGCCGTTGGACAAAGTAGATGGTCCCTTGGGGTTGAAAGCGGGTTGTCGCTCCGAAAAAGTAGGGTTTTCATTCGCTGCCATGAACAATCACCTGAAATTCCATTCATAGGCCTTGTATACTTCGCTATTAAATGCCACAAAAGCTTCTATCTTTTATAATGTGGTTGGTGTTGTATTTTCTGACTCCCTTATAAGTCAAACTTCTAGCGGAGGTGAGTGTTATTTATGCTGGAGGATGCCGATTAATGTGCTCGCCACAGACTACATGTGTGGCCTGCAACTGGTAGATCCCGGTAATAGGTCACCCTCTGACAACACACATTTTGTGGGCACCCCAACAAAAGTAAATTGTTTCGCGATCAATTCCAAGTGGTTGCCTAGTGTTCGTGAGGGTGATATCGTTATCCTTCACAACGTTAAAGTGTGTGGAATATGGCGATTCTGATGTCAGTTTCGATTTCTAATCTCATATCATAGGCTTCAAATTTCAATGGGGGTACAAACCTTGTAGGCTATAAAGATAGACTCCAATGGGCGATATACGGGCGGGATGGAAAACTGGCACATGGTGTTATTCCATCTGACATTCCGAGAGACACTACTACAGACAGAGGCTTCCGCTTTACGCCTTTTCTCCAAAGCGGAGATTCCACTCTTCTGAGTTATTGCTCGAAACTACGCGAATGGTGGAACGCTGTCGAGTGCAAAAAGAAGGAATTCTTGGGCAAGACACACCAAGTTGGAAACAACGTCCTGACGCCCCCTCCAGAACGGAGTGCCCGACCGTGGCTCTCAATCAAAGACGCAAACACGGGTACTATATCTAATGGATATTTCAATTGTGTTGCCGAGGTGAGTGTTCCTGTTCAGGTCCTACCTATTTTCCTTGGTCTAATCCTCGTTCTCTCTGACAGATCATTCACAAACATCGCCCAGATCAACAGTACTACGAGATCTACGTCACCGACTATACTTCGAATGACAAATGCCCGACTTACGACAATGCTGATTGGTGTCCTCCTGGGTTGGCAAAATCGTGTCTCAGAGTCGAACTGTGGGATCGGTCTACTCCGTTGGGACCGGATATGGAAATTGGAGACTTCTACAGTTTCAGAAATATACGTATGAAAATGGCAAATAATGGATACTATGAGGCCAAAATACAGGAGCCGAAGATATCAAAATTAGATCCAGATGAGCATGGCTCGACTCACACTATTTTGAAGAGTCTATTAGAGTGCGTTTATCTTTGATTTCCTCTCCCAGTTATATTCGCATTTGCTGATCATATTTCAGGCGAAGGGCGAAATGGGCTACGAAGCACAATATTGAAGAACGTCTAGAGAAATTAGAATACACGAAAATAGAAGATGTTGAAATGCGAGCTCGTTTTAACTGCATTGTGGAGGTACGGTAACTACTTCATCGACTTACGAATACTTCTAATTCGGTATCTAGATCCTTCATGTTGATCTCCCTGACGGCCCCGGTAGCGCAAAAGTTTACGCCACTGACTATACCGCCAACGACTTGCTCCCCGAACCCGACTTCGACGCCAACGATTTTGATGGCCTTCACAAGCGTGTTTTCAAATTTGTGTTGCGGGATTCGCAGGCTGAAAAAGCCAAAGCGTTGGAACGAGGAAACGTATGCGTATTCCAGAAGGTGATGATGAAGCTGCTCAATACGGAAAATGTCGGTGACCTTGGTGGGGAGCAACGACTTATAAGCCGATTAAACCCGGGCCTGGATAGTCATAAAGCGCTGATGAAGGACTTGGAGAAGTGCGGACAACACGCCTTCCAATGCGGTCTTATACTAACGTTGATTGATCAGTCGAAAGAAGATATTCTTTGGAACTCCTGACGACGCGAAAGCATCTCTTGGACGGTCAAGATCTCCCTCGACCTCAACATCAACCTCCGAACCTCGATTTCCAGATTCACCTGGACGCACCAGTCCTCTTCCCTCGTCTCCGAAAATTTGCACATCCATCAAGCAACTACGATCTCGCGTTGGCACCACTGTGTTGTTCGGTATCCCAGCACGGGTCAAATGGGCCAAGCCTCGTGAACTTTGGGATTATTGCCGGCCTTATTGTAAGAAATGTGAAAAACGGTGCGATTACTTGTTCGTCTGGCTTGGTCTTGAGGCATGACCGGCTCTACGTGTAATTATAGCATTCCCCCCAATCAGAAAGCTTGTGTAGCCTGCGATGACTTTGATCATGAGTTCGTCATCTATCAATATAGCTTCAACCTCAGCATCGAAGACAAAGAAGGAAATGAGATGCCGGTTACGGTATTGGATGAGGTAAGGCTTCTTTTTCATGTTGGGTCCCAGTCGCTTTATAACTAAATCCCGCCACGCAGGCCCTGTTTCTGAATGATTTGCCCCGCGTGAACTTAAATCAAGATTCAGCAGCTTTGGGAAAATTCCGGGCATGTTTTGAGAAGCTTGCTGGTAATGTTCTGGAGTATCAGAACGAACGTTGCGCTGGCATTGACGATACAAAGTTGAAGACGCCGTTTGTTTGTTTGTATGGGGCCCGGTATGAGGAAGAAGGAAAACAGATTTGTCAATTACTATCCTACACGCTGCTCGAAAACTAAGCAGGAATCGCATTGGTATCGGATTCATCGTATATTATAAGTATCGTTATTACTTGAATGTTTACAGCCTTATAAAGGATTCATGGTTCATATTATGTTTCTGTTATTTACACTTTGTCTTTCCCATCCGGCCGCTGGTTTCGCAGGGTCCACACCGAGCTCTGTAATTTACATTTCCCCTTCTGTCTGTAAAAGTTAAGAGTTCCAATAATAAATAGCATATTCTTACATATCACCCTACCCCCTCGTCGACGCATATATTCACTGCACTGAAACCCTGGGACATCAGCTCTGTGTACTAGGCTCCACTGAAGTAGACTACACCTTGCTTGGCACATACTTGAATTCTAAATTGATAATGTGGCATGCATAAGGCGCGCAGTGAAAAGGTACATTGTATATGTACAGGGCCTGAGGGATGGTGAGGAGTGGAACCTTATGCCTTGAGATAGCCTGATTCTGATATCATGATTCAGAAAATCATAGATCTCTACGTTTACTTCCTTTGTCTTTTGTCCCCGAAATCTGCAAGGCTGTATCACCTTGCTTGCTAGGTCCTTTGCCACCCCGTCTTTGCCAAGCGCCCGTGCATTTTTTTGCACACGTTAGGCGCTTTAATGTTGTTTTCAGCCATTTCAACAGATTCTATTCTCTGTTTCTATAATCTGGCTCATATCCTTGCTTGTTTTTCCATCCTTTGATGGTCTCAGTACTTAAAGTATCCATGTGAAAATTAAAATCAAGCAAGGTTTATCGTGCCCCGCAGGGGTCCGCTAGTCCAAGAACTGTGCCAATCTCAAATTCCATCCTTCATCAGTGAATGACTTTTTAGGGGGTAGGCGTTAGAAGGCGGGCTGTATAGGAGGGTATCGCGGACAGAGATCTGCTTTCTAGGCAGGGTCAGACTCACTTGGGCGGCTGGGCCCCCAGTTGTCTTATTTTGCGACTCCAGAAATTAGACCTATATTTATCTGTCTTAAGGATCGCTTTTACACTGAGAATGATATGTCGCGTGAAGATGGTGAGCGAGCGCTCAGTGGCGCTATGATGCAACAGCTACAAATGGTGAAGTCGATATACACATCTGTCTACCAAACAACAACCATGGACATCATGTATCAAAGCTGCTCTTATGCAAAGCCCTTGTCGTCAATACTCTTCTCATCGACAGTTTCAAGTTTTTCTTCATGAACAAAGTGACTGAAGCTGATTTTCTCGAATTCCACCACGCCGATCTTTCGAATCACCACCCAGGCGAAGGGCAGCGAGAAAACGACTATAACAAATATAAACAGGCATATAGCTAGAAGTAGAAGAAAAAACCCACTCAAACCAACGTTTAAGCCAATGGATAGCCAATCGGTTGTATCACTGGACTTGATACCGTACGCAACGGCCTGGCCAGCGCACTCAACGCCACGCAGCGTTCCGGTCATGTATGATAGGGCAACGAAATCATCCGACACTGGCATAGACAAATTCATGGGTGGGTCTTTTAAGTAAAAGATTAAAACGTACTTTGGCTAATAATCCAGTACAAAGTCGTCTGAGTAGCCATTGTCGCGAGATCGAAAAGGACAAACAGAATGAATGTCTTTCCGAATAAAGTCCCAGATGTCCAGTCAATAACCGGTTGTTCATCTTCAAGCTGTTTTGTGACAATGGCAGTCCATGTCCTGATGTAGGGAGAAGAAGGGGGGATTTTTAGCCCTTGCAGTGCTGTTAATGTCAGGGGAACCCCCGACATACCATAACGCTAGATTGAGCACCATCAATCCTATCCAGCTCCACCTCGCACGCTGCTTGATTGACATTCGGCGGTTGTCAAGGAAGTACCCAATTAGGAAGCCACCTGCGATATCACCCCAGGGAATCATGAAGGCGCAAAGAGCACGGGTTCGAACATTCATGTACTGGGTTTGCAGTGTACCTGCAGTGGCATTCAAGTTTGTCAGTGTGATGGAAGAATATTATCAAACGTTGATACTAACCAATGTAGGAGCCGTAAAACCAAGATGTGAAAAAGAGAGGACAAAGGAGCAATATCTTTGAACAAGAGTGAGTTGTCATTGAGTTTTTAAAAAATATTATATATGAACCCGGTACGCACATCAGGAGAGCATACGACCTTGTACCACTCGCTGAACGTCTGACTCCATCCAGCCTTGCGCATCCGGATCTTTACGCCGTCCTTACGCTGTACTTTTTCGGGAGTGGATAGGAGCGTGGAGATGAATGGACCTGCACACATGATCCCGATGATAACGAGGTAGGTTTTGAGAGAAACGCCACCGGATGAGTCGAGAGAGGAGTTGAGGCCAAAGATTATGGCACCGCCGATAACTGGAGCTGCGGTACGCATGAAGACCCATAAGGCGAGCATGCGCCCTCGGCGATGAGGTTCTGGATATGCTGTGGGAGTCGGTGTTTGATATAGAGAAGATGAAAGAGGCACTCAGAATTTTACTTACAGGTGATAATGGGACCTTCGATGGTGTACATTAGGCCATCGGTGCAGCCTGAGATGATAGACCCTGAGGTAATACAAAGCTCAGTTGCTGTAATGAATGAAATGCTTTGAATCCGATAACGAACCGAACATCAAGAACCACTGTGTTCCGTTCTTGGAATTCAGGTATAGACTTCCTGCATAACTGAAATAGGTCTATCAATCACTCGAATCTCGCACCAGGTTGGTGAGAACTCACATGATATCACCCATGCTGGAAATCTATAGTAGGTGATATTGGAATTCAGCCACCTTCAGATAGGAAGGGAAACGAAAAACGGGAGTGTACCAGTAGTGCAGCCTTGACCCCGATCTTGCCAACTATTATACCACCGATAAGGCAGAAAAATGCCATGAATACTGTATGCACATGATTCCTGTTATCGAAGGTGGCGCGAAGCGAACGGAAGACTCGCCGTATCCAGCAGCAGCAGTAGCGTTAGCGTACCACGGAGTCGCTAGCCCACCAGCGCCAAGAGAGCTTAGAGCATTGTACATTCCCTACAAGTAGAGATTCAGATATGCCATCTCGTGACTGAAGTTAAGGAAACAGCGACATACCGGTGCCTACGTATGCGCAACAAGTAGTCAGTCTAATCATTACATCCAGAAAAGGGGACGATAACAAGCGTACGCAGAAAAATACCCCTCCGACGACTAAGATTTGGAAGATTGTGCCTCTAAACCAATGTACAGGGTAAGACTTTGGCATCTCTTGTTCAGAAGCGGCATCGTTCTTTAGTTCGGGTATGGTGGTCCCTTCAGCAATGTCCTTCATGATGGTGTTGGAAGAGCAGGATTGACGTTAAGATTGGAACCGAAATTTTGTAAACGGAATATTCACCACCCAAGTTTGGGCCTTGTGGATTTCAGAGATACGAGATAAGACGTGGGATTACAATGGAATCCAATTGAGTTACTGGAGAATCCTACCGTAGAAAGCGTGAACCACATGTAGTATACATCATTTATTTTGAGTATTTCAAGTTCTTGTAGCTGATTCGACAAATTTTCCACTTTGCTGCCAAGATCCGAGTTCACGTAGCTACGTGACTGTCCAGGATTATTCAGGAAAACTTGAGGATTCGAAGTTATAGGTTGAACATAAGTGCGATTGGAATCTTGTGGAGACGATAGACTGACGGTATTAATTGAAGCCGTGCAATTGATATTTTGGATGAAATATCTTGTCTCCCTCATGACAGTGCCATTCCTCTTCAATACAACTCCAGTGGCAAAGATTGAAAAGGCGCACACGGCTTAGTTGAAGGGGTGCCTGATTGCAAGGCAGCTTCGCCTCATCATAGGCATTTACATGATGTACGACTTGAGGATTTATTTACATGTCCAGTCAATGTCCATGAATATTGTAGCAGCTGGAAGAAAAGTTGACGCGCCAATGTACAGCCACAGACGCGCCATCAAACGCGGCACACTGCCACCCGATTTCATCGTTACAATATTTCGTCTCTGACCTGTCACTGGTCAGATATGTATTGCTGTCTACCTTTTTCTCTTTTACTTGCCGTCTTCTTCCACCCTTCTTTCTCACCGGTCCTTGCTTTTTCATCTTCCAATTCAAAATCCCTAGAGCCTCCATCGCTCTCAAAACGCACCTTCGCCAAAAGAGACTACACGACATATGGTTATTATGTTCTCGAACTTGCAACGTCGCCCAATCCACTGAGGTCTAGTTCACCTCTGCTGCCCACCTTAGACAGACTACTGTCATTAGATGAAGTAAGCGAAATGCTTGGTGTGCAAGTCATCGAGCCAGCAGGAGAGCTCGAAGGACATTGGTTAGTGAGAGCAGATGAGATGCTGCCGGAATTGGGAGAGAGGAGTATAGAAGAGAGGGACTTTGTGCTGGACACATTCGAACGGTTGAAGGCCAGAGCACGGGCCGACGGCTTACAGCGAAGGACTTTGGACATTGTTGCTCGCCAATTCGCCTCTTCTGTCAAATCGCTCGAGCGCCAGGTACCACGGCAACGAGTGAAGAGGGCCCCAATTGATATTAGGCAGGACGTCGATTCTACGGCTCGCGTGGTCGCCTCTCGTCTTGGTATCCAGGATCCTCTCTTTCCTGATCAATGGCATTTGATCAACGATGATTTTCCACAACACATGATGAACGTTACTGGTGTTTGGGAAGAACTAGGTCTAACTGGAAAGGGTATCATCTCTAGTCTTGTCGACGACGGGCTGGACTACGAGAGCGAAGATCTCAAAGAAAATTTTGATGCTCTCAACTCGTACGATTTCAACACTCACGTTGAACTTCCTACTCCACTACTTCCTGCAGACCACCACGGCACTCGATGTGCTGGTCAAATCGCTGCTTCGAAGAACAACGTATGTGGAGTTGGCATTGCGTATGAATCCCGCGTCGCTGGTGTGCGAATTCTCTCCGGTCCCATTTCTGACGTGGACGAAGCCGCTGCTCTTAATTACGGGTACAATCGAACTGAAAACGGCGTCGACATTTACTCGTGCAGCTGGGGTCCGCCCGATGACGGTAAATCAATGGAGGGTCCTTCTCCTCTCATCTCCAAAGCTTTCATCAACGGCATCAATCGAGGACGAGGGGGCAAGGGAAGCATATTCGTTTTCGCATCTGGAAATGGAGCAGCAAAGGGAGATCAGTGCAATTTCGATGGTTATACGAATAGTATATATTCCGTTACGGTTTCTGCCGTCGATTACAAGGGACTTCACCCGTACTACAGTGAACCTTGTGCAGCAAACTTGGTTGTAGCTTATAGCTCGGGAAGCGGGAAGCACATCGTGCGTTCAATTATATGTTCCCTTCTATCTTCGCTAACTTTACTTGATTTGTAAGGTCACTACCGACAAAGGCAAGAACGAGTGCGCGACCACTCACGGTGGTACTTCTGCCGCTGCGCCCAACGCAGTCGGTGTCATTGCTCTCGCACTACAAGCCAACCCGAATTTGACCTGGCGCGATGTACAGTACATATCTATCGAAACCGCTAAGATGATCAACGAAGACGACTTGGACTGGGAAGAGACTAGCTCAGGGCGAATGTACAGTTACAAGTACGGCTATGGCGCTATGGACGGCTGGGCTTTCGTTCAAAAGGCAAAAGAGTGGAAGAATGTTGGACCACAGGCTTGGTACCACACACACTCCGTGCAATTGGAAAATGGGGCGTTCAATGCGTCGGGAAATTTCAGCGGAGGCGCTTTGATTCCTGCTTCCAAAGCGGGTATCAAATCCTCCCTGGATATCACTGCGGATATGCTCTCCCATTCGAATTTGGATCAGAATAGGCTGGAACATATCCAAGTTCGTGTTTGGATCCAACATGCAAAGAGAGGGGATGTTGAAGTTGAAATTGTGAGTCCCCATGGAGTGAAGAGTGTGCTTGGTGCAAAGAGGGACAATGATGCGAATAACGATGGATATCCCGGGTGGATTTTCATGAGCGTTAAACATTGGTACGTGTATACGATCTTTCGAGCGAGGCTTTCAAAGCTGATCTTTTTTTTTTTATCTTTTCCTACATCCATAGGGGCGAAAATCCTGTCGGAACATGGACCATTCGCGTCTCCGACCAATCCCATTCCAACGCACAATCAGTTGGGTCATTCATAGGCTGGAGTATGGTTCTGTGGGGCACAGCATTGGATGCGACCAAAGCCCGACTCTACGAATTCCCCACGTACGAAAAAGACTCTGATCGATGGATCTTTCCGCCGGTCGAGGATAATAACCCAGACGACGGAAGCGAAGTTCCTAGTACGACACGTTTACCTACGCGTCCCACAGACCACCTTCCGGAAGACCATGGTACAGCCGAAGGCGAGGCCAGCAAACCAGCTTTCGGTGGAGGATCCTCCAATTCAAGTTCACCTACGTCTACACCAACTGCCGACGAAGGGTACTTTGCCGATCTTTCCAACCTGTCCTCTAATCAGAAATGGTTCGGAGGTGCGATCGCTATCGTCGTCCTCTTTGGTCTTTCTGCTGCGGTGTATTTCTGGCAGAGACGGAGAGCGATAAAGAGGAAGATGGCGTACGAGAGTTTGGCGGGTAACGATGAGGTGCCTATGACTTCGATGATGGAGTCGAGTGCGTTGGTTGGCGGAGGAGCAGGAGGTGGAAGAGGCAATTCTACTGCCAGCGGCAGAGTACCCAGGAGTGGTCGAACGAGAGAGTTATATGATGCATTTGGAGATGTGTCAGATTCTGATGAAGACGATGAAGATGCGAATGAAGAGACGAGACTGCGTAGGAGCGATCAAGGTGACGTTGAGCGAGTAGGAAGGAACGAGGTTGGGTTCCATTCGGGATTTTTGGATGATGAGGATGCTGTGTCGCCTATGGGTAGCGCAACTCGTCTGACATCGGGAACAAGACCAGTGGAAGGGGCATATCGGGATTAACTCAAGCTGACAAGTGATCGCGGACAGAGATATTTATTATTGTCAGGGCAAAGCACTGGATATTGGTATATTAGTATAATGCGCGTCCTTGCATGGTGGCAAACACAGTAACTGAGTTGATTGAGCAACCCCCTGACTGCTAGTGTCAATGATAAGATAAGGCTGGTGCGGGATGATCAATAATAATATTTCCGCCCCTTCTCTAACAACAACTGTCACCCTCAAATTTTACCCGCCACGTCGACCTGCTGCGAAAGGCATCTATACCTTCCTTCTATATCTACCTTCACTCTTTCCTGCTCCTGTTTTTTTTGGTGATTTGTGATTATAAGAACAAAAGAAAAGAGAATTGGACTTTAAAGGTGAGCGGATTATTGTTCAGCCAAGTCAATCCTAGAATTTATTTTCCCAAGATCCAAGCTCTATCTATCCTTGCGCGCCAGCATATCCTGAAACCGGCATATGGGCTAGTCCAGCTCCATCTACTCATACTATCAATTGGAAATCATCTTTACGGCAGACATCGAAGCCCTAATCCGATTCCTAGCTGCTGAACATACAATTGCATTTCAATATTACCTTTGCCAATATGTCTTCTCCCACTGCGGAGGACCAAACAAGTCAGCAGTGCGCCGCTACTTCAAACCCAACAGAGACAGTTAGTCGCGACAGTACGGGAAGTAATCAGAGTGGTGGCAGTATATCTAACAGCGGCGAGAGCTCTACGAAGGCAACAATAGCTACCGCACCCGGAGCTCCGTCTATCCACACTGCTTCTTCCTCTAAGCATCTAGATCCCAGTCCAGCTTTGCCCCTCGTCAATCCCCGCAAACAGAAATCCACAGGCATACTCAATCTCCGCCGCTCGCCCAGTGCCACCCGACAACGTTCTGGATCCTTCTCAGGCAACATCCCAAAACCGGATTCAATACCACCTCTTCCACTGAAGAAGGAACCTGAACAACCTCCGAAATCTATTCTTACCCCATCTTCATCCTCTTCCTCATTATCTCATTCAACTTCAACTTCACTATCTTCTGCACTTTCGCGCTCTCCCTCCATCCAGTTCGCTCCTTTACCCCAGCTTGCGCCCAGAAAGCGCAAATCTTCAGTTCCTCTAGGGATTGCTGCAAGGAGCGCAATGATGCAGCGTCGGAGGCAAGTCATGTATGGCACTTCGGCTGCCGCTACCTTTGAAACCCCCCAAGACGCTGCCGATAGCAAGCCTGCTGTAGAGGGAGGTGGGATGTGGACGCCTTCAGAGGCGGAAGCGCATCTGGCGCGTCAAATGCGCGCGAAGGAGAAGGAGAGGGAAAGGCTACTGAAAAAGCAGGATAAGGAGATGGCGAAAGAAGCTGCTAAATCAGCACTCAAGGATAGGCACGGGCACGATGACGAGGTGGAGAATGACGACCCGTTAGTGGCGTTTGGAAGATTGGTGAAAGGTGCATGGAGGAAGGTTGGGAAGAAGGATTCGAAAAGCAGGGGGAACAGGAAGGCGGATTTGCAGACAAGAACTCAATCTGATTTTGAAGTAAATTCGACCGCTACCACGAAGAATCCGCAGGAACCTCTTCCACCCGCTGATCCAATAGAATTGTCGGACCACATTGAAGTGAACAAAGCTGATATGGTGAATAATGGCGGTTTGGTCGAGTACGACTCCGACACACCTACGGAAGAAGATGATCACAACAACGACGACGATGTAGATGATTTCGATGCCAATATTGACTCGAACGAAGTAGACGTCTCAATGATTGTTCCACTTAGAACAGGTTCCCCTCCGCCTTTACATGTTCCGTCGACATCACATTCTCATTCTGAGACATCTTCCATCGCCGAATCCAATGATTCTGCCGGTTCGGACTCGACTATGACTTCTCCGCCAGCCACAAATCCGCCTTCGCCAAACACTCTTATAGCGAATACACATACGAGAACATCTTCTGATCCTTCGACATTGGAACGAACGCCATCCAAGAATCCAGAAGATCTTGTCGCTACTAGTACGGTGAAGCGCTCGGAACGATCTGCGCATAGATTGCCCTCGTTGGAGTTGACGCCTCTTTCTCCATTTCTTGTTACTTGAGAACGAAACTGATCCTTATTCTTCACGTTTCAATGAACTCGTTGCTGAAATTTTATCCAGGGTATTTCTTTTCTTTGTTTGTTGGGATTTACATAGGCAGGGAATCTACACATGTTACATCGCACCATCATACTACCCTACCACTCACCATACTACACAAGTCTAGATCACTATGTTGCTTTTCTATCATCTTAGCTAATTTCTTCAAATCCTATACCTTCTGAATACTTCTGGTATGTTCTTGTTGTCAGCAGATGTGCCTACAATTGAAATCATTGAGTACCATAGATAGAGGTTCAACTGCTGAGCATCCATCATTCGTAACATTCATGAAAAGTAGTGTGCATAAATCTACATTCGATCTAAAGAAGATATAATCCCCCTCACTTGCCTGCCCAAAATTTCAAAAATTTTCCTTTCAAAGTCGTAGGCTTAACAATGATAGTCTCTTCTTCCTCTGAGTCGTCCAGATGGGAACCATCGGGTCCGATGTTCATCACAGCATTCTGCTGACGACCAAGGAAATAATCGGTCTGGAAGCACGCAGCGATTAGAGGAATGAAAGAGGTTCCCAACGCTGGCACTATCAAATACCAAAGCGTCTTCTGATAAGCCATGATCGCGCCTTGGCGAGTAGGACTGTCAAAAGAGTATGCGCGAATGGTTTTTATATTGCCAAAGAAAGTCTCGATCTGTGTGTCGGTGGTGTTGGCGGGTAAATATTCGCGGAGATACATTGGCATCTTGGCTGACCAAATGACTGCTGCGATGGCAGCTCCGATAGAACCACCGATATTACTCCAGAGGGAAAGAAGGGAAATTATAAGCGCGACGTCTTGGTGAGGCACTGAGGCCTGAGATGCTACTCGTGAGCCGACGACGCTGAAGGCGCCTCCGGCACCAACGATAATCTGCGCAAGTATGAGGGCAGCAGTGTTATCTGTAGCACGGGTCCCATTGAGAAGAATGCCGATGCCGATGATCTTAACGCAAAGACCGACGATTTGAGACGTTTTATATCGATGGGTCCAGCGTTGGAAGAGACCGGCAAAGATACCGAATACACAAAGTGAGATCGTGAGTGTGTTATTGTAGTATGTCCAGTTCGTTACCGACCAATCCTTGACGATATAGATATACGAAGAGAAATACAAGTCGCGGAACTCTCCAGCCACTACGAGAAAGGTCAGTTCGAGGGCCCAATCCAAATATGATTTGACTTACTTAAATAAACAAAATCGATGATAACCGCCATGATGAAAGTTTTGTTCTTGAGGATGCGTTTTGGAGTGCTTGGAACCGATGCAACGTATATTTCGTAAAACACATAGACGATGAGCAAAACTCCTCCGACTACCATCATAGCCTGCAAAGAAGGGTTATGCCAGCCACCCTCTGCATAAGTCTTGAGCGAGAAGGGAAGAAGTAGCAGAGACCAGCCAAAGCCCAGCAAAATCAATCCAAATGCATCAATCTCACTGAGAATCTGTTTGGTTCTAACAGTCCACCGAGCCTGTTCTTTGTAGCGCCCTTCGGCCAGCGCTAAACGACGGACAGCGCCACTAGAAGAGAGATTGATAATTCCCTCTCGGTGTGCTTTGCGGTCCAGGTAAATGAGGGTAAAGATGGCAGGACATAAAGCTACAGGCATGATGATAGCGAACATCCCGTATCCCCACCTCCATTTTTCACCGGTGCTGAGAGCGTTGACGATTTTACCGGCGTACCAGGTATTAATAATGAAGGGAGCAGATAATAGGGAGTTAACGAATCCTCTCCATTCGAGCGTAGTTAAGTCTGCGACGATGATATTATTCAACAGACTCAAACCACTGCTCCCGACAGATACAAAGACAGCACCAACAACGTAGGCTGATATTGTGCTAGATGTGGCGATGATTATATATCCGACAACATAGAAGGCCAGGACCAAGATATAGGTGTACGGACGAGAGAATATATCAGATATCTTGGCGATAAAAGGTTGGCAGACCGAGGAAATGATGCCAGTGGCGATATTGAGTGAAGCGAGACCACTGCTGTGCTCTGAGAACGAAGACGTGGCGAGGGCGTCATAGTTGGAGGTCGTCGATTGATCAAGGGAGTATGCCCAAGCACATACAACGACAGAAACACTGACCGCCCACAGCGTAAATCGGCCAGATTGACCAGAGGCGGAACGATGAATGGCCTCCATGCGAGTAACACCAGATGACTGTACGTACTCTTCCCCATTGTAGGATACTGGTCCTACCTCAACGGGTTCAACAGACGCTGTCTTGTTTAAGCTAGAATCAGACTTGCGGGATTCAGCGTTGGAAGACGACATGGTGAATCTCAGTCGTTAGCTGCCTCTCGTCTGATTCCAGGGCAAAGAATGATTCACGACAGACCTCTAACAATATTGCAAGGCGTACTTACCTTACTGGACCGAAAGCGTGGAAGCACATATCCATCTTGCACGATGGCCTTTATAATGGAATAGAAACCATCATACATCACGGCTGGAGCATTGATTCCAATAGAAAAGTCGATGAGCATATGGGTCACAACTGACGAGGTACTGCTATCTGATTAGATCCCGGGAAGTACTGGAACCATTGTGAATTGAAGACTTTTCAGTGTCCTTGGAGTCATAGCTGGATGCTTAATGAAGCAGGCAGCAACACAGACCTGCGAACGGCACTGTAACTACGAAATAGCTTGAGGGATCAAAAGTGGAAATTTATCGAATTAGTTCCGGCGTACTTTACTAGCATTGATAGAATACTCACAAAATAAGAATTACAGAGAGCCCGCACAGTGACAGTCCTGATGTACATCCCCGGTTATCGTAGGAACTTGAAGCTGTAGAGGTTTACATGGAGAAGATAATCCGAGGGATGACGAATAAACATTTACTTGTTAGATAGGCGGCATATGTTTGTTACATGATTTTCCTTTACAAAGTGCCTGACTGGCGAGGACTGTATCAGTTGTTCCAGGTTGTTCCTAGTGCGAATATTCGAAAGCTGAACGCTGAGGCCTTAGGCCCTCTTAGGCTCTCTTAGGCCTGAGTACTATTAGGCATCAATGGTGTTATGATAGTCACAGAGTTTCTTGAGGTCCACATCACTCTGCAAATTGACCTAACTGATACTAGCAGAGGCGTATTGCAGTGAACGGGGAATCTTTTTCACGTCTCTGGCTGTCAAAAAAAAAGAGACTTGCTATGCGAAACGCCTGCTAAACGAGATTACGAGTCCAAAATAAGCGCCAAAGTGTCATGACACAAAATCAAAATCTAGTCTTATCTACGCTGACTAAAGTTTATGTGGGCATGCCCAATATCAGCAACCCCAGGGTGCTGAAGTGAAAAATAATGCAAGCAAGGGCAAGGCGATGATGCACACTATGTAGTATTCTGATGCTAGGTGCTCAAAGCTCCTGCTTGTGGATTCTCTAAGTACTATTTATCTCACACCATTGCCTTTCAAACACTGTCTCATGACATTGAACATTAGGGAGAGCTGTATATAATAATACCTGAGCTATTCAGGGATTGCGGCACGAGCAGTGCTAGTAATTGATATCATACATACAAGTATACAAGGAAGCAGCAACGATTCGGAATGCGATATAGCAGGAGATAGTATGTCAAGTTCATGAGTCAACCAAAGAGAAGGGCTTTGTAGTGCTTGATAAGTTTCGATGCGTCCGTTGCCTCCTACATGATTAAATTGAATTTTACCGATAAAGAAAGAGACGCATATACCCACGATTTCCTTTTGTCGACTCCGATCCACTTCACGGCGAGCATTCTCCAGAAACGAGCGCAGGGCCTTTTCCCGCTTGGATGGGTTTATCCTGACTGAGGTTGTGATAGAAGTCAAGACATGGACGTCGACGTAGGTGGGGTATTCTCGGCGACTCACTCATTCCACTAGCATCGTCGATCACTTGGGCACGGCGTACGAATAAATCGTCCACGACTGAAGGATAGAGGTCGTATAAGGATGCAAGTGAGGTCTGTAGTTAGAGCATGAGAGTAATTGGGTGAAGGAATACAATGCAGTGACAGAGGTACCTCTCGATTTTTCCACAGCGGATCGACTTCGTGCGAATACTTTTTGAACGGAATCTCGTCCTTCTTTAGTTCTAGAAGCATGACTCTCAGATCTTCTCTGCATCAAGCGAGATTCAGTATGTCATATTGTGTTACTATAAAGCGAAAACGCACAGATAGCCAAGTCCTTCTTGACTCGTTTCCTTAGCTTGCTTGCGAGCGGAATCATAAGTGGCTTTCTTTTGATTATCGAATGCAGTCGACAGTAGGGTCGTTTTCTTTGCTTGACGCTCTGCGTAGATGAGGCAGTCTGATCACTAGTGTATTTATGCCTCACGTACTTTGTAGTTCCTGCATGAATTTCCCGAGTTCTAGACTGGATATAAATTGAACCAGCGTAAGATTGTCTCGCGAGAGTTGTACGAAAGAGTCTGAAAGCGACATTCACCCGTCGTCGCTCTCATATTCTACATCTTCTCTTTCCCGCGTAACGGTATCAGGGCCTTCCCATCGAGTGTCCTCTGAATTGCTCTCGTTGGCAAATGAAACAGGAGCAGAGGTTCGAGTTGGTCTTTTCGCGCTTGAAGTTTGAGCAGTATTGCTTTCTGAGGGAGACATTCATACATATATCATGGCTATATGCGACGTATGAAAGATAGCATCCTTACTCGGAGTTTTTACCATTGCCAGATATATGGAATGAAATGAAATGAAGTTCTGAGAAGAGCGCGACGCGTTTGTTTGTTCCAGAAGTCGATCTCAAACAGCAACTAATAAGCGCGCGCTAGGATCTTCTCTCTACCTCATACCCCAATGGACTTGTGAGCCTTGTTTAATATTGACATACATATATAACTCTTCAACTATTTGTGATAGTCTAGAGCTCAACATACGCCAGAGAATTCTGTCTGACATTGCTTTGAATGTTGGCGAAGCTCCTGAAGACCTCCAGCATGCCAATACACTCATTGCTTCCAATGTCCGGACGAGGGCTGATGCAGGAGGAAGGTCGGAAACATTACTTGATAAAGAGAATCCTCTGCCGAGAGCGTTCATGGTGCGTATTGTTTCCCGAACTTGTTCAACTTGTATACTGGAATTTCGACATAGCCTGCTTCCAGGGTTCTCTGTAACATTGCATTCGGAGAACTCATTGTCAACTTTACGGACACTCACATATCCGAAAACGTAGATACCCTTTTGCCAGTTCTCATCGACGTTTTACGCGACATACCCCACATCGACTTCGACAAATGTTTATCATGGGAAGGTACTATTCGACTCCCCGTATACCTCATATCCTGTGCTAACGATACAAACAGAATGGGCACTTCCTGATCAGCTTGTTTACTCGACCATATCTGCTCTCCTGCGTATCTCGAGCTCACATCCCATTTACAGCGCACCAGCAACGGAAGCAATTTGCGCGTTCATATCCGATGTGGTAGAAAATATCAAGGCGGGAGATTGTGAGATATCATTACTATGATGTTTTGCAAATGCTTATCCCTCAGTGTAGCACTGGATGTCCTCACCCAACTTACACCGGCCCTTCATGGAATGTACAGAGCCATTAGCTCCAGGTGTTTCACTTGGAGTCTTTCTCAGTGGCAGATGCTCGCTGATCAACTTAAATACATGTGCTCTCCTGACATGGTGGACCATCTCAATCACCTTATCACTGACCTCGTTGAATCCGACGATTCCGACGAGGGTACTCTTCAATTTGTTCAAACTTTCCTTGCCCGATATATCTCCCGTGGACGTCCACTCAGCGGATATTTCATCGTTTGTTGTGTAATTGAAACGCTGTGGACAGTGCTGGCACAGGTTTTGGCACCACCTCCCGCTGATATCGTTCCAGGAGTTTCAGAAGCTGCTGCTGCAAATAAAGCCTGGAACTCATTGATGCGACAGGCTGCCATGGAGCTCGAGATCGCCGACCAGAAGACCGTTTCTGCCCTGAATAACGTCACTGACTATGCCATGCAATGCTTCACCGACCTTCTCGTCCAGATTGAGGAAATGGAACAGGAGCCTTCTTTAGATACGTATGCTTGGGAGACTATGTCAGAAAGTCTAGTGAGATTTGATCTGGCTTTATATCTACATCAGCCATTTACATTGTCCCTAGAAATTGGCCTCTGTATGTTCAATTGTACTTCGCAAATTCGATGACAAATTGCTTCAACGGCTGCTGCTTTTGCTCAGTGACGAAGCTCCGATCTCCGATAATCTTGTTCAGGAGGCTGCTCTCAAAGCCACCACTGTTCTCGTTCAAAAGTAAGCTTTGATATATATGTTCCGAGAAATGCTTAAATTTTCTTCAGTTTTCCTAGCAAAGCTTCGCAATTGGCAGCTCATCTTAGACGGTTTGTCACCTCGCCTATCCCCATTTTCGAGTTCGAATTCGCGTCGGAATCTCGAGCACCTCCACCTTTAGCTGCCGCCGCCAAATGTCTTGCGTTATGCATCAGAGTAGTCATTCTCCTCCAAAGTGCACACTCTTTTTCTGACAGAACTCCTGCAGCTCGCTCCTGGCGATGATCTCATAATGTCAAACATGTACTCGCTACTCAATTATATCGCCGCAACCAGCAAAGAGATATACGAAAGCTCCAGTAATTCACAGTTAATGAACAATCCATTGTATCAGGGTCTCGATCGTCATTCAGTGGTGAACGTGGAGACCGGCTTACGAGGGCTCTCAGACGACCAAAAAAGATTAGTCGGTATCAGCACGATTTCTGTGGTGACTAGGCTGGCTTTGGAGTTTCGCATGGAAGAGGTCGTGTCTCTCCTTTGTTGGTGTTGCAAAGATCTGACGCGCTACTTAGGTGACCCGCTTGACTGTCTCAATGTTGCTTCAACGCTTGCGATCTGCTGAACCAACCGTGGAAGCGGCCATTGCCTACAACCTTGTTGACCTTGCTTTATCCGCACCCGACAGTTCCTTCATTGATATAATCAGAGCATTCTCCATGATCAACCGCTCAGCCAACCCTGACGACCCAAGATTCTCAAACAACATGGTATGAGCTGTGTCTCATGTCATGTAGTATTTCACTGACTCGCGGACTAGGTTCTTGCTGCCCAAACTCGTTTGGCACAAGAACTGCATCGCCGCCCTGAGCTTTATGAAATATATCTCGTCGAGCTTCTTACGCTCTTTGCTGACAAGGGCGTCGCTATCCAGAACGTGAAGACCGAAAATCATCACATCAAGGTCTGCACTTATTTTTACCTTACTAACCGAAGACTGAGAGACTTCCGACTAAGATAGATGATATGATCGAGCAGCTAGCTTCTCTCCTACTCCCCATCGATGCCTTGTTGTCACATGAAAATTTTACCCCTCAAATCGACGAGTCGCCAACTTTGGTTTCCCTGTTCCGTAACATGTGGTTTCTCTGCATACTATTTCACTTTACGACAGATGATAAAGAGGCCACTGCTATGGACTGGCAGAAACCTGCTTTGGCACGTATCGCGACGAAAACACCCGCGATGGTCATGGAGGAATCTCATGATTCCGTTGCTAGTGACGTGGAGTATAACTCTGTCATTCGACAAGACTATGCGCATACGGTGATCCTCTTTGCTACCGGTCGAAGTATTCTTAGCTCATTTGATTAAACAGGTCATATCTAAACATCGTTCGTGTTTGACCAAGCACATTTCGCTTCGTAGTAGCGACATTCGTGGATTGTCTTCAGGTCAAATCATCTTCCTGCTGACTATGCATGACATGGAGAGCATGCGCTCAGCCGCGGGCCTCACCTCTTCTCTCGTTTCTTACTTCATCAACGAAAGCTTAAACAGACATCCTGCTTTGAGTGCTTGTATGGATTCTATCGCTGAAAAGGTGTGGCGTTACTACAGTTACATCTTTGGCCGTTCTTGAACTGCTATCCAGGTCATTCGGGGTTGTATCATTGACCTCAACACCGAGGCAGCCCAACAAGCATTACCGGAAAGACTTTCGGCCGAACTCCGAACGTTGCTCATCTGCGGCACCCATCGTATGGCGAAAGCAAGAGATGTAGCGTCAAAATTCTTAAATCGGCTAATTTCATCTTTCCCATCGCTAATGTGCGATCCCCCCCTGGTATTCGCTATCTTGGAGGTTTTGACATTGCTCCGGCGGGCTTGTGACAATGAGTTTACTGACGAGGTATGTCTCGTTGCTTTTTTCGTCTAGTTCTATTAAGCGTGCTTTTCATAGTTCAACCCTGTTTACGAGTTCGAATCTAGGCGCACTGAAATCAAGCTTCATCTACCGGACAGTTACCAAGTTCGAAACGAAATACTTGTTCAACTTCAACGGAATGCCAATACATGGTTTGAACTTGCTCTTGGTCGTGCTCCACTCGAACTTCAGTCAACCTTACAGGTGGGATCTGACATACTCTGGTCTGTTAATATTCCTATATCATACACTAGAAATATCTCGCAGTCGGTCAAATTTCCTCCGATGCTTCTGAACTTGGTGCATCTATCGCTGAGAAATTTGGTAAAGCCATAGGTCCCGTGCAACGTCAACTCAGTAAACTCTAGTTATTGCTTTATATACTGCTACTGATGGCGTACCTATATAGCGTCTTTGGCCAAATTGTCAAGTTGGAGTTCGGATAAAGCCAAAGTGCTTGCCAGTCAAATCGCCAGCAAGGGATACTTTGCGGGAGAGGCGGCTGGTCTCAGACTCGCAAGCCGTGTAGGTGGGTGTCTCCTTTTGATTGGACTTGCCATGATCTCATTTTGTTAAAGCCTCCGACCGACTTGAGCAGCTTCCCCCCCAAGATGCCCCTTCAGGAGAACTCATGGCACTGAAGAAAAAGCTAGCAAAGTCCATGAAGGAAATACGCAGCAAAACCAGTACTCTAACTGTTCAGGACCTGAAACGACTTCTATTTCGGTGCGCTGCTACTTTAATATCGTTGAATAAGGTAAAAAGTTGTCGCACTTCGCAATGCTGAAGTCTCATCAAAGTCTAGAGTGATCACGAGCTATTGCACTATCTAGTATCCATTCCTTTCGAAGTGTCTACCCCTTCTTCAATTTCAGCTGCCATTGAAGTTTGGACGTGGGTAATCGCTGAGAAACCGAGTATCGAAGTTGCTCTTATGAGCGAACTTCTCTCAGCCTGGACTGACACCATCAAAAACGAAAAAGGTATTTTTTCGACCAATCTGAAGTCAGTCAATAATCCTCCATTCGGAATATCGCTCTGGACTAACATACTCCATTGTGTAGCTATGACGACCCATTCTATCATCCTATCAGTTATAGTCCTACTGATAAAGACACCATTGACCTCGGTACTGCTAATGCTCGTAGACTCTTAACACCTCATGCATTGGTTCTGCAAATGCTTCTTAGTCGTCTCCAAGCTGCCAGATATCGTAGACCGGGTGTCATGTTCTTGCTTCAACATCTGGTACTACGATCAGCTAGAGCACACCAGTCATTCAGGTAAATTCTATCCTTACTATTATCATCTGCAGCCGGGATTGATGGATGCGCTAGTACCCATGCTTTGGCTCGCGAAGCCCGATTTTCATTCTTGATGTTTGGATTCGAAACTCTAAGGAGCTCGCATCTTGATTCGTTTTGCGAGCATACCATAAGAGAAAGCCTTTATGCCATAGCGTACGCCTGGTTCGCTGTTCGGCCCCAGTATGTGATAAATTACTATTCTTCCTGGGCAAGCATGTCTGAATATGAATATAGATGGTCGTACGGTGCCAATCGAGTTCAAATCGATGCGGATGTCAAAGTGCTCTCCGAATTCCTGTCGTATTTGCAAGCAGATTCAATCCGTGATACACTCACTGTTTCAAGTCTGGCGCCATCGCAATTCGCGCCCCGAGCTTCTTGTAAACCATTATCTGCGTCTTCGGGATTATGTTCTGATATTTGCATTCGCAGTTTACGCATCCCGTGTTCGGGACGTCAACCAGCCCCTTCGTTTGTTAGTCGAGAACGAAATTTTCCGTCTCAATGTGTGGGCCAACCCAATGAATGAGCCTAAACGTGGCACAGATCATATTGGGATGACATTGGTCGAGGTGAGATATCTGCAAACACATATGATTATAACAAGATCGAATCCACACAACAGAGCTCGTGGCCTGCCTTGATAAGGACTCTCTGGCAGATTAACCCAGCCATTGCTGTTTACTTAACGGAACGCTTCAAGTTGAACGTCATCCGCAGTGAGGTGACCAAACTCGTGCGGTCTTCTACAGCCGATGTGTTAGATGTTCCCGAAGCTTTGAACTTCCTGCTCGGGGAAGGGGTAGAGTTGGCAGCAGTTCGTCGTGATTTAAAGGCTGGTTCTATTGCCCTTTCCCCGAGACGCCCACCTAATTTAGTGATTCATCTAGTTGCTTCCTTTGTGGGCACCTGTGCCACCAGTGACCGCCAACACATTTTTTGAACCACGCTACAAGAGCGATCCTCTCCTCCTGCAATATGCGCATCGAGTATTGGAGCAACACCCTGTGGAGCTAACATTCTTCTTCGTTCCACAGGTAGTCCAGGCTCTCAGATATGATGAACTCGGTTGGTGGATTGCATTTATTGTACACATTCTTTTAACATTCCAATACCGCAGGTTATGTCTCTCGATTCATCTTTGAAACAGCAAAAATTTCGCAGCTCTTCTGTCATCAGATCATCTGGAACATGAAAGCCAACTGTTATAAAGATGATCTAGCTGAAGTTGTGAGTGGTTCACTTTCGTTGCAGTGAAAATGAGTTCTGAATGTCGGCTGTTACAGGAAGATCCAATGAAACCCATGCTGGACCTTATAACAACTCGGGTGGTCAACTCTCTCTCGGGAGAGGCACGAGCTTTTTACGATCGTGAATTTGGTTTTTTCAACGAGGTGACATCAATCTCAGGGAAGCTAAAACCATTCATTAAGAAGACGAAGCCCGAGAAGAAAGTAAGGATTTCTCTTTGGGATTTTGAGCTCTATTAAACTTTACGTAATATGAAAGGCCAAGATCGACGAGGAGATGGCAAAGATTGTGGTGGACGTTGGAGTATACCTTCCCAGTAATCCTGATGGCGTCGTAGTGGATATAGACAAGAAATCAGGCAGACCTCTTCAGAGTCACGCGAAGGTTAGTAGAGAGTTGCATAGATGAGAATCATTTTGATTGACTGTGTCTTTGTCCTAGGCCCCCTTCATGGCAACTTTCAAGGTTCGCAAGGAGCGCGTATCTATTGAGAAGGATCCTGAATCTCTGGGCGATAATGGAATCGAGCGTCATGTCGAATTTGATGTCTGGCAACAGGCAATCTTCAAAGTCGGAGATGACTGCCGTCAGGATGTTCTGGCGCTACAGATTATCGCGATGTTCAAAAACATCTTTACCTCAGTCGGGTTGACACTTTACCTTTATCCGTATCGTGTAACGGCCACCGCTCCGGGTGTAAGTGTACAGCTTTCCTGGGAAGTTTCTTGCTTTGACTCGTGGCCTTTCAGTGTGGTGTTATAGATGTCGTGCCAAACGCCACTTCTAGGGACGAGATGGGGCGTGCTAAAGTCAACGATTTGCTGGACTTTTTTGTGGCTAAATATGGTGGTCAAGATACTATTCCCTTCCAGCGCGCGCGGTTAAATTTCATTCAGTCTATGGCTGCCTACTCCGTAGCGTGTTACATTTTGCAAATCAAGGATCGCCACAATGGAAACATCATGATAGACGGCGAAGGTCATATCGTCCACATTGGTTTGTCTGTTTCTGAATTTATATATATCGAAAATCACGATCTTTTCTTCTAGACTTCGGCTTCCTGTTCGACATTGGCCCAGGTGTAAGTCGTGTTTCTCGATCATCTGCAAGTTGTGATACCGATTGTTATTTGATAGGGCGTCAAATTCGAGCCGTCATCTTTCAAGCTCAACCACGAAATGATTGTGTTGATGGGTGGACGGTATTCACAGGGATATCAGCTTTTCCAGCATCTGACCGTTAAAGCATTCCTCGCCATTCGCCCGTATGCTGACCAACTAGTCGATACTGTGCAGCTGATGCTAGGCACTGGCCTTCCCTCCTTCAAAGGAGAAGGCACAATCAAGCGTTTGAGGGACCGTTACGCGTTAGGGCTAAATGAGCGACTGGCAGCAGAGTATATGATGGGTGTGATTAAGAATGCGCACGAGAATGTGAGGAGTACGGTTTATGACGAATTTCAAAGGGTGCGTCCTCGGTTCTCTTTGATTGTGCAGAGGGCGATCTTGATCATGTTTTCTTTACCCTCCATCTTAGCTGCAAAATGGTGAGTTGTATCCTATCCATACCAGTGCTTCCAATACTAAATCGATCCGCTTCTAGGAATTCCGTACAAGTAATATAAGTCCCTATCCATGATCATGTATAAGTCTTCATAGATACAAGTATTAAGCATCTCATTCCCCGGATTAGATAGCGCGTGTCGATGGACGTGTTTGTGTTGTAACTTCGACGTAATTGAACACGTGCAGAACGCCCAGGCAAGTCACGAAATAGTCACACGGCTTCCGCAGGGTTAGACGCTCAAAACGTCACCCTCTTAACCTGTCCTTAATCCCTCCGCCAAGCTGTAGAGCTGAGGCTCACCCATTCAGCACTTTCCAATGTCTTCATCACGCCAATCTAATTCGCGATCCTTTCAAGCCTCTCAATCGTTTTTTCCATCCGGGTCAAGTTCGAAACCCTTCCTGAATATGTTGAATCCAATGAGTAGAGGAGCGTACCAAGGCTACACTCAGGCGAATCAGTCTTTGCTAGAAGAGGAGGAGGAGGAAAGGATACAGTTAGAGAGCGACGCGGAAGGAGACGTAGAAGCAGGGGCGCCGTTGGCAAATTTGTCCAAATCGCAGAGCAAGAGGCGAATATCATGGGATACACATCCAAACGTTCGGGGGAGAACCGGGATGATGACTCTTCAGACGGAGAAGTACCACAGAGCTTCATGATTGAGGCAACGTCGAAGAGACCGAGAAAGCCGCCGACATCGTCTTTGAAAGGTAAAGAACCTGCCCGAAGACGTCAACAACCTCTACATTCAGCTCCAAGTGGGAGAAAGATACCACCTTTGCTACCTACCCATACAGTCTCAATACCTCTAAGGCCTTCAGAGGTCGATGAAGGGCTCACTCCTCCGGGTGACACATTCAGCGAAGCTTCCGAACGTGAACGTCCAAAGCAGATGCGCGGGCTGGACGCTTATGAACGTGCATTATGGAATTGGGTGAATGTGTACAACTTAGATGCGTTCCTGCAAGAAGTGTATCTCTACTACGAAGGGAAAGGAATATATAGTATAGCTTTATCTAGAGGACTTAATCTTTTGTGAGTCTCATACCTCCGTTTCTGTGTGGTGTGATACTAATTCTTTGCAGGACAGTCGGCTTCGTCATTAGCTTCTCCACGTTTCTTATTGGTTGCATAGATTATTCGAGAATTCATCCAGACAAGCAGATGAGATTATCAGAAGCAATAGTGGATCGTTGCGTTTCGAAGTAAGTCATCCATATCCTTTGCTGTGGGCCTCTGCCTTAATCTGTCTTAGATTCTCTGGATTCCCCCTGCTATTCTTCATCCTCTTTACTGTCTTCTATGTCTGGCAGGTTGCCACCTTTGTCCTAGGCATTATGCGTCTCGTCGACATGTACAACTTCTATACCCATCTTCTCAAGATTCCAGACGTAAGGCCTAGTATCAGTTTCCCTGAATACTGTACAAACTTATTTCGTTCTCAGGCAGACATCCAGACAATATCCTGGTCCGAAATCGTCCGTCGGATAGGTATGATTCGTGAAGAGAATCCGCTTACCGCCATCTCTTCCAATCGTGTTAGCAGTAATGATACGACCACTGCCAAGCTTGACGCGCACGATATTGCGAACAGAATCATGCGACAAGAAAACTACCTCATCGCGTTGTTCAACAAAGACCTACTAGATCTGCGAGTGCCTCTGCCAACGGTGCTCAAGAGATTTATTTCTCAAGATCAAAGCAAGAGCAGAGGCAAGATGCTCACTCAAGCGTTGGAGTGGAATCTTCGGTTCTGTCTTATGGAGTATCTATTTGACAAACATGGAAGGGTGCGAAAACTTTTCTTGAAATCGAAGAATCGCGCGGCCCTTATCGAGGGGTTAGTCGCGATCATGCACAAGTTCAGACATATATCTTACATTTTGGCAGACTACGACGACGATTCGTTTTCATGGGCATCTTGAACGCGATATTTGCCCCCTTTATCGTCCTGTATCTTCTTATGTATTCATTCTTCCGATATTTTGAAGTAAGCACCGTAGTCTTCGAATGTTTTGATGACTGATTGAACACAACAGGAATACCACAAAGACCCTTCTACGATTGGTGGCCGACGGTACACGTCATACGCTCAGTGGAAATTCCGAGAGTTCAATGAACTTCCGCACTTGTTCATTCGTCGACTAGATGAGAGCTACCCATTGGCGAACATCTACATTGGACAGTTCCCAAACGAAAAGATGACTATAATTATGCGGTATGTGTGTTTACTCGTTACGCATGCCTCTCTACGACTAACTTCGCGATTGACTGCAGATTTGTAGCTTTCATCGCAGGATCCTTTGCCGCTGTTCTCTTTCTCGCCACAGTGTTAGACCCCGACGTTTTTGTGCATCTCGAAATAACGCCTCATCGCACTGTGGTCTTCTACCTTGCCTTGTTTGGATCTGTGCTCGCGGTCGCAAGGGGTATGATCCCAGAAGACAACCGGGTGTTCGATCCAGAGATGCTTATGACGGAGGTGATCAACTACACTCACTACATGCCAGATGAGTGGAAGGCACAGTTGCATAGTAAGAAGGTATCCGGATCCATCTAGATGTTTTCAGCTCATGGCTGATTCAATATGCACCTAGGTCCATCAAGACTTCGGAGAACTTTTCGCGATGAAGATCATGATCTTCGTTGAAGAGGTCCTCTCTGTAGTACTCACACCTTTCGTTTTATGGTTTTCCTTACCCAACTGTGCACCTGCCATCATCGATTTTTTCCGTGAATTTTCTGTGCATGTCGATGGACGTGGTTATGTTTGTAGCTTTGCTGAATTCAACTTTGAACGACATGGCAATGTCAAGGTACGGATTTGGTCTTCGCTGGTCGTTGGTTGTAATGTTCTTTGACTGACACTGTCTTCTTTCCCAGTTTGGTGCCCCGGGCCAGATCGAGGATCAACGAATGCTATCTAACGAAGGGAAGATGGAGAAGAGTTTCCTCAATTTCAAGGTCCAAGCCTAATCCATCTGAAAGTTCTGAATCCTGACCTCCCGTCTTGTAGGCTGCCAATCCCGAATGGACACCAGACCCTTCAGGTTCCCTCTACCTCAGCCGCATACACGATTTCACTGCTGCACATCCTACGGTCAACTCACTGCTCCGCCGACGACAGATGGAAAGCTCCGGAATATCACCGTTTACTGCACACCCTGTGAATCCCCCCTCTCCGATACCTGCACGGAAGACTGAAGTTTCCCTGGCGGACAGAGCACAAGAATACGACCGCGCTCTTCTCCAAAGCCAGCATGCTGCACGAAGACGAGGGGTAGGTGGTGGTAGCATCATGGGAATGTCGGTATTGAACCCGCGTGCGGGACCTTCTGCGTCATCGATATTTGGGCCCAGTGTGATGGCGGGTGCGCAGACTGCTGTCCTGGGTGACTCACAAGGGAGTGTGATGCCAGAACCAGCACCAACAAGACCGTCAATCGACGCGGAAGTAGAAGAGTCGCGGATTGGAGCTATACCTGATGAGGAGGTTGGTCCGGATGGAGAGGTTGGAAGTAGATTGGGTGGATCATATGTCGACGGCGCAAGACGGCCTTCGAGGCCTGTGTACGAGGAAGAGGATGAAGATAGCCTCGAGGATGGAGGTGTGTTGGGGCTCCTGGCGCAGATCTATGGGAGGAGGGATGGACCGAAGCTGGGATGAGACGTATGTAGCTCATTCACTTCGGCTGTTTGTGTCGTCTACGTACAACGTTGTAAGTGCTTGCTGGTTGGTCTGCAAGGTGTGTTTGGAAAGGATCAGGGCCGGGAGTGTAACGATCTTTAGGTTGATGTTGTAAACAGAGATCTAAACCTGACTATAGGGATTATCCAGGGATTATCATTCTAAGGAGATCAAACCGTAGCCCGGCATGTGGCGTGACATAATAGGAACTAATAGTAGCCTCCAAATTTGTTATCCCTTTACTTTGCATACTGCAGTTTTTCACTTTTGGAATTTATCTTGCTCTGTTCCTCTCTGTATATACACCCGTTCCCAGAATCTGATCGAGCGTTATCTACGCTCACCTCTGCACCTGTTATCTTGGAGTCAGCATGCCCCGCAAAGAGAACCCAGGCCCCCTCTCCGCTCAACAACAACAAGACCTGGTTTCAGAGGGCATCGATAACTTTGAGCTCCCGAAGAGCTTAGTTACGAAGATCGCAAAAAGTGCTGTGAGTACTGACGCGTCGACGCGTTGGTGCTAATCGTGTTACACTACATGGAATTTTGGGTGATTGGGATGTCGGATGTACTGGCCACTGGAGCACGTAGAACCTATTCTCAACTTGCGGATATCAACGTTCCTCTATCTTCTGCCCGCCTGGAATCTTGTCATACTCATAGACTGACTCTGGTCATCTTGAAATCTCCAGGTTCCGGATAACACGAAACTACAAAAGGAAGCCATACTATCGTTGGTTAAGGGCTCAACGGTGTTTATCAATTATCTAGGTGTGTCCTCTTCTTTGAACGTAGGCTTAGCTCTTCTCAACTCTCTCTTCAGCTGCAACGCAAGTCTCTGTTTTCCTATGACCCCTCTACGTTCCAAACATCTCTGAAATGCACGTCTGAATTCTCCAGTGCACACGAGGTCGCTCAATCAAAACAACACAAGTCTATCTCGGCTTCGGATGTCCTCAAGGCACTAGAAATGATTGAGTTGGGGGATCTAGTGGAACCATTGAGCGCGGAGCTGCAGGGTATGTCGCGTCGACGTCTTTGCCATCGATACTGATGTCCTTTCATGTTCGCTTATCACAATTCGTCCATTCCGTGTATTCCAATAACACCTTACCGCCTTCGTCGAATATAAAACTCATCCCGGGTCTATCCTTCGTTATTTTCGAAAACCCGAACTCGCTTCGCCAAAATATTACATCCTACGTATACAGTATACCGCGACCAAGTCAAACCTGACAAGAGTGGTCGAGGCTCAACTGCTAGTGCCAGTGTGAACGGTGTCACACCCGCCTCTGCTTCCACTAACACCAAAACCAAAGGAAAAGAAAAAGCTTCCACCTCTGCTTCTGCCGTTGGCGCCGGCGTCGCTCCAATAGTTCCGACTATTGGCGGTACAGAAACCCTTCCTCCACCGTTCACCTCTGCGCCGCTTGTCCATCGTGGAGAACACGTTGGTAACGTTGTTGCTCCAGGGGACCATGATTCGATCTCTGCAGCGATCAACCCTAATGCAAAAGCTGCAGAGGAGGAGGATCATAGAATGGATGTTGATGAAGAACATCAGGATGTAGGCGCTATTGAACAAGGAGATGCCGAGATGGGTGATGTGGCGGATGAACACGGGGATCAAGCAGACGGTAGTGATCCTGGAGATGAAGTACAAGAGGAAGAAGAAGAGGAGGAAGAGGCACTACAGGATATGGTGGCAGTTGAAGAGGAAGAAATCCGTGAGGATGCGAAAGGTGTAGAACAGAGGGGGGCTGCTTCAGAGCATAAGAAATAGGCACTCAACACGGGCTCAACAAAGGGGTATCAGGATAGGTTGTAAGTAATATCATTTTCATCTTCCTCTCGGTACTATCTCTGAACTGTACTACAGAGGTCGAATCAGTCGACTTAAAAATATTATTTCCGTCATGAAGAGTGAATGCGTCGTTGGGGAAAGCACAAACTACATTGTACCGGGACCTTATTCTTGGTGCTTTCGACTATCTTCGCCCTCAAGGAAACATTATCCTTGAGCTAGACGTTAATAGCTTAAAAAAGGCATTAAATTCGTCTCTTGATGCCTCACGAGAACTAGGTCAAAGAAAGAGAATAATATTCTATCTCATGCTTGAGCTTAATTAGCATGCATTCGCATCTGTGCATCCTTTGTCCTGCTCTCGGGTACTTCAACTACTTAGTGACTACCGAGACGCTGCTTTTTGCCAACCCAACGCACTGCTGTGCTGATCCTTTGTTCCTTTCTGAAGTTATCGACAAAAGATGTTTTGGTGTAACTGTAGTTCGACTGATAGCTCACCGATTTTACTTGTTTGTGCTCGATCCTCCTCTTTATCGAACGTTTGCCTACGTTTGCTTTGCAGGTTGAGGGAAGGGGTTTCCTCGATGTTGAGGCTCGCTGTGGTGATCATCTGGAACAAAAACCAGCTTCAAGGGAATACATAACTTGACCACGTTTCCTATACAGAATTTCTTAAATTCACCATTAAGTATACGTGCGAACTATGTAGTAGACCCGTGTTGTGACACAACGTAGGGTAGGTCGAATTTCCCATTCAAAAACATGACAAGAATACAATAGTTGTCGACGACGCCAGCAGGATTCGAACCTGCGCCCTCAAAGAGGAACAGATGAAGCGACACCACTTGTCCACAGTTCTAATCTGTCGCCGTAACCACTTGGCTATAGCGCCGATACACTTATGTGTATCTCAAAATAAATAAACAAGAGTAATTATAACACGTATGACAATTATTACCTTACAATGTACCATTTATGAACTCTTTTCGTCAACCTCTTTGAAGATACATACTGTATTTAATCGCACAGGGAATTTGACAAGGCGTAACTTGAAGGAGAACTTGGAGAAGGTCGGACATACGGGATAACCCAACCGAATAATGCATTTTCTATACCTATCCTTCTCTCTTCTAATCATCCTTGTTCACGCCTACCAACCCCACAACCGTCTTGGAGAACGTTCCTTTCCATACCAATACTCCACCGCAGAAATTAAAGCACTCATCTCCTCCTTGGACCCAATATCCTCTACCCAAAAGCACCTGGAACGAATACTAATTCCAAGAGTATCTGATACTACCAACAATGTTCTCGTGCGAGAGTATATCATCAAGATATTGCAGGATGGATTTAATGGTGGTAAAGGATGGCATGTCGAAGAGGACGAGTTTGAGGGAGATACACCGTTCGGGAAGAAGAAGTTTGTGAATATCGTGGCAACGAAGGATCCTAGGGCATCGAGGTGTGTCTTTGCGATGCATTAGTACAGTACTTCTTTACTTCTTTACTGTGTCTTTATAGGCGACTGATACTCGCTGCACACTTTGACTCCAAATACTTTGCACCGCCAAATGACCAGTTCGTTGGGGCGATAGATAGCGCGTTCCCATGTGCAGTGCTGTTGGATTTAGCTGAGAGCCTGGATGGAATGTTGGGTGAGCTTGTGTGCTTCCGGCTGAGTTGCCTCTTTACCTATTTGCTGGCTTTCCAATCAGAAAGTCGGATATCTCAATTAGAACATGACGACCTTCCTGTGGATGAAGATGAAGACCTTGCAGATACTACCCTACAGCTCGTATTCTTCGATGGAGAAGAAGCTTTTGTTAGCTGGACAGATACAGACTCAATATATGGTGCACGGTAAGTTTATAACCCACCTTCCGCGATGGAATAACTTGACTCGTTTCGGGTTCCCAAGGAAGCCCCAAACGTAGCAAAGACGCGTAGTTCTGTATTTTCTCCGTTCTAGAACTCTTTTACTCGTTATTCATTACTCATGTTCACATAGACACCTTGCAGAGACATGGGAATCCGCCTATGTCTCCTACAGCTCACCTTCGGTCGTGACCTCCATGTCTTCTCGTTCTTCGAATTCATCCTCAACTACGAATGACGACGCTATGCTAGGTTTTATTGGCCCTCGTCGTCTAATGCCACCTACTTCACTATCACTCCTTTCCACTATCGAACATCTAATCTTGCTCGATCTATTGGGTTCAAAACCTCCGAGTGAGGGTAGGCCGATGATCAAGAATTACTTCAAGGTCAGTGAGTGTCCGCTTATTCCTTTTTGCCTCCCCCATTTTATTGTACCTATCTATGTCCTCATACATCAAACCCCATCTTAAATGTAAAGCTAAACCTCACGCTCATCAGGACACCGCATGGCTATACTCCGCCCTCTCTTCAACCGAAGCCCGCATAGCCGCCCTCGACGCCTTCGTCGATCCATCATTGCCTGAATCTTCCGATGAATCGGCACACATGTCCAAAGACTCATTTGTCTCGTATTTCCACCCTCTGCCTGCGAAAGCGTCCCAGATGGTGAATATAGGGTACATGGGCGACGACCATGTACCATTCTTGAGGAGAGGCATCCCAGTGTTGCATTTGATTCCTGAACCGTTTCCGAGAGGTGAGTGGCCTGTGATTAGATTCGGGGAGAGTAGTCTTCTTTCTGTTTCCTCGCTCTTGATTCTTTCTTTATTCCCCTCGTTTGCCCTATTCACGTTATTTTTCCTCCGTTACTTCTCTCTTCGAGCCTCCTTTGTTTTCAGCGTCGTCTTACATCCCTTGTTCTAATATCTATACTACTAGTATGGCATACCCTAGCAGATGACGCCACCGCACTGGACAAAGCATCAATGCGGAGATGGGTCGTATTGATGAGGATCTTCGTTGGCGAGTATCTTGGATTACGACCGCCTCTTTCGACATCGAGAGAAGAGAGGTCACGAGAGGAAGTTACTGGGGAAGAAGACGAGGCGACGCTGGGATCGAGGGACGAGTTGGTGAGTCACGTCCATGTACTTACTTTTCTCTTCGTGATGACATGCTAATGAATCAGGACTAGTAGATGATAAATTATGAGTCTACATAGTAGACACAGAGAGTCGACATACGCAAGGGAATCAATAGAGATGTAATCGAATTCGCGGCATGTTTGAATGCAGGTTTCCCAAATGCGAAGCATACATAAAGAATTCATCTGAAGCTAGTATGGATGTTCCTTTGCATGTTAAGATAGCTACAAGTCTCTTACAAGGCGGGCAGCTCTGTAGCTCTTGCTGCTTGACGTAGTGTAAAATAACTTCCTGAGAATTATTCCTCGCATGGGACGAACGTTGGTCTCGAACCATTGTTAGGCCAATATCGCTACTAATATCACTGCATGCAAATTCTGATAAGTTCACGTGACTTACCTAGAACTTATCTGAAACAAGCGTGAAATTACAAGCATATAAGATGCCGAACTTATTCAATAACTGATCAATGACTTATCCAATACCGCAATTTACTTTGTCCTCAATAAAAGGTGCTAAGATATGCGAAACTTATATGATATATATGGACAAAAATTTCCGGATAAGGATTGAATAAGATCAGGGAACTTATGTAATACAGATAAGATAATAATTTGGACCTGAATTTGACAATAATCAGATAAGTGATAAGAAAGAAATGGAACTTGTGCAGAACTTATTTGATATAGATATGAGACAAATATGGAACAATAAGGGAACACCTTAGAAACTTATCTGATCATGTCACATGAAAGAACACAAGGTGCAGAAGGGTGCAGAAGGAATCCGCAAGCTTATTTGAACTGGTGTGGTGCAGAGCGGTGCAGGAGGGTGCAGAGGGGTGCAGATGGAATCCGAGAGCTTATTTGGACTTGTATGGTGCAGAGCGGTGCAGAAGGGTGCAGAAGGAATCCGCAAGCTTATTTGAACTGGTATAGTGCAGAGCGGTGCAGAGAGGTGCAGGAGGAACCCGCAAGCTTATTTGGACTTGTATGGTTCAGAGGGGTGCAGAAGGGTGCAGAAGGAATCTGCAAGCTTATCTGGACCTGTATGGTGCAGAGCGGTGCAGAGAGGTGCAGAAGGGTGCAGAAGGAATCCGCAAGCTTATTTGAACTTGTATAGTGCAGAGCGGTGCAGAGAGGTGCAGAAGGGTGCAGAAGGAATCCGCAAGCTTATTTGGACTTGTATGGTGCAGAGCGGTGCAGAGAGGTGCAGAAGGGTGCGGAAGGAATCCGCAAGCTTATTTGAACTGGTATGGTGCAGAGCGGTGCAGGAGGGTGCAGAGGGGTGCAGAAGGAATCCGAGAGCTTATTTGGACTTGTATGGTGCAGAGCGGTGCAGAAGGGTGCAGAAGGAATCCGCAAGCTTATTTGGACTTGTATGGTGCAGAGCGGTGCAGAGAGGTGCAGAAGGGTGCAGAAGGAACCCGCAAGCTTATTTGAACTGGTATGGTGCAGAGCGGTGCAGGAGGGTGCAGAGGGGTGCAGAAGGAATCCCAGAGCTTATTTGGACTTGTATGGTGCAGAGCAGTGCAGAAGGGTGCAGAAGGAATTCAAGAGGTTATTTGGACCTGTATGGTGCAGAGCAGTGCAGAAGGGTGCACAGAAAATCTGTCAACATATTTGTTGTGTATACCTGCCCAGATTCACGATGTTGAGTTTCCTTGATCTCATCACTACTTTTACATTACAGCACTTTGCATAATTCTTTGGGTTCTTGGATTTTGCATGATATATTTTCACTGAAAAATAATTCCAAAAATAGCTTTTAAAATCCCGCTGGCCCCGGCGGTCCTCAAGGAGAAACCTCTCCAGCCTGGGCCCAAAAATGCATTTGACAAATAAGCGGCGATAAATACGGTACCAAATCCATACAACCAAACCTTTTCGCAAAGCACTATGTGAGACAATTTTGCTACTGCTCTAATCTACAGGTCATGTCACTGATCTGAATGTTCCTCACCTCTTGATTCTGCTCAGCATTCATTGATTGAACAAGCTCGCTTAGGATACTATGCAGAAAAAACGCACCGTCCTATTTTATGGGAAGTTTCTACAGGGAGCTATGTATGTATATCACTGGGGACTTGAGATCAAAGGTCAAATATCATTCGACGATGGAGTGTGTCTCGTTTATTGCGCATATTTATGAACATCAAGTGATAAATACATTATACAACCATCCTACTCAACAATACGAGCTGAAGTACTTCTCCAATTCCCAAACTTCGAAGACACCTTTCACTGAAGTTTCACAAATTTCAAAACCGTTGCCAGTGACCAGTGAACAGACAGCAATTGATCAAAGTCTGCCTCAGTCTGAGGTTTCTGTCCCAGATTAATATTCTGAAGTGAACCACGAGCAGCACCTGTCGCGCTATCTACATCCACCACACCCATCCATGAAGCAGACAAAATTGGAATGAGAGATTGATGAACTAGGCCACGATCTATTTCATTCCATGACGGGGGGCGAGAAGACGATGCAGACAAGGAGATTGCAATACCGTTGTGTGCTTGGAAGTTGAGACCTGATACGGATGGCATGGTGCTAGCTTGATTCCTGTCACGATCTCTGTCTCTTTCACTTTCTCGTTCATCTAGGAGCCTCTGTCCAGATCCAGAAGAAGGTCGGCCACCGTTCATTCTTCTACCATCGCGTTGTTGTTCATGATATTCCAGAAGCGAATCATCTGGGATACGGTTAGAAGACAAGATGTTGAGTGTCCGACGGGGGTTGATTTAGAAGAGGTGAGGTTAATGACTCCCGTTGGAGGATGGCGATGAACGATTGTACGTGGATGCCTATTCCCATTCTCCCGTTCTCACTCTGAAAGCATCTCCCCTCTTCTCATTCGCGGGCTGAGTGACGGACCACGGACGACAGTAAGAGAAGTATTGTTACCTACGGAAGAAGGACCATGATGGTGGACGATGTGATGGTGATGCGGACGGACGTGATGGTGATGATGCGGAGCTTCTGATAGGATATGAATGTATATGGCAGGGAGCATTGAGAGCACCAGCTGATTGCGGTCGAGCATGCTGCTGTTCTTGCTGATCACAGTCGATGTTGGTGAACAATATGTTGGTCTCTCTCCCTGTCCCGGTCCCTATCACGTTCACGGTCTGTATCTTGACCCCTGATATCTCCGGCATCTGTGTGCTCCGTTCTCTCTAGTTCGCGCTCATGTTCTTCTGCTTCCCACCGATGACCAGTCCCAAACCCACCCATGCCCATACCTGGACCCATGCCTTGCCCATTGCCTTTGATACTATTTAGTCCGATGCCAACACTGGGTCCGATGGGTGATATTGATCTTTTCCATGGACTCAATGCAGGAGGGGGGCCTCCGCCTCCGATTCCAGGCCCAGGACGGCCAAAATGGGTTGAGGAAGGAACTTGTCTACCGTGAATGCCATGAACAGAAGAAGATGCGGAAGAAGGAACAACGACATCCCCGTCCCGCTGATGCTCAGATTCAGGGAAAGCGCCATTAGTGGTGGTAGAAGGATCAGAGAATAAGTGTTGAGATTGACCATTGTGAAAAGAAGATCGTCCGCCACTTCCTCCGCTTCCGCTCGGCACAGAATGGATTTCCCTCTCCCTATCTACTCCGCCACCAGCCGACCCCGACCTCAGCCCTGCAGTAGATCCCGACCGGGGACCCACCCCTCCCATAGATTTGCTGGGACCAAACGAAGGGAGAAGCGACTCACTACCACCTCCACTTCCCATCGGGGGCGGCGGAAGACCACCCACAACGAATGAAGGTTCGTGCACATGACCCATCCCCACAGTGGACTGGGAAGATAAAGAACCGGACAATGTCCCGGGGCCTGAGACCATCCGCCTGGCTAGTCCGGGGCCATGGTTTAAGGAGGACGATCCTCGACCTAATCGCTCTCGAATGGGATTAGACCCATTATGAGTTCCCGCTCCCGGCGTGTAGACATGTCCAAGACCAACAGGAGGACCGTGAACCCCTTGCTCGTAGATCGGCAGGTTAATATTCATATCCATGTTCAGGCCATTGTTGCCAACGCTCAGGTTCATTCCCATTCCCATTGTATTCGTCTGTGTGGAACCTGGCCGTGATCTCCTAGCTCCTGTCATACTAAGCAAGTTCTCTAGATCCCCCTGCGATTCCGATGAGGAAAGAGTTGAAAGCTCAGGATATGCTACAGTCAACCCGGGGGGTAGCGTGTGTGTTGATTCCATGCAAGATTCCATGAAAGTGGTTTTGTTGGATCTGCGACTTGCTGCTTTGGGTTTTGCGCAGCGATTTATGCCAATGATTGCGTATGATTCGATCAGAGTTGGCGAAGGGGAACGAGTAAACGATCTGGCAAAGGGTAGGCGCGGGCGGAAGGAAGTCGAAAAAGTGAGGAAAAGGTATTCCACGAGCTGCATTGCAGTTATCAATATTCAATGAAAAGATGAGAAGATGTAAACAATGGCATTCACCGGTTTGAGGCCTATCAACAGCCCTTCGTTCTCGTTCCAATTTTCGGCGTTTACGATGATTTTCTGCAAGCATATCTGTTTGTAGTTCGTCTCTTTGATGCTGTAAGGGGATGAGTAACAGTGAAAAATGTAGAAGAGGCATGTATACCTTCCGCGAACTCCAAGTCGCGTCTTCATCAATCTTCCTGCGTTTGGTTATGTTTGCTATTTCAAATGTACACTTGCGTTCCGATAGTTCTAAACGCTTGTTTTTACGTGACAAAAGCTCGCTTTGTATGAAGATTAGTTCCGGATGTTCACCTAAAGTATGTGGTATGTGAGATCTCAAGATTGAGACAGAAAGTAATTGCATACCACTTGCTACCAAGGATTCCTCCCAAGCTAATTCTTCCATCTTCTCTATATACAGTTTCTCTCTTAGCAAAGCAAACTTGAGCTCAACGATGGCAAGCATGTCAAGAGCTTCAACTCGATAGACAGGTTGAAGATCGAATTCCTCCTCTTCATCCTCAAGGTTTATTTCTGAACGATCGTCATCGTCAATATCCTTCTCCACATCCTCTTTATCCGAGACTTCTTTTTCTTCATTGTCTTTGTCTTCATCGTCTTTATCATCATCTTCCTGAACCTCGTCTACCTCCAACTCGTCCGCATCATCTTTCTCATCTTCACCCTCGCCCTCATCATCATCATCTTCCTTTTCGTCTTCGCCGTCAGAGACATCAAAGGGAGCATCGACATCCGGCTCGACGTCAACTTCGACATCAGGTTCAGGTTCCGCATCGGATTTATCTGAAGGGTCAGGGTCGGGGTCTAACATGACCTTGCTTACATCTGCGAAGGATGTGCCCTCTTCTGGCTCTAAGGTCTCGTCCTTGAAGGCGGCCACCTTGGTAAGTTTGGATTTGAAGTTCCGCGCGGTAGTATCATCAACGTTAACCTCAATATCCATAGCGTCCTCTTTGCTGGGAGGAATCTCGATATTGACGCCGAGTGTGCCCACTTCGTCGATGCCCGAAGCGGGAGGCCTGTCAGCCTCTAGAGGAACAGCAACCCTCATACCTCAAGTACGAGCACGCCCTCGACCTCGCCCTCGACCACCACGAGAAGCCTTTGCCTTCGAATTCGTCGCTGGAGCAGTAGTGGTTGATGGTGTAATCGGAGATTTATCAGATACAGTGGTGTTAGGAGGGAATGAAGAGGGTGGGGTATCGACAGAGTAACACCGTAATTTAGCAGTGAGGATGGACTTAGGCTGCTCGTCAGGTTCTATCTCATTTTCTTCGATGTCTGTATTGTCATCTTCGTCTGTCTGTTCCGCCCGAATGAGACGTGGGGACGGAGAATACAGACGTAGTCGGAGAGTCAGGGAATACGTGTTCGTGGTCGTGGTCGGAAGAAGCAGAGTGCTGTGGCGGTATGGGCAAAAGGGAAAACGGTAAAGGTGGAACCGGAGGCAGCGACGATGAGGAGGAGTTTGACACGAGCCTGGATAACGCGGCTCTACGTGACCTCGCAGTAACAGTTTTATCATCTTCATCTTTGTCTGACCCGTGGAAGTTGAAGTCTGCTTCATCATCATCGTCAGAGTCCTCTTCTTCATTGAAAGAATGTTGGTGAACAGGATGTTGTGGGTGTCGATTCCGCATCGACCGTGCAGGCGAATCACCGAGTTGTAATTCATCGTCCCAGTTCTCTGTAGTGGTAGTTTTCCTCGTAGTTGTCGTAGTCGTAGAGCTCTTCCTTCTCTCGTTCCCATCTTTCCTCTTCTTTCCCGTAGGAGACCCAGGCGACCCAAGGGAATAAGGAGACCGAGGAGGAGAATCAACCCGATCTTCGAAATCTTCATCCCAATTCTCCGTTGTTGTTGTTTTCTCTGTTTCCCGAAGTGAACCAGAGCCAGAGCTCACGAGACGTCGTGTGGGTGTCAATGGACCTGCTTCAGTCCATTCAATCCATGTCCTGGTTTGCTGCTGGTGCTGTTGGTTCGAGTAGCTATGCGCAGAATTCCTCGAATGTACAGGTGTAGGCGCAGGGGTTTCTAAATCCCAATCTTCCGCTTCCATTGTCACTTGTGAGCTCGTGGTTGACATGGAGATCCGGGGTTTCGATGGAGAAGACGGTGAAGATGGATTACGCGTACGACGAGGATAAGGTGTATGAGGTGAATGAGGTGGACTTTTGTTTTTATTCCTGTTCTTCTTGTTTCGACTACCGTCTGTATTCTGCGTATTCTGTTGACCTTGACCTTGAAACTCGAGATCATCATCCCAATTCTCAGCGGGCTCTACACAGAGTTCAGAGTCCATAAGGAGATCGACCTCGAACCGACGCGTCGATACAAGGAGAAGAGACGTACCCATATTAGACAGTGCCGTAGCCATTGGAAATAACTGTACAAATGTGTTTCTCTTTTATCACAGGCGCTTTTTCATCAGAGATCGTTCTTTTGGGGGGCGTATTTAGTGATACTGGCGTATGCTGGTGTATGTATGTGGCGGTCGGGGCTGGCCGTTCCTGGTGTATCAACGTACAAATGCGTATAGACCATATAAAGCGTGCAGAGCTTCTCCGTTTGGGCGTGTGGCCATGTATATGTGGACCAGGTAATAAACAGCCAGCTCTCTCGTCGAGGTTCGTGTGTCGCGTGAATTCGTTTGTAGATAACGCGTTAACAGGGTCTGCCAATTGCTGAGGAAAGAAGTCGGTGTTAAGATATGAGAGACATTGAATGTATGCAAGGGTTCGGAGTGCAAGGATCGAGATAAATGTGAACAAATAAATAAGTAAGGATCAAGTATACAAACAGATTACGACTTACAGTTCAAGCCAAAGCTGCTTGCATCATGCTCGAGCGCACCAAAAGCCGCTGGTACTCCCAGCTGCTTCCTTTGAGAATGAATTTTTCGAGGTGCCTGTGCCCACCTTGCCAAAAGAGAGGTTAGCAAGTAAATTGGTTCGAGAAAATACGTACAAGAAGGACAAAATGCTCCGGGTCGGTCTGTGCATTCCATCTCTAGTAGAAGATGCCCTAGCGTCTCTAGAAGCAGATGATTTACAGGTAAAGACAAAAGACTAGGACTTGACGAGCGGAATCTCACCCGCCCTTCGTCTATATTGGACTTTGATTGGTGGCATCCAGATACGATGCGCACTTGGACATTGTCGGTCCCACTCCCTTCTCCGTCGCATGAAGTTGTTGGTCATGCCCATCTTCCAAACGTTGCCCAAATCGATGAATGCATAAATCCACCCTCCTCCATCTGCATTCGAAACCCTTCTCAGTTGCCGCTTTCTATACAGTGCATGAAGCTCATGTGATGTCCTCCGACCAGTCATACGGATTTGCTGAGGATCGGCTCCGTAGATGTAACAGTGGATTAATGGAGTTCAGAGCTCAGGTTGATCCACAGATGGTGTGTGTATGCATGGGAAAATATTCTCAATGGATAAATATTCATCGAATCGGAATGATCTCTAAATCCAGTCTCAATCAAGAGTATATACATATCTAACAATCATGTAAGTGACTCGTTAGAAGGAGCAGCATGAACACTGACTTCGATGAAAAACTGGAGGTGCAATTACCTCAATGAATATCATTTCCTAAACCGTAAATGTCAAAGCTAGATATATTAGTCACAAAAAGGGAAATCGCCTGAAAAGGAAATCGCTGACAATCTTAGAAGGACGAAGATGATAGATAAAATCAGGTTGTATGCCATTACATGATAGATGAGTGCAGTAGAAGGAAAATGAGCTTATTGTGATCGAGTATACGACATCAGCATTGAAGAAAATATTTCCCTCTTCTATCTGCAACGAAAGTCCATACCCATGAGGTTTATATTATCGCGAGGATTCCAATACCAATGTATTTGAAAGTGTTTGTAGAATTCAGTGGAAGTGATAGCCGTAGAACGAATGTCCACATTATGCCTGAATTAAGACTGAATATCCACACGAGACCCACTATGGAAAAACTCACCAAGAAATAAGATGGTGGAATAACGCTGCGACTGCTATTTTTTCATGACAATGCGCGCAACAGATGACATCTGAGAAGATACCGAGGGGCTCCTGAATACGAATCCTGGAAGTGTCTTGGCCAAAGCGGTTGATTATGAAGAATATTTCTTCTCCAATCCTCTGATTGTACATTAGCTGTAGCAGATAGAAAAGCATGAGCAATGAATGAAATCTCCAGGATACTCCACTCACTGCTGCAGGCCATGTCATAAACAACCGTCCAGGGAAAGCGTCCTCTTGGGGACCTGAACATTCAATGACTGGGTGTGCCCGTGTCAGGTCACCAGTTGTCGCTGTAGATGGGTCCAAGCCGGTACCGATCAGGATTGTTTCCGCGAATCGTGAACTTTCCCTGTTGAAGAAAAGTGAACGCGATGACCAAGAGCCATCCTGTTCTGTATCGTAATGCTCGTTGAGAATTCGCATCCTGTGGTGGCCAACATCGTCGATTATGCGATTGTTGTGGCAACACGGATGATAGAACACCTGCGAGCTCGACATCAGCACGTTACATCTCGCACATCCGAAGATTGTGACGGCTAAATCAAGATCTGAGAGGGTCGCGCTAGGTCGAACATTTCGAAGAATTTGGAGGATTTCCTGGATTTTTGAGGGTCTCCATTCACCAGCGATCCGAGGAAGGTGTTCCATAAGTCTCGACCTCACGAATTCAGGCGTTAGTTCCTCCTCCGTCGCTGTGTCCCAAACCATTGCCTTGAAGACTGGATCAAAGAGAATTTCGCCCACTCCAGGATAAGGCTCTCGCAGATCCCGATGAGACAGGATATCGGTATACTCTTGCTTGAGGTAAAGGTAGCGTTTTCGACAGCTTTCATTGTGCTCTCGCTCTAAGCGTTTCTCTTTGTGCTCAGATAATAATCCGACTAGTTCAGATTCCATATGAGCCCAACCTTGAATGACGATGTGTTAGACCCACACGCTAGAGCTGAAACCAAGAAGTGGACATACCGCGGTCGGTCAATACTTTTGCTTGTTTGACAGAGTGAAGGTTTAGAAGATCATCGGATATGTTAAAATTAGATTCCCCAAGGAGGATCATGTCGGCGTCTCGGCGCAAGCCGATGAGTTCCAGGCGAGTGAGAATCCTGATGGAACAATAGTTGTAGATGAATACAAGTTAATAAGCAGCAGAACACTTACGCTTGCAGCCTCTGGTTGCGAATATCGTTCAATTGTCTAGATCGTTGCTCTAGATGATTCAGGTGCCATGCTTCACAAGAACGAGCATGCTAGAGGAGTTGCTTGTAAGTGGCACATATGTTCAGGAACAATAAAGCATTACATTATCTATTGCTCGACGTTCTCGAAATTTCTGCTTGATCCATGCACGACGATCTTCTTCGGATTTGAGAGCCACATACTGGGCTTTTAGTTTCAACGCTGCCTCGTAATCAATGATCGTAGTATCACGGTCCTTTACTGGAAATAGTGTAAATTGCGGAAGATCTTCGTGAAATTGAATTAGACTAACCTTTAATCTTCTCTTGAGACAAAATTTGAAGCGAAGTGAACGGATAGAGTTCGTGTGACAAAATATGCCAGTTGTATATGGTGAAGCTATCAAATATATGTCAGGCCAACATTGACGATTCGCAATGAGAACACGCCACACGTTTTTTCACAGTTTCGGCAACTTCTGAGTCGAAACCTCCACAAAACAGTATCGCATTTCCGTGGCTTGTTACAGACCTGCAGAGCTTTACTGGTTGGGATAATATCTAGAACAGGAAAGGAACGGTGCATACGTGGCAATAAACATCAAAGACCAAGTGAGCATACTGAGGCTCATTGAGATCCATTGGAAGAGGAGGCAGACCCCCTTCGACATTCTCACGAGCGATGCGCCAGATGTTATTCGACGATTTTGTCATTAGAAGTTTTCGAAGGTGTTTACAGGTGCGACCCAGATGGAGAAGATCGCGGGAATCGAGATAACAGAAGATCTTTGAATTCGGGCATTAGGATACGAAGCCGGAAGAGAGGTAGCACTGTATATGTACCTCGTATAAAAAAATCTTGACAGGAAGGTACTTCCACAACCTTTGTAGGAGGGCGAATACGCCGCGGACTCCCTTGAACCGTTTCGGTACTTTGCGTCGCCGAACTGCCTTTTTCTTGGGTCTTCGTTTGATAGTCTTGGCCCGTTTCTCGGGACGATCGCCACTCTCCTGAACTTCCGATTGCTCGTCGTGTCTTTTACGTTTCCCAGAAATGGTAGAGGTTTTACTAGCGTCGCCGGAGGTACCAATCAAATTCGGTACCATGGTGTGATTATAGCAGTGAGCGGTGAGCAGGCAGAGATATTTGAAAATATGGTGGTGGTGCAGATTTGATAGAACGTAGCTGGAATTAAAAGGCATTCGTGCACGTACGCAATTCCAAGAACAAACAAAGGACCTAAAGGCCTTTGTCCAATATCGCCCCACGTGGTTATCATAGGTGCCAGTGTATTACATCCGAAGCCAGTGTACCGCCACGAGTTCGCATTCGCAATCGTTAAGAGTAGAGGCGATTTAATTTGACTTTAAACCAACATCTACTTCGGAGAAACATAGTTTGATCGCGAACTTCGCTACTGCTAGAGCCCTATCGCCATCGTTCTCGCTGACCCAGTATTAAATCTATTCCCTTCTAGAATCAGGCTATGTCAAATATATACTCAAGACATCGAGCGAAAATCTCACGTTAAATTTAAAACTACCTTAAAGTAACATCCTTGCCCCGCAGCGCAGAACATTCTTTTCGACGATATGACAGATATTGAGTACCTGCAGTCCCAGTCACAACATCTTGGGATGACAGATCCGAAGGACCCTTGATTACACACATGAGGACCTTGTACAATCTCTACTTTGAAGCTTTTCAGATCCAAAGGAGATGAAGCACGAACAGTATAATCTGGAGGCTTGATGGCTCCGGAGCTCTCGTTATAATCAGGACTTCGGGTGAAGGCAGAGCAAACTTTGGGGGTTTTCTAGCGATTTGGGTCAAGATTGAGGAATCCCTCGTATTGGCAAATTGATTCACGTACCTGTAGATGTAGATTTGAAATATACGAGTGCGTTCGTACCTCCACAGCGCAGCTGCATGAAGCTCGAGATTGAGAGTCCTATTCACAATGACAAAAGTCTTCGTGAAGAACCACCAAAGTGGTTCGGAAAGCAAGAAGAGGGAGAAAAGCAGTTCAGATGCGTGTCACGAACTGTGACGAGGACGGAGCGGACCGCCACGGTCCACTTACACCACATGCAAGGATCGATGTAACTCCGAACCCATCGAGCGGACCTTCTGCTTCTGTTCCGCGACTCCTTGTCGTGAAAAGAGGACCGACTTCTGGTCGGTCTCAATGAGCTGCTCCATCTCAAATTCCTGGCGCTACCTTTTGCCTTCATTGTGCGGACTATTACTATATATAAGGCACGAGATCTAGAAATGTCATTATATCTACTTAAATCGATCATATCAACCATTGAAGCGCTTCATAGCTCAAGTCCTGATGACTTTCGTTATCATGAAAGTTGTCAAGGCTGCAACACTCTCCTAGTGATATGTGCGCAGGTGAAGAAGGTGTCGTCAATTCGAATCATCCTCACCATTGCAGTTTTCACAGAGCTCCGATGCTGCGTTCGCAGCCACTATAGCTATGTTACTCATTAATGATGGTCCTCTGCATGCACTCCTTCTCGAATTTTGGAACTGGAACGACACAGGCGTTGTATTGAAACCTTCTTTCACAAACGTGAAAGTAGGTGCGGACGTCTGTAAACCGGCTTCCCTAGTCAGGCGATCATGGTGGGCTTCATCACGTATCTCGCAACATATCTATCTATCTATCTATCTATCTAGGATTGAATCCGGGTTGTACACCGCTCCTTTCGGCTTCTACCCGAACTCCTCTTACTTTTCGCTAGGAAACTCTGAATCCAAATCGAAAGCCTTGATTATTTAAGATGAAGTTGTGAAAGAAGCGTACGGACCGTGCCACTTCGGACAACCTGTGTAGCTGAAGGATACATGGGCTCGCTACTGATTGACGCGTGCGTACGGACCGTGCCACTGAACAACACGGGTCGTCCTTTGTTAGAGTTGCTTTGTGTTTCGATCATATATAAGACCTTAACGTCCATCCCAGTGGCCATCTTATCATCCCTCTTCTTCTCCCTGCGACCACGACTACTCACGTTATATTGTATCATGCAAGTTCAACTTTGGTGAGAATCGTCAAGCACATACTACTTCCATACACTTACACTATCATTCTCTTTTTACCATTCTTTAGGGCGAGGAACATTGCTCCAGGATCTTCAATTGAGGTAGTCCTCCCGCGGCCATTGTATCTGACGAATATTTCCCTCTCCTGCGACTTTCAAAATGCCTTCGCGCCGACCTCTCTGGTGCTTTCCATTGTAAGGACCGACCGACGTACGTCTCCACCTTTTACCATAGCGACTCTCATCGTCGGGCAGGTAGGTCATATTTCGCATGAATCTCGACTCTAATTAATCTAACTGTTTAATCATTTACATAATTGACAGTCTTTGACGCAACATATTCATGTTAGACTAGACGCAGGTATCAAATACGTACTAAGTGTTAAGGGGTCGAAGTAAGTCCAGACATTTTTGACTCCTGGCTGGTTTATATTCATATAATGCCTAGTACACTATCTATCTTGGGGTATCACTCTCAGGTGAACGGTACGTCGAGCTTTCCGAAGTGTCGTACGGGAGGACTAATTCGTTCTGTCAGATACATTGATCCAACCTAACATGGAGAGTGCAAATCAGAATTCCAACGATCTGGGGGTAACGGCCGCTACTCCTGCTATCACTATCTCGCCTCCGATAATAAACGGTACTCAACAGCCACCTTCCGGCTCAGGCTCTACCAATCCCACTGCCGGCAATGTTGCCACTTCCAGCCACCCTTTAACAGTGGCTGGGCCAAGCGACGGAGGGTTGACAGGGGATGGTCGGTTCGACAAAGCACCTTCGACCGGATTTAACTACTCGAGCGGTCAACGTCCCACTGAGTCGAATAAAACCGTAAATCTTCCGGTTCAAGCACCGAGACCCGAGCACTATGGGTCCGCTATGGGTTCCAATAACGGAGATCATGCTGCGAAGAAGATGAAAACTGAAGATGGGAATGCCAGGAGGCAGTATTTGCCCACTGGCACCGGAATGAGTGGACAAATGGGTGGAAGTTATACTGGTAGCGAAAGAAACGACACTCCTGGAGTCATCAATCCCAAAAAGAGGAAAGCAGCTGCCGATAGTAATACTGGTGCATCTCCTCTTTGTCATAAAGTACGCAGCCCCTATCATTTTCCCTTTCTCACCGTCTCGACGCCTTTACTTGTACAATACATCATCCCATCGCTGTCAATCTCCATCGATTACTGATCTATCTATTACTGATCCACCTGACCCACCTTCTCTTTCTATCGGCTTCCGCCTCCTTCCTTGCCCCTGAACTGTACAGTATTACATCGTTGTTTCTCGCAGACTAGATTATGTATATATAGCCAACCCTCCACAGCCTGGTCCCTTATCTTGACCTCTCTGTCATTATCTGGGACCAGGTATGTGCTTACTTATTATTACCTATGACTACGATACTCAATATATCTCTGTCATTATCTGGGACCAGTTCGCCTCCGCTCCGCTTAGTCGCTCCGCCTCACTCACCTGCTTAGTCGCTCCGCCTCACTGCCTGGCTTAGTCACCCCGCTTCCTGCTCCGCTAGTCACTCCGCCTCTGCCGCTTCGTGACATTAGGTCAAGATCCATTACTGCACTGACAGCCTACCGATAAGGTTGTCCTTGCAGGATCCGTAGACACCACGTCTTCCCCAGTCCCGCCCGATTCTGAAACACCTGCTGCCAGTATAGACTGCTCCACACTCCCGCACGCACTTGACCCCAGAGACCAAGCTCACGCTCACAACAACAACGATACTTGGCGCGATTGCCAGTCTCAACCTTGCCCCAACGCCCTTTCGAACTCGATCCGAGAGCCACTCACTGTGAGCAATATAACCTTCCTGCCAATTCCCCAACCCCGACTGCCTACTCCCATCATGTCGACTCCTGTCCCGCCTGCCCCAAATACCTCTGCTGAGGATCTCATGGCTCAGCTCATCAGACAAGTAGCCAGCCTTGCTACAGCCATGGAGGAACGCTCATCCTCCAAGTCAAGCATGAACAAACCCGAGGTCTTCAAGGGTAAAGATGGTGCTGAAGCTCGTCGCTTCATGGCTCAGTTCCAAAATTGGGCGTCAGAACAACCGGATCTCGCCAAGAGCCAAGTTAAACTTATCAAGTCCGCCCTGGGCTTCTTCACAGAAAGTGCTGGAGATTGGGCAACTCCCCATCTGTTACACTTCAGTGCAGAGAATCCCCCTTTCGGAGGAAACTGGGATACGTTCTTGAAGGAATTTAGCCAGCGGTTTGAACCAATGGACCCAGGTATGGAAGCCCGTAGCGAGATCAAGAACCTCAGACAAAGTAAAGGGCAGACAGTTGCAGAATTTGCCCAGAAGTTCAAGGATATCGGAGATCGGACTGAAATGTCTGATATTGATTTACGGGAACGCTTCTTCACCGCCTTACTTCCGGAGATCCGACAACACCTTATCATCGTAAACATCGCCCAAGGAATCGCTCCGACTTTGAAAGAGGCAATCAAACGAGCCATATCGGTGGATGTCTACCTGCATGATCCCACCATGACCGGCCGAAACACCGGACACGCTCCCACACACACTGCTCACATTACCCCTGCCGACCCTCACGCCATGGACATTGATGCTACTCATACCAGCACTGGGAATAGCAGGGAGGCCTTCCTTGCCCGTATGCGCGGACGATGTTTTGGTTGTGGAGCTCAAGGCCATGTTAAGCAGAATTGCCCACACAAGGAGACTACCTGCCGATACTGTGGACGCCGGGGACACCTAGAATCCGTCTGTCAGGACAAGTTCATGGGACTTAGTCGCGACCGTGGCCGACGCCAACAGCCTCGCCGTCAGCAGATCTCAGCCACGGCGGCACCATTTACCTTATTCCCAAACGAATCAGTTCAGATTGCCGCCTCAATCCCAACACCTGTCGCTGGACCTGCTATACCGAGCCCCGCTAACCAGGACTTCTCCACCCAAATTGGACAAATAAGGGAATTGTTGGACCGTGCTAATGCCATGTCTCCTCCGTCCTCTGGTTTTCAGCAGGGTTTTTAAAGAGGGTACCCGCTCCGGCTGCACCGAGAGTACCCCATAATCAGTTTACTATGTTCGCTACCTCTTCGTATGACTCGCTCCCATCATGTACAATATCATCTATTTGGGAATTAAATTCCAGCTCCCCACATTTCCGAATTCATGCGAAACTGAGAGGAAGGAACCATAGTATAACAACCGCAGCCATGGTAGACTGTGGAGCTACCGCCCTGTTTTTAAACCAAGACTTTGCCACCAGAAATCACGTAGCCTGCGCACCCCTCCATAAACCAATCGATGTATTCAATATCGATGGTACACCTAACCGAGCCGGGCGAATCACCCACTTTGCACGCTTAGCACTCACAGTGGATAACCAGGAGCGATGGATGGATTTCCTGATCACAAACTTAGGAGGAGAGGATATTATTCTCGGACTCCCCTGGTTACGGAAGGTAAATCCAGAGATTGACTGGGAGAAGGGACGACTTTCAGTAAAGCCACCCCGGGTACATATAGAGGAAGTAGAAGATGAGCAGACTTCACACCCTCACCTAGTGGCGTCTACTACCGATAGTCCAATCCAGGAACTCCTGAATGAAGGATCCCAACGTGAACCCAATCACACTGAGGCAGACCTAGAGGAGAATGAAATCATAACAGCAACGGAGGAATCCCCAATACACCGAATACGAGCCAATCACAAAACGCGTCGGGCATGGGTGAAAGCGGGGATATTGGAAGAACAAACAGAGGAAGTATGGTGCTCAGCAGGGTTCACATATTCTCAACAACTAGCAGAGGAGGCTAACCGCGATAAACCCATTAAAACCTTTGAGGAGATGGTCCCTGAGCAGTACCGAGACTTCAAGAAGGTTTTCTCTGAATCTGCCTCTGAGCGATTACCTGCCCATCAGCCCTGGGATCACGCTATCGATCTTGTACCCGGAGCACCAGCAACCATGCGGACAAAGATCTACCCAATGTCCTTGAACGAGCAGGAGGAACTCGACCGCTTTCTAGAAGAAAACCTACGGAAAGGCTACATCGTTCCCTCGAAGTCACCCATCTCATCTCCAGTCTTCTTCGTGAAGAAGAAGGATGGGAAACTCCGTTTCGTACAGGACTACCGGAAACTGAATGAGTATACTGTGAAGAACCGATACCCTCTCCCATTAGTTGCTGATATCATTAGCCGGCTTCAGGGAGCGCGATATTTCACCAAGTTTGACGTTCGCTGGGGCTACAATAATGTGCGGATTAAGAAGGGGCATGAATGGAAAGGCGCATTTGCAACAACTCGGGGCTTGTTCGAGCCTAAGGTTATGTTCTTCGGTCTCACGAATTCCCCTGCCACATTCCAAGCACTTATGAATGCGATATTTGCTGATCTCATTGCAGCTGGCAAGGTGGCAGTCTACCTAGACGACATCCTCATATTCAGTAACGACCTCAAGGAACACCGACAAGTGGTACGGGAAGTATTAACGCGACTAGAAAAGCACGACCTCTATTTGCGCCCAGAGAAGTGTGAATTTGAACAGCAACAGATCGAATACCTGGGACTTATCATTTCAGAAGGGGAGGTGAGAATGGATCCGGTCAAAGTAGCGGCTGTTCGTGACTGGCCAGTCCCTACCAACCTCCGGGAACTGCGAGGATTTTTGGGGTTTGCAAACTTCTACCGGCGCTTTATCCGAAATTTTGCAAGAATAGCTCGACCTTTGAACGACCTAACCAAGAAGGATACCACCTTTAACTGGACTGGTACACAACAGGAGGCATTTGACACCCTTCGAGAGGCCTTCATCTCCGCACCAATCCTTGCTCTATGGGCGCCAGATCGGCCCACTCGAATTGAGGTAGACGCATCAGGCTTTGCTACGGGAGGCGCCCTCATGCAGAAGCAAGACGATGGTCAGTGGCACCCAGTAGCCTTCAGATCGGCATCCATGCAGCCAGCAGAACGGAACTATGAAATATATGATCGGGAGATGCTTGCCATTATTGAAGCATTGAAGGACTGGAGGAATTTCCTGGAAGGACTTCCACAACCATTCGACATTATCACCGACCACTCCAACCTCGAATTCTGGCGCACAGCACAAGACCTTACCCGTCGACAAGCCCGATGGGCCCTCTATCTATCACGGTTTGATTTTCATATGATCCACCGTCCTGGCCGAGTAAACACCCAAGCTGATGCCCTTTCTCGTATGGCAGTACATCATGTATCAGATAGCGATGACAATCAGCAACAGACCGTCCTTAAACCTGGCCACTTCACCAAAATCGCCGCTTCAATCCTACGGAACCCCCTAGAGGATCGTATTCGGAAAGCCTCAGAACGGGAAGCACAAGTACTGGAAGGTCTGGAAACAGTCAAGAAGCACGGGTTACAACGCTTGGCCAATGGGATAGCTGAATGGGAGGAGGACAACGGGTTGGTCTATTACCGGGGCCGGGTATATGTACCAGCAGACAACAATCTACGCACCGAGGTACTCCGTCAATGCCATGATCATCCAACTGCTGGACATCCCGGATTACATGGGACACTTGACCTGGTCAGCACCCACTTCTGGTGGCCGACACTGCGCTCTTTTGTGGAGAAATACGTTGAGGGATGCGAGATTTGCGCCCGCAAGAAGATCCAACGGCACCCACGAGCTGTGACTCAACCACTGGATGTACCATCCGGCCTATGGGAAGAGGTAGGGGTCGACCTGATAACACAATTGCCTAACTCCCAGGGATACGACGCAGTCTTGGTCTGTACAGACCTGTATGGAAAACAAATCCATGCTATTCCTTGCACCAGCTCCATTACAGCCGAAGGTGTCGCCGATATCTATTACCGAGAAATCTTCCATCTTCATGGTCTTCCCCTCCACTTCAAATCCGACCGCGGACCTCAGTTCGCAGCTAAACTCATGCGATCCCTCCTCGCTAGACTGGGAATTAAATCAGATCTAACCTCCGGATATCGTCCTCAGTCCAATGGCCAAACTGAACGCGCAAATCAGGAAGTGGAAAAATACATCCGCCTCTACGTGGGACGACGACAAGATGACTGGGCAGAACACCTCCCCATGGCGGAGTTTGTGATTAACTCGCGGACTCACTCGGCCCTAGGCATGTCCCCATTCGAGTTAACCTACGGATACCTTCCCCTGTTCAATATCCCGGTTGGTCAACGCAGCGGCATTCCAGTGGTGGATGACCGCATACGGATTCTCCGAGAAGCGCGACAGGATGCTGGAGCTGCCTTACATCTAGGAAAGAAGCAACAAAAGGAGGGATACGAACGTGGGAAGCGAAAAGCACATCAATTCAAAGTTGGGGACCTAGTTTGGCTAAGTGCGGAGGACATTAACCTGCAGCTATCCAGTGAAAAACTAGGAGACCGACAGCTAGGACCTTACCGTATTCTGGAGAAAGTCGGACCTCTGGATTACCGCCTTGACCTTCCCTTGTCATTAGACCGCCTTCATCCTGTCTTCCATGTCGACAAACTATATCCATGGAAAGGTAACCCCATCAATGGCGAAATACCAACACCACCAGAGCCGGTGTACTTAGAAGATGAAGATGAACCGGAATATGAAGTGGAGGAGATCTTGGACAGTCGGGTACGATGGAAGAAGTTGGAATATCTAGTAAAATGGAAAGGTTACGATGCAGGACACAACTCTTGGGAACCCGCACCCAACCTCAGCCGGGCACCAAAAATTGTTCGGGCCTTTCACAAAAAACATCCGACAGCGGCAAAACCTTGACCATCGAGGGCAATGGTCATAAGGAGGGGGGTAATGTCATAAAGTACGCAGCCCCTATCATTTTCCCTTTCTCACCGTCTCGACGCCTTTACTTGTACAATACATCATCCCATCGCTGTCAATCTCCATCGATTACTGATCTATCTATTACTGATCCACCTGACCCACCTTCTCTTTCTATCGGCTTCCGCCTCCTTCCTTGCCCCTGAACTGTACAGTATTACATCGTTGTTTCTCGCAGACTAGATTATGTATATATAGCCAACCCTCCACAGCCTGGTCCCTTATCTTGACCTCTCTGTCATTATCTGGGACCAGGTATGTGCTTACTTATTATTACCTATGACTACGATACTCAATATATCTCTGTCATTATCTGGGACCAGTTCGCCTCCGCTCCGCTTAGTCGCTCCGCCTCACTCACCTGCTTAGTCGCTCCGCCTCACTGCCTGGCTTAGTCACCCCGCTTCCTGCTCCGCTAGTCACTCCGCCTCTGCCGCTTCGTGACACTCTTGCTCTTCCCCCTCATTTTAACATGACCGCATCTTCATCCTCTGCCGACCGTGCCCAATCAAGCTCCCCGCGCCCTCCTCCAGCAGCTTACCCGCGCCAGAATTTTTCGAATACTTCGGGGACGAACAATTCTCATTTGAATACGACCCCTCAGGCTGGTCCTTCCAACTATCAGAATACCAGCTATTCCAGCCGGAATCCATTTGCGCCTTCTCCTACAGCTGGGAATGATATGTAATATAATTCCGCTTTATGGTGTAGTAACTCCCGCTCGAACATGTCTACATTGTGGCTGGGAATCGTTTTCAATGAGACTCGGAATTGATAATGAACAGTCACGAGAACTTGAATACGGAAAATTCATAACGAATCAGGGTGAAGGAACTAGGTTATTTGTCAAATTTCATAACAAGTAGCTGTATGCACATGTTCCTGGGCAATCGATTACTATTAGATATTTCGCTGGTCTTATTTGCCTACAGTCAACTTCGGTTTCATGGAACTAACCTGCTGGACTCGGCCAGATTGAGAAAGATGTGTATTGGCACGGTTCGACGGGCCGTTCAAGGTGCCAACACCGCAGTAAATTTAGCGCTCTGGCCACATTTGAATCTTCCTGAACACCCATGGAGAAGACTCAGGTCTTTTCAGCTCCGACTGCTTGTCGGTGGCTTAGATTATTATCGATGGATGCGTTGCGTTGCCAGGGCAAGAAATCGCTCCTCTCCATTGGGCATGGATTCATCACAGGTCTGCATCCAACTAAGCCTAAAAAGCGCAAGTAATCTGATTGATATGCATATGTCGCAGAAATGGAATATGGAATGTCGAACATCTGATCTTCTTCGTACGCGTTTGAACGGTTCTCCGTATCTATATTATAGCACAACTCCACCCCACCAACCCCCCTTCCGGCTCCGCGTCATGAAACCCAGGACTCAAACCCCCCATCGTCGGGGCGAATATCTTCCACGACAACCTGGAGAGCTGAACTCCGCTATCTATATATGCTGGTGTGACGAATGTTCTAATTCAGGGGTGTGTGTTGTGAAACCAGGGGGTGATGCAATCTCTGGACGATATTTCTACAGCGAATACGAGCTACGTCAGCACTTGGCCAATGGTCGAGCAATAGATCGTGGTCGTATCGATGCTTCGCCTGAACCCTACTCCTTACCAACGATGTCCTTGTTCACTCAGTCTGAAGCCGCTCTCCCAGAAACTGTGTTTGACCCTCCAAATGTCGTTTCTCCTTCAGTATCCTATCCTCTTCCTCAGTTCTCTCAGGGAGACTGAAGAACTTGACACTCCCATCCCTGAGGCGTCGAAGCCCACGACAAACATATTATATGAATGGAAAACACTAGAGAACATTCAACTCCATCTGCATGATCTGAAGGAGAATCCTCTTCGATCTTGGATACCTGCCGACATTCAATTTCGAAGTGATCTGGGTGGATCCCCCGACTTCAAAGATTTCATCTCTTGCCTTCATGAGGACTCACGCAATTCAAGCTTTCTGGGACATGTAGACTGGTTGCGGAACAGCCGAATGTTCCTTGATAACACAATGCCGTTGAAAAAGCTTTCTGCTGCCTTCAGCTGCAAGCATAAAGTGGTTTGTACCGCTCTTGAAGTGGAACTGGAGTATTGTAGACGTAAATTAGAGGTGGAATGGGACGAACGATGTCAGAGGGCGGCTGGCGGTCAAGAGTCTGTTCATTTCACTGGTGCGATATTCCTGTCGACGAAGCAAGCTTTTTGCTCATCAGTCCTCCACTAGATATCTCTGTAGGCGATCTTGAATCTAGGAAATCTATTTTCTTCATTGTGCTTGTAGTCGCTGCTATGCTGCACATCATCTGCGATCTTTCGTCCGTTCCAGTTGGCTTTCTGCTCGGAAGTTTGCGCATCATTCTGAAAATGACAGATTGCGCCTCTCAGGAAACCGATATGCACATACCAAAAGATATACGAACCGTTATTGATAGACTCGCTCTAAATCCAACATACACCACTTATGTTTGCTGTCCGAAGTGTTTCCAGTTATACGATATCGACAACTATCCTGAATTCTGCAGCAATCGGTCAGCCCCTGCTAGCCCTCCTTGTAACCGTCGACTACGATCCTCCCTTGGCTCGTCACAGGATTCTCCACGTCCAACAAACCCAGATCGCCGGCGTCCAACTTCAGTGAGATCTTATCACTATCAGGATTTAAAGCAGTGGATTACCTGGATGCATAACCGTCGCGACATCGCACCACATCTCGAACGTCCTTATGATCCAGAACCACCTGCCGATGGGAAAGTGAAAGATATATGGGAATCCGCTTTTCTCCGTACCTTCCTTGGTCCGGATGGCAAGAACCTTTTTCTGTCTCCCAATGATCTCAATGAGAGTCGTCTGGTCTTTAATCTGAACGAAGACGGTTTCAATCCGTATGGCAATCGTATGGCGGGAAAGAAAGCTTCCGTAGGCGGAATTTACCTCGTCTGTTTGAATCTTCCCCCCGAGCTGCGACTAAAGCCCGAAAACATCTTCTTGGTAGGTGTAATCCCTGGTCCCAAAGAGCCGTCCGCTCATCAGATAAATTACATCTTGCGACCATTGGTCGACGATCTTGTGAAACTCTGGAACGATGGTATCTTCATGGCACGAACTTATCAGCATCCCCGCGGGCGTTCTGTTCGAGCTGCTCTGGCTTTGCTGGTTTGTGATATGCCCGCAGCACGACTTCTCGGTGGATTTGCGCACTTCAGCAGCAATGCTGATCCCTGTTCAATGTGTAAAACCTCGGACCTCAACAATCTGAATTCACAGTCGTTCCTTCCCCGAACTAATGAGGAACATCGTCGAGGGGCTCGTGCTTGGTTGGCTGCGCAATCTGAAGAAGAGCGTGATATACTTTTTCGCAGAAATGGAGTTAGATATTCCGACCTCTTGCGGCTTGACTACTGGGATCCTGTTAGGAATACAGTCGTTGACCCCATGCATGGTTTTTACCTCCGCATACTTCAGCGCCACTGTCGTCAAATTTGGGGTATGAACGTTGAGCTGGTAGACTGCGAGGGCTTATGGGAAATCAAACTTTCAACAGAGGAGGGAAAGGCTACTGCAAAAGAAATCTTCGATCATGGAACTGCCAGTAATCTGAGGAATTTGAAAGCTGACTCTCTACGATATCTTGCTCTTCAGGAGGGTCTTGACTATCGACGTAATAAGAAGGCACTTGCCGATTCACTTCTACAGTTGGTAAATGTATCTATCCCGCGACTCACAATGTAGATATCTGACTCAATTACAGCGAGTGGTCAGACAATGGCAAGCTCTGGGGCTTCAGGACATGACACGACCTGCTCAAGACATACCGTCACCCGATCACCCTTCGATTCCTCCAACAGCCTCGCTCTCAATGAATCAAACTTCCGTAGATCAAGAGCTTGAAGCCGGGCAAACTCCAAGACAAAGGGATTCGAGTCGGGCACCTCAAGACGATTCATTACCTAGTCACCGTTCGAGCTCTGCAACAGCTTCCTCGAACAATAAAAGTTCCGCAAATCAAGAGTTCAACGCTGCGCATCAGGCATTCCTAGATGGACAACCGAAAACTCATTTCAAGAAATTGTCCACCGAGACGATTCAAAAATTAGCAAATCTATATGGGGTCCATGCATTCACGCCAGCCGGTGCCCCTTCCCGAGCCAAACAAACACTGATAGATGCGTTGTTCAAATGGGTGCGCTCTTACATATCCTAGTTTCCATAGATATTGAATTGCTCGAGTCTGTTTAGAAAACTGAAAGTAATGTGGACCGAACATCGATGAACGATACTACGGTTCCGTATTTTTTTTCCTCTGCGGTATATCAATAATGCTCATATGCTGTTTGACGTAGCTCCTTCGAGTCGGAGCTAATCCGGCTTTACCTCCTCTCTCGACTTATGCCCCCATTGGAGCTGGCCCTTCTGCCCAGGTACGCCCTAGATGTTGATACATTTTGATCGTGTACAATGATGCCCGTTGTAGAATGCTCGAGTTCAAGGCGTATCACGTTCAAGTACTCATCATACTCAACCTGGGGAGCCCAGCCGCGATGAACATCTCAAACTCTTTCTCAATGCCACAAAATCACAAATTGATCATTACCCTGCTAAGGTTCTAGAGGGTATAGTTCACGCCGTCAAGATTTGGAAGAAGGCCGCTGCTGGCCCTCGACCTCATCGAAACAAGTCTCCGAGAGGTGACCTGTCTGAAAATCAGGTTGACAATTTTTTCGAAACACAGTCGAACGGTTCTCTTGATTATGAGCCATATGACCTGGATAACTACGATGAAGGTGATGATCGCTCAGATTCTTCGGAAGAGGAAGTTGAGATTGTGATACCTTCAACCAACAAAGGAAAGCGCGAGCTTATACATAACATCGTGCGTCAGCTCTCATTCTCCATACGATTCATTGATAATCACACCTTTCCCATACCTCAGCGATTCGAATCTGGTATCACCAGTGAGAATGGTCAGCTTTTGAACAAAGCAGCAACTCGCCGATCGGGCGTTCTAGGGAAAGACACTCTTGCTGCCATTCGAGAGGACATGGAAAAACTTCGAACTCCGTCTTGGATGGCTGCTGCTCCTAATCATCCCGGGGAGGCTTCGCAGGGAAAGTTCACCGCTGATCAATGGCGAACATTTTGTACTGTCAATTTACCTATCACTTTGATTCGCCTTTGGGGTTCTTTGCCACATGAAGAACGCAGATACGAAATGTTGGATAACTTCATGCATCTTATCACTTCTATTCGTCTAGCGGACATGCGGGTAATGACAGAAGAACGCATCCAAACTTTCGAACGTCATTACAGAGCATATCTCACGGGTATCATTGGTTTCGAGATGAAAGACCGTCTTGGTGGTTTATACCCTCACACTAGAGTCACCCCTTATCAGCACATGATGCTCCATTTCGGGGACCTTTTGCGGTTATTTGGTCCAGTCCATAGTTGGAGATGCTTCGCTTTTGAACGGTTCAATTACATTTTACAAACCACAAAAACAAATAGTCGGTTCGGTGCGCAATTTCTATGTCCAAGTGAATCAGTCCTCACGTTTGCTATGCTGCCACACATAGGGGAATTGGAGAAGACTATGTTCACTCGCTTTTGTATGATGCAAAAGCTGAAATCTCTATTCCATGGGGAGGCATTTCCGCCAATTGCGTGTGAATTGGCCACATTATATCAAGAAACGTTTGAAGACTTGGATGCTCGCGGAACTCGCATAAATGATGCCCTTGCCTATGAAGAGCCAAACTCGGATACGGGCACTGATTGGCCGGTTTCTTCATTGACAATTCTAGACGCCAGCACCTATCATAAGGTGCTCAAAATCAGCACGTCCGAGAATTGGACCGCCTCGGTTCGAATTCATGGTAGATTTAAGCAACGGGGCCTCACTTTTACTCCGCAAAAACGCTCGTTCTCAGACGCTCAGGTTGTGTATCATACAGGAACTGCCGAGGAATGGTCCGCTGGTTCCATCAAGCGTATATTCACAACCATTGGGGAATCCAAGGACGGGAATAGCGTTGGTGAAACATTTGTTGAAATACATCCGTACAGGTCACTAACGGCCCCGCATGCTGAATATGACAACTATCGCAAGTTCGGATTCGCTGGCGGTCGATTTTTCTATGACATACTCGAAAAGGAAACACTTCTTCTTCCGCTGGAGAAGATATCTGCTCATTTTGCATATTCAATGCAATCTCACTCGTTGATTGATGCTTCCATCATACATGCTCTTCCCTTGAACAAGGTCAATTTTGTGCTGATCATTTGTTTTCATCTCATTCTCATTACATTCTTGCATCCTGTTCAGGAAAGTGAATTTACCATCTAACTTCAAGGACCACTGAGCACCTTGACACTGAAGCTCTACTTATCTATTTTACTCTGTCTCCTGTATGTCTATAGCAAATAACTTGATTACAAAAAGCAATTGAAAGTGAATACAAGATAAGTAGCACGTTAATAAATTTGTATTGAACAAGTAAATCTATAATCGACGAGGCAGAGAAGGTGGACGACCAAGAATGTCAAAGGCACTTTGAACATAAAATTGAGCAAGGATCCTCTCCCATTCCACTCCTATTGAAGCAAGTTTAGTCAGATCCATTTCAATACCACGTCTCCAAATTACGGGCTTCTCTCTCGGCCAAGTATCCATCAGTGTCCAGAAATGCTTCAAAGCAGCATATCGTTCGCTCCAGCTGACGGCTGCTAATCCTAGATCTACACTGGCATGTGGGGTCAAAGAATCAAAGAGCAAGGTGTGGCTAATGAGTGTCCTTCTACTACGTTTATGATTTGCAGTCGCTGCCTCTAATTCGGCAACAGACAAGCTGGGACTAGGCTGGGGTCTGCTCTGGTCCAGTAGGTCGTCGACGTACAGCAGTTCTGAACGAAAATTAACCATGCATAGCTCACGAATGAGTTGTCTGCTTCTAGTAATATCAAAGTCACCTTCGACAGTCCTTGGCCTGTAGCTCATCCTTGTATCATATGATTTGATGGACTGCTCGACCAAATTTTTAGCATCCAACGCAACTTGTGTCTTTGGCGTGATGACTACCCCTTCTTCCAAAGGCTTGATAAAGGTATATGCAAGCACCTTGCGCCATACATCCACAGTTTGAGGGGATTTACCGGCCTGTAACATAGCAAGCCAAGCAGGCCTAATGTGTTCCCAGGTGTAGAAGTAAGGCGATTGACGAGTCTTGTCTTCCAGGCCAAAGAATAAACCTGGGTCTGGGGCAGGAAGCAATTTTTTCTGCGCCTTGATTCCCTCTTGACGAATGGTCTTATTTACATTGTACCATCCAGGTATGGCCGGAGGAACTCGCGGATCGTCATTTGGAAGGTCAGCAAATATGTCGCGTTGAGATTTCGGTGCTATCGATATAAGTAAGCTAGTGTTCAACAATGTTAGAGAAATCAGACGTACGATTGGTGGCAAGCTTGCGGTTCCGTCCCCCTCTTTTGGGAACTTGATGGCGAGACCGATGAGTACCTTGTGCATTTGCAGGAGTCGATTGTGCAATAGCAATAGTACTTGTTGGCGATTCCGCCGGTGCCATGATTCGTCCTCGAGCAAGTTCATAAGAAGAAGCATAGGCACCAGGAAGGTGCATATTCTGGAAAGGGCTCACGGTTTCGAAGCAGTTGGCAGTAGCTGAACGAATCACCGAAAACTTTATGTCAGACCCAGCCTGTGTAGTTACAAGAGGTGGATAGGGAGGATCTGCAGGCGCAACTTCTACCAGAGGAGGCAAGGGTTTCTTCAACGATACAACTGTTGTGATAATTTGACGGTCAAAGGCCGACCACGGACGTATGAAAAAGACAGGAAGGCCAGCTAGAAACAACATCCTGGCGTCTTTGTCATCCCAGACGAAGGATCCCATCTTTGTGTGCTGAACAAATGCAGGTCCAGATGTGTTCATGTCATTCCTCTTCCTTACGTCCCGGTGAAAATCTAAAATAGCTTCGATAGTAAGCCACGCTCGCTGTAATTCGCTTAACCCGCATTGTAGAACTCGGAGGGTAGAAGAAATACCGCGAAGGCAAGTGAGGCATAGATCAATAGTATCGTTGTTTTCTTGGATTAAGAAATGTTCACTGCTAGATATACTGGCCTCAGTGAGAAACACTCGAGTCCGTTGCCGAAGCAATGTTATCTTGTTCTCAATAGGCTCCAAGACACGCTTTGTCACTACTCCCTCTTTGCGCTCCCTCCCCTGCTCTGTAAAACCCATATCTTGTTCCTGTAGATTCATCCACATTACAAAATCCTCAAACGGGACTACGCCAGTTGGCTTCTTTGTGACAGCAGCGAAAAACGGATATCGGGGATTGAATGGTTGAGGCCAGGAAATTGGATCATCTGGACCATATCGTGCGTCACGACGACGATATAGGTCGCGTGTGGAGCCCAAGGGAGGTTCAGGAATATAGGTGCAATTAGGAGAGGTGACGAATTCTTTTGTACGGGGAAGGTTTGCACCACAAAGACCATCGGAGAAAGTCAACTCGTTCAAAACAGAGTATAGTTTGGTGAGATGGGGTGCGTCATTCAAGATTTCAGGGGATGTCGGTGATAAATCTGGAAAAGAGGGTCATTCAACTGCTTAGTGACAAAGTTTGTGTCGGTCCTACATGTGATACCCGCCGTACTCGGATTGTCTAGTATCAGAACCTTTCAATGTAGATCGGAGGGAAACACAAGTTCAATACATACTATTTTTGCGACGATTGCGTACCAGATCATTATCAGTCAGTGCAATACTGTCATTGTGAGGTGAGATGCATCTTTGATTAAGTATTACGATGCTGCAAACCTCATCGTTTTAACTAGATAGTCCTTGGAGGAATACAGCGAGAGAGAATATCTGCGAGTTGCGTCGAGGAGAAAAAAAAGCAAAAGGGTTTTCAGTGAAGGAGCAAGAGAATATTCGCGACCTGAGTCGAAGAGAAGACCACAAGAAGTGGTCACAGTATTATGTATATGCTGCTGAGAACGTTGAGGCTGAGTTCTCTCTCATCATTAGCGCCCATCTTCAAACACTGACTAAACACAAACAATCGGGCGCTAAATCTCCGAAGTACGAACCTGGTAACTTCTTGCAAGCATTCAGATAAGCATTCAACTATGAGCTGATCAGCGGAAGGGTACCGGTATATCTTGACTACTTTTAGTTTGTTTCTGCTCCATATGTCCAGCAGGACAGCATTAGAGAGCATCTCATTATCTGAGTGTTATTTTGATCAAAATGTGAACGTCGATGCAAAGTTTGTAAATGACAATACATAAACTAGCTGCTTCCTTCAGCACTAAGTTTGCTAGAGAGCAGCCATTTTAGTGAATCGTTCGAAGGTACATAGGACGCAATAATATATTAATCAAGAGTGTCACCGTGAAATGAAATTCTATGAAGACAGGTGGATGTATCCCCCCAGTTATCAAGTATTTGAACCAGTACAATGGATGTTTGAACTGGAGAGAAGGTAGAAAACATCTGTTGGCCTCCTTCCGAAGGCATGTAGACAATTCTCGCCACTTCCATAAAGGCCGTGGAAGAATTGAAGATCGATGGATCGAGAAGTTGTTCAACTACGACGAAATCCTCCCAGGCTGACAGTCTGCGAGCATCAACCAGGATATTCTCTTGCGAGACAAGGGCTTGCATAACGATGACTCTAGGAGCCTGCCTGAGCTTGACTCCAGGGTCACCGTCGGGAGAATGGATTGTGAATCGATTCCAAATGATGGAATCCGATAGAGCAATAGCGATGTGACCTTGTGAGCCTGCAAATTTCCAACAGTTGGACAAAAGAACCTCCTCCTCTAGAACAACACGCGGAGGATTCATGTGCATTTGCGTTTTATCATAGCCCCTAAGGACTGAAATCAGCCCAGCCACGTACGAAAGAGGACTCGATCCTTCAGTAGGAGATGTGAGCGCCGGCAAAACTTTGGCGCCGTTATTAGCAAGCCCAAAGTCTAATGGAAGAAAATTTCGGGAGGGAGAATCAAGGAGAACAGGAACTTGCAAGACGGAGGTCTCCTGTTCGCTTTGTGTGGTCGTCGTAGTGGTAGTGGCTGGTCGAGGAGGATAAGGAAACTGCGCACTCGTTGCAGGCCCAAAGAGAGCATCGTTATATGTGGAAACTGTTTCTGTCGGTGCAGCTTCAGTTCTACCACAGAGACTAACGTAGTAATCGGCATTGCAGTTGATCGCACGCAATGGCGCGAAGAGGTCCGGGAGAGCACAACTACAAATGACACCCATAGTGGTGCACGACATTCCAATTAGCTTCTTCGGCATGCGCGCTGAAGGGAAATACTTCTGAACAAGGTACGCCAACACAAGGGGAAGTGTGATCAAAAGAGTAAATCGATGATTGCCAAAAAGCTTGCACAAGACTGTTACAACACACGTCCAGAAAGTGCCTCGAAGAAATGTGGGGCTTCGTACTGCACTCGTGCGATTTTCGGTTCCATTGTCTTTCAAGCGATAAGTGTCAGTTTTTCTCCTACGGTTGCAGCGTTCTGGGTTTAAACGTTGGGCCTAATATCAGTTGAGAAAACAGACACTGCCAATCTAAACCTGTACCCACCTTGAGTATATTAGGCTCTGAAGAGTCAGGAAGAGTGAACCGTTGTGCGTTGAGTCCTTGCAACAACATGAGGGTTCCGCGTGAAAAGTTTTCATTCGGCTCACGCCACTCGATGACGCGTAACAAGATCATAATCAAACACTTGGCTCATATGAATGTTTCCGAATCTTTGAAGGTATAATAATCATTTCAAGTATACAAGGAAGGTACGGTATCAGGACAGCTTCAGTTTAGAAGAGGATGATCTTTAGGCAAAGGACGGTCAGAGCGCCCCTTCACTGATAAAAAGCGTTTCGCTTCACTGCAAATAAGATCAATACTGTGCATTGACTTCATGATCAGTGGTATACATACCGTGCGATGTCGCCGGGCAATTCCAGAGAGACAGCGGGCAAAGGAGACAAGATATTTCGCCGTTCTTGATATTCTGTGAGCCAGGCTGGATTGTACCAATTGATTGGTAATTGTAAAGACGCAGCGTCCGCTTGCATGACCATGTCAACCCTATTCGAAGGATACCGCGGATGCGGAAGCTCTCCAGGTGAATACTTGCCATGATCCAGGTAGCGACCACCCATATACCAGGCGCTCAGTAGGGCTAGGAAGTCGGCTAACTCTTGCGAGCGCCACTCTACCTGTGTTTTGTAATACTTTCCGTCCATACCAGTTTCATCTCCACTCATACATTCTGGTGTAAGACGCCGTATGAACTTGGCAAGCTCACCCAAAGGGCCTGGATGGTAGCGGTAGATTTGGTGGAACGCCTTGATGCGCCGATGCAAGAGCTGATATTTGCAAAGGATTAGAAAATGAGAGCAGGCAAAAAATGAGGCCTACTTTATGTCGCCGAGCCAACCTTCTGGCGTGTCGTTCATCATCCTTTTCCCGTGTTGACTTCTGCCTTCCCTGCAGGGCAAACTCTCTTTTCAGCTGTGTGATATGCGCAATAAAGGCTTCATAAACGTCTTTCTTCTTATAGTTCCCGAAGCCCTCCTGAGACCGAAAATGCTTGCAAAAGACTTCGGCAGCAGCTTTATTCCAGGCTGTCCGCCGACCGTGGTGCAGCTGCAAAACAAAGTTCTGGACAGTCGGACCGTCGTGTCTGGAATTGGCAAAGTCCTTAATGGTTCCCGGCGAAATGGTAGCTAGAAATTTCCCTGTCGGAGTAAGCGGTTCCACACGGGTTTCGTCGACGCCCAAAATTCCCAAAAGGACGCCGGTCTCGTTACGAACTAATTCCGCGAGATAGTTTTTACCCTCAGTTCTATGAGTGGGCGGGTTGTATAACTTGGGAGAGAATTCTGAGTCTGCAGATAAATGCTGATCATTGCTGTCATGTTCAGGGCGTGCAAAAGAAGGTGCAGCATTATCCGAAAGAGCACCGACATAGCGATAACATCGATTTAAAATTGCTTCTAATGTGTCAATATTGATGTTGGGGTCATTCATCTGGGACTTGAAGTGAGATTGCTAAAAGTTGATTATCATCATTGAGTTCTCATAGTTGATGACGGGAAGACGCACCATAGATAAGGATTTCACACCATTCTGGACCAAAGACGACAACTCCCCCATTAGGCTAGCCAGCACTTCATCTTCATTAGAGTAAGTCTTGGGCATTGGAGTATCGGGAATTTCTGTGAGAGGCGAGAGTCCTCGTATATAGCTTGCATTAGCTGTGTCAAACTGCTGAGGTCTAGTATCATTCTCGGCATCAATCTCAATCCCATCTCTGGATGCTCCCTGGTCCATTTGCACGTCGTCATCTCCATTGAACGATTCATAGTTATTATGGTTGTTGCCGTCACCTGAACCGTTATTGGTATCGTGAAATAGATCGGCATGATCGTCCGAGTCGAAATATCTATTCGGATTTTGTTGATAACAGCCGTCTTGAGCGTGCTCGACGTTAGGATGTTGGCCCATAGCAGTAGTGGGACGGAGTATTGGGCCATCTGGGCCCATATAAGGAAGAGGATTTGGGTAAATCTCTGGTTCCTGTATTTCTTCGATGGTGACACTGGGTCTCGTATTCGTAGGATTGACATCAGGACGGGGAAGGGGATCATCCGAGCCCGAATTGGAGCTCGGACGAGAATCGGCGCTCAACATGGCGTTGGGATCGAAAAACCTTGTTCCGTCGTCCGATGATTGGCAATTGTTCTCAGCCCATCCTAGGCTGAAATCCGCGTCATTGCTATGGAGTGCATAGTCATGGGCATGATGAAGTAGATTTTCGTAAGCCACAGGAATTTCCGCGGTAGACAGAAGAGGTACGTTCAAAGGTGCAACATAAGATGTGCCACCTGGGTCCACTGACATCTCGTCTTGCGATGTGAACCAATCTTCATTATCTCCCGGTTCATTATCAGGTTCTCCGTGAACTACGTCGAAATCAGCGTAATTACCCGGCGGTGCATTCCAAGCATGGACACCTTCCGGAAAAGAAGACAAATGAGGCCTACTAGAAGGTGTGTCAAACATGTTACGATATTCAGCTGACATTGAGGACAACATACTGATTATTGACGATTTCGACATGGTCATCAGACTCACCAATATTGACATCGAGCCACACTGGGTTGTCGTCACATCTTTCTTCCGCGTCGAGGTTATAGCTTACACCGGTATAACGAGGCCGGGGAACCGGACTGTTCCATATAAGATGATTTTCCGCAACAGGCGAAGGTAGCGAAGGCGAAGGCATGAAAGAGGGCTCGTCACCTGGCTCACATACACCCCCTAATATATCATTTTCTCCAACGAACCATCTTCCACTGGTGCCTGGTATGCTATCATATTCAGATACAGCGATATTGTCGTGAAATACCCCAGGATGCTCAGGATCGGAGTGAACGAAGTCTTGGGGCGCACTCCAAGACATGAAGTTTTGCGCAGAGTGTGACTGAGATACGCTGAATGACTGTGCAGTGGAAGTTTCCACTGGCTGAGGGCCAGCGTTGTAGACAGTTGTAATATGCTGGTCGTTGCTAGCTTCAGCTTGGCTGTCACCCCATTCGTGTCCTACGTCGTTGCTATAGGACACATGGGTATGATCAGGAAGTTCAGGATAGGGAGCAAAAACTTCTGTAATGGTCGAAGGAGATGAATTCCAGATTGCGCCAGACGACTCGTCGTTGGTATCCCAATATTCCATTGACATACTATCTTTCTCGTCGTAAGACCCTTCATTACCACCGGCCTCTTCATCTCCTTCGTAGTCCGCGTCGGGGCTGTAGACTGAAACAGTAGGACAACCATTGTGAAGATCAGTATTAAGCAGCACCTTTTGTACATTTTCTGCTTGAGGAGGTACGTTTGAAGAGGGAGGAGGAGATACGTTCAGAGAGGGAGAAGGTACGTTCAAAGGAGGAGATATGTTCAATCTGGGAGGATGAAGTACAGCATTGTGCACGGAAATGTGATCAACCTCGTCATCGCCCTGATACTCGTTGGTATAATATCCATTTGCATCTTCGACAAGATTATCCGTTTCACCTGTTTCTTCAGTATACCACCAAGGTGGAGCCTCAATATCCACCATTTTTACACTTGCAGTCCTACTTTCTTCTTTGGAATTTGATAGGGAGAGAACAGGGATTTCTTGTTCGATCTCCATATATCGAGATTGAGATAGATAGTCGAAAGATTCAAGAGGTTTAAGTTGATTGTCTCCTTCGCCCACGTCAAGAAACTCCGCAACGGGGGGGTTAGGTTCGGAAAATCCTATGAAATCTCGCGAAGGTGGAAGATTTGATTGCCCCCACTCCTCCCGATCCTGCTCCTGCTCCTGATCCAAATCTTCATAATACCCGTCAGCAATATCATGTTGGTCAGAGTTCGATAGGGAGGGACTGGCGATGTCCTGTTCAATGTCTGTGTATTGAGGTTGAGTTTGAGAGTCGGGAAATCCAACAAATCCTGATTCTGGATATAGATGATTATTGATTTCGTCCCCCCCCTCTTCCTGATCCTCTTCCCGGTCCTCCTCTTCCTGCTCCTGACAAGGATCGTAGAGATTTATCACAGCGCTGATGTCTTCGACGTCGGAGTTCAATAAACGGGGAGTGGGGATGTCTCGGTCGATGTCCGCACACCAAGATGCAGGAGGTCCTGACTGCTCTGTTCCCTGACCATATTCAGGAAACTTCGTAACAGGGAATTTCAATTTCTGAGAGACGCAATCACCAGCTTGTGCCTGTTCCCAATCATCCTCCTCCTGCTGTGGCTCCTGTTGCACTTCCCTAATCGCCGGGGAGCCATCATCAGTGAAAACGAGGTTCGCACCATGTTCAAGCCCAGATAGACGGGATCGATTAGGGAGCGCCAATGAAGAAAGATTCCGAGTCTCTTCAATCTTTCCGGCCTCGAGTTCATGTGCAGAGGCGAGGTAAACATCTTCGTAAGAATCACTATTCGGAGACTGTTCCTCGTGCCCGTTTCCGACCACGAGTTCAGAAATTGCAGATTCGGTGAACACTTCCTGAGGAAAATGGGTTTCGGTGGTCATGGTTTCAGGATCTAGATGGCTCGATCGATTATTGGTCAGGAGTCTATCCTCCTGCTTTCCATCCTCATTACCAGCCCTGTCGGGCTCGACTGGGTTTTGGTAGATGACAGCTGGGTTCTCCGTTTTGAGGGACATGACGCCTTCGTTGGCTTGAACAAGATAATGCCCCTCGGAGGACATGAAAATGGCGGGCGCATCGTGATCCAGACGGGAATAGGTCGAGTGGTCGACTATGACAGGATCACGACGAGAAAAAGAATTGGAAGAAGTAGGTCTCCATTGGGTGGAATTTTGGAAAGTGCTAGCCGAGCTCATATACTCCTGATCTCCTTCTGAGAGCATTGCGGTGCTGGCCACATCTCGTATATGACTTGATGGCTCTTCGAGGTCGTACCCGTCCTCCAAAATAGAGCGAGACTCCCCAGTGACAGGATCGTAGGGGGAAGAAAGCGGACGGCTATCGTAAAGGGTACTGTTGTCCGTATCCTGATCGAGATCCATGGTCTGCAGCGCTCGGAAGGCGTGTTTAGATAGATGACTCCTCGCATTCGAACCACAAGGAATACTTGAAGGTCCAGTGATCATACGAAACGTCCCTGGGATGACTGAAATCAACGGATGAACGCTATGGAAGGATATCATGCATCACCCACCAAGGTTCTTACGCACTCTCGGAGACTTTTTGGCTCGCGAACTTCGTACGACATGATCTGTATCGTTCGCGTTATAAGTCTTTACGTCGCAATTGACTAGATACTCACGAATGATGTCACGGAGTTTGCGCCGCTTTGAAGGAGGAAACTCCCTTCCATCGTTTGGGCCTTGAGCCACGCCAGTAGAATGATGACGATCGGGTTCCTTGCGCTTCCGTCCAGCGACCATCGCCCCAGCGGCGCCCGAGGTAGAGTTGTCGTCCGAAACCGAGGTTCGAGAGTTATTGCTCATTGTAAATAGTACCTATGAGAAAGTGATCATGAACAACGGGAAACGAATGAATCGGGGAGAAACTGACCAAGTACGACTAGCGCAGTTTGTAATTGACGTTCAGGTTGAAGATGCATCCCCTGGGCGCAGAAATTGATAGTACAAAGGGACAAAGGACTTGACATGTTCAAAGAGATCCCTTAACCTTCGGCTCTAGCCGCATTCGAGGTCTTCTATTCGAGGTCTTCTAACCTAAAATTAAGCAAGTCCAGCAACTATAAGTTGCTGGAACACACGCCCTTAGGCATATGCATTGGGATCGATGATTATAATGATAAGAATAAGAATAAGAAAAAGAGTATTCGTAGCTGTAGAGGTTAGATTGTATATGCTCAACTATTCAGCGACTCACATCGCATCTATGATAGGTCACATGATGACCCGTCAAACGTTCTGCCGTACCGTACGCGTGTGATGCAAATATTATCAAGTTAGCGTCGCTCATGGAATTTCTGGGACCACTTAGGTGGTGTATCGGCTTTGACTTTGGTCATACAGCCTTCATTTTTTCAGATCAGAAAATCGAAGGGTCACAAGCTTGAGCGGTATACATGTCGTAGCCTTTGTTGAATTCCGACAATACGTAGTTGTCAAAGGAGCAAAGGGTATTGCTTGTAATTCTCAGAGACTGTGTGGCCCGTGGATCCTGCAAGCAACACCTATAAAGTACGCATATTGTTCACTGAATTCGCCCATTCCTTACAGCTCACTTTTCGCTAGCTACATTTACCATGATCAGGCTGAACCAAAGAGAATGTCACGACAAAGTGTCCCTAGGCTGGGTGGAAGTTTTCAAAGGAGAGGGTCCCGAACACCGAGGACAAGTATACGAGGAGAACATTAATGAAGACTTGGAGTCTGAGTGGCAAGATGAGCATGACGACGACTACCTGGTCAGTGGCAGGTTCTTTTTTTCACAAGGGCACTCTTACATTGCTTTTCTGAGTAGGGCTCGTTGACTCTTATAGAGCGACAACAACAATGGATCGATCTGGGCAGCTACATCATTCACAAACTGCGGAGACGCCTCAGAAGAAGAAGTGTATTGAATGAACAACTTGTGCGAGAGAATGCACGTCTTCGCAGAGAGGTAGCCGCACTAAAAGGAATGGTCGCAGTTCGAAAACGTGTGTGATGTTCGCCTTAGACGCAGAACTCCATAACTAACAGTTTTTGGACTGTTCAGACAATAGAATTTCCTCGAGGAGGGCATGATTTCTATTTATGAGGAAACCGGAGGCCACTATACCTTTAGACGATGGTGGAGGATTGCCGAAGTTGTGCTGGTTGTACAAGTCTTGTCTGGTTTGAGTTCGTGGTCTAGTTGCAATATCGAAGATAACCGTCTCTGTCGTTGCTGCAGGCTTATATAGTATTGTCTTCGAACATGAATCGCTGAGTATTTAACTTTCAAACGGTCGGAGTATTCGCCATTCGACAGATTGATATAATATATAATATGTGCTGAATTTCTATTCCGTTTAGCTAGATCGAGAACGAACGATGGATTCGGTGTCTAGTACTAAGGTGGATGCGCGTTGTTCTCGACGAGGGCCTCGATGCCCAGACAAGGTGACTTTGTGTATGCTTCTTCAGTTCGGTGAATTGGCCCTTTGTCACGGTGGAGTTGCTTTGTTGACACTATCGGATATATCCGACCCTTGCATTATGTGAGGCACATAGCATGATGGCCTTTGTCTCTAGCTGCATCCTGGGTATGACCATGCACAAAGAACTTGCCTCAAATCTCGAAACATGTGTCCGTCCAGTGGCCCATGTACGTGCATTCTCCTTTTTGTATAAAAAGTGAACGTCTTCTCTTCGTCTTCTCCCAGCTACAGATCCATCGAAATGCCTTCGTTAATATTCGTTCCTTTTTTTGACTTCATAGGCAACAACATACCTACCCTCGCCATGGCGTTCGAACTTATGGCTCGCCTGGCTCGACTCATGTTCCGTTTCATATATGGAACTGCTACCAGAATGGCCTCCATTTCGTGGAAAGCTTTATACCTGTTGACCTTCGTGTGGCTTACTACCGTTCCTCTTCTCAATACGATCAGCACTGTCTTAGGGCCGCTATGTGTTGTTCCCGGGATTGCCAGCACGAACCTCTGCTCGCACTTTATCAGCCACCAAAACTATACAACTCGTCCCCTATGGGCCGACTTCCCTCGTCTTATGAACGCACAAAGTTTGACGTTTGAGCAGCTCTTGGACAGCTCAGTGGGGGGCTCAGGTTTATCACTAGACCTCAAGAAAGCGGAAATGGCTATATCTGACCTGGTTGTCCTCGTAAAGTTCAGCAAACTGTCCAGTAAGGACGTGTTGGGTAGGTGATCGATTCTCATCTATAGGCGTCTGCAACTGATCATGTATCTTTAGGTGATGCGTTGTCGACTTTTGCCCATGATGCTCGTCGTACTGGGCGTGGCCTACAAACCTTAGGCTCAAAGGTTGGAGGTGCTGTTGATATGTGCGCTGATTTCTCGTTCTATTGGCTCCTCGTTGATCATCCCCATTATTATAGGATATTGGCAGTTAACGAGTACGCCATGGCCAAACTCTCCTCCATTCCACCGTCATCTCCTTTCATTTCCCATTCCCTGGTTCCATTCAATTCCGCATCTTCCCTGGAGAAAATATTCCTTGCGTCTTTCGCAGAATCGATGAGCACTCTTTCTACTATCATTCAACGCCTAATCCTGCTTGCCGAAGTTGAACTCTCCAACCTCGAGAAGCTTGAAGACCACCTGTCGATCATCTATGAGATAGTCTGTCGAGAGGATTCGTCGATCTCGTCCGCCAAAGCCGAGCTACTTGGAGAAATCTGGACTCGGCTTGGTGGTAATCGGCGCGAGCTAAAAGGTCATGACGCTCACTTGGAGCTCCTTCGTGGGATTGGCGGATATCGCAAACAAGCACTAGCTCATGTAGCATCTGCGCTACAGATCTTGAGGGCTCTAAGTGACGATATGGAGGATATGAGAGAGAGGATGATGATGCCAGATCTTGTGGGCTCGCAAATTCCGTTGGAAGTGCAGATCAACAGTATCCAACACGGTCTGCAACGACTTAGAGACTCTAAAGTCTTGGCGAAAGAAAAGGAAGAAGGGGCAATGCGGAGAGTTGCGATTGTGGAAGGATAATTTTCTTATGTATGACGATGACCACTCTATGAATCTGAACTCTTCTTCTTCTCCCTCAATCTTCACCGTCAGTGGTGGCTTCTTGTAGTCATATTTCCTATCTCCTATTTATTTCCTATAGAATCTCCGCAGTTTTCGGAAATGCCGAGCCCAATCAAGATCTGATTTAACTGGTCATGCTGAGATTCCACGATGCTACGTCATGCGTGGGAACTCACTGCGTATTCATAATGCATGAACCATCATCACCTCTTTTTGAACGGCCACTTAGGTGACTGTTTCGTTACATGCAAAGACTCTGGTCATTGTACATTCGGAAAGCTCATGATCACTGCTTTGACGTAAAGCCGTTAACTTTTCTCCCTACACGACCAGATTAAAGATATAGGAGGTTCTGAATGCCGAGTACGAGGATGAACATGTTTTCAAAAATTCGACAAAAATTCAGCTCGGAAAAGACGATTCCCTCGGGTTGGTGTGTTACGCTTTTCCCTTTAACAATCGAGCAAGGGTGCGTGTTTGTGCTTCATGCAAAAAAACACCAACAATATTGCTTATAAGTTCGTTCACAATCGTCCATAGCCATCATGTGACCATATCGGACGAGCGCAAAGACCAAGAAAAGACCACCTCTCCGCGGTCAAGGCAGCAACAATTGCGGATCCTTCTCTTCTCCTCTCAACTCGCGTCAAGTATAATAAATTTTCCCTCATGGTGAGATCATAATTCTCTCCTCAGGAGCCTCTCACTTAAGGTCAATTCAATCCCTCTCCAGTCACACTCGCAGCCTGAAATGCACTCTGCTCTATTTGACACGTTTCGACGATTTGATGATTTACGGTGTGAATATGAAGAGGCACGCGTGGAGTGGCTAGCAAAGGCGGACATTGGCTTGCTCGCTACAGCGCAAGCGGCCGAAGCGATTGACGAAGCGTTGTCTGTAAAGTTGGTTCGTCGGAAGACTCTTTTCATTTGCATTCTCTCAATCACGGTCCAGAAGAATGTGGATGAAATGCTCTCGAGGTTTTCTGCGGAAATGGAGGCGACTCACCAAGACCTTAATCGCAACATTGATACACGTCGTGCACAAGCTGCGAATATCTTACTGCGGGCAAGAATTCAAATGGAGGTCGTACGTTTGATGGAGATGAAGATACTACTCCCCAAGGAATTGTGGATGCCAGAGAGTGCTATCCTCCTACAGGTGCATATCTACGTAGATACTGATTTACTACTCTGACATGGACTTCAAGCTCGACGAAATCTTACTCAGATCGCAAAGTGACGGTGATACCAGTGACTTACAAGCCCTTCAGAGGGCTTCGTTGCAGATCTTGTCACGCGTCTTTTGTCGCTTTCTTCAGCCTACGAATTGAATTTCTGTTACTTAGGCTTCCTATGTGAAGCATGTAATGTTAAGTTCACTCGTATCATGCCCCAAGCTAGAGAATCCAATATAATTCGCTGCAATTACTTTGACGCATGAGGATATCACCGACAAGTTTTTCTAGCAAGTTGTACACTGTGAATCATCATGGCTTTCAGGTTCAGTAGCATCCTCTTGAAGATCTGCTGTTGTCCAGAAAACTATCTCGTATGAGTGTCTATCTGGAATCTCATGGACAGTGACAATCCAGCCAGAATCTTCCTCGCTTTTGTAGGCTGACTGTCAATATATCAGTCAAACAGACATACAAGATAAAGTTTCGAGCGCCTACACTGATACCACAAGGGACTGAGGTATCTGGAACAAGCATTGTAGGAAGTAGTGCAGTGATGGAAGAGCACCTCACCTTGATTGCAAAAGACGAGGTTCTGTAACCTGTTTCCCAGTTCAGCATTCCAAAGGACCAATTGTCCTACACCCGCACCAATGACCAGATCCTCAGAGATGAATTTAGTGCATGAAACGGTTTGTGGGGTTTTTGACAAAGGATCGCAGGGGACAAAGATATTCTGAGCTGTTTCGGATCCCAGAACGAAGATTTGATAAGTCCCAGCGACAGTCACTAAGACGGTTCCTTTTCCTGGGCAAACATCATTACTAGACCAGTATGAACATCAAGCACACCGATGCATTTATTTTTGACTTACATTACACCTGGTATGAGCATCGTATCTTCATGTTCAAAATCGAGAGAATCAGAGTGTACAATACTCCAGAGGCTTTCGTCTCTTGTCACTGATAGTCCATCGGTTTTCATGAAAAGTTTACGCACACTGCAACACCATTCTCGTATGATATCAAGATACGATCTCGAGACATCGCATGGATTGACTGTATAGCTCCGATGGGAAGGTATTTATCGATGGGTGGGGCCGGAAGTGTTTTCAGAAGTTCCCAGTGGGGGCTATCTTGAAAAAATGATTCAGCGGTTGCTCAAACAGTTATCGGCAACTAACTCACTACTACTATCATTTCGATCACGATGACCTCGTATCTCCACCACCTTGCCCATAGCCACTACGAGAAGATCCTTGTGCAAGAAGACAGAGAACGTCCTGGTTTGCTGAGTTTGACCAGAGTGATGAAAACCCTCAATTGACGAGGACCTTTCCTTCATCGTGATAACATACACCAAGCCTCCTTCATAGGATATAACAAGTTGTGGACTTCTCTGCGACCATGCGATGAAGGAAATCCGGTTCTCTTTCGAACTATATTGAACCAGGGGCTCAGGATTCATGTTGACCTTGACGTTCCAGATGTCGACACAAGTTTCTTGCGCAACTGCAAGATAGCGGGCATCCCCTGACAGCACAACGCCGAGGATCCTTGTTCGGGCATTTGGGTATGTGATGTGCTCTACTTCTCGCCACTCAGAACGCATGACGCACTTGCTAGGATCGAAGTGGTGGGGTGGGGTGATATTAAACGCGCTCAACGTAGTGAGCGCCAAACGGTTGTATATTGCATATAATATAAGGCTATCTTATACAATCCGTCGTCTTTCCTCATCATGCCTTAACATTCGGCGAAAGTCGAATGGAAGATAGTTGTGTGAAACCTCTAGTATCTTACGGTCTACAGTGGCCTTCAACTGTAGCAAAAAAGCAATCCCGAAAAGGAGAAAAAGAACAGTCGGAAGATTGAGGAGGAAAACCTCTATAAAGGATGTCAGGAAACGTCGCGTCGTCTATAATAATTGGAGGATGTGGACTTGCCGATCAACAGAATGCTTCGACTCTCTGTCGGGACAGCTGGGGAAGAGCGATAGGTAAAGGGATGTGAAAGTCTATGCCAACCGGAATGGACCAACACCGCCTTTATTATGGGCCATTTTGGGACATACTGCCTTAGATGGCTTGGGATGGGGAAATGATTTGCGATGACTGTAAACGATGCCGCCGAAAAACTGGGAATTTCTGCAATTGGGAATCCAAGGACGGAATCGTGAGGTCGAGTGAGCTTGCTTGTGACAAACGTCAATGACGCCACTAACCGACCCAAACTCGTATTCAACTTCGAGGCGATCCAAAAACGCACGGCGCCACTGATGCGGATGATAGCTATAGAGGAGAGTTGTAATTCATCCCAATTGTACTTGAAGACTGGCAATGTCGGCATGGGCCATCTCGCCCGCAGCTTCAGGGAAACCAGCGCAGAAGAGCAGGATTGAACTGGGTCGCTTGTAGCAAGCGCGAATAACACCGACAATAAATACGAGTTGAAGGAAACCCATGAATAGCCGGTGTCACTGGAGCGGGTGAAAAAATGAGAACGACGATCTTGTAGGTCTCTTTCGGCAGCATCATCGCATTCAGATTGAGAAAGAGTGGTTTTGGCCTCCAGTTCTAAGTCACAAATTGTAGCATGAACCAAATCCAGATGTGCGAGTTCTCCGGCCTGATAATATCTCAGTGAAAAATTCAATATAGAATGAAAAAGCCACTTCACTCACCAATGAGTTGGAAGGTGAGTAGTTAGAGCCTTCCGAATCAGTAATACTGCAGTGAATCTCGACCTCAGAAACACATTTTGGAGTCTGGAAATAAGAAATACATCAGGTCAAGAGTCTTCGATTCGATATCGGTCAGACCTCTGCAATCATCTCAAGGTCTTGGTCCAAAAGTGTTGAGATATTCTCTGATGATCTGTTCAATTTACTATCACCAGACTATGGGTCTTGTTAGAAGTCTTGGAATAAGAAGAATTTACGTCCTCACTTGGGTTGCTGAATTATAGATGCTGGTCATAAAGGACGAGTGTATTCTGAGATTTTCGACCGCGAAGCGCTCAGCGACTACGCGATCTTCTAAGATTTTAGCACAGAGATGAACACGAAGTGGTGCAGGAAGCTCACCAAGACGACGCAGCTCATCTGCGACACTCCGTTGAATTTTGCCTACATCTTCAGTTCCGTGTATAGGGAGGAATCGAAGAGCGATTGTCCACAAATCTCCGATATATTCTGTGGTATTTCCTTGACCATACTGCAGGTTTCCATGGGCACTCGACTTATTGGGTTTCTCCTTGAAGCCATTCAACTTAAGATCCAGACGCTCAATCATATTTTCAGTGCAATCCTTCAGGACATCCTTAGTACTTCGAGTTAGTCAGAAACGCAAGATTGAGCAAACATATGTACCCACCAGCTTCTCCTGATGAGATTCTTGATGAGCTTGCAATATGTCATTGGTTCCTTTGATCTTCGTGATTATTCTGTGTTCGTCTTCTCGAAACTGTTCAATGATATCGAAAACCATCGCAAGACTTCGTCTCTTGATATTTGTGAACATTGACTGCATATCGTCTAGGGTATGATGATCTCCCTGTATAAAGTGTTTAATGCTATATCGGAGCAATATACATTGCATCTGGAACTCACACATTGAAAGGAACTCAAGTAAGCTGAAATATCCTCATCACTACTGCCCCGCCGCTGAAAGCAATTCTGATCCTTCCTGTCATGATTCCGTAGGCATAAACCTAACTGGGAAATGTCCGTAACTAATTGGAACTTAGAGGTGCGAGTCAGAGCCAAGGCCTCGGAAACTTGGTCATACACGGATGCAGAATATGTTGAGGGTCGCACAACAATCCCCGACCGTTTAAACGATGAGTCAACAGCCTTGAGCACATCTCGACAGCGTCCTGCGAGTAAGAATGCTTGTAAAAGATCTTCCTTCAGGAAATTTCCTTTCGGTGCAGAGATTGCTTTCGTGTACACAGTTTCTAAAGATCAACGCGTCAGAGCCGGTTACAATGAAAGCTATCAAAAAAGTTCATAGGTAGCTAACCGAGTTTACGAATGAGTGCTCTTCTAAGTGGTAGGTCTTCAAGAAGCTGCACGAGATTCAGTTGGTTGTGCAAGAAGATGGATGTAAATGATGGCTAACCTCTTCTTGAAGCCGAGATGAGTGTATAACAAGCGTACGGATGGCTTTGGCATTCTGAGCGATATTTCGTGCGCTAGATGATGAATGTACAGACGTCTGTCCCTGCAGCAATGAAGTAACCGTTAACCCGTAATCCTCGGTGAAAGAATTCAGGTGGTTGATTAGTTTATTCTATTGCGATTCAGCACAAGAACTTCATCAAATTTGGAAAGCTCACCGTCTCAGTAGCAAGCCGGGAGAGTGACTTGTGCTTTTCTTCCGTCGAAGTTTCGAGACCTATGATTGATTGTTGCCAATGTTCTACTGCCTCATTCCAAGCGTCCTGGGCAACATGAATATCATGATTCACGTCTTCTATGAACTGCATTTCGAGTGGCGCGCGGAAGTATGTTACTGTATGAAACAAAAAGCAGGCGTGACGCGGAATTTGCTGGCCAAAGCTTGCTTGATTTCACATGACAATTCGATATAACATGCAATCTTATCGTGTTGTCGCAAGTAGGGGCTCTTTGCCAATTCATAGTATGTTTAAATGGTGGCCGAGTAAAAGTGATGTTGCGAGAGGCTACCATTATTACATATTCGTGATTACGATTGTAAGAGTTAACGCAAAGCCTTCAAGATTCTTTTCATTGCTTTCGGGGTAACCCATTCGGGAGATATACCCTTGCGGTATCTGAGAGCAATGGCAAGTTCATAGCCATCCCCAACGACACGGCGTTCACCAAAATAAATCCTCTCCCAACGTAAGGAATCTCCATTCCAGATCCACATGCGGACACAATACTTGAGCAATTTGGAGAGCTGTCCTTCATTTAGTTTCGCCCTCTCCGCTTCATTTATGTGCAAGAAAATGACATTGTGTTCAAGCCGCATGGAATTAGGAGGAAACTCGGGAGGGCTATCGAGGGGGCCTGGAGTACAATAAGTATACCACGACGTGGTGGCGTTTTTGTTGATAACCTTTCGCTGCCGGTAATCGCAGAGATTATAGCCAAAGGCACATGAAGACGAATGCGTGTATTCGAGTTCAAAAAGAGATGTATCGGTCGTAGCTGATGAGCTTGGACTTTCCGAAGGATCTGACGTTGGCAAATGACCTTTAGATCGAATTGGGTATGGGCTTCGACGAAGTGCTTGACGTCGATGCCTTGACATCTTTGAGCAAGAACCAGGAGTTGCATTTATGTGAATGCTTACCGAATAGCCGAAGAAATGGATTCTGGCTCAGTCTTAACCTCAGGTTCTTCCATTGCAAGTGGCGCAATCACTTGGGCCACGATGTTTTCAGGCATATTCGTGGATCGAGTGAGGTCGTCCTGACGTTGATGGGTGGCAGCGTTGGAGGACAAGTCGTTCAAGGAATTGGAAGAAGAACCAATTAGTCTTCGGAGAAGATGTGAGACAAAAGTTGACAGTGGCAGGCAAGTTCATCGGTACATACCTGTCCATGACCGTGTCAGGAATCGTTTGCGTCTCAATCTCCGCTTTGTAAAAAACGTTTCCCTCAGTATCTGCTTGCACCACTCGTATAGGAGCCATGGTCTCTAGAAGATTGGCGATGGATGTTCTGCGAATAAATTTTAGGTTGTAAAGCGAAATTTCAAATGGACAATTCGTACCCAGACAACCTTGCTTTGTTTTCAGCGCCACTGCCATGACCAGCAAGTGTTCTGTAGTAAGATGAGGCAATACGACGACAAAGATAAGGATAACCACTTGCGTTACGCGACCAGGTAAAGCCTGCCCTACCGATTCCCTGGTCCTGAGTCTGAAGGAAATACGGTTAGATGGGAGAGATCAGAAGAGAAGTTCACAAGCTGACTGGATCGAACGGGCACTGAAGTGCAAGGAAGGAAGCACGACAAAAGTTGTTGAGTTTGGATCACCAAACTCGATAGAGACAGCGTAATATTCAGGCGGCATATTGTAGAGGCGACTTGTAAGCTCCATCTTTATAGGTAGTCACCCATGCATGTAACAAAGAAACAAAGGAAACCGTCGAGATTTCGAACTTTCTTGTACGACAATATAAAGGGAGGACCATCGTAAAAAGGGCTTTGAATTCAAGAACGAGAAGATAGCAAAGGATGGGATGGAAAACGAACCGACAGAAGTCGGATGTCGCCTACAACAAGTAGTTGGAGCAATTTTGGGAAGAGAGATCCGAGTCGCTACTAGTACAAAACGAAGTCAAAGCGACCAATCAGAGAGAAAAACGTGAGGATTAAGTAAACTGACCGTTTATAGTAGTCGGCAGTTTCTGGCGTATCTGTTCCCTTCGTTCGAACCACTATGGTGGTTCTTGACAAAGACTACTGTCTTTGTAATCAAACTCGGGGACAAGCTGCTGCGTGCTACTTAGGGACTCATGGACCTCAAACTCATCCGCTGCCGGCGCATCAAGGCGTTCCACCAAATCTACCGCTACCATCCAGGCCCTTTGGGTGAGCCTTGCCAAATTCATACGGCGTCTTACACCAGAATGTATGAGTGGAGATGAGGCTGGTATGGACGGAAAGTATTACAAAACACAGGTAGAGTGGCGCTTGCAAGAGTTAGCCGACTTCCTAGCCCTACTTAGCGCCTGGTATATGGTCGCTACCTGGATCATGGCAAGTACTATTCACCTGGAGAGCTTCCGCATCCGCGGTATCCTTCGAATAGGGCTGACATGGTCATGCAAGCGGACGCTGCGTCTTTACAACTACCAATCAATTGGTACAATCTAGCCTGGCTCGCAGAATATCAAGAACGGCGAAATATCTTGTCTCCTTTGCGCACCGCTGTCTCTCTGGAATCGCCTGGCGACATCGCACGGTATGTATACCACTGATCGTGAAGTTAATGCACAGTATTGATCTTATTTGCAGTTGACCTGCGATGGGTTGCGGTTAACTCCATAGAACTTGTGTTCTGTGACTTCACGGTCTGCGGAAGATGATTACTTCATGTGAGTTTTGGGTTCTGTATATTGCTGATACCTAGCTCACTGCTGTCCTGATACGCCAGAACACTTGGCTAGTTCGATTCCAGACAATTTACGGAAATTTTTATCATGTCACCTGCAGTCGTAGACGGTGGTATGTAGGTGATAGGTGCTCCATTAGATCCTCAGGAAGATGGGTAATACCAGTGCTCCCTGCTTTACAACTATCTGTCTATTAGACTGTTTACATTGATCAGGGCCGCATGAGTTATTGTACACTCCTCATATAAGTGTGATATTCTACCCTACTGGAAAGTACTAGTGCATTCTACATCAGCATTCTCAAACTTTCACTATCTACTCTTCAACTCTGTTTCAAAACCCTCCTTTTGGTACATCCTTATTTCTTATTCTTGATATAACCAGCTTTGATGTTTCCATTTTAGGAAAGGTTACTTGGCCACCGGTTCGAAAAGAGAATTGTTCGAAGAATGACCCTGCAAGATCTAGCTTTGCAGACTATAAGAGGTTCATCCTGTCCAAGATTTTTGCATGATCAAACGTGAGTAGTTGTATCTGAATCTGTGCCATTGACGTTCGACTCAGTTTTTTTTGTTGCTGGTGCACTATCAGGGATTGAGTGACGGCTATGAAGACCGGAAAGACGTCGCAACTCATTGAATCTAACCGTGGGTCTCAATGCTTTATGTGTAAGAGTTTTATAATGAAATGCCAAGATATTGAAAGTCGATCCACAAGATATCTTTGCAAAGAGATTGAGCATTTCAATATCAGTCGAATGCTGGACTGTCTAATAAGGATTTAGCTTGTAACGTAAATCCTCTGTCAGGAATTTGAATCGGTATTGGGTGACCAACAATCAGTACTAATTTAGGGTTAACTGCATTTCCCTTTCCACGCTGCTCAGAGATTTTTCGTGCGCGTGTTCTGTGACCTTTCGTTACCTTTAGGATGCCTGCTCACCGTACCGACCGGCCCAAGAAACGATTCCATCCTTACCTTCGACGAGGCAAGTTCCTGCGAAATCGGCCAGTAAGCGTATTTCGCCCACTACCGCACAGACTAATGCTCACAAGTTTATAGGACCACGGGGTGCAACAACAATTTCACGCTCTCGCTTTCTTTATGTTTGTGAGTTCAAAACGGCATGATTATGACTCCGTTGTTCAAGATAGGACTGATATTGTCTTTAGATGGCCCGGCTCTTCGTTTGACCACTCCCCGTGAGTTCCGGGCGAACCTCTCGTTCGCAGGTTCTCTGGTTTACGCTCGATTTCAATGCATCGAGAACGTTGGAACATTCACATCGCCCTTGCTGCTACCTGAACGCTATAAGGCTCGACCCGCGCCGTCCTTCATTGATTCAAAGTTGTAGATAAAACAAATAATCGAGAGGTCGGGGATTGTATATAAATCATTGGTGCGTTCTCCTCCACACCGTCGTGTATTCTGTCCTCACCAATATCTTTTGCAAGAAATGGTTCATATTGGCCGTTGGTAAACTCAAGCTATAGTAATGAAGCTCAATATCAATTCTTTTACTACGGAGGAAGCCATGGCGCCATGCGCATCATTTCGTTCTGGTACAATCAAGAGACTCTGTGCCAATGTGCCCTGCCGAAATAGGCCAGTTGAGCGAAAATGTAGGACGATTCTAGCTTTTATCATGCTACTTATATTATACGAATTTTCGTGAATAATGATCGTGACTTTTCTTCTTCGTTCCCCTTCAAATCATTGTACCTTCGCTTTCTTTTCCAGCTTGTTCCCTTTTTCTTCCATTAGGCCGCGTTCTACCTTTTTCTATCTTCCTCCTTCGTGCCGCTTGAGTACAACGACCATTAAACCAAACATTTCGTATCATAGCTCAGCCATAGATATTTCGTTTTTATATTCCTATCGACTGGGCTGCTTACCTCTAAGCTCTCTCTGCCCCTCTTTGGTCTTGGCTCAAGCGACATTTCTGCCTCCACTACTGCCGTATACAACGACACTGTCACCTACAACTTCTTATAACCTGCCCTATTCTCGCGCATAGCATACTACTCCAGTGATGCAGTGCAGTGAGGCTCCCCTTGTGATGCTCGAATCAGATATTGATATATCTCAACTCCCCGAAGGTATGTTATCTTCCCTTTGTAGAGCCTTCATAAACTGACAAGTTGCCATTATAGACGATGGGACTATCCCGAAGCGCAATTTTCACCTCGGTCCGGGCAAGTTGCAAAACTTTCAACGTTATATTCAGGAAACATCAGCGCCCATCCTCGTTCGAACGGAAACAAAAGGGCTGTACAAGGAATACAGGAGCTGAGGAAGGAGTTGAGGAGGTCTGCTGGAAACCATAGTGCGCATGTATACCTTCTGCCGAGGGTACCTGTATCAGTGTCATTTGTAACAGGAACATCACTGCCATCTGCAGCAGTAATGCTTGTGGTATTAAGATCAACCAGCCCAAATTTCGCGATACTCAAGGTGGACAACAGATTGTTGGGATCCGTTCATTGGTGCGCGACGACAGTTATTTTTGTTGACGGATCATGGGCGCCTGTTGATATTGGAACTGGGCAAGCGTACTGCAGGTGGCGTATTGGCAGGAGTTTAGAATTGTCTTTCCGCAAAGAATGTGACTGGTGACAGGGCGTTCGCGGGGTATGCTGTGCGCGACGTTTGATTAACCAAGGCTTACTGAACTAAGTGCTGTTTTGGTAAGGAGAACCTGGATCCATCGGTTTAAGCTCTCGAAAACTATTCTCAATATTCACATCCCAACCTATATTTCTATACACTAAAATCGACGGGTTAGGCGTTCAATTCTATACACTAAAAAGCGACGGGTTAGGCGCTCAATTAATTTACATAAGCAGCTCTAGGAATGTAAAAGATGGACGCGACGATAACACAGACATTTATTGCTGATAGTAGAGAATTACTCCATTATATATCACCCAGGTATATACAGTTTGAATTGATCATTGTCACATAGGTTGTGATTACTATGTGCGATAGCTAAAAAGGACCACTCCATTAGTGACACATGATTTTGTGAATGCTGGAAATCCTCTGTTTGTCTTTGAGAGTATACACATGAGAAGAAATTTATTCTATTTCTTGCATGAGTTGAAAAGAAGAGGGGACCAATCAATGACTGGGAAGAGGGTTTGGAGCTGATACTTTTTATTGCACACATTACTGTACCAAATCAATATAATTTTGAATGTTTATTGAGGATGCATTAATAAGCTCACAGATTCCCTCTGCACCCTTGTGCACTGCTCTGCACCGAAAATAAGCCGACAGATTCCCTTTGCACCCTTCTGCACCGCTCTGCACCATACTAGCTCAAATAAGCTCTCGGATTCCTTCTGCACCCTTCTGCACCGCTCTGCACCATACAGGTCCAAATAAGCTTGCGGATTCCCTCTGCACCCTTGTGCACCGCTTGGCGCCATACAAGTCCAAATAAGCTCGCGGATTCCCTCTGCACCCTTGTGCACCGCTGTGCACCATATAAGTCCAAATAAGCTTGCGGATTTCTTCTGCACCCTTGTGCACTACTCTGCACCACAAATAAGCTCATGGATTCCCTCTGCATCCTTGTGCACCGCTCTGCACCATACAAGTCCAAATAAGCTCACGGATTCCTTCTGCACCCTTCTGCACCTCTCTGCACCGCTCTGCACCGTACAAGTTCAAATAAGCTCTTGGATTCCTTCTGCACCCTTCTGCACCGCTCTGCACCATACAAGTTCAAATAAGCTCTCGGATTCCTTCTGCACCCTTCTGCACCGCTCTGCACTATACAAGTCCAGATAAGCTTGCGGATTTCTGCTGCACCCTTCTGCACCTCTCTGCACCGCTCTGCACCATACAAGTTCAAATAAGCTTGCGGATTCCTTCTGCACCCTTCTGCACCGCTCTGCACCATACAAGTCCAAATAAGCTTGCGGATTTCTTCTGCACCCTTCTGCACCTCTCTGCACCGCTCTGCACTATACAAGTTCAAATAAGCTTGCGGGTTCCTTCTGCACCTTTCTGCACCTCTCTGCACCGCTCTGCACCATACAAGTCCAAATAAGCTTGCGGATTCCTTCTGCACCCTTCTGCACTGCTCTGCACCGCTCTGCACCATACAAGTTCAAATAAGCTTGCGGATTCCTTCTGCACCCTTCTGCACCCCTCTGCACCATACAAGTCCAAATAAGCTTGCGGGTTCCTCCTGCACCCTCCTGCACCTCTCTGCACCGCTCTGCACCATACAAGTTCAAATAAGCTTGCGGATTCCTTCTGCACCCTTCTGTACCTCTCTGCACCGCTCTGCACCATACAAGTCCAAATAAGCTTGCGGATTTCTTCTGCACCCTTCTGCACCTCTCTGCACCGCTCTGCACCGTACAAGTTCAAATAAGCTTGTGGATTCCGTCTGCACCCTTCTGCACCACTTTGCACCATACAAGTTCAAATAAGCTCTTGGATTCCTTCTGCACCCTTCTGCACCACTCTGCACTATACAAGTCCAGATAAGCTTGCGGATTTCTTCTGCACCCTTCTGCACCTCTCTGCACCGCTCTGCACCGCACAAGTTCAAATAAGCTCTTGGATTCCTTCTGCACCCTTCTGCACCGCTCTGCACCATACAAGTCCAAATAAGCTCTCGGATTCCATCTGCACCCTTCTGCACCGCTCTGCACTATACAAGTCCAGATAAGCTTGCGGATTTCTTCTGCACCCTTCTGTACCTCTCTGCACCGCTCTGCACCATACAAGTTCAAATAAGCTTGCGGATTCCTTCTGCACCCTTCTGCACCCCTCTGCACCATACAAGTCCAAATAAGCTTGCGGGTTCCTCCTGCACCTCTCTGCACCACTCTGCACTATACAAGTTCAAATAAGCTTGCGGATTCCTTCCGCACCCTTCTGCACCTCTCTGCACCACTCTGCACCCTTCTGCACCTCTCTGCACCGCTCTGCACCATACAAGTTCAAATAAGCTTGCGGGTTCCTTCTGCACCTTGCTGCACCTCTCTGCACCGCTCTGCACCATACAAGTCCAAATAAGCTTGCGGATTCCTTCTGCACCGCTCTGCACCATACAAGTCCAAATAAGCTTGCGGATTCCTTCTGCACCCTTCTGCACCTCTCTGCACTGCTCTGCACCATACAAGTCCAAATAAGCTTGTGGATTCCTTCTGCACCCTTCTGCACCCTTCTGCACCGCTCTGCACCATACAAGTCCAAATAAGCTCTTGGATTCCATCTGCACCCCTCTGCACCCTCCTGCACCGCTCTGCACCATACCAGTTCAAATAAGCTTGCGGATTCCTTCCGCACCCTTCTGCACCGCTCTGCACCATACAAGTCCAAATAAGCTTGCGGATTCCTTCTGCACCCTTCTGCACCTCTCTGCACCACTCTGCACCCTTCTGCACCTCTCTGCACCGCTCTGCACCATACAAGTTCAAATAAGCTTGCGGGTTCCTTCTGCACCTTTCTGCACCTCTCTGCACCGCTCTGCACCATACAAGTCCAAATAAGCTTGCGGATTCCTTCTGCACCCTTCTGCACCGCTCTGCACCATACAAGTCCAGATAAGCTTGCGGATTTCTTCTGCACCCTTCTGTACCTCTCTGCACCGCTCTGCACCATACAAGTTCAAATAAGCTTGCGGATTCCTTCTGCACCCTTCTGCACCCCTCTGCACCATACAAGTCCAAATAAGCTTGCGGGTTCCTCCTGCACCTCTCTGCACCACTCTGCACTATACAAGTTCAAATAAGCTTGCGGATTCCTTCTGCACCCTTCTGCACCGCTCTGCACCATACAAGTCCAAATAAGCTTGCGGATTCCTTCTGCACCCTTCTGCACCTCTCTGCACTGCTCTGCACCATACAAGTCCAAATAAGCTTGTGGATTCCTTCTGCACCGCTCTGCACCATACAAGTCCAAATAAGCTTGCGGATTCCTTCTGCACCCTTCTGCACCTCTCTGCACTGCTCTGCACCATACAAGTCCAAATAAGCTTGTGGATTCCTTCTGCACCCTTCTGCACCCTTCTGCACCGCTCTGCACCATACAAGTCCAAATAAGCTCTTGGATTCCATCTGCACCCCTCTGCACCCTCCTGCACCGCTCTGCACCATACCAGTTCAAATAAGCTTGCGGATTCCTTCCGCACCCTTCTGCACCGCTCTGCACCATACAAGTCCAAATAAGCTTGCGGATTCCTTCTGCACCCTTCTGCACCTCTCTGCACCACTCTGCACCCTTCTGCACCTCTCTGCACCGCTCTGCACCATACAAGTTCAAATAAGCTTGCGGGTTCCTTCTGCACCTTTCTGCACCTCTCTGCACCGCTCTGCACCATACAAGTCCAAATAAGCTTGCGGATTCCTTCTGCACCCTTCTGCACCTCTCTGCACTGCTCTGCACCATACAAGTCCAAATAAGCTTGTGGATTCCTTCTGCACCGCTCTGCACCATACAAGTCCAAATAAGCTTGTGGATTCCTTCTGCACCGCTCTGCACCATACAAGTCCAAATAAGCTTGCGGATTCCTTCTGCACCCTTCTGCACCTCTCTGCACTGCTCTGCACCATACAAGTCCAAATAAGCTTGTGGATTCCTTCTGCACCGCTCTGCACCATACAAGTCCAAATAAGCTTGTGGATTCCTTCTGCACCGCTCTGCACCATACAAGTCCAAATAAGCTTGCGGATTCCTTCTGCACCCTTCTGCACCTCTCTGCACTGCTCTGCACCATACAAGTCCAAATAAGCTTGTGGATTCCTTCTGCACCCTTCTGCACCCTTCTGCACCGCTCTGCACCATACAAGTCCAAATAAGCTTGCGGGTTCCTTCTGCACCCTCCTGCACCTCTCTGCACCGCTCTGCACTATACAAGTCCAAATAAGCTTGCGGATTCCTTCCGCACCCTTCTGCACCTCTCTGCACCGCTCTGCACCATACAAGTCCAAATAAGCTTGCGGATTCCTTCTGCACCCTTCTGCACCTCTCTGCACCATACAAGTTCTAATAAGCTTGCGGATTCCTTCTGCACCGCTCTGCACCATACAAGTTCGACTTAGCTTGTGGATTCCGTCTGCACCCTTCTGCACCGCTCTGCACCATACAAGTCCAAATAAGCTTGCGGATTCCTTCTGCACCCTTCTGCACCTCTCTGCACTGCTCTGCACCATACAGGTCCAGATAAGCTTGCAGATTCCTTCTGCACCCTTCTGCACCCCTCTGCACCATACAAGTCCAGATAAGCTTGCGGATTTCTTCTGCACCCTTCTGTACCTCTCTGCACCGCTCTGCACCATACAAGTTCAAATAAGCTTGCGGATTCCTTCTGCACCCTTCTGCACCCCTCTGCACCATACAAGTCCAAATAAGCTTGCGGGTTCCTCCTGCACCTCTCTGCACCGCTCTGCACTATACAAGTTCAAATAAGCTTGCAGATTCCTTCTGCACCCTTCTGCACCGCTCTGCACCATACAAGTCCAAATAAGCTTGCGGGTTCCTTCTGCACCCTCCTGCACCTCTCTGCACCGCTCTGCACTATACAAGTCTAAATAAGCTTGCGGGTTCCTTCTGCACCCTCCTGCACCTCTCTGCACCGCTCTGCACTATACAAGTCCAAATAAGCTTGCGGATTCCTTCTGCACCCTTCTGCACCTCTCTGCACTGCTCTGCACCATACAAGTCCAAATAAGCTTGTGGATTCCTTCTGCACCGCTCTGCACTATACAAGTCCAAATAAGCTTGCGGATTCCTTCCGCACCCTTTTGCACCTCTCTGCACCGCTCTGCACCATACAAGTCCAAATAAGCTTGCGGATTCCTTCTGCACCCTTCTGCACCTCTCTGCACCGCTCTGCACTATACAAGTTCAAATAAGCTTGCGGATTCCTTCTGCACCCTTCTGTACCTCTCTGCACCATACAAGTTCAAATAAGCTTGCGGATTCCTTCTGCACCCTTCTGCACCCCTCTGCACCCCTCTGCACCATACAAGTTCGACTTAGCTTGTGGATTCCGTCTGCACCCTTCTGCACCGCTCTGCACCATACAAGTCCAAATAAGCTTGCAGATTCCTTCTACACCCTTCTGCACCGCTCTGCACCATACAAGTCCAAATAAGCTTGCGGGTTCCTCCTGCACCTCTCTGCACCGCTCTGCACTATACAAGTTCAAATAAGCTTGCGGATTCCTTCTGCACCCTTCTGCACTGCTCTGCACCATACAAGTCCAAATAAGCTTGCGGGTTCCTTCTGCACCCTCCTGCACCTCTCTGCACCGCTCTGCACTATACAAGTCCAAATAAGCTTGCGGATTCCTTCCGCACCCTTTTGCACCTCTCTGCACCGCTCTGCACCATACAAGTCCAAATAAGCTTGCGGATTCCTTCTGCACCCTTCTGCACCTCTCTGCACCGCTCTGCACCATACAAGGCCAAATAAGCTTGCGGATTCCTTCTGCACCCCTCTGCACCCTTCTGCACCGCTCTGCACCATACAAGTTCAAATAAGCTTGCGGATTCCTTCTGCACCCTTCTGCACCTCTCTGCACCGCTCTGCACCTCTCTGCACCGCTCTGCACCATACAAGTCCACATAAGCTTGTGGGTTCCTTCTGCACCCTTCTGCACCTCTCTGCACCACTCTGCACCATACAAGTTCTAATAAGCTTGCGGATTCCTTCTGCACCGCTTTGCACCATACAAGTCCAAATAAGCTCTCGGATTCCTTCTGCACCCCTCTGCACCCTCCTGCACAGCTCTGCACCATACCAGTTCAAATAAGCTTGCGGATTCCTTCTGCACCCTTCTGCACCGCTCTGCACCATACAAGTCCAAATAAGCTTGCGGGTTCCTTCTGCACCCTCCTGCACCTCTCTGCACCGCTCTGCACTATACAAGTCCAAATAAGCTTGCGGATTCCTTCCGCACCCTTCTGCACCTCTCTGCACCGCTCTGCACCATACAAGTCCAAATAAGCTTGCGGATTCCTTCTGCACCCTTCTGCACCTCTCTGCACCATACAAGTTCTAATAAGCTTGCGGATTCCTTCTGCACCCTCCTGCACCTCTCTGCACCGCTCTGCACCATACAAGTCCAAATAAGCTTGCGGATTCCTTCTGCACCCTTCTGCACCACTCTGCACTATACAAGTCCAGATAAGCTTGCGGATTTCTTCTGCACCCTTCTGCACCTCTCTGCACCGCTCTGCACCGCACAAGTTCAAATAAGCTCTTGGATTCCTTCTGCACCCTTCTGCACCGCTCTGCACCATACAAGTCCAAATAAGCTTGCGGATTCCTTCTGCACCCTTCTGTACTTCTCTGCACCGCTCTGCACTATACAAGTCCAAATAAGCTTGCGAATTCCTTCCGCACCCTTTTGCACCTCTCTGCACCGCTCTGCACCATACAAGTCCAAATAAGCTTGCGGATTCCTTCCGCACCCTTTTGCACCTCTCTGCACCGCTCTGCACCATACAAGTCCAAATAAGCTTGCGGATTCCTTCTGCACCCTCCTGCACCTCTCTGCACCGCTCTGCACTATACAAGTTCAAATAAGCTTGCGGGTTCCTTCTGCACCCTGCTGCACCTCTCTGCACCGCTCTGCACCATACAAGTCCAAATAAGCTTGCGGATTCCTTCTGCACCCCTCTGCACCCTCCTGCACCGCTCTGCACCATACAAGTCCAAATAAGCTTGCGGATTCCTTCTGCACCCTTCTGCACCTCTCTGCACCGCTCTGCACTATACAAGTCCAAATAAGCTTGCGGATTCCTTCTGCACCCCTCTGCACCCTCCTGCACCGCTCTGCACCATACAAGTCCAAATAAGCTTGCGGATTCCTTCTGCACCCTTCTGCACCTCTCTGCACCGCTCTGCACCATACAAGTCCAAATAAGCTTGCGGATTCCTTCTGCACCCTTCTGCACCTCTCTGCACCGCTCTACACCATACAAGTTCAAATAAGCTTGCGGGTTCCTTATGCACCCTTCTGCACCTCTCTGCACCGCTCTGCACCATACAAGTTCAAATAAGCTTGCGGGTTCCTTCTGCACCCTTCTGCACCTCTCTGCACCGCTCTGCACCATACAAGTTCAAATAAGCTTGCGGATTCCTTCTGCACCCTGCTGCACCTCTCTGCACCGCTCTGCACCATACAAGTCCAAATAAGCTTGCGGGTTCCTTCTGCACCCTCCTGCACCTCTCTGCACCGCTCTGCACCATACAAGTCCAAATAAGCTTGCGGATTCCTTCTGCACCCTTCTGCACCTCTCTGCACCGCTCTGCACTATACAAGTTCAAATAAGCTTGCGGATTCCTTCTGCACCGCTCTGCACCATACAAGTTCGACTTAGCTTGTGGATTCCGTCTACACCCTTCTGCACCGCTCTGCACCATACAGGTCCAAATCAACTTGTGGATTCCTTCTGCAACCTTCATCAATGCACTTATAATTCTCACCAATTCAATCCTATAAGTTTATTGTTCATACCTACAATTTTAGCTTGATTTTTCACAACTTTTGAAAAAACGATATAGCATCTATATCACATAAGTTTCTGCTTTATATCACATAAGTTTTTAATATATCCACACTCTCTTATTGTAAACATATTTGTCACAGTCACACCCAAAGTATCATATAAGTTTCCCATTGTTCCTTATCCTTATTGTGTTCTTTCATGTGACATGATCAGATAAGTTTCTAAGGTGTTTCCTTATTGTTCCATATTTGTCTCATATCTATATCAAATAAGTTCTGCACAAGTTCCATTTCTTTCTTATCACTTATCTGATTATTGTCAAATTCAGGTCCAAATTATTATCTTATCTGTATTACATAAGTTCCCTGATCTTATTCAATCCTTATCCGGAAATTTTTGTCCATATATATCATATAAGTTTCGCATATCTTAGCACCTTTTATTGAGGACAAAGTAAATTGCGGTATTGGATAAGTCATTGATCAGTTATTGAATAAGTTCGGCATCTTATATGCTTGTAATTTCACGCTTGTTTCAGATAAGTTCTAGGTAAGTCACGTGAACTTATCAGAATTTGCATGCAGTGTCATAGTGTGCTGAACATTTCGCTTATGTTCTAGGCAGGACCCAGCTCACCATCTCGCTGGTCCTTTCTTGCCGCAAACGTTAGCCTGTCTCCATCTGGACGCTTCCAACTGCTAAGTTTTTCATCAGTCCTATAGGCTCTCTCACACCAGAGAGAAGCAATTCTCCCGATATCAGACGACGACACCAACCGCGCGCTGTAGATCCTTTTCTCCGTTGGGCCGTAGTCCCAGGTGAAATTCGCGATTGACCTTTACGAAGTTTCGTATTCTCACCACCCCCTGTAGTGGCCTCATTAAAGGTGCTCCTTGTACCAATCATCCTCTATGTCAATTGGGAGTTTGTATATCCCATCTTCGTTCAGTTTATTCCCCAAGGAAACACCTACCTCTCCTCCGACCTCCCTAATCCATTCGCCCAATTCTTTCTCCTTTCACATCCTGTTCCTTCCTTAGATGAGGAAAATCTACGCTATCAGAAAGGCTGGTCCGACCTCCTTTTTATTGCGTATTATGTTGTGTTTTGGTCATTTATACGTCAATCTCTCTCTTTCTACGTGTTCCAACCTATGGCGCGTTATTTCGGTATTAGAAAGCACAAGCTGGATCGTTTCGCAGAACAGGGGTATGCCATGATATACTTCGGTATCATGGGTGCTTGGGGATACGTTCGTCATCAGCGTTTATCCTTTCAAATGTCCGAACTTACGCTTTGTAGCGTATCATGGGCCAACTTCCTACTTGGTGGTACCGTACCGAAGCATTTTGGATAGACTATCCTCACTGGAATATGATACCAGAGCTCAAACGGTACTATCTCATGCACATGGCGTATTGGATACAGCAACTCCTTGTTCTTGTTCTGGGCTTGGAGAAACCACGTCAAGACTATTACGAACTTGTGGCTCATCATATTGTCACTATATGGCTCGTCGGGTGTGTTTTGACCCTGAGGGTTCAGAGAATATCTTCTCATCTTTTTTATAGCTGGAGTTATCTCATCAACCTCACCCTCATCGGAAATGCCGTATATATGAGCATGGATATACCAGACGCATTCTTTGCTGTAATCCGATCTCTTAGTATTGTCTATAACCTAAATCATCGACAATTTCTCTCCAGTTTTCGAAATTACTCAACTACCTCCGCGCAGAGCGCGCCAAAGTCGTCTCGTTCATTATTTTCATCTTTATTTGGACGTTAGTCTAATTGCTTCAACGCCTTCACAAACTCCTCTAATAATCCATGTCTTTCAAGGTACTTCCGCCACATCCTCAACTTCTATATTCTCTACTCCGTGTGGTTTGAGTATGACTTGATCCCGTGAGTTGTTTGCTGCACAATCTCAATTGCTTTCGCAAATTTCCCTACTCTCGTAGTGATTCCTCCAAAGTATGGATATGGGCCAATGGAACTTACCTTAACTGGTGGATGAAGTATCAGGTGTTCACGCCCCTACTTCTCCTTCAATTCTTGAATCTCTTCTGGTACTTCCTGATCATGCGTGTTCTTCGCCGGTGAGCAATGATGCGCGTACTCCAAGCCTCGTCTAATATATCCTGTATCCAGAGCTATAGTTGGTAGCGAGGTCGACGATGTACGTTCGGATGATGAGGATGATGGAGAAGATGAGGATGAGGACAAGCCTCTTTCTCAATCCAAAAAGGACAAATAGAGCTTATTAGCAACTACATGATGTGATCAACTGGATTCAATTTGCGAGTTTCGTCAATTAGCTCTAACCTGGCCTTGGACTATTGCAATATCTTCTGGATTGTTGGCGTGCTAAGTCTACAGCGCTAAGTACATAGTGTGATTCACTACTTGTTTACAAGATTACAAGATGATATCCATCTATGTCCTATGAGAACTAAGGCTACATGTTTCTTTTGAACTTGAAGCTCACAGGCTTGTAACCGGCACCCTCCTGGGAGGCCTTGTACCCACTCACGCCGCATATTAGATCTACATTAGCCACCAGCAGGCCACCAGTGACCACGAAACAAGGTGTGGTCCACGACAGTGGAGCCTAGTTTTAGTTGAATCCTTTATTATTTAAGGAGTAAGCGCTCACATACATATGTCACAACATAAGCGCTTACTAAAAGCTCACCCTTGTCTTTTAACCATTTTCTTGAAGTTGATTTCTGTCGTTCTCTCAGCTTGTACATATTCTTTCCACAACTACACATCTCTGAGCATGGGTAATGATGGTGGAAGTATCCCGGATCGTCGGGACCTCGTTCGGACCAAAGCAAAGGTACACAAAATATATTACTAACTACGAACCTGTTTTGACGCATAAGATAGGCAGAACAAGCTGATAAAGCCAACCAGACTCGCGCAAGATGGTTCTTCTGTGCTCTTTCTAAAGTTGGTGATCCGTTAACACTATGAACGCTAGAATTTTGAACTCCCATATTTCCAGCGACCGCTTCAAGATCCTATAGTGTCTTGCGCTCTCGGCAAACTATATAACAAAGACTCTATCTTGGAGTATTTAATAGACAAGTCTGCTTATGGAGATGGGGAAAGGATATGTGGACACATTCGGTCTCTAAAGGTGCTGCACATCGTTATCATCGTCCGTTAGCCCCCGGAACTCATGTCTTCTAGGACGTCAAGACATTAAGGCTGACTCCCAACACCAGCGTTTCCCCTTCCACTTCCCTCGATCTTACTTTGCGGTCACCTTTCGTTTGTCCACTCAACTTGAAGGAGATGAACGGTGTCCAACCCTTTGTCTATATTTCGACTTGTGGCTGCGTCTTCTCACAAGCTGGTCTGAAGACTGTCGTTAGCGCCTCTTCATCGCCCAAGGAGAAGAATAAACTATTAGCACAAGGTGAACCAACATCTCACGAGCAGGAATTGGAGCTTTGTCCCCAATGCGCAACCAAATTCTCCCGACTGGATGACATAGTAGTATTGAATCCACTTCCGGAAGAAGAAGAGCACATGCGGGAAAAGATGGAACAGCAACGGTTAAAGGAACCTACGAGAAAGTCAAAGAAGCGAAAGAATGCTTCTTCCGTGGACGATTCTGAAGCTCCTGCCAATAAGAAGAAAGTTGTGACCCCCATGCAGCCATCGATAGCAGCAGTCAGTCGGGCGGCGCTTGCCATGGAGGAAGCAAAGAGGAAAGCAACTATGAGCGAGGCAGTTAAGAGCTTATATGGAGATGGAAAGCCAGCAAGAAACGAGACGTTTATGACGCGGGGAACATTCACGAGATACGCGTAAGAGAAAATGTTACGTATTTATATTTCTATTGCTGTAATGTGTTCTGTATAAGTATGCACTTCGATGTAATTGTTCGTTTCTGGCGGCTGATATAATTCATCACCTCTTCGTTGCTTTGAGCAGGAATGATATGTAGGTCGCAATCGGGCGTTTCCTTCAGCCCTAGCGTAATGGGGTCAATTGGTATAAGTGAAGATGTGCTTAAATTGCGTTGCGAGTTAGTATCCCGTCAAAGCTAGTCAAAGTAGGGTAATATGTCACAGGCAAATGGATGGAGATCATGCAGCATTGTGATTTGTGATGTACGCATAGTGAGTAATAAACGAAATATCCCTTATACCATAGGCCTAGGAAGTGTGTCCAGTGTGTGTATATTTTCTGTCCATCGTATAACGTGCTTGATCCTTCCAGAATCCTCGCGTGTCGAATGCAAGAGTAGATAGGCATTTTCGGAGAGTTAGTCATCCTTTTTGGAACGAGAAACGACTGTGTCCTCTTCATCATCCTCAGCTTCTCCATCATCCTCGTCGTCGGAACGTTCATCGGATACCTCGTTGCTAGTCATTGCTCTGAATGACAGGTTAGTAGATGGTCGCAGGTGTCAAATATTCAATTATGTGTACCCACCGGTAGGCAATACGCATAATCAAGAAGTACCAGAAGAGGTTCAAGAATTGAAGCAAAAGCAACGGCGCAAAGACCTGATATTTCATCCACCAGTTAAGGTAGGTTCCATCGGCCCATATCCATACTTTCGATGATTCACTGAAGAAGAGTTATGGGAGCGGTAATTGAGATTGAGGAGTGGAGCTACTTACGGAGTTAGATCATACTCGAACCACACTGAGTAGAGTATATAGAAATTGAGGATGTGGCGGAAATATCTGTTGAAAATGAGTATTGATGACATAGAGGCTCTGGAGGAGTGACTTACGTCCAGACGAAGGTGAAAACAACGAAAGAGACGATTTTGGCGCGTTCTGCCTGAAGGTAATTGAGTATTTTCGAAAACTGCAGAGAAATCGCCGCTGATAGTGAGTGAAATGATAGAGTATACTGAGAAATCGAATTACAGCTAGGAACGTGTCTGGGATATCCATGCTCATGTATACGGCGTTTCCGATGAGGGTAAGGTTGATGAGATAACTCCAGCTATAAAAAAGATGAAAAGAGATTCTCTGAACCCTCAGGGTCAAAACACACCCGACGAGCCATATAGTGACAATATGATGAGCCACAAGTTCATAGTAGTCCTTACGTGGCTTCTCCAAGCCTAGGACAAGTACCAAAAGTTGCTGAACCCAGTACGCCATCTGCATGAGATAGTATCGTTTTAGTTCCGGCTTCATATCCCAGTGGGGGTAGTCTATCCAAAATGCTTCGGTACGATACCACCAAGTAGGAAGTTGGCCCATAATGCGCTACGAAATAATGAATAGACAGTGTGAATGGATAAACATAGGCAACATACATATCCCCAAGCACCCATGACAGCGAAGTATACCACGGCATATCCCTGCTCTGCGAATCGGTCCAGTTTCTGTTCCCTTTTAATACCATAATAACGCGCCATAGGTTTTAGCAAGTAGATAGATAGACTTTGACGTATCAATGACCAGAATACCACATAATACGCGATGAAAAGGAGGTCGGACCAGCCTTTCTGGTAGCGTGGACTCTCCTCGTTCAAGGAAGGAACAGGATGTGAAAGGAGGAAGAATCGGGCGAATGGATTAAAAAAGTCGGAGGAGAGGTAGGTGTTTCCTTGGGGAATGAGCTGAGCGAGGATGGGAGATACGAGCTGCCAGTTGACATAGAGGATGATTGGTACAAGGAGCACCTTTAATGAGGCCACTGTAGAGAGCAGTGAGATACGAAATTTGCACAGGTCACCCGCGACATTCACCTGGAACTACAGCCCAACGGAGGAAAGGATTTACAGCGCGCGGTTGGTGTCGTCGTCTGACATCGGGAGAATTGCTCCTCTCTGGTGTGAGAGAGCCTATAGGACTGATGAAAAACTATAAGTTGGAAGCGTCAAGATGGAGAAAGGCTAACGTTTGTGGCAAGAAAGGACCAGCGAGATGGTGAGCTGGGTCCTGCCTACAGCACGAGTAGATGCTCAGCACAAGTATTACGTTGGATATGGACGTACTCTATATGGCTGAGCATTGTGAGGGACGACTTTTTGTTAACCATGAAAGGAGGTCAAGTGACAAATATTCCATTCTTGCCAGACTTAGACTATGTATATATATTGACTTCAAGCTGACTCTTCAAGACACTTGTCAAAATCCAAACTGCTGTAACTTTTATGTGGTAACTATTTGCCATCGAGGAGGCAAAGAAAACGCGTGAGGTGCAGATGGTAAATCCAACGGAACGAAACCAAAACGACGAGGTGAATATTCATAAGGAACTCGATTTTTAAAATTAATGCCACCACAGCAGGTCCAATGCCGTGTCGTCTATGTACATGTCTGTAGTTTGTATGATCCCATTACTATTGGAACGTTGAAACATCCTTACTGCCCTGAAAGGCGTTCAATGACATTCTCTCCTCAGTTCAACTTGAAGATTTCTGGCCAAACATCACGTAGCTCTTCTAATTCACTGATGACCTTGATGTCTAGTTGCTCTTCTTGCTTAGAATCCACATTGGCCTTGGCCGTCGAAGATATCTTGGTTACTTTGCCTCCCTCGACGTGCTCTAGTCCCCGTTCACAGAAGTGAACACAGTGCGCCCAGCCAATCTTTTGGGCAGCTTGAACATTGCGCCAGTTGTCATCGATAAAATAGCATTTCGAGGGATCTATGACTGACGCGAGAGACATGGCCTAATGTGAAATATGATGAATACAGACATATCGAAATTTGTGAACACTGACCTTGCGATAGTATGCAGGTTCAGGTTTACTTGTCAAATCTTTTGCTTCATAGTCGCAGTACACTATTCCTTCTACAAGATCCCGGAGATTTAAAATGCGCAAAACGCGTTCGGCGTGCTAGGGACAATGAGCGTCGCACTCCAATGACTCTCGATGAACAATCATACCACTTTATACGCGTTCGTCAATGCCCAAACACGCACCCGAGAGCGATCTATGTCTTCGAGTAGCTTTCGATGAACAGGATTGGGAAAAATCATTTCTTCTAGTGGCAAAGCCTGATCGCAGTTACGGTCAAAGTCTAATGGATCTGCGGAGATGAATGAGCATTGCTGACAGGGAAGATTCTATGGGGAGTACGAGCCTACGCCGTGATGTCGAACAAGTCCCGCTAGTGCAAGTCCGTATTGGGTGTAATACTTGTGATGCAAATCGGATGCCTCTTCATCGCTCAATCCGAGTTTGACGAAATAATCTTTGGTCATTTGTTAGCTGTAAGTAAAGCTTTGAAATCACGATGGACTGACCGTGTATCTTGACACCCATTGCTTGAGATATCTTTGCACTTGTCGAGTAGAGAGTGTTGTCAATATCGAAAAAGACAGTAATCTGACGTTCATCTATGACAACTCTGTTTCGATTTGGCATTGGACGTGGATAAAGTCGACTGAGGGTCACCTTGAATAGTCATTGTTGGTAGATGATAAGAGCGTAGACGTGGTATAGAAGCAAGAGTGTGTCAATGAATGACTCCAGACTCCAGAAACGTTCGTGACGGCTCGTCCGAAATTCGGAATATGATAAGATAACAGTGATCAACTCCTTACTTGATTTTCTATAGAGCAAAGAAACGCGCTGAAGGTGTACTCAGAGGCATGGTGATCACGCTCAAAGTTTTGGTAAACCCTGATGGTACGTTCCTATGATGCAGCCATAACTTGCGACTCATTATTGTTTAGCTTAGGCCAGGTTTAGGCTAAGGAATGGCGGGAGTAATCGTGAGAAAGATATGTGGGAACCACCTATACAGTCACATGACTATCTACAATCTACATCCAGTTGCTGGTAGCTTGTCAAGGCAAAGTAAACGGGCTCCTCAAGATTCAAGTAATATCACTCGTTATCCAAATTGCGATCTGCTAAACGTCTCTCCTTCCGTTTAGATGGCCAGAAGTAAAGAACTCGTCCCCGGAGTTGGGCGTTTCTCCCGATCCCAAGTCGCTGCTAAGCGCGGTCTGTACAAGGGTCTCAAAAAATCCGAAAAACCTGCTGTCGAGCCCACTCCGGAGACTGTAGAAAAGACCATTGGTGGCAACAACAACGGTGAAAAACGTATTGTTCCTACCTCCAAAGCTCCTCGATTCTACTCCGCAGAGGATGTGCGCCAGCCAAAGAAGAGTCGTAAAACTGCCAAACCTCCCCAGCTTCGTTCTTCGATAACACCTGGAACTGTCTTAATTTTACTGGCCGGGCGATTCAGGGGGAAGCGTGTTGTATTCTTGAAGCAGTTGGAGAGCGGTTTGCTGTTGGTTTCCGGGCCTTACAAGGTCAACGGTGTTCCTCTGCGACGTGTTAATCAGGCATATGTTATCGCCACCTCTACTAAGGTTGAGCTCGAGGGTATCAAGGTGCGTTTGTATGTTATACAATGTTTGCGCTTATCGCTTATCATACTATATCAGCTCTCTGAGGAACTCAACGATGCCTACTTTGCCAAGCCTTCTTCCAAGGGTGCTAAATCCGCAGAAGAGGAGTTCTTCGAGGAAGGCAAACCTAAGGAAAAGGAGGCTTTCCCTGCATCCAAAGCTGCTCTTCAGAAAGAGGTTGACTCTACCCTCATCACCGCCATCAAGAAGACCGAGAACCTTGTCAAATACCTCAGATCGACGTGGGGTTTGTCAAAGGGTCAGTATCCTCATCAGATGGCGTTCTGAGTTAGCGTTGGGATTCACGGAGGTGGCTTGGACGACGTAGGATTTATGATAACATGCTTCTGTACTGCATATGAATCGTTCTTTATAACTTCTATTCGCGCCACAGCATATGCGTTACTCAAGTCAAATCGTCAGGCAAAATATACTCAAAAAAGATTTTATGTCCCTCTGAGTCTGAACATCTGACATGGAATGACTTCGTAATAACTTAAGGAACACAGCTGGTGAGTGTATCAGTAGCGTGCTCTGTAAGTATGGGGTAATTTTCTGTTGAAAATCCGATTAGCGCAGTACAAAAAATAACGAATGAATACTGCAGCGGTCATATTAGATCAAGAGAAATTCACTGGATTACCGGCTCACCACCACAAAAGTAGTGGTGTTGTGAATGCGGTTGCCTCCATACCACATTTATTGTCATCCCGCTTAGGCAAACAAAACACTTGTACTCACCTTCATTTTTTACTGACTGTTTGATCATGACCCTTTCAGTGGTTTCTGACCTGACCGCGGAGGTGAAGGGGCCTTCAATTTGACTTGGACGTTGGCAAGAGCAGAGCCGGAGCCGGAGCCAGGAACTGCTCGCGAGACTTGCGCCGAGGATGTTCCTCTCGGTTTCTGTTTTTGCGTGCTAGCCGCCCCATGAGGTGTTGGGGTTGGAGTCGGGATCTGGGTCGATGTAGCAAGGAATTCTCTTCGCTTCTTCATAGCTAGTGAATTAACTAGCCATGTTTGAAAGAGACCGAAAGCTGCTGATGTGACCCAGTAGAGTGTTACTGCCTGCCATGAAAGAAGAAGGGGTTATGAGTAACGGGTCCTTTGCTTGTGCATTTGCGAAGGCATACCCCAGGAGCAATAGAGGCCAAACCTATTCTGAGAATTGAGAGAACACGCATCGAGTCTTTCAAATTACTCTGCAGGTTGAATTTCACCATTGACAATCTATCTCCACTCTTTGCGACAGTCTCCTTCATCTTTTTCTCCTTCTCCTTCAACGCCTCCTTCTCAGCGGGGTTCAAGACCCAATGGCTAGATTCAACATTTGCCATTGTAAGGAGGCCTACCACGACAGGCATGGTAAACGTAGGATCAGGATGGTTCAAAGTTGATAATGTTAGAAAGGACTCCGAGTCAAAAGGAGAAGTGGGATCTGCAGCGAGACGTGCGAATACCATGGTCATAACGATAAAGAGAGGTGCTTGAGCCATGACAGGCATGAGAGCTGTTGTGAGGGGTCTGCACTTGTGCAACTTCACTAGTTCTTTGCTTTTCATTTGCATCTACGATCATGGTCAGCTTCGCCCAAACAAAATCTCGGTCGTTACGCACAATATCGTGACAACGCTTCGCGTGAATCTCTGCTCTTAGCTCCTTATTTTCGAGCAACCCCTCCTTGCGCATTGCGTTAGCCTGCTCATGCATAACAATGGGCTTCAACTCCCTTAGAACAGGGAGGACATTTCTCTCAAAGCGGAATTGACGCCTCGTAGCCTGTTTAGAAGGAGGTTGTAGCGTGCAGACTCGACCATAAACAACGTTGGTGCATACCCAGAAAACGGTCGGAAGCAAAGCAGTTCTGACGGCTACGGTCAGTAGAATGATAGTGGCGGAGTATGCAGGCCAATGCGCAGGATAAGGTAGGGCTAATGCAAGATCTAGAAAACCTTCATTGAGGTTTTGGACAAAATGGCGTTTTTGAGATGGCGTCCGAACTGGTGTGAATCTAAAAGATGAGTATAATGACGGTCGCAAACGAAGAGAACGAGAGGGAAGCATGAGACTTGGAACATCACGATCACGGCAAAATTCATCACACTACATATTTGGTTTGGTTTGGAGTAAAAAAACCGACGTATTCGAGTTTTTTCTGCTTTTAAGTAGGTCAAGCAGCATATCGGATATATATCATATAAAGAGGTTTCGCTGGAAGGAATGTTGTTTCAGAGGGTATCGCGGGATCGTGCTACATCATAATAAAACACCTGAATAATCGAGTACAAGTAGCCAAATAATGAGAGTAATGAAAGAATATTCGTAAGGATTGTTCATGAAACGCCACCCCAAGGTCCTCTTATGCGTCGCGCAAGCTGAATGTCGCGTTGCATAATAGTCACCCGTTTGGCATGCAATGCACAGAGATTGCTAAGGCAAAGAACATCTCAGTAAACTAACATGCACAATCCAATACATCACGCACGCGTCTTCGAACAGATGCACTAAGAACGCCTCTGTTGCCTCCTGCAACGCCAGCAGAGCAGAACTTTGCCACCGGAGTTCGTACATTTCACCATTTGTCGATGTGGTCATGTCCTGGGCAATTTCTCGGACCTGCAATAGCATGAACTCAAAATTAGGAACGAGCAAGACCAAAACGACACGTACCAGACGCGAAAAAGGTAGCTTCCGAAGTAACAGATCTGTGCTCTTCTGATACTTGCGAATCTCGCGCAATGCCACCGTACCAGGTCGAAACCTTCGACCTTTCTTCGGTGGCTCGTCTGAGGATAACTTGAATGAATATATCAAGTGTCATTTTCGGTGTAAGATCGTACCGTCTTGCCGAACAGTTGTTGAAGATCGACGAGGGGCTTTTCCTCCTGTGCTCTTGCGGGCTGTGTTAGTCTTCGACTTTTTTGCAGGAGAGCCTGCTTCCGAGACGCCCGAAGGACGAGATTTGCGTTTCGATCCCACCGTCTGAGCCATTTGTCACGAGAGTTGAGGCGAAAGAAGAATAATGGATGGTGGACTGATGTCCAAAGCCGGATTAGGCAATAAAGTTTAGACGCTAACAATTTGAACAATAACTTTATGTCTATCTATCAGTAACCGGTCACTGAGTAAAAATTTCCCTGTTCTTGCAAACGCCAATGAGATCTGTGTATTTCTATTTCGATGGAAATAGAGATGGGAGCTTTGAAGCTCGAAGGCTCTTAGTGTCCATTCGCCATCTTCGCCAACTTCTTCGACTGTCTTCAACTTCCATCATTCATTTCTTCGTTATGCCACTTCTTGCGTTCTCATGAGTGAACGATCTGGCTTGCAAGACTGTATCTCGCGCAGTTCAATGTGTTAGTTCAATTGAAATTCAGCGTAATCCTATTACACTGTAGCAATAGAATCGTGATACCTCAGGATACGTCTGGATACCTCTTAGTCGAGTTTCCTTCCATTTGATTTTAAAGAAGGGATAGTTTATACAAAAACATGGATTCAGACTTGTCATGATTCACACCTGAGGCCTGAGGAGGGCTCGACGACGGCAACAGCGGCTAGTTTTAGAAAGTAATTGAATTATCTGACGAAGTCCGAATTAGGCAATATGCACAGTAAGGCTGAGTATATCAAGGCCATCGTGTGCGCAGTTTTTTGGCTTCGCTCTTTGCACTTAACCACCACAAGAACATGGTTGTTCCCGTTGTTACAGGCTATTATCGCTACACCGACATTTGGTTTGAGTGGTAAGCAATGTATCTCTCAAAAGGCCTTAGAGTCTTCATCGAACCTTCATCTCTCGTGCAGGCACAAACAGTGTGGCGAGGATGGAGAGGTCCTCAAAGCCATATTGGGTACGTTTATATTTGGTCATTATTTCCAGATAGATCTAATTACCTACAATACTGTAGCGCATGATGCACTTGTCAGTCCTCAGCACCCACTCCACGTTGACGGAGTCGAGGGCGTCCAGTTGTATATCGGTAAATCGACATACACGATGTTATCGATCTCTCTGCTCATTCCATATCCTGTCAGGAACTCTGAAATCGGGTGAAACACGTCTGATGTTTTCATCCAAACAAGTAGAATATGTGCGGTACTGGCTCCATGCAGTCGGCTTAACCAAGGAACCAATCGGTCTGCCTTATTCCGATTGCCTATTACGTTTGCAAGATCTTCGCGGCGTCTCGCCTCAAGCGTTCAAAACAGGCGGGGAGCTCAAAACTGCTACTAAGGTACTACTTAGGTTGTGATTACCCTCATAACATCTGCTTCTACTTCATGATCAAATAGAAAATCGAGAAGAACAATAAGAACATCAAGAAATCTAATGATCCTCCTTTGACTTTTCGTCGTTCATCCTTTGAAACAGTCCGGAAGCTATGGCAGAACAAGATTGGTATCTGGTGCTCCATTGACTTTGAATCTTGGGAGAGGGATCATACAGTTATGACCGAATTTGGTTGGTCTCGTATCCATTGGGAAGATAATCAGGAAATTCGAGAAGAAGGGCATATTATTGTCAACGAGAATCAGAAGTATACTAATGGAACATATGTTTCTGAAAATCGCAAGGTAATCTTAGTTTTCTGCACCTGCTACGGAATTTATCGATCTCTCACAGAACTACAAATGGGGTCAAAGCGAAGTCGTATCCAAAAAAGAGTTCAAATCTCGCATCCAAAATATGCTGAGTGACCTCCGACGTAATGACCACACCTTTTTGGTTTTCCACGATGCAAAAGAAGACATTGAGTAAAATTCTCCCCCTCATTTCTCGAGTTCACCACTGATATGCTGACAGTTATATGAAATCCGCTATGGTTGAGGCAGATCTGACTGGTTTGTCGTACACCTTACCAGATGGTCCTTCCCCCAAAAGTGGAGTATTCGTTGTGGACACTGCTGATCTTTTTGGCGGACTACAAGGCGAGGGGACGAGAAACCGAGGTCTGGAGCAAGTGTGCAACCAACTTCAGATCAAGACTGAGTTCCTTCACAATGCTGGCAACGACGCACATGTAAGCATCTCTTTTATCTTGTTGCATAATGCATAATTCCATTGTCTGATGACTCTCTGCTAGTATACCCTCGAAGCTTGCAAAGAAATGGCTTGTGGTGATTCCCTTGACCTTCAACGTGAAAAGCGCTGGCCTAGTAAGACTACACCAGGCACTATTACGGTGAATATCGATGCTTTAGAGCAGGAGGAAGATGCCTCTGACGAAGAGGGTTTGTTCATGAGTGCTTTGAGTTGAAGAAAACGGTTCGAAAAGGAAGCGTTGTACGTGTCTCTGGACTCTTTGCTGTCTTGGAATGCTTTGTATCTATATGCGTAGTAGTAGTGCCTTTTATGATCATTCAATTTCTTGCTGCGGTGAGAAACTGAAATTTAGGCGCCAGTGTCTTGACATGGAGCTACGACCTCGTTACAACCAACCTTTCACATTATCTGAGGCTATTCTTCTTGACATATCTACTATTTCTGAAGGTCGAACAACCAATCCCATCTTTGAGGCCCAGACATCTCATTTCCGTAGTCAGAAATAACCAGGCTGCAATACTCGATCAAACGTCTACGCGAAACACAGGAGACACTTCAGGAAGTCATCGACGAAGCGGAATCGCCTGGAGCAGTGGACGTGGAGATCGTGCAAGCTTTCAAAGAGAATCAAGAAGTCATGTGCGTAGCCCTGCTTGATCGGTAGTGGTGCCTTCACTGAGCTGGATAGATAATGTAGAGGTTCTCAGGAAGAGCGCATCCTCATTCTCAAGCTCGCATTGGCCGATAAAGGTGTCAGCTCAGGTGCCCATTACGATGTTGACACTAGTACTCAAATGACTGCGAAATCACCTCTGCATGATTTCGACTTCGGCGAGGATCACAATGGTCCTGGATCCATCGAAGAAGACGATTCAGGAGGACTTCATCTGTAGACCAAACGTAGGTACTTCTTTCCAATATCCATAATTTCGATTTATTTATTTATAAGTATGATACAGCGAGAATGTACAAAATACAATGTATACCCGGAGTCCATGCTAGATCACGATCCGAACTTAGAAGAGCGTAACAGATATGACTTGAGATGCTTCGGAAACTTCAAGAATAATACCGTCATATCCGTAAACTGCGATAACGAGAACGAGTTAGCCTAAGAATAATCCCTTGAATGAAAGCTCACGACGCGTTGTTGCGCTGGGAAGCGTGATGTCCTCCTCGTCATTGGTACGGTCAAGCAACATGGACGGGGGAGGCTCTCTTGGACTCAGGAAATGGCTAATGGTCTCAAACTGTTCTGCTGTGAGTCGACAAATAGATATTGGTTTTCTAACACCCACCCGGTCATAGAACCGCTTTCTCGGAGGGGTGTCTGAAAGTGTAGTTAGCATAGTTCAAATCCTGAGTCCAGTCGTCTTCACCATCTTCGTCATCCTCTGGTTTCCCTTCTATTTCCCAATTGCATCGCTTGTAAACCTGGAAAAGTGGTGATCCAGGCTAGCCCCCAATTAAACCTCCGCGTATGACTTCGAAATGACTCGAACCTACCACGTTCGATTGCAAGATAATCTTCTTGACAACATGATTCTTCCCTGAGATGTAAAAATCTATTCCATGCTGGAAGTAATTGTAGAAATCTGGAGAGAATATAAATTGTGAGTAAACAGTGGGTGTTCAAAATTGTCCCACATCCAGTATCAGATTCATCTTGAAGGGAAGAGTGTATTGTCATTCGATCATCTTCTTTGTAATGAACGCGAAGGGGACGACCAAGAGAGACAGCTAGATCTTGGGCAGTTGTAGTACCGATGCGGACATGTAGTGAAGCTGTGTTTGAGGGGTAGAATTGTAATGTCACTCCATCATGCACCTTTACGCAAAAGTATATTAGGTACAGTACTGGATACAAATCTGCACAACACACCTTTACGATTGCCAATGCAATATCACTGTTCATTATAGGACATTCTGCAACTTCACCCAGAGCATCCCCTTGCTCCGTGTCGACTTCTTTCTGTGAGATAAGAACTCGCTTCACTTCCTGCAATCTATCTTCATTGTGTGCGTTGCCCTTACGACCTTCGCCGATGCCCTCTTCTTCAAAACTGAACCAAACTCCTGGATATCGCAAGTCATCTCCAGGATACGTAGGGCCAAAGTTTCGACTGATACCAACTCTTCTGAGAACCTCATCTGCAGACGAAAGCACACTGCCCTTATAATGAAGCGTCACCGGAGGGCTTGTATCCCTCAGCTTCCGGACGCATATCGTCCGCAATCGCTGATGTTTGCCGGAGAATAAAAGGTCAAGGTGTGGCCTAAGATGAAGAATGATTGGTGTGGTGGAAGAGGCGTCAGGATCGTACTTGATGTCGACCTGGGGGAACAAGTGCTGCATTTGACGAATCATGTTTATGATATTCCAGAGGGAAGCCCCTGCGAAGGACTCAAACGCTGCATTGAATGACGTGCAAAAGATTTTTACCCAGTTCAAACGCACCCAAGCCAAAACCAGGACGAAGTTCTACGTCTAGGGTAGGAAACATCGTAAAGGGAAGGAAGAAGTTCGTGTTCGCCACGTGAAATCGCGTTGTGTCACGCGCAAATCTGCCTGCACAAGAATCAGATCCTGCTTTGTTCAACGACTTTGACGCGTCGCACCTTCTAGCTTCTCCGTTTACTACAGGTCCTGCAGCTCAGAGACTTACGCAATGTCAGATGCGCGTCAGCGAACCATTCTCAAGGTATGTATATGTATGTGCTCAGAGCTCGGACGCGAGACGCTGAGTAACGATCCAAGGTCTTTCGTAAATTCAGCAATTCCCTGGGGCCGGACACCTTGGACTTCTTGGAGCAAATTTTGGATGCACATGAAATCCAGGATATCGATGTTGAGTCGTCGATCGAGACTCTTGCCAAGGAATATAACAAGCAGGATGGCAAGTGAGCCATTACTTGACTCTCTGCTGACACTCATCTTGTCCTAAGATGCAACAATGAAGGTCTCGATCGAAGTCCTACAGAAAGTTTATGAAAGACTTCAGGATCAAGGTCAAAGTCAAGTAGAAGCAGAAGCTCTTGACCCGGACAGTCATCTCCATTTCATCAACGCCTTTGAAATGCCTAGTTGGCATTGGTCTATCGAACGTGGAACATTTGAAAAGTAATCACCTACTCGACGTATTATTTCAACCTTACCGACTGCATCGTAGAGCTGCCGTCCCGCCTACTATGTCAGGCTCTGCTGATTCGCGTGTATCCGCGGTCCGAGATCGCTTGAATGTGATCAAGCAATGTGTCTTACGGAACGAACATTTTGCACCCTCGACTCTTCCTTCGCGGGACAGGGATCGTCTTGTCACAGTAAGCATCAGACCTGTGTTGCGTATCGTGCCCATTATAACCTTATAACCCTCCGTACAGCTCAAATCGACGAAACAGTTGCTGGGCAGAGCAGGCGAACGGTTCTTACTCTTGGGAATGCTTGCTCGCTCCAAAGAAGGAAAGCTAGTCCTAGAGGATACTGATGGAAGCGTCGAATTGGATTTCTCACAATTGGTAAGAAGGTTTTGCGAGTTCCATGAAGCATCTTCCTTCAACACTCGACCCAGGATGGACCAGGGGATGGCCTCTTCACTGAGGGGTGCTTTGCTCTCGTTGAAGGAGAATACACAGATGAAAGCAAGCTGGAAATCATTGCCATTGGTCAACCTCCTTGTGAGTCTAGACAGACTGCACGGTATGCAAATACACTCTATTTTTGTCGAACATTAACTAACAGAACTGTAGGTCAATCTATGGACATATTGACTTTCTTGGAAAGGCGTCTACATCTCTACTAGATGACGTGTGAACTAAACCTATGGAAGAGATTCACTGTGCTAACATGTTTTCTTAGGAAAAACTTTCCGTTCGTGTTCAAGAGGAACTTTCGGACCTACACTTTTTTTTCCTGTCAGACGTCTGGCTGGATCACCCCTTCACCCTACCCGGCATTAGGAAAATGCTAGATAATTGCGTAGAGAATGATTTTATTCCAAAAGTAATCGTCCTGTGTGGTAATTTCACAAGTGAATCCATCACTCATGGCAATGCGCGAGATATAAACCGCTACCAAGGTCTTTCTGTAGGAATCTTATTCATATGCTAATGTTAACACCTTGATATTGCAGATAATTTTGACGCACTGGCCGATCTCATTGCCTCTTACACTTCCATAACACGTACAACACATTTTGTACTGGTACCTGGGCCGTTAGACCTAACGCTGAACGCAATCTTGCCCCGACAGCCGATATTGTCTAGTCTGCTTTCGCGCATAAGATCGAAAATTCCGAAAGTCCATTTGGGGTCAAACCCTTGTCGCATGAAGTTTTTCGACCAGGAGATCGTCATATACAGAGAAGACTGCATGGCCAAAATGCTAAGAAATGTGGTGGGTATCGGCATAAAACCAGACGTCAATAGTGACGATCTGAAGCGCTTCGTGAGTTGTTCCCTCCGTCTGCTTGCGACGCATTTCTTGAACGCACCATAGCTGGTACAAACCATTTTAGATCAAGCGCACCTAAGCCCTTTGACAATCAACGTTCAGCCCACTCTATCAGAGTACGATCATTCTCTTCGTTTGTATCCATTACCAACAGCGGTATGTATATACATTTAGAGATTCGTTCCCCACTCTGAGCAACGCCATCCAGCTGGTCCTTGCAGACAAATATGACAGATACAAAATAACATATACCGGGTGTCATGTATTCAACCCAGGTAGCTTTGTTGGCAGCTCGTTTGTTTTTTCCACATATAAGCCTGCAGAAATTAATTCAGAGGAATGGTAAGTGGATTTATTGTGGGACGCCATGGCGGAACCTAACTTGCACGATATAGTATACTCGAAATGGAACAAATTGAATAGTATTTTGTATTGCGTGCTGTTCGAGTCTAATTAGTCTGAATAGAAGCGTGAAATGTACTGCTTTGACTATTGCCGAAAGAACCGAGTCCGGCGACGGCACTGATGACATAAGAAACACTTCGACGGCCACGGGCAATTGTGAGAAACTCACTATTGCGATGAACCTCTTACACCTAAACACCTAAATTGATTTTCACCTTCACTTCTACCCTGGCACCAGTAGCACAGAAGGAACTGGAACCTAGCACGGGCCGACGTCATTCGTTTGGAAATATCAAAGTATTATCTTGATTCTTAGAACGGCGAGTATCTTATTGCTAACTGTCAGTTGCGCAGCTCAACTTTTTCTCATAGATTATGTCTATCTTCCATCTATTTTACTATCTTACTATCCCATGTGAAGTCATTCTTTTTTGGAACCCATCAAGTCAATGGTTGGCTGCCCTCATTCTCCTGATTCGATTCATCGTCTTCGGCCTTCTCCTTCGCACGTATATCGTACCTTGGCTCTTCCTACGCTTTTCTCGTCACATTCGCATCCGGAGTGTTAGTTTGCGCTCCATTCGTGGGCTGTATGTTAGCCATGGGAATGGAACATGGGGGGTCGAGCGTTTGAGCTACTCGTGGTCTCGTGTAGATGGCGCGAGGCATCTGACCATCAAAGTGGAGGGTTTAACGGGAGAGATCTCCAGATTCGACCTGGAGCCCAGCATCTCTGATGGTCACAAGAGATCTATGACTGCTGTGGTAACTTCTGCTGCCTCTCAAAATATCTGGCGAATAACGTCGGGGATTGTTTCCGCTCTGGATCCAATATTTCGTCCTCCCATTCGGGGTGTGGCTACGTATATTCTCCGATGGGTTATATTTTGGGCCCCAGGTATTACGTCGGCGGTGTTCTTCGATATATATCCCGCCACGTTCAAATTTACTGGTTCTCTGGAATGCGAAGTAACGATTGAGAAGGTTCATCTACATACTTTACTTGACTTCCGTCAAGGTCAGGACTTGGACGATAACGGGACAGAAAAGAAAGCTCCTCCACTCCGTTCCAAGAAATCGTTCAGTATGACTGCCTGGAAATCGCGTCTTACACGCAGTTTCGAGCGCACATGGGATAGAGCAATCGAAACGAGGGAAGGTGTGGCTAGCTTCGCGGTGGAACTTGATAATATCAAGGGTTATCTCCCCTCAGGTGGGTTACTCTGGCTCGATTCAGGCTCTTTCCGTTGAACTAATTTCTTAGACTCGACATTCTTTCGTATACCTGGTGCTGTCACACTACACTCGACCACGACATTCGATCCAAAACGGAGAAGGTTGCATACACACGCTCTGCAGACGAATATCAATTTTGAGGGCTGCTTTGTGGATGTGGATGTTTTACATACCCTGTTGCAAAAATACAAAGCCTCAAGGCCCCCCGCTCCTTCTCCAAAAGAAGATATTCCTCTATTGAGCCCCACTCTTTCCTTTGTGTCTCGAGGGACCACTTTTCTACGGTCGCCTCTATCCGCCGACTCTGCTTTCTCATCAATTTATAGTCCATCGTCCCCCATCCTCGAATCTATCACTGTAAGTTGTCAGATTATCACCAGTATCTGTGTTCATAGTTTCCGTTCAGGCCTCAATCTTACCTCGACGACACGGTTACCGCCCTTGCATGAAATTAAGAGATACCAGAAACCAAGTAGGTCTCAGACTTTTAATTAGCTTCTCGCACTTTTGACAGTGGTAATCAGGCGTTGATATCATTTCTGGACTCAATACAACTTCACATAAGTTTTGTATCGTTGTCTACCTCACCAAACGCCAATCTGGACTCGTACCGGCTTATCGTTGAGGACATAAACGTCAATGTCGGGCTCAGCAACTTCGACCGGAATTTACTGCATCGTAAATTGGCTGGAAGAAACGACCCCAAGGAAGCTTTTGACTCTGATATCTATTCGTTGGATGTGAATGTCAATGGGATTCAGCTTACACGGACCTCGGGTAGGGATAAGCTCCGTTTAGTCAACGTAGGCCCTCTAGGTTTGAACATTGTTACAACCCAATGGCCCTCTCCTCTTCTCGTCACATCACCCTTCCTAGGCGGTGATCCTAATGCTCCCACCGTTTTGTTCAAGTTAGGCGTGGACTCAGTGAGTGTAACCGACCGTTTGGATTCTTTACTAGAACTTGTCGAACAAATCCCTCATAACGAAAAATCGATTCCACCTGCTCAACCTTCATTCTCTCTCATTCCAGTTCCTCGAATAGAAATAGAAGTCAGTTGCGGACCTATTCAAACTCAACTACTCGTTGGCTCACCAGAAAGCCCGCACACCATAGAAATGCGAACGGACGGTTTCCTCTTGTTGATCAACTCACATTTTGACAATCGATACCCACTCGTCGCTAGTACTCTGGCTGAATTCGACAAGCTCCTTTTACGAATGGTCTTCGAACTATCGTTCATTTGGAAGCCAACCTTCATTCGAATCCGTTCCCGGCAATCCAAACGAGCCAGTGTTGTCTCCGATTTTGCGGAAGATCCTGCTCTCGTATCTCTTGATGCGATTGAGGCTGTCGGCAAGGGTGACATTTTAGCTGAAATTAGAGATGACACTCAAAATACACCAAGCATCGACTTGTCAACATTGGTCTCTGATATCAGTTTTTCGTCAGACGCTTTATGCCTAGAACTCTGGCATCCAGAGGTACTTGATGCCCTAGTTGAACTCTTAGAAGTCCTTCCTTCTGCTGTGAAGGAGGGCAATTCACACAAGTCTCTCCAAGCGAGATTACCACTAGGTTGCAGTGCTACGGTTTCATTGAGCCGATTTGTCATTTTTGTTACAGCTTCTGAACTAAATCCCAATGATAACCTGGAGTTGTCTCGTGGTTTCGCTTTACGTGTAACTGGCATGTCGGCACAATATTGTGCTCTACACTACACTCATCTGCAGCGGTACAAGGAACCAATAAATCTGTCATCATCAAGAATCAAACTATTCTTGCCCAAGGAGCGTAGTGTTGCTGCCTGGGAAGAGGCAAAAAGAAGTGCATCGATTTCTACTTTCATGAGTCTTTCCTTCCTGCGGCTCTCATTACGGAGTGCCATCTCCACCCAATATTCCACTGATGATCCCTTCATCGCTGAACGTGACAACCCCGCTTTCGAGAACAGAGATTGTCTACAAATGCATGGCTTTTTGACCGACGCCCGTCTCCATGGTCAAGGCGGAAAAGAGGTTTTAGACATCATGATGAGAGTTCCATACGTGCAAGCAATGGTCCAGGTTGCGGATGTCTATAGCGTTATGCTTGCAGCTCGGACACTGAAGACACTATCTACAACTCGCCCTCGAGCCAGCGCTAGTGAGAATACTCGCCATGTGAGTGGGAGTATATTACTGTCTCTCCAAGTCACCGCTACAGTTGATAATCTACAAGCACATTTTGTCCTTCGCAATTCGAAGATCTTTTGTCGCCTCGATTCTCTATCTACACATCTCATTTCTGATGGTCCACTGACGGTGGGATGGGACAAACTTGTATTATGGACACGCGTTCCTGCAGCTGTAAATCGTTGGCAACAGAGAATAGGGCAGAAGTGGGAGGAGTTTTTGACTCTGCAAAAGTGGAATGTTTGTCTCAAGCAACAACCTGCTGTCGGCAACTCAGTTTCGGTAGAGGGGGTTGCTGCACGTGTCCGCATCCCTTTCGGTTTCATCTTGGCTGATCTGGTCCTTGACGTCAGCGTAGTGATAAAAGCGCTACGGCATCTTCACCTGATAACAACATCGAATCTCTTTTCACCTTTTCCTAAACCTGAAGCCGAGGCGCCGAAAGCAGTTCCAAATCTATCTGTACAAGTGGGGTATTTGTCTCTTGAAGCTGCAGATGATCCCCTGGAGACCAAACTCGGTCGTATCTTCAAAGTAGGTCTCGATGCTGTGAAGAATCGTATGGATCGCGAGGATGCGTTCGCTGTCAAGGTGAACAACATTTTAGCCACACAAGGTGCTCAGACTCCTGAAAGGGATGCGGACTGGGAATTCTCAACCCACCATTCTGTTTCTATTCAAGACGCCCGAGATAGACTTGACCAAGTCCATGTTCTTGACTGGGTCATGCGGCTCGAGCGACTCAAGAACGAGCAGAAAGAGGTCCAAGCAGAATTATTCCGACAGTTACATCCTTCTCCCACTAGCAGAGGCGTTAATATCCCAACCATCATTCCGTGTACTCCAGTAAAAGAGGATCCACCGCTGATTAGAACCACAATCACCAATCTCTCAATGATCATTTCCAGACCGACATTTCCTCTGGAATGCACTCCTGATTTCTTGTTCGAGCAAGGCCAACTCCCTAAAGATACACAATATAGTCTTCTGATTCCACTACATCTACATTACTCTCTCTCCTCGTTCCAGGTCACCTTGCGAGATTATCCGTTGGCAATGGTGGACATACCTGCACACCCTGACCCTACTTTGGCCGCTCTAGAGTTTGACACTGATCTAGTGATCGCCGAAGAGATGGGGACTGACCTCTCCATCGACTGGGTAGAATGTCCCATCATACTGCCAGAAACCGAGTATCTCGATGTAGAACCTTTCTACCTCATGGTTCCTAAAACCATCATGCCTGTGAAGACATATGCTAACCCTGAAGTCAAGGTTACCACTGCCAATCCAACCACGTTTTGCTGGGGCGTAAGTTATGGTCCAGCTACACAAGATCTCATGAGGATCGTCGATACTCTGTCGAGCTCGCCGCGTGACCCTTCCCCTCCTTTGGGCTTCTGGGATAAGGTATATGACCTTGCAGCATTGTTTATGAATTCATTAACATTCCGTGGGATATAGTTGAGACTCGTTTTCCACTGGAGCGTTCGCGCCTCCTTCAGGGGCGACATTCGACTACACATGAAAGGTACGTGGCCCCCCTCGTTTCTCATAACGGTACCCGTTTATCCTATTATCGACAGGTCTTCGTGATCCTTACGAGATCATCGATGTTGGCGCAGGGTTCTTGTACTCCTGGCAAGGTCATACAAAGCTGCTCATCGGCCGCAAGAATGACGACGGAGAACTCATTCAAGTCATCAGTGACTCGATGGTTATTGCGATCCCGAAGTCAGTATCTGTTGTTCACCTATTTCTCAACTAACGACTGTCATCATAGCTTGGAAAAACTTCCGAGGAAATATCCGTCTTCTGTCAGGAAAATCTGCGCTAAGTTTCTATCTGGAGTTAAATTTGGTCTCGGCTTTGCCCTTGAGCGAAGTTGTGGAACAAACTGCCATAGCTGCACCGGTTCACCTTTTCATCGCCAGTGCCGCTTCTTTGACTTCATGCCACACTACTTGGTGAGGTTAGAGAAAAAGCCGGGCACTCCCGATTTAAATGTCAGTATGATTCTCGATACCTTTGTAGAATTCATCTTACATGTTATTTAGGGCCCCGCGGACTCTTATTCCGAATTCCGGTCGGATTTCATCCATCTTTCAATATCTTTGACGGCATCTACACGAAGTCTGAAGCCCGGAACAGAAACTGAATTTAGCAGTCTGCATTTGACTCCCAAGACTTTCACCCACTTCTGGTCATGGTGGACTCTTTTCGATGGTGTTTTATCCCTTCCAATAAGGCATGGTTCGTACTTTCCCCGTCGAATAATCTCGCCCAAAATTGGGCGTCATCTGGCTACACTCAAATACCGTTTGCTTGTTCCAAAATTGTTTGTCATGCACGGCTACGTCGACGATTCCCGAGAAAGTAAGAATTGATTGCTTGACTTAGTATAATTCATTTAATCTATCTGCCTCCTACAGCTTGGATTGACGGGGTAACCCCCTGGGTTGGCGTTAAAGCAATGATTGAAGATTTCCAAGTAGACATGCACCAAAGGGACCAGGAGATGACCACCACTGAAACTTTGTCTTCCTCATCGAAAGTCAATCGTCGGAAAGCTTTCTATGCAGCTGAGGTGGTCATGAAAAATCTCGATCTGCGCTGTAAGCTGTCCACCCGACATCGAGGAATGATGATCTGATCTGCGCCCAGCTTTGGTTGCTATCTTTAAAGAACCGTTGAAACAATCAGTAGGAGTTTCAGTACCTTCTCAAAGAAGCAGTTACCGTTCTCGCGAAGACTTGCCGTCCATTGAGCTGACATCTCTATGGCATAATGTCGATGATTTTGTTGAGACAGACTGGTCAACGTCTATCGAACCAAACCTTCATATACTTCCTGTAGCATCGTGTCCCCGAATCAGCTATTTCAAGAAAAACACTGCGTTAGTGGACAACCCACTGGAGCGTAGTAAGTTCGGGAATGAACACACCCATCAATGTTTACTAGGCAAGGAGCCTTGTAAGTCATACATCAAGTCACAATTGAAATATATTGCTGAACCACTTCTCTTAGCTGTCCCTCATATTCAAATGACTTTGGCTTCTGAACGAATAGACCAGTTGAACACAATCTCAGCCGCAGATCGTAATTTCAGTTCTGAGGTATTCACCGCAATTCAACAGATTCATGCGGATACTAATTCGAGAACTAGTCAACTGCCCAGAAGATGATACCGTTACTTCAAAGATACGTCAACCATCTGCTCGACACTGAAGATGGACAAACGCAAGATGCCACTCCATACAATTACTCGATGCCTGCGGATTCAGTCTCTGCTGATGAATGGGCCGAATTTGACAATGTATTTCAGATACATTGTCCTAAACTGTTTGTCGACAGCGCCGTTCGTGATGTGAGCCTACCTTTCGATTTTTAGAAACAGATATCCCTCAATTAGGCTGCAGATAATGATGCAGTACTACCACTGTTCGCGCGATCGTAGAGGATTTGAATATCACATGGCAACTCGGTTTGTAACCTTCATTTACAGTGAATACGTCTCTGATTTCTTTTTTGCAACAGAGCGGTCAAGTTTATAAGAGATCAAGCTGAAGCTATACTTGCAACTGAAGCTACCATTGACTCAGACGAACAGAAGACTCAAAATCCTGCTCATGTAGCTGCTTCTGCTATACGTAAAATCGTGGGAGACGCCTTCAAGTCCGGCTCAGATAATTCAAAGGTCCATGTTACGAAGGCTGAAACCTCCGCCCATTTCAATCCCATGGATGGATGGTCGGAAAGTGTTTCTCTTCGTAAGAGCCATTGTTGTTTACTCTTGAAGCCGCAAATCGTATTGCGTAATCGAGGTGAAGTGGATGAAACATGCGTTGTTGCGGCGTTACAGGCCAAACTACAATCGTTCGCGATCATGGACGACGCAAATGCAGATGATCCGGTAACTGGCAAAATAATGACAAGGTTAGAAGACATGTGGTCACCGATGCTCTTCCAATGATTATATTTTTATAGGACGTATGCCGTCTTGTCTGGAATGCAAACATTTGCACCCACGTCCACAGTGGACTCAGGTGACGGTTGTGTCCCTTTGGAAGTACTTATAGATCTCCGTTGCGAAAGTGATGCATTTGAGCGGTTAGTCCCCCAAACGGACGCGTCTCTCCAATATGATAAGTTCAACCGCCTACGGCTCCATAATAATGTCACCTCTGCGGTAGCCAGAAAATCGTCCGAGTCCACGGGCTCACTTGAAGTTGCGAATCACCTGCACGATGAGACGGTATGTCATTTATTGCCTTGTGTCCTCACTCAGAGACTGAGTATCTCAAGGATCTAATTCAAGTACAAATTCCGCGCTTTACTGTGACTGCTAGTGACCATCACTTTGAAACCATCTCCAACATCATAACCCGACTGCTTCTTTATTCCGATGCAGCCCACAAGACTCGCCTGGATCATCTGGAAACTGTCCTATTCCAATACGATTTCAATGATTTGACATCCTCCGCCGGAGTGATTTTAGACTTGCAGAGTCAAATGAGGAAAGCGCTGGATATAGAGTACCTCGCGAAAAAAAACCATCGACCCGGAGACGAAGAAGCTGAGTTCGAATTAATCCGGCTTCGCGCGCATATGTTCCTTCTTTCGGAAAGGCTGAACTTCCTGTTCGAGGCCATCAAGTTGGCACAGAGCAGACGCGACAGGCGCGATGAACAATCTGATCGAAAATCAGCAACATTACTTCATGCTTCTTCTTCCGAAATTTCTTGGCGGATGGTTGATGAAAACAGAGATTTGTTGGCAAAGCTGGCTGTCCAGAACATTGATTTTTACTGGCTCAGACGGCAGGACAGTTCGACCGTGAATCATCTGACTGTTGGAGACCTTCAAGCGTTTGATGGATCGAGAGATGCTACATGGGCCGAAATCCTTTCTAAACACGACGAGCCTGCCTACCACCCACTGCTTAAGGTATTTGGATCATTGCATGTCTCTGAGATTATTCTGATAGTAATTATAGCGGGGGTTATTTGTCCTGTCGAATTGGTCGGTGCTGCCTCCTGTGGGCGGAATCACTATCTATGAAAGCTTCGAGATCGCACTGCATCCTTTGCGGCTTCAGATTGATGCCAAAGTTGGTCGGCGGATCATGGAATACGTTTATCCCGCACGAAAACATCGCCGCAAATCCATCGAAGATGTCCTACAGCCAGAAACTGTCATGGATACTGCTATACAATCGACTTCGTTTGGTCTACCGGATAGTCCTCGTCCACATTCTGCCTTTTCGCGAGATCCTTTCGACCCTGATTCGTTTAGTTTGGCCCCTCCCTTGCGCAAGCTCGGTGCATCCCGTTCGTTCACGGATTTACGCTCCACTGCAGTTGAAGACTCTACACAAGTGATGTTGAGGCAGACTTTACAAAGAACTCGATCTTCAGAGAACTTGAAGCGTAATCAGACCTTGGTGGATGGTTTTGAGCGGGAGCCCAAACGACAAAGAACTATCAGCCATGCAAATCAGAATGGAGATGCAGCCGAAATGAAAACACGTTCTTCTCGAAAGACATTTGTATATGTCAAGATATCAAGGTATGGGGCGGTTTTCCCTTTTTGTTCGCATTTCTCAGTGAATGATGTTCTTCCAGTCTCCATCTCCTTTTGAGTGTCATGAAGGAGGATGCTTTTGTGTGTCGAGACGCCCGAATTCGTACCCGGGATTTAGAGTTTCGAAATCAAACGCTCAGTGTGAGTTCATAGAATGTGTGCTCGACTATTGCTCAGCTGGCCCCTTTTTAGTTTGAAGAGCTTGTTAACCAGTTCATCCCTTCTGATATGAGCTGGAAGGGCTGGGTCAAGATGGCTTTCCAGCAGCCTCTTGTCCCTGTCCTGCCTGTTGCTCGAGAGCTCATATCGAAAACAAAATGGATTGCCTCAAAAAGTACGGCCGCTGTCATTGAACATACTTCTCCGCCAAAATCGACTCAGCACAAAGCCATCGCTAACGTTTCTCATGCCAATAACGGTACCGAAGAAGAGAAGGGACACGAAACCCTTCCCTCGTTACCCTCTTTCCTCGATGCTCCACCGCCGCCACCACCTCGTCACTGGAAGAAAACTTCGCATAGGAAAGTAGAGGCTGCAACAATACTTGGCGCTGGCCCTCTTACTGTCGATCCAGAGCCCATCGACGATGAAGAGTTTGGTGCAGCAAATGTGTCAAGGCCCCCTGGTCGCAAGAGGGTGCTTTCTCTTTTTAGCCGTTCTTCCTCCAAGTCGGGAAAAATTGAAACCTCTATCAATGGGGTATGTCACTTCAAATTTTAAGTTCGATGTGTCGTCTCAACCCTCCATTTTACAGTCTGGCTCTCGACATCGGCAATCTACTGACCGATAAGATAATATTATGTAACGTATGCGTCATGCAGATAGGGCCTTCGGCTATATTGTCTCCTAATTTCATTTGCCTTGCTCTGTACCTACATGCTCTCATAATTCTATCACCCTGTACATTATTCTTATCATCACGCACTCGGAATATTTCCTAAACGCTTATGCCATCTATAAGGGTCAAAAGACACACTTACTCTTCGTTGGGCAATCACTCTGAGGGTGGTAATTCGAGGTCTCTTGCGCAAATTTTCAGACGGAGCCAATCGGTCCAGGATGAACCTCAGCCTTCTTCCTTCCCCGCTCAATCAACTAGACCTACTCAAAACCAAGGGCCATTGCGTCTAAGCTCGAGCAGCAGAGTACAACACCATCTTCTGTCTCTACAGACACCGTTACTTGGTGGAGATCGGAGTAGAGCCCGGGCTTTTTCGTTACCCCAGAGGCTCCTCTCATTTCATCCATCCCCAGCACCTTCAATTGGATCAGGAATCGCTACACTTGAACACTCATCAATAGATGTACAAGTGCCAGGGGAGGGAGAAAATGGACCAGGACTTATAGATAGTGCACTGAGTCTTGCAGAAGAAAATGTTGACTTGGTTCACCACCATGACGACGTCGTAGAGCATCTGGACGTTATTGGTGTGTGGTTCTCAAAACGCTTTTGAACATCTCTCTCATTAGAGGTTTGTTAGATCCACAGGTAGCCACCGCAAATAATTTGACAAACGCTGCCAACTCAATTCTAATGTTGGTTTTCCCTGGTCAATTTTCCCGCTTTCTGACTGACCGCTGCTTAGACCACCATTTTCATTCCACTTTCGAAAACCTGTAGTCGCGTTATCTCCACCACCTTTCCCTTCTGTTGAGAGTGCTCGCGCAGCTGAAGAGCAAGGACGGCCCGTGTTGGAAGACTCATTGGATCGACACGTCGATGATGTTATGAGGCGGCGCGATAAGATTAGGAGGACATTGAAAGGAGTTTGGTCGTTTCTCAAGACTCGTGCGTGATTTCCGAATATTAAAGCCTTTGAATAAAGCTGATCTTACCCCTTTAGCTCTGGGCGTATGTTACTTTCCATTGACAGAGTACAATCTCCTTACTCTAAACCTAGATCGTCACTGGGATATACGGCTTTCTCGTCGGTATGTCGAATGCATATAATCGTTGTCTATCTATAACACAATACAACAGTGTTTTGGGGTGCTGCGATTGTCGTCTTTCTCCTCAAAATCATCAACTTCCATAATGCCAACACACAAGGCTTTTGGGTCGAGGTCAGCTCACAAGTCGTCGATGGTATGTACTCTCAAATCATCAGGCTTTCCGAAAACTTCATTATCCTTCATTATAGGGCTATTCGCCGTGACGGGTATCGGATTTATACCCTTTCGCGTTCTCGACACTTACCGTAAGCAATTTTTTCAAAAAAATAAATGGGTCTCATCCAATCTCTAGGTATTAGCAAAATATATTCTTACAAACGACGAACGAGGGAGCTCCGAGCAAAGGCTGGTTTACCGCAGTTGTTTGATGAAGACGACCTTCCAGATCCCGTTTACGACCCCAACTATGTCCACGTACTGACTGACGAAGAGCAGAAGGATTTGCATCGACGTACGTATTGATACTTGCTCTCTATTTTAAATTATTCAGTACGTTCTTATCTCTTAGAACAAGTCAAATTTCACCACAGCCAGACGTGGTACAAACCTCACGGTACTAGCACCCACCGGGTGGGTACTTATCTATCCACAAAATCGTGGACTCGTATTCAAGCCAGACGTTTTTTAGGCTTTTCCGATTGGTTATGCCTTATTGATATGCTGTTTGAACGATGGTAACTCGATCTTTCAAGTAATTGCTTTTCTTTTTCAAGTCACAACCCGAGTTCACATCGCTGCAGATAATTCTTTGTGGAACCATGTGGGGGTTGAACAGGTTTGAACGACCTGCATGGAGTACCGGGATTCTGATCCCCCTGGGTTTCCTTTGCGGTATAGGCTCTGCAGTGGTCATAGCCCTCGGAAGCGCGAAAACAAAACGTACTGCGGAGGTGGAACAAAGGCTTAAAGACGCGTTAGCGTTGTATCACGGTTCTGAAGACCATGGATCTAATACTGAGATTGCGGATACTGATGTCGCGGATAACATACCGCGTCGTTCTGGTTCTACCAGCCTCAGAGCTATACCAGAAGGATCATCCCACGTCGGAGGACAAGCAATGCAGGAAAAATCATCCATCAAGGAAGAAAATGGGTTCGTTCCGCAGAAAGAACTATCTCAGTAATGTTCAGAGGGACTTGTATCTTTATTGTACTTATTATTCACTTGTACACACTATTTGGCCTCCTCTACCATAACTTTGCCTCAAAGCCTTTTCCATTGCCTCGCTGCCCGGAGTCTTTTTGTTGCTGTGCCCATTGCCTCTTTGATGCTAGGCTTGAAAGTCATTAATGTTAAGGCTTAAGGATCCCTGGGCAGCAGGGTGAACAGGACAGACCATGATACTCAAATTGTTTTACGAAGTACTGATCGTTCATTTATAAGTATTTTTACTGTATGAAAGTGGATGTGCCATATGATGAATGTAACTTAGGGAGTGTGTGGATACTAGAGTGGAAGCGTCCCGACGCCCAAGTTATAAAGAAAAAAGTGTGTCAAACACCCACAACAATACTTCAGTCAAATCAACTCGAAACACTTTCCGACAGAGCCTTCAAGCGCTGAACGGCCTTCCTGAACAATTGTTTACCTACTCGTCGTGGAGGAGGTCTCGACGCTGTGTCAGAGGGGGCCCGGTGACGAGGAAGTTGTACACTTTTAAGTTCGATCTTCGCCGTAGCACGGACCGTATTGAAAGTGATAGCATTGGAACCTCCTCCAAGCACGTCAGACGATAATTCGGGCACTTCTACAAGAGGCTCGTTCACGGGTCTAGATTCGGGTGTGATCGGGCCAGCACTCTCTGGTTCGGAAGTGGACGTAGAACTGGATCCGACAGCGAGCACGTCAAGTAGGGAATTATGAGGATGGTCGGGTAACGGCTGAAGACCCTCTGTAGGTCGGGCATACAAGTAGACTTCCTCCGAATCTCTCGGAGCGCTTGATAAACTCTTGGATGCCACTGGCTCGGAGGCGATGGGCGTCTTTGGACACTCATGTGCGTCTTCCAGCGGAGTGACAGGAGGTGCAGCGTAGTTGGCTGCGGCCGTGCGCACTACATCACTTGAACGATGTAGTTCATCTTCGGACATGAAGAAGGTATCGACATCGAGAATCTCGCGCCTTAAATCTGGAATAGATATTCTATTGAGTGGATTGAGATGAAAAATGCGCTTGAGGATGAGGTTGGCCTGATCAGAGATGGGCAAGACAGTGCGAAGAAAGTCCCGATTATACAGAAAAGCAGAAAAGCAGTCGTCGGTAGTCATTGCATATCGCCAGGGATTCCGGCCAGCGATCATGTTGGTGAGAATAACACCCAACGACCAAATGTCACTGTGGCGAGTCGAATATCTGCCATGCTTGAACTCCTTGCCGATACATTCTGCAAAAGACAGGCGTGAATACATAGCTGATGAATCAGTAAAGTGCAAGTAACCTGGACTCATGTAGTATGAACTTCCACACCCAAAGTCCTCCGAAACTTTGTTCTGCGTAGATAAGCCAAAATCGGCAAGATAAACACGCCGACCGTCTTTGGAGCATAGAATGTTTTCGGGTTTTAAGTCGCGATGATAAACGCCATTTTCATGACAGTGGTGAACAGCATCAAGGAGTTGTATGAATATCGATTTGATGAGCTCATTGTTTTGACGGAGGGCCTTCCGTTCAGTGATTGCAGCGAAGAGGTCACCTCCTAGACAGAGATCGAGAACAACGTAGACGTAAGTTTGATCATATAGAACCTTGTGGAAGCCGATGATATTGGGATGACTAGAGACAAGACGATGGAGAGTGAACTCGCGTAACTGGAAGTCTTCATGTCGCGAACCAAATCTGGGTCTAAGAAGGCATTTGACGGCAAAGTATATGGGATTTTCACAAGGCGAGGTGAGATCTATAGCCTTGTAGACTTTTCCGTACGCGCCTGAGCCCAGAGGTTCAATAAGCTTGAAGCGGCCATTGTCTAACAAGTGGCCAGCAAAGTCGGGAAAGGTGTCGGTGACCGGAACGTGACGAGGCATGTTGCGTTGAAGAAGATGAAAGGTCAATGTAAGGTAGTAATGTAAAGTGCTGTCAAAGCGAATAGTGAAGGTAAAGGTTAAGATGTAGAAAAGGGGAATTCCAGTCCATTTATGTTTTGCGCGAATTGCCTATTCAGTCAATCACGTTACCCCGATTTACCGCTTTTGGAACTTGTAGGGCTGCTTAAGCTAAAAGTTAAATTTGGCGTACGTGAGGACGAATATATGCGTGATCAGAGGTGATCATTTGGTGAATACTTGCACCCGGTGGTGACCATCGAAGCAGACTGGCGGAATGAGGTAGTGGAACTCATAAGATTCAAATACTGGGAACTGGAAAGAACCACCCTCGAGTGTGCATCACACCTGTGTACATCAGCCGTAACACAAAACCCAGGACCATTGCACTATTTTCTTTTGAGGCCATGCCAGCGATTAGTGGCCGAACGCTACTCGCTACTATACACATAAGCCCTACATCCCATGGCTTCTCCATGGCTATACCATCAACCAAGTCCTGGCCCGCCCACATCCGAGGAACTGGAATGGAGGTGAGCAACGAATGAGGGACGTTCCCGAACAGCTCCTAACAGCTCCCGTACCTTTCCGGCGCGGTTCGGTCCGTACTAGTCCATGCTGATGGTCTTTATGAGTTTAACTATCCGAAGAGATCACAAGGATTTTCCTGTCTTTCCTTACAACCGCCATGTCCAACAATCCCTCCTTTGTGCTGCGCTCTATCGAAGATGTTGCTTATGAGGAACGCCCTGTTCCCGAGTCCGGTGAGCAGAACTTGATCCAATCATCCAGAAAAGACTTCACAAGTGAGCGCCACATAGTCTCTGATACGGAGGTGCTGGTAGCCATTAAAAAGACGGGTGGGTCTTTTGAAGAATCTCTTCTTATTTTTGCTAACTGTCGCTTAGGTATCTGTGGTTCCGATGTAATCATTCAGATTGGCACATATCGTTTTTGTCTCCAATCAGCTTCATACAGGTGCACTATTATGTTCATGGCAAAATTGGAGATTTTATTGTCAAGGATCCGATGGTAGGTACATCCGATTCTATCCGAAGGAATTTCACTTGATCGTCAACCTCTCAGGTTCTTGGCCATGAATCCGCAGGCGTCATCACCAAAGGTTTGTTTGAAGTTAGTGGGAGCGGATCTACTTAATCGTCCCATCTCCAGTCGGCGCCAAGGTCAAACACGTTAAAGTTGGCGATAAGGTAGCAGTAGAACCAGGTTCAACCTGCAGTAAGTTATCTCTGCTGCTTCTGTCTATTACTTACAGGGGCTGACGAATATTAGGGATATGCGATTCATGTAAATCTGGGAGATATAATGTACCTCTGTTATGCCCAGTCACTAGTAATTCCTGGACTAACAATGCCTACGTCAGCTCTGTCCGGATATCGTCTTCGCGGCGACGCCTCCGTATGATGGCACACTCGCTCGGTATTACCGCGTACTAGGCGATCTCACTTATCCATTGCCAGAACATCTTACCTTGGAGGATGGCGCTATGGTGATACCTATGCCATCGCCATATGGCTACATGTTCCTGACCTTTCGGTGTTTGTAGATGGAACCTCTCTCTGTCGGAGTTCACTCGGTATCGAACCTCGGGAATTTCAAGTTTGGCCAAAGCATCGCAGTATTTGGATGCGGCCCGGTGGGCTTGCTCTGTATGGCCGTCGCCAAAGCATTGGGTGCAAGGAGAATCATCGCTGCGGATATTGTCCCTTCACGTCTCGAATTCGCAAAGAGTTATGTTGGCGCGGAACCATACCGGCCTCTTTCACCTAACAAAGATGAGGCTAAGCTCGATTACAGTAAAAGGAATGCAGAAAACATGAAAAAAACATTGGGAATCGAGGATCGTGGAGCAAATGCTATTGATCTTGTTATCGACGCCAGTGGTGCAGAAGTTTCAATCCAAACCGCGCTTTATGTCGTCGGCACTGGTGGAACGATGGTTCAGGTGAAATATTTCTTGTGGACGATAGTCATCGACATACTAATATTCACTCAGGTTGGAATGGGAAATCCCAACGTCCAAATCGATTTGTCCCAACTAATGACCAAAGAGGTGGCATATAAGGGATCCTTCCGATACACTGTGAGTGGTCAATGTAGACTGCTTTCCCTATCGCTCATTTGAAGCTCCCTCAGCACGGAGACTATCCTCTCGCTATCTCGCTTGTCGCTCAAGGAAAAATCGATCTCAAACCATTGGTTACTCACCGGTTTGTGTTCCTGCCACCGTGTCAAGTGAATTTCCGTATCAATTAACTTCTTCCAGATATAATTTCGAAGATGCCATTGCTGCATTCAAGGCTACTAGAGCGGGCAAGAGCGACGACGGAAAGGATGTCATCAAGGCAATTATATCTGGACCCGATGTATCCCCAAATGATCTGTAGAATTTAGTAGGTACTATGTATGTGTCTGGGATTATTCAATTATAGATCTCCTTGCAGAGCACGTTCAACTGGTTTAGCTGTAAGTACGGCTGAATCACTCGATTTACGCATGTGCATACTCAGTCGAGTTGTCTCGTACAGCTTAGGCTTAGGGAGCAACTGATGTGATAGAATGACTATATTTCTAGACCATGCAACGTTACAACATGTAATTATAATCCTGATGATAAGTGTTCAAGGTGAGAGGGAATAAATATGCGTGAATGAACATATCCCTTAAATGGTGCACGATAATGATGATGATGCTACGATAAGAGAAAAAAACACATGTGAAAGAAAACAGAAAGAAAAGCATGAAACGATGTGTTGATGCTATGAAGCAGAAAGGGCGAGCTTCTTATAATGTGGCGAGTCTTCAGCTTCGCCAATGAGAGACGAAGTTTCATCGTCAGCCTTACGTTTTATACCGCGGGTAACAGGATCGGGAGAAAGCGACAGACGCGTCATTGAAGACGAATTTGACTCAGGAGTACCAGAGCGGCTTCGACTGTTAATATCTGACCGTAACCGCACAGCAAGGACATTACTTGAAGCTTCTGCATGGCAAGTAGCGTGATATATCTGCGCAAGGGAGCATCGTTAGACTAACGTGAACTGATATCCTAGAATGAAAGAAATCCGTACCCTATTATCCTTCTTTACAGCGTTCTTCCACACCCACTCTTCATCATCCTCTACAAATTCTGATTTAAGAGGCTCCTTACATATCGGGCACGATAATATTTTTGCTTCGTCTCCAGGTGGGACGACAACGAATTCAGAACGTAATTTAGCATCTCGTGCAGCAACTTCAGCAGCAGCGGCAGCTTTAGTCGTAATCGGCCTAGACCCATCCGCACGTCCCTTTCCTTTAACGTCATGGACCCAGTCCTGTAAAAGGAAAGAAAATCAGTCATTTGAACGGGAATCAGATAGACACAACTGCTGACCTCGACACTAATAAACCAGCTCCTGCTGTGACCTCGTCCTATATTTTGGTTGGCCTTGAGGTTTTGTCGAAAATGCATATCCAAATGGTCTTCGAGAGCTTTCTTGCCATCAGCAGTATCTAAAAATCGAATGCCGCATTGTTTACATTGAGCTCCAAGTTGTTCGTAGAGCAGATCGTAGATGGGCGGCCGAGTTCTAGATAATGATTTATGTTAATGTTATTCGACCAAGGAAGAAAAAGGACATACTTAGTGATAGCAGCAGCAGTCAACTGCACAGAGTGGGATAATACAGATTTTCGATAGGCCCTTGCAGTTTCTCTGGACTGATTAACCGCCTCGAGCATATCAGCCGTTGAATCGTCGTGTGTCGTAGCACCGGCTCCGGTTGGAGTGCTGTTTGCTGTCACCACACCAGCCTTCATAAGTGATGAGAGTAAGCCTGCAAAATCAGGAGTTTGCGTTGAAGAGCCAGCCGCAGCGATTGTAGGAACGGGGGTAGGTGCGATACCAGAAGAAGGGTTGGCAGATACATAAGTTTCAGATTTGAAGTTTGCTAAAGGGTATACAGGTGTTGTATTGAAGGTGACAGGTGCAGTGGCTGGCGGAGGAAGTGGCATTGAAGCAGGAATTGTAGGGTAAGAAGTTGATGACCATTGCTGAGTATGAGTTGGCGGTGGAGGAGGTAATGCTGATGCTTGGACATTGCTTCGCATGAGAGTTCGCAGCTGGTTCAATATTTGCTGAAGATCATTTTGCGAAACGCCGGCTTCCACCATCTTTCGAAGCTGGTGAAGATGTTTGAGTATAGTTAAAAGAGACATAACATTAAGGTACCAACCTGATGCAGAACATTCACGTGATTCTTCGATGTAAAGTCGTTGGGATTAGCCTGAACGGCTCTTTCTTTTTGTCCAAGAGTGAATTCAAGCTCGCTGAGCACTTGGGCCTTGGTAATTTGCCCAACACCTGAATAGAACCCGTTCGACGATGATGACTGAAGAGCAAGCTGAGCGATAGTCATCAGGATTTTGAGGGACGGACGTACACTGTTCGATCCATCACCCCAAATGCTACGCTCTATCTGAACCTGCGCCGGCAAACCGAAGAGTTCCTTGCCTGTGGGAGAACCGGTCCGCCAAGTGAGCACCAGCTCGACCATCTTGTTGCGAGTAGCCTCATCTACTTGTTGATAGGTATCTACGAACAAAGGAATCACAAATCTTGCGAAATGTCGAGCATAAGGTTCATAGATATTTTTGCTAATCATATCGAGCAGATAGAACACCGGAAGCTTCACCCACGGAGGAACCTACAAAAAAGGGAAGATTAGTAAGCAATCCGCGGAATCTTTCGTACGACCATAAGAGGCAGGATAAAATTTTCTGGTTGCTGGTCTCTTAGAAGCGCCAGGCTGCACTGCTCTTTTTGTTAGAAACTACAGTACTGGTACTGGTACGATAGTACGATTACATGAGTTACAATACTGTCCGCCCTTTGACCACTACCACATATAGGTGATAAGGGACATTGAAGATAGTACTCACCTTGCGTATATGGGCCTCTATAGACTGCGCAACAATATCTGCGAATCGCGAATAATCGTGGGCCATCATGGAAAGATTCTGGATCAGAGGGCGTGAGTTGACGGTTAGCTCTGCAAGCCGATTAGAGAAATCTGTGCGGAAAGTTGCTGGGTCCATATACATCGGCATAACAGGAGGAGGAGATACTAGTGGATAATGATTCGGCATCGTTGGTTGACTGAAAGCGTTGGCGCCGTATGAAGGCTGGCCATAATAGAGAGACATCCTGCAGTCACTGAAATATCAAAGAGACGAGAAGGCTCAAGTCGAAATACACCCTAACAGCGAGTTGGCGTATGTCAAAACGATTTTTTTCACACCAGAAAACACCTGCCAAGTGTGCAGAAACGACAAAGATGATGGTTGGAATGAGAGATGCGGTGACAAGACGATTTGAAGACGAGCTCCGAAGGCCGTTCTCACACTACACGTGACGCCACCACACAGCCACAATCAATAACATCTGGCGATCGAATTTGGCATTTCAAGTTACAAAATCTCAAGAAAAAACGCCTCTCCTGCCTCAAGATCGTGAGTAGAGTCTCTAAATGCTGCCCAAGTCGATTCTGGCCATCTCTACGGTCATTTCTATGTCGATCTCGGATAGATTGAGGGGAAATTTAGGCTGGATCGACTTGGGGAAGTTCAGATGACATAGACACTGATTTTTCGCTACAGATGCGGGACGTCCTCCAAACCGAAGAACTCGTTATCCCTGAGGGAGTCACGGTGGCTCTCAAAGCTCGTATCATCACCGTAACAGGGCCTCGCGGTACACTTACAAAGAACGTTCAACATGTCAATATGGACATTCGGCTGGTCAAGAGCAAGGACTCCAAGGTCACACTTGCAGTTTGGCAGGGAGGAAGGAAACACGTTGCATGTCTGCGGACGATTAAGAGCCTCATTAGCAACATGATCAACGGTGTTACAAAGGTGCGTTCATACAGACTATGATCGTATCCAAGATATCAATAATTTCCTCAGGGTTTCCGATACAAAATGCGTGCCGTTTACGCCCATTTCCCTATCAACTGCATTATTCAGAGCGATGGTCATGCGGTTGAGATTCGTAACTTTTTAGGCGAGAAGGTAAGTAGTGAAAGATTTAAGCTCGTTGGCAAGACTGACTGTCCGTTCCAGACTGTTCGACACGTTAACATGCTGGACGGTGTTGTGATCACAGAGTCTAAAGCACAGAAGGATGAGCTCATCCTCGAGGGTAATGACATTGATATGGTATCCCAATCAGGTGAGTCTTCTAAATAACCCTTGTCTTCGATACCTCTAAGCGGTTTTCATATAGCGGCTTCCATTCATGGCGTCTGCAGAGTGCGGAACAAGGATATTCGAAAGTTCCTGGACGGTATCTACGTGTCGAACAAGGGTGTCATAGCAGAGGAAGATTGATTCACGGTGCTGGTCTTCATATATAAAATTTCCATGTCGCATGTCCACTCTATATGACTCTCCCAATATCGCATTTTATGCTCATGGTCATCATCTCGCAAGCACACAGTTAAGTCAATCACTGGAAGACTATGGGATAAACGGAATCTTTGTACCAACACGATCTCTGTATTTGACATAATCATCACCAAAAAACTTGACGAGCATCCTTTCTTCGGCTGCAAGCATGATTAGAAATGCAGAAATTTGGAACGACATCCAGACTCACTTCGGGTTCTTGAATAGAAGAATCTCCACAGCAGGATAAAGTATAGAACAAAACAAACAGAGTTCTGTAGGACGAGCTGGGTACCCAATGCCCAGTAGAAAAAACCTGCATAAGATGGATGGCGGCACCAGCTATGAAGAGGTCAATATTTGATGAAGGCAAGGCCGATGACGCGACGTACGCGTAGATTCCATCAGTGACTAGTCGATGAGATTCAAGCTTCCTGAACGCAAGGGAATGTGAAAAGTTCGTCGACGCGTGTATCATGGCCGCAGAGCGCATGAATTGGCCCAACAGCACCATGATCATTCCTGTGCATTGTTCCGTCGTTAATTGTAGCAAAACACTGACAGGACATACCGGGAACATACCAAGGATCGAAACCCAAGCTCTCGTTTTGAATGACGGTATAAAATACAGAGTCACGATATATTCAAGAACAGCTGAACCGTTCGCTATATGATACATAGATCCATTATCCAATAGAAAAGCTAAACGAATATTGAGGGAACCCTTCATATGCCATTGTCTATGACACTCACATTCCACACTGCATTTCTCCAGATTCCATCCAGCGGTAACCGCGAATTCTCCAAAGTGGAATGCTGACCATGCAGCAATGAAGAATCCAAGTTGATATGTGGTCCACCACCACAGGGAAAATCCTCCCAGAAAAGTCAAAAGTCCAAAGCAGAATACTGATCCCAGGAGAAAGGCTATGGTAGCAGCGGCAAGAGGGGTATTTGGTAGATTACCGGACATTCGTACATTGACGGATGGAACTGTTGAAAGGGCATGACGTTGCAGCTGCTCGTATTCCTCAAGATTGACTGGTACATCGTCCGACATTGTGAAGGGGAAAGGAAAGAAAGTGAACAATAATAGGAAAGACAAAAGAAAAGGAAATCAAATGCCGTAATGAGCACTTGAATTTATTCCTCTTGTTATGCAGCCGCGACTATGGTTTTCCTTCGTCAGGAAATGTCCAGCTCCTTGTCGCAAAATTTCCACCAGTGTCTCCCATGATGCCAGTAAAATCCGAAACATGGCTCTGGTAGCACATATCGGTGTGTTGACGTCCTTATTGACAGTTCCTGTGCTCATTGCACACAAGATTCTGGCAAAACTACTCTAACTGAATCAATCCTGCTCCAGTCATCCTACATAACGGCTTCTGGATCCGTAGATACAGGCAGTACCACGACAGACTTTCTTCCTGCGGAAAGGGAACGCGGAATTACAATCCAGTCGGCTAGTATTCCAGTGAAATGGAAAAACTGGACGTTCAATCTTATCGATACACCAGGCCATGCCGACTTTGGAATGGAAGTTGAAAGCGCCAGTCGTGTCATCGATGGTGCTGTCGTCCTAATCGACTCCGTGGAAGGTGTCGAAGCACAGACAAAAGGTGTGTGGAAACAATTAGATAGGTACGTGGCATAGGTGAGCTTCACATCATCAGTGCGAGAATATGAAACTAACTTCAACCATTTAGGTATGGAGTCCCGACACGTATGATGTTCTTGAACAAGCAGGATCGTCCAGGGGCTTCCTTCAAACTGTCTATCCGTTCTCTGCTCACGCACCGTCTCCACCCTCATCCAATGGTCTTGACGCTCCCTATCGCGTCATTTGACCCGCAAGACTACATGCATGCGGAGCCTGGTATACAAGGTCTCGTCGACCTCCTGAAGTGGGAGATATGGCGATGGAACGAAGCTGGAGAATCTACTTGCTATCCGCTACCTACCGACGTCCAGGCCCTGGAAGAACTCGAATTCATACCTTCTCATCATCCTATTATACCTCAACTTGCACCTGCGCGCACCCAACTACTAGAAAACCTCTCAATGTTCTCAGAGGATCTCATGGAAACACTGCTCGCACTACCCTCAGAGCCTTCTTCCTATCTTGGTATCAAATATTCTGATATCATCCCTCATCTACGGAAGAGTACGCTCGAGAACAAAATCTTACCTGTGGTCTGTGGCTCGGCGATCAAACACATCGGAACCAGCATTGCGATGGATTATGTCGGGGAATTATTCGCTAGTCCTCTAGATGTCCCTCACGACTCTGCCAAAAATGCACCGTTGCGTATGTTAGCGTGGAAAGTCAGCTGGGATCAGAAACGAGGCTGGATGACCTATGTACGGGTTTACTCGGGTACGCGTTAAACTTGTTCGCAAACGATCCTCGTCTCATAGAACCAACCATACAGGGAAGCTAACGAGGCAAAGCGCGGTTCTAAATGCAACTCGGAACCAGAAGGAAAAAGTTTCTAAACTTCTGCTCATGTACGCTTCGGAGCCTGTAGAGGTCGACGAACTACCGTTTGGTGCAGTGGGCGTTGTATTAGGTCTCAAATTTACCCGTACAGGCGACACTCTTGTATCTCCAGGAGCTCCTCCTTCGGCTCGGTCAGTCATGCAAGATATCGTACCTCCCAAAGCAGTTATCTCGGCTTCTGTTATACCACACTCTCATTCTGATCTGGAACCCGTACAAAATGCATTGGAATCGCTCTCCCGTACGGATCCTTCTGTTCGTTACGACCTTCAGGAAGGGCAGATATTAGTCCATGGTCTAGGAGCTCTACATCTCGAAATTGTTGAAGGACGACTCCGTAGTGAATTCCAAGCCAACTTCGAGCTGGGCAAACGCCGTGTTAGTTATCGAGAATCCCTGGGTCCAAACTACGATCCTCCTCATTATGAAAAGCCGCTTATTACCAATAACGATAAAGCGGATATAGCTGGGACTTCCGTTGTTGTTGCGTTGGATATCCGGCCTCTACAGGACGATGAAGAAGGTAGCCCACTTTGGGATGGAAATCTTGTTTTGAATAAAGCAGGAGTTGCTATACCTTCCCCGGAATCGTCTTCCACTGCAAATCCAGAACTTTTGATAGCTTCAGGAATTGCAACTGCCCTTTCGAGCTCTCCACATTCCTCGCTACCCATGTCACATCTCCGCATACAGATCCGCGAATGGTCCACTCCGTCCCCGTTATCTTTACTTACGGGCGCGAGCGCCATCATTATGCGCAATCGTATACGGAAAGCCGGCATGGGCTCGCTTATGGAACCATACTCCTTTTTCAAAGTAGCTGCGACTGAAGACACTCTTGGTAAAGTAGTGAAGGATCTAACTGAGCACGGCGCAGAATTACAGGATCTTGGCGACGGAATATCTGACGGAATGGACGAAGTTGTAGGATATCCAGTGGAAGGAAATTATATCCCTCCTGATATGCTCTCACCTTCATCTTCGAATCTCACAGGATCCGGTGCATCTCCAAAGCTCAGACGTTTTGTCCATGCTCTAGCTCCACTCAGCCAAATGCTGGATTACAACAGCCGCCTTCGAGCACTGTCTGGAGGACACGGTCAGTTTGACATGGTCAATGCTGGATTCCGTGTCGTCGCTGAACCTCGAAAAATGGAGATACTACGTGAAATCGGAAGAGCATAAGTATTTTCATTATTTTTTGCATCTTGTACTAGACATCACGTTATCATAACTCCCTAATTTCATCTGCGTCTCCAAAAAAGACTGCTCCTTCCATATCTTCATCGTCATCCAAAGCACCTGCACGAACATCACCTGCTGCGTTGAGTATTTGACTGAATTCCATCATCCCTCCATAGTCAGCATCATCCATGTCCTCATCCACACCCTCATTATCATACAACGGAAATGGGCGTACATGAATAGCATCTGGGAACGGTGTCGCACTTCTATCCCGCTCATCAGGGTCAGGAAGAAAGAGAGGTGTCTTTGACCGGGCCCGAGCTTCATTGGCTGTAACAAAATCTCGCGGGGCAATGCTAGGAGCACGAGGAGTAGATCGTAGAATGGACGGCGCACGCGATGATGCATGTAGGGGTGGCCATGGTTCAACAACAATGCATAAGCAGCTGCCTAGTATTTTGAATCCTTGGTATTTAAGGTGCAATAAAGGTTTTGGCTTTTCTTCCTCGTCGTCTTCGATTTCTAGCGAAAAATGTATCGTTTTAGCTCGCGCCTTTTCGTTCTTTCGAGGTTTTGGAATATAATCATCATCGTCGTTGTCATCATCATCATCATTCTCGTCGTCTCCCTCACGCATATGAGAGTCTCCGTCAAGATCCAGAGCAGCAGTCTGCCTTAGTCTTATCCCTGGTGTAGCACCGGATGTATTGTTGACCTCGGCGTATTCTTCAGACAAAGGTTCTTCCGATTCACTATCATCGATGGCTCTACTTTTCCCCTTGGTCTTTTGCTTTTTACGCAATATTTGACTAACACCGCCTGTTTTGGATTTTCTTTTCATTGCCTTCGCTGGTATGGTTGGCGGAAGCATCATATTTTGTTTTTGTGGAGGTGCCGCCGTATATGTACGCGTCTAGCCAATAATGCGTTATGACTATGAGTGTATCATAATGGTGTCCTTACCTTGAGAACAACGGTGTGAGGTTGAGTTTTACGAAAGAAATAACAGAATTGATAGGTCTCTGCCAATGAAGTCAGATGGGTGAGTCACTGTAACATTTCAATAATGAGCGCACCTCCTCGATGAGTTTCTACAGTTGCCTTCTTCGTCGATGGAAGTCCGCCTGTTCCCGAGGTAAGATCCACCTCTGCTTGTAGCTTAGGTATTATCCTAACGCATCATTGGACTCTTGAGTCGCCAGAACAATAAAAAGTGACCGACTTTGGCCTCAGATCTTCGAGGACATGTTGCAAAATTATATCATTCATCCAATCAACATGTCTATCGTCGAGGTACAACTTCGAAAGAATTCAACGACACATTTTGTTGTTAGAGCGTCAGAACCTCACATAGATAGCCAAAACATCTTTCTTGGATATTCGAAGGTAGTACGGGTTGCGAGGACGAAACGACATTGTGATGGTAAAGTCAAAGTCCTCACGTGTAGATATGATAAGATATGATCTGATCTGATCTGATCATGACTCGTTCTCACTGCTCATCAACTTATCCGCAATGCCCACCGTTGCAGTTGACAAGGCTGAACTCTGGGAACGCTTAGGACAAGAATTTAGTGAATAATCCACGATTTTACTGAGACATATCGCTAAATCATCTGCCAGCTACCGAGGAATTTGACACGCTTTGTTTTGAATATGGTGTCGAGCTAGATGAAGATGTGCGTGAAGTACAAGTGACAGTAGGACTATTCGTTAAACGAAGATGTTATGATAGACCACCGCAGAAGTGGAAGAGGCTATCAAGAAAGGTCTGCCTGCTGAGCGTCCGGTGAGTCCAGACGATTTGCTGGTCGTGGTTTTTTCCCTGACTTTCAATCAGCAACTCAAAATAGAGACACCCGCTAATAGGTGCGGTGGTCGCCAACCTAGAAAGTTCTCCATATCACTGAACTCTTGCTCGAACTCAGATATGACTTGCTATGTATCGAGGGTATCGCTCGGGCACTCAAGGTCTTCCTCGGTAAAGAAAAGGCACCTAGATACATGCTTGTGTATCCTCCAAAAGGTGAATCAGATTTGTTAACAGTGACGATTCATCCGGAGGTGCGTGATTACTTATTGACGACGGATCTAGCAAGCTAAACACAGTACAGACCAAACAAGTTAGACCACTGTTCGCTTGCGCGATCCTTCGCAACATCAAATTCACCCCAAGATCGTATGCATCCTTCATCGATCTACAGGACAAACTCCACCAGAATATTTGCCGAAGGCGTCAATTAGTCGCGATTGGAACTCACGATCTGGATACTCTGAAAGGTCCCTTCAGATACGAAGCAAGGGCCCCAAAGAACATCAAATTTGCGCCTTTAAACAAGGAGCAGGAGTACACTGCTGAAGAGCTGATGAACTTATACGAGGTGCGAGTTATATTTGGCCCGAGTGCTTGTAAAATTCATCGTTAGATTGCAGTCCGACAAGCAGCTTTCGCGTTATCTTCACATCATCCGAGATTCACCAGTGTACCCGATTATCTATGATGCCGAAGATCGTGTTTTGTCTATGCCTCCCATAATAAATTCCAACCACAGCAAAATCACACTCAACACAACAAATGTCTTCATAGATGTGACAGCCACAGATCAAACAAAGCTAGATATCGTCGTAAACATGGTGGCAACAATGTTCTCCGAATACTGCGCAGAACCGTTCACGTCAGTTACCTTCTGTCTCCTATGTCTATTGTCCTTATGCCGTTTAAAAATCCAGAATCGAGCCTGTAAAAATGGTTCTACCTGACGGTACTACGAAGATATCACCCGATCTCTCCGAGCGAACAATGCTGGCACACGCTTCCTATATCAACTCCTGTACGGGCCTTTCACTGAAATCTGACCAGGTGGCAAATCTCCTGAGCAAAATGTCTTTGTTCCCTAACGTGTCGACAACTAACGCGGACGAAATTGAGGTCAGTATGCCTCCAACTCGACCCGACATCTTCCACGAGTGCGATATAATGGAGGATGCTGCTATTGCCTATGGATTCAATAATTTGCCGCACACGTTCCCACCCACAACGACTGTTGGACAACCTTCAGCAATAAACAAGTTGAGCGATATAGTGCGATTAGAGTGGGCTTTAGCTGGCTGGGTGGAGGTCCTTCCATTGACTTTGGTTCGTCTGTTTCTCTTGTCTCATAGGTAACTCATATCCATATTGGTGCGTGGTCAGTGCTCTCACGAAGAGAATTTCGCCTTCCTCAACCACGAGGACGATAACAACACGGCAGTCAAGATTGCTAATCCGAAGACTTTGGAATTCCAAGTCGTACGTACGACCTTGATCCCTGGACTGCTGAAAACAATCCGGGAGAATCGTTCTCATTCTTTGCCCTTGAAAATCTTTGAGACTGGCGATGTTGTTTTCAAAGATATAAAGCGAGAAAGGCAATCGAGGAACGAGCGACATGCTGCCGCCGTCTGGTGCAACAAAACTGCTGGTTTTGAGATTGTGCATGGTGTCTTTGACCGAGCAATGAAGATGCTGGAGATCCCGCGCATCAGCAGCTCTGACTCAAATGCAGAAACTGGTTATTATATGAAGGAAACCTCCGGTACGTTGCTTCCGGTCAGCAAATATCCTATATTCTTCTCAAGCTAGTTCTTAGATCCTATGTTCTTTCCTGGTCGAGCGGCTACGATTTATTATCGTTCGCCACCTCTTAGAAGGAAAGGCACATTAGAAAAGCTCAAACAGGATGCCAAGACGATTATCCATGTCCACGATGACCTTGTTCTTGGCACCCTAGGCATTCTGCATCCTAGTGTGCTTGAAAAGTTTGATATCCAGTATCCTTGCTCTGCGGTGGAATTCACATTAGATCCTTTCAAGAAAGAGATCCAGAAGATTTGGACAAATGACGAATAATTTAGTATTTTACAACTTTGCCCAGTCACTGTAGCGATACATATGTATCAAACAAATGTTTGTACATCAAACCTCATAGCGTTGGGACCTTGATTTGTTGCAGAAGATACCATCGTCATCACATTGATATAACTCCCTACTCCAACGTCCCTCCTGTATTTCATTTCAGCCGCATATTCGAAAACAGTGTTCAAACAATCTTTAGATTGCGGATCCACCTCAGGACATTCCAGTAACCGTCTCACTACTTCCGTTCTTCCGTGTTGAGCTGCATAACTAAGTGGCGTACGAAAGTTTCCGTCCTTTAAATCTACCATTCTGCTGGCACCGCTATGAGCAAGTAGAAGGCTGAGGACATCGACATGCCCTTGCTTTGCAACTTCTGTTAAAACACTCTGTCCTTGGTAATTCAGTGACCAGACCTCCAAGTCCTGTTGCTGCAATAGTAAACGGACGATTTCGAGATGCCCAGAGCTTGCAGCGTGGAAGAGAGGTGTGAGCCCGGACTTATCTGTGGAATTTATATGCAGGTCCTTCAAAGGAAGAAGCGTTTTCACTACGTCAAGGTGGCCGTTGAGTGATGCAAGGGAAAGAGGTGATCTACCCAAATCATCCAGCTGGTTTATGTAGGCTGAGCTTAGTTTGGATATGAGGAGCTTTACAATCGGCTCGCTTCCGAATGATGCGGCATGATGCAAGGGGGTCTTATGATGGACATCTGAGCTAGTGATATCAGTCTCGTATCGGGCCAGAAGTAGGTGGACAATTTCTAGGTGGCCTTTCATTGTCGCGTATGCCAGCACATCCATCCCTTGATCATCCTTCTCGTTGAGATCAATTTCAGGATGTTCCATCATATTTTCAATCATATCCGTCCACCCGTATTCAGCTGCATATGAAAGGATACTGCGACTACCAGCTGTAGTTCTCAGGGAAAGTGTTGGACAAGAAAGTAGAATGTTGACAATTCCGCGATTTCCTCTCTTCAGAGCATATTTAAGAGGAGTGAGGCCAAAGTTGTCAACGGAGTCTTCATCAGCTCCTGCAGCTAATAAGAGTGATACAACTTCCTCGCCTTTTGTTGTTTGGTCAGCTGCGTATGATAGTGGACTACGGCCCAAAATATCCCTCCTGTTGACTGCGACCTCCTTTCGAGAAAGTAAAGCACGAACTATTTCAGTTCTTCCGTGTTGGGCACCGAAAGACAGAGCAGTTCGAAGTTTCAAATCTGCGAGGTTTACGTCTATTTCCGGGGAGGCTAAGAGGTATTTCACAACACTCTCATAACCCCGTTGTGCCGCCAAAGAAAGAGAGCATCGGCCATCATCATTTGAAGCATTTATAGAGATATCTTTCCTGTCGCACAAAATCCTAGTCACTAGTGCGTGTCCCTCCATGGATGCATACAGAAGTGGAACCATACCCTTCCCATCTCTCTGATTTACGTTGATACCTTCGTCTTGAAGTAGTGTTTTGACCACATCGCTGTAACCATATTGTGCTACGTGTGATAAAGCTGATCGCCTTGAATGATCCTCTGCATTGAGTCGGACATTATCATGGTAATGAAGCAACAACAAAACTAGGTCCGTAGAGCCGCTGTCAACAGCGTCGAACAGAAGCGTGCGGCCAAATATGTCTTTCGCATTGACATCTTGAACGCCCTGTTTGAGAAGAAGCTCAACGACCTCTTTCGACCTACTCCCCATGGCGTATGAAAGGGGTGTCCGAGCATGAAGGTCCCTTGCGTCAACATCGACGTTGTGACCTAACAACATCCGAACCATGTCAAAGTTTCCTCGGGATGCCGCGATCATGAGAGGAGTCCTCTCATAGTCATCTTGTATATCGAGGTAATAATCTTTGTTTGAACCTGATCCACGGCTACGAAGCTTGAACAAGAACAAGGAACGGAGGAACTTTTTGTGACGCTTCTGGTGTTGATAGATAATTTCTGAACACGTAGATGCGAGGTCAAAGTGAGCGCTAAAATGCAACGCTGACCATGGTGTGCATTTTGGGCTGTTCATTGCGTCAAAAGTGAGCATTCGACTGAGCGTGCAATGGGTGTCGCTCGCAAGCAATGCGAGCACTTCATTCACGAGCTTAAGCTCTCCACAACTGTGTACATGATGACCCCATTCAAACAGAGCGTACCCAAAAAATGGATATTGAATGTTAGCATTGCGGATTTCCTCTTCTACATAGACTTCAGAGTTGTATTGCAAGCGGGGAAGGATGTAACGTAGGTAGGACACACAAGTAACAGCCATAGTGCGCTGTACATTGGTCCATAGATTGACTTGTTCTTTCACGAGATATTCATGGACTGTGTAATCTTCAAAAGGGAATCAGAGATGGTACCTGAACAGTATATAAAAACGTACGAATCAATCGAACTTTGTCTGTCCTGTCTTCAATGGTGATCAAACCAGCACAGGCATCAAGAAGAGACTGCTTGGTAAGGATATCACTGGTTATGCACTGGCCAGGATTGTCTGGCTTTAACAACGTAGCGACAGCTTCTTGAAGTTCTGAAAATACAAGTACACGACGGGAAAATGTGATCCAAAGTAACGAGTAAAGGGCCAGGTCCTTGATTTCTGGATTAGTCCCTTCACACATGTGTTGCACGGTTTTCCCGTATGTTCCTTGGAGACCGGTCGGCATGGTCAGAATTATACCAAGTGCCTCTTTGACGTTGGGGGCCTCCAATAGCGCGTCCATAAGAAGCCGCGCAACCACAAACCTAGTGTCAGCTTAAAATTGATCTAATTTTCATGCGGAGGGATCACCCACATTCCCCCTACTTTTTGGACCACTTGATTCAATATTTCTTGTTTAGAATCAGGAGAACATAGCTGGCCAACACGACTGAGAGTGAACCGTTCTTCGCAGTATATCCACAGGTCATGCTTGTCAGCTATGATATCCTGACGTGTGCATCCTCCGAGTAACTGATCGATTGAGGGATGGGGTCGGGAAGTGAATAGTAGGCTGACAGGGAAGGAGTTGAGCGTAGATATGATTTGAGATCTGGTTTGGTCGTCTGGACATTCGTCCAAAGCATCTACAACAACAAATACAGACTCGAATTGTTGAACGCTAGTAGAAAATGAGGCGACAATTTCGTCGGATCTTGGAAAAGTTGATCGAGAAGTGTGATGAATGTACATTGAAGCGACAGTTGAGTGCACGGTATCATGGGCTTGTATAAGCTGACGAAGCATGGACGCAATCAATGCGTCTGTGGTTTGCATTTGCATTTGTCCAAAGTCACAGAAAACACAGACCACCGCGACTTTGCAGCCTTCATAATATTCATTTAGATCTTGAACGACGCTAGCGCTGTAAATATTATTGTTCGATATCTGGGCACTAGTGAAGATGAAAGGTCGCTGCTTACGCTGTCATAGACTTTCCTGCACCAGCTAATCAATTCAACTTCGTTGAAAAGCTGGACCAAACAACAAAGATGAGATAGCAGCTACATACGCAATCCAGACATCAAAAGCGTTCTATCATCTCCATTTCGCCATCGTACGTATGCTTCTGATAGCAATGGCTTCAAACCAGTGTTCGGTGCTCGACTGTGTAAAATGACTCTTTGTGTCTCCATGAAATCGAACGGAGACAGCCATTCACCAATCTCTCGATTCTGGTAATCTGCGAGCAGAGATAAATACATAGTAAGAACTTCAGAGACAAAAAAGTTCATTTTTCAAGTACCTGAGTGATCGGTGACAGTGTTTGAGCTAGACGTACTATTTCGCGAGCCCATAGTCGTGTCCTACCGTGACTACAGAGTAAATACTAAATAGAGTAAGCTGATCTTCTAAGAGAAGTTCTATAAGAAGACAGACAGAGGGGGCACGATGGAGTTCAAAATCAGAAACGTTTGAGGAATGCTATATCATCTTATATCATGCGGCTCTACGTCCATGATGCCGGAACTGGCATTCCGGTTGTCTGACAACGACTTCCGAGATGGGCAAAAAAAAGCTCACACTAAAGTCCAGTTCCACAGCAGCTGTACAATCCAATGCTCTTGCAGATGACACTGCCGACTCGTCCCAGGACTCCAGTTTCTTTCCATTCGCCCGTTACACCAGCGTTGTCGGCGTAAATTCCAGCTTGATGGTCTTCGTCGGACTATTTCTACCGCGCTCGACAACTCTTTTCGACGGAGCCAAATCTAATGCGTCCACTCAAGCGACTTCACGGGACAGGCCTCAACATTCCTTTTTGGAACCTATAACGGCGAATCCTGTATCAACGTTGGTTTACGTCTGTCTGGGAGTGATAGTTCTGCAAGCTTGGTGGAGCGCGTGGTTGAGAGACTGGTGGATTGATTATTCTCTCAAGGGCACTCGGGATGATAAGAAGATGCAAAAGCAAAGTTTAGATAGAAGAAAACTGTCGGTGAGAAGGATATGAGTATCATGACCTGATTTCATATTGATCATATTTTGTTAGCAACTTGGCAAAGCGTGGATATTTGCCGCTGGAACCTCTGTCTTTTTCCATGCTGTCACGGTGCTGCTAGGCGCACCATTGTTCAGGTCGGCAAGACGCAAGAATCTATATTCCGTATTTAACACTTATCCAGTTATGTCCCGCAAACTTACCTATCCGCCCTCCTCCTTGCGGTCTTGACTGTTGTTCCTCCTGCCTACACTTTTGGCATTCCGTCTCTTTCATCTGATACCGAAAGCTTGTTGACCAGACTAAATTGGATCAGGATGTTCGCTGAGTTCCGGTAATGTCCTTTCAACGTGTCAAAGAACTGTGAATCTCACTCTTGGATTTGAAATAGGATATACAACCCCATCGAGCGGGCGGTGGTATACCCTGCTGTGGGTGCAGTTCTGGGCAGCTGGTTAGGGGTTATTCCAATTGCTCTTGACTGGGACAGACCATGGCAGGTATGTTCGTCCCATCAGTCACTTCTGGAGCACACTATAATGACGTTTGTTTTTTAGGCATGGCCTTTGACTCCTGCTTATGGTGCCCTTGTGGGCTATATCACTGCATCGTTAGCAGCCCTCACTGTCAGTGGTATAAAAGCCCTCGCTGAAGAGCATCTTCGTTCCTTGCGAGACAGTAAACAAAACTAATGCTATATTGTGTAATTACTCATCTATTCTATAGCATTATTACAATCGGATTTATACAAAGACATCTATACATAATTCTATGGAATACTTTCGCACTCTACTTCTAGGCTGAACGAAAGTCTCCAATTGAAGAGGTCACATAATCGGGTACTATTGTCGATGCATTCGGACCCGTAATATCACTTTCCAATGTGATACCTACACCAAGTAAGAATTCGAATTTAAGGACCATTTGGAAAAAAAATACCTGTTAAAACAAGTAGTGTCGATACTCCTCCCGCCTGTCCGAACAGAATGTCGGTGTTGAGCCTGTCACCAACCATTATAGTTCGTGCCGGATCGAAATGAACTCTTGTTGATAAGTCAGGTATGTTGTTTGGCAGTTAGAGAAAGTAGTACAAACTTGGCTTGGATACAATCGAGCATCGTTTTGGCCGGTTTCCCAATACTGATGGGATCTTTTCCAAGGGCGTAGCGTAGAGGTGCACTTATTGCGCCCGCCCCAGGAAGAAGACCATGAGCACTTGGATAAGTACTGTCTTCATTAGTGACAATGAACTGACAACCCGGATTCCGTGTGAGATATTGGAACGCTTTCGAATATTTCGTATAGTTGATGGTAGTATCCAGGCCGCAGACTACTGCAGCTACATTGGAATCCAAGTCAAAATTTTCCAGGGAAAATGACTCCAACGTTTTGTCAACTGGGTCCTGCAAATGCAACGCAGTGAGTCAGCAGAAAATGTGTGTATGCCAGAGAAAGCTTACAGTGCCACCGATGTATGCTACACCCTCATCGCGCAATTCTTCTTCCAGACCTGCCATTCCAATAACATATACTTTCTTTTCTTTCGCTAGCTTCAACACAGAAGAGATATACACAGCTGTCGCGTAGGCAGATCCGTAGATTTCATCCTAGAAAATCACGTAAAAGCCCCATTAGCATTGTGAAATGCAATATTGAAGAACATCGACAGTCCGAAATTCGAGATGCGAAGAAGGATGGAAAATTGAGAGATCAAACTCTCAAGACTCACTACATGCGCCTCGACCCCCAAATGATCAAATTTGGTTTTATAACTTTTTCTTGACTTGGTGGCGTTGTTAGTGACGAATAAGACTTGCTTCTCTGTAGAGAGCGAGTACTAAGATGAGAGGAAGGATCCGAGTATCGATTAACGGACTTCGTTCACGAAGAAGTCGCAGGACTTCCACTGCGCCATCAATCAGTTTGTCTCCTTGCCATAGAACACCATCGCAGTCGAACATCCAGGTGTCGTACTTGTCCAGTAGCGCGGCATAATCTGGAGGAGCGGACAAGCGGCGGCTCATCTTGAATAGCAGTGGAAACGGGGAGAACGGAGGGTTGAACGTTGAAGACTGATCGTTTGATGATTATCGGGCCGACCGCAGATGTCAAGGTTAGGGTTAAAGCGAGGCTATAAAAGGCCAAGGTTTGCTCGAGAATTTCTTCACTCATTTCTGGACTCGCATTATTGTCCTCTCGCGATTTATTCTTTTTCTCGCGGGTGTCTACAGCTTGTCCAAGAAGAATTGCCTCTCAGCTGGAGCGTGCTCTCACCTCGAGTGGTTGCTTCGTGGAGTAGTGTTCCTTACCAGAGACGCAACACATTTTCCTCCAAATCTTTTTGTACGCAGACTTCTACCATATCACTCTACTCCTTATCAGTGCATTGCTGTATCATTTTGCACACACATGTAGTCCCATGCTCATAATACAATCATAATTTGTTGGGAATGACCAGGGAACTGGGAACTGCACGTTTAAGAAATTTGGTAAACAAACGACGCGGAAGCATGGGTACCGCGAAAATATCGTTCGCCAAGTACGAACCAGACGGTAGAATTGCAGAGGCACACTCATACGCCTCAGAGATGAATGTTGACTGACGAGTATTGTGGAACTAAAGGGATCGTTCTGAAGTTGAATACTTATTTGGATTATATAGTACGATAGATATCCCTGTGTAAATCGATTGGGATGTGAGGGCACACATGGCGGATGGACTCATATCAATCCAAGGACGACACCTCCGCACCTGTCTCCTTCCCTTTCGCTTTCCACCATCATTGTTTTGGGTCCGTCGTCAGAAGAGGGAATGATGAATTGTCTATCACGAGTGGCCCCTGCAAGCCTCCAAACCGATTGCACGCAGAACGTACATCTTCGTGGAAAGCCTCTGGAAGACCCGCATGAAATTTACTGGCGAGGATATGTGGTAGCACTCGAGTGTGGAAAGTACGATGTGCAGTGGACGCTCCCTGGAAAACGGTGACAATGAGATATGTGGTCAAGTAAAGGGAATTGACGCGTACGAATTGTTCAAAGATTCCACCAATTACCGCAGCTACGGCATCACCCTGCACCTTGTACAACCCGACCCCTTTTAAAAGCGTTGGACTTGCGTCTTTTGATTTATCTGCTTTTAATGTTGGCGTCCACCTCATTACTCGACCTAGACCCCATTTAGATCCTATGTGCTCCCCGAGGACATAAGTATTCAAGGTTTGAGCCACAATTGCTTCGAGGTCGTCCGACGGTTTGAGATGAGGACTGGATGAAAGAAGGAGATAGAGATATGCAGAGATAACGCGACGACCTGAACCAAATATTTCAACAAAATGATCAAGCAAAAAGGACGGAAGGACGCAGACCCATGAAACTGAGCCCGGCATTGTGGCCATAGATGGCAGCCGGATGACTAGCGTGAGTGAGCATTCGCCGGGCAAGCTCGAGTGGGAACTGCAGCTCGGGAAAGAGATGGTTCAGGTGTTCTGCGAACATTGGATTCGGAGCTCTCATTGTAGAATAATCGACCCGTGCTTGAGACTGTGCATGTTTTTCATCGAAGTTCTTGTAGTCCGGCTTCCGCCTGTCCCTTCCAAAAGCTAGGGGCGGTTTCCTATTACCAAGTCTCGAGCCAGAATCCTCGTCCACCTCCTCTGCATCTGCATATACTGTCCGAGGCCCAATACGAACATTCGAATTCTCTCGTTCATACGACCGCTTTTCCGTACTTTTTTGTTTCATTGCAGCTAAAGAATACCTGCGGGAAGGTGCTGTATGTAGCTTGAGTCAGTGGTGTGAGATGTGATAGGAATATCATAACTAACTCGCGAGGACCCTTGAAGCTGATGAAGAGCAGGAAGAAACTGAAGAACATAGTATTCTGACAGAGGAGTTAAGACGGGAAATGGACGTGGACATGGTGAGGAACGAGAGTCAGGCTACTGGTACAAGTACTGGTACTAGTTACGCCTCCTCGTCGTTGTTTTATTTGTAGTTTAGTCCGGAAGAAAGTAAAAATTGTTCACGTGTATCTAGCGCCAAATTCCAATGACAATTATTCGGGCGCTTGGGATCATTTGCGAAATTAGGTATAGATTTGAAGTCATACATGGTTGATAGAGTACACCGTACATTGTGAGTAGATAGTGAATTGTAGTACCGAAGAGTAGTCCCGGTTGGCCCAATGATAAAAGAGAAAGATTACACTAGATCGCTTTCGTCAAGCACCCATTTCCTCCTTGAGATCTCGCATGTCACCAAGTCTTCGCCGCATCGCTTTTTCCGTTGGGGTAGGAGGTACCATCCGCGCGATTACCGCTCTGTAGCAGGATTTTATTCACGAATGAATATCCCAAGATTCGCAAGGAACTCACCCTACAAGAGTACACACTCCACCAAATCGTAATACCCAAGCAACGCCGTTCTTGCCAAAATATGCATCAGATTCATCACCTCCTTCAACAACGGTGTTTCCATCTGCAATACGGAATATTATACTGGTCACAACCGCGACCTGATGAGTTCTGTCCTTGAGTATCGAGCTTTTGGAAACGCATGATATGGTGGATCTTACCACGAACTGCGGCATAACGATAGCAAGATTGTGTACGCCCAAGATAGTACCGCCTGCAACTGGAGTTCGAGGCGAAGATTCATCATTCGCATCGTTCCCAAATTCTTCCAGAGAACGTCGCCGAAGAAGAGGCTGTCGTTCACTGGAGCGTACACTTCGCAAGCCGGGCGTCGAATGCGTACGGCTATGCAATGGCCTTCTGTCGTCGTTGGAAAGCTGGTTGTTTTCCGAAAGTTCCTTGAGGAGCTACAAAGTCATGAAGAAGGATTTCCTCAACCAAAAAAGAGGTGCGCTCTTACCTCCATTATGATTGCAAATGGTGCCCACATTGCTACCGCCCAGCAGACGCCCACTAGAGCAATGAACACGGTTGCCTGATATATCGTTGAGTAAAGAACTCAGACGAAATATATAACCAACCTGAGTGACAGTCTTCACGAAGAACGTAGACAGAGTCAGTACGGAGAACCAAAGGAGAGCACCGGTCCAGATGTTGCGCAACAGGAATGGCATCATGGGTAGTCGAAGCGGTTTTCCGTTCCTCGCGGCTTCAGCTTTCCATTGACGTACTGTGTTCTTGATTCGAGTGAGTTCAGCATCTTCGTCGACATCATCTTTGTGAGCCATCAGTCGACGATCACGATTCGCCAAGTGTGGAAGGACGGTGCCCGCGATCACAGCCACTACATGGCAAGATCATCAAAACAAAGCTTGTAAGGGAAGTCGTAAGCTATACCGATGCTGTATAGAAGCATGGCGAACTCTCCGGTACGAGTTGCAAGGTCAGGATCGGGTTCTCTGCCCAGTTCTAGAGCCATTACTTGACCGACATAGGTAGTCCTAGATGCCAAGAATTAGAAGTGAGCTCCAAGGTTCCAAGACCATAGTCACATACGAGTAGAACAAGAAGGGGAACCTGTGATATACGATTAGAACAGCATTGAAGGATAGAGTGGTTCATGCCACGTACCATCCCATAAAAGCAAAGAACTGTACGTAGCAGACTCGGCGAATGGGTTTTGGAAGATTCAGGACCGCAACCTTGATGTTGGTCCATATTTCGCGGAATTTTCTGCAGAAACCGTTCAGTCTCAAAGGACCTGCACTAGTTTCAAGATAAGTGACAGACCCTTGCGAGCTGCTCTTCTTCTCGCGTTCTTGCTCCTCGTGTAGAGCACACGTTGTCCAGACGGTGATTACAAGAATTATGATGCAAAGAATACAAAACTTCCGAAATTGTGTTCCACCAAGCAGTCGGAAGAATGGAAGTTTTGCCAAAGGAAGGAAACCTGTTTTTCCGAGTTTGAACAAAACAGCTTTGAGTATAGGGGTTCCTCACCGAAGCCGAAACCGATGATGTTCCCAGCGTGGGTCATACGTCCATGCCAGGCATTCCCTGCGTTGAGCTGAGAGGCTGGAGTGACATCTAGGAGTAGGTTCCTCAGGGAAGCTGCGGGCAAGAGGTGTATCTTAGTATCGCTAGTAGAAACTTTTGCCCATTTTACCTTGCAATCCGTTTAAAGCAAAGTCGAGTAGATAGAATGCGACGATAGCCAAACATATTGCTGTGTTGGCAACCTAAAACCCTTCAATCTCGAATCACCGTCAAACTAAGGGACTTTGAACGCACCCTTGTTGTCCGTTTCTCATCCCAGTCACCAGCGCCGACCTGGAAAAGGTCTACAAAGAACGCGGCCAATGCTTCACAATACGCGAGGACAAGCGTCGAAACGACCAGTACAACCGTGGCAAGGATAACCCAATATCTACGACGGTACTTTGACGTTGAAGAGTCGGAGACTGCCCCTGTTCGAGGTATGTTAGATCCAGGGTTTTCCGAGCATGAGAAAGATAATTGTTACCAATGACCGGCTGTGCAATCAACCCACTAATGGGGCCAGCTAACCAGACTAGGGCTGTCAGCTGTTCGCTAATCCCAAGAGAAAGAAGAAAGGGTGTTCCATAGCTAAGGAAAGTCAGCAAGGACGCGAAGACCAGACCCTGCTAACATACCCAAGCTCGACCGTCCAGACTATCTGAGCTCCGAGCATCGATATCGAGAGCGTTATCAAGTCCCATGTTGAAAGTCTCTTCTTCAGAACCTTTGGTTTCCTTGTCATCGTTGTGTCCTGTTCATAGGGTATTTGGGGCTCGTCATGGAGGACATTGCTTGAATCTGATTCTCTCCGCCTCGAATTAGGCCAGGTAATCTGAGTTGTTGGGTCTTCCTGATCAGCGTCTGCAGTCGGTGGTAGCATTACAGGTAGTAAGGATAGGAAGGATACTTAATAAGGCATTCAACAGTCGAAGTTCTAAAGGTAAGATGGATTAAATGATAACCCTTCCCCAGCCTGACGCGGGCCTGACGCCAGCATGCATGGATCAAGTCACTTCGGAATAGTCCGATTATGAAAGCGGAATCTCCGACGAACAATTTCCGCAAGCCCATTGAGATCCTTGCAAATAAAATACGTAGAATGAGGTAAAATTTCATACAGCAAGTAGGTGTATAGAGGAAGATGATAAAGATACACAATGTCTTGGCGGGGGTGAAGCAGAGAACAACAAAGCAACGAGACACAGAACAGTAATAATCAAATAAACATAAACGCATAAGCTGTGGTCAGTAGTACACGGCATGATACATAGAGTGTATACAGGCGGATCATAGAGGACAGTTGAAATGTAAAAGCTTGTTATGCACCACGAAACGAGGCAGCAGACATCCCTCTTCTATGGCCAGCCGTGAGGGTATCAAGACCTGGTAAAGGTTTCGCCAAAGAATGGAACGCCATCCGTCGCCCGGCAGTCGGCGTACTATTATCTTCAGAAGGCAAAGGAGGCTCGGGGAATTGAGCATACTGGCTTGGTGGTCCTGTGAAGCTTCCAGGCTCCTCATGAACACGACTTTGGTTGCTCAGAGGTTGTGGTGAGTTGGAAGTTGATGACGACCGATTTAGCGTTGGAAGAGGGCGCGGAGATGGACGAGAAGAGCTTGGCCCTGTTCCAGAGCGCGTTCGAATCTCGGGTTGTTCTGGCGTTGGAGAAAGAGGGGGTTCAGCTGACCGTAAGTGGCTCGCGGATATTGAGGGCCGTAACCGTTTAGGCGTGGTGGAACCACTTGAGGGGAAGACCCCGAGGGATGTGAAATTGTCTCCATTCGTTGACGGACCTGCCGAAGTATAAGATCCATTTATCGATTTGTTGTCCGTTGACGAGCTTTCGCTTCGATTTCGTCTCATGTATTTCTCCATCGCGTCCGCATCTCGCTCTCTCACGCGGGAAGCGAGCTGAGATAATGCGGAAGCGGGATTGGCGGGAGGATTCAACTGTCCAGGGAATGTCGCGCTAGCAGAAGCTGAATGACCTAATGTCGGTGGGTGATAATGAGAGTGAGAGCTCGCAGATGGCTGCGATGACGGGGAAGAAGACAAGGAAGAATGACTATGAGGGGCTGCTAAACCATTCTCGTACTCTCCACTGTCAGAAGTGTTCGTGGTGCGGCTAGTGCCAGATCCACTACGCATCCGTTGCATAGGAGATCTGATTTCCCTAGTCCGTAAGCTCTCAGAATGTAAATTTGGTGGTACTATTCCCAATTGTTCTCCACCACGATGTGCAGCTTGAGCAAATATAGCCCGTCGAGATTTCTTGTTAAGCTCAAACTGTAAGCGGGCAGCATCTTGGAGTGTATCTCGAGTGCTATATCTAAGGTTATGGTTTTAAATTAGATACCGTGACAAATTGACACAACTTAATAAGACTCACGAGTACGCATAATCAGAGGCAGTATAGCCTTCATCGTTCCGAGCAGAGTATTGGCATCCGCGTTCGATGAGGAGTTGGACAATCTATTATTTAAAGATGAGTCAGGGACATTTTTCTCGCAGTCGAAGACTCACGGGAATGTGTCCCCAAGCGCTAGCGCTACCAAGTTGAAGGAGGAAGGACATTAGTTGAGTACCATTAGTAGATGAGGCAACAGCTCACTAGTGCAAGGGAGTGTTCCCTCCATTATCAGACAAGTTAAAATCGGCTCCCAGATCACATAACATCTGTGCGATGATAGACGTCGGTATTATTGACTGACCGATATGTGGATCGTGAAACATACCCGAACGAGTTCCTCATTACCCTTGAGAGCGGCAGCGTGTAGGGGTGTCTTCCCTTCGATATTTGTCCAGTCTAATGTTTTAGGGTATCGCTCATAGTACAGAGTTGCCATCCGTAAAGCAGCCCTGTGAATATCGCCGTTGCTTGACAGTGTGTAAGGATCGCCCAAGGCGCCACGTTGATCAGCTAGCAGCATAAGAATGGTATTATTTTCAACATCCTGTGTCAGAAGGAGTAGTGAGATGAGACTAGATTGATTGGCACAACGATAGCATGAGACGCACCCTACTGCACTCGTAGTCATCGTGGCCATTTTGTAGTAAGAACTCGAACGTTTCCTCATTCCCTTGTACTGCCGCCCACGCAAGAGAAGTATAACGTTGATGACTTGGATCGGGATTCCGCTGGTCAGTCCTTTGTACCAGTCTCTTCACGAGGAAGAGATTATTCTCTGTAAAACACCTCAAGAGACTGAATTGGGCGCAACCAGCAGATGTTACATACCAATAACTGCTCTTCGAAGACGAGCTGTAGGGTCTTTTTCGGCCATACCATGTAAGAGATGAAAGAACAAAGAAAGAAGTCCCGGGACTGTATTTATATAAATGACAATTGACGTGAGTGAGTGGCGGTGCCCGGGATTTATCCGCGAAATCCGAAGAGTAATTTATTTGGAATTCCCCAAGTTTTTCTTCATTCTTGCTTTCATGCCGAAAGTCGTTTCCAGGTCTGCGGTGTCATCCTCGACGGATGGTAAGTGTTCACTTCCCTTATTCCTTGGTGTGTTTTCAATGTCGTTCTTGCAGCACAGCCAACTGCTTCTTCGGCCGCCGCTCTTCGTGTTTATTGTGCGTCTTTTTCCTTCTTTCCGGTACAGCATACAATAATCATTGAGTATAATTATCACCAGATTGTATATGTGGGGAATTCATCGTACGATATATCATTAATCTTTCCCCTATCCATTGACGTGTCTCTCTCATTTAGCTTGTAATTGACACCAATTTGTCCGCTCTACCTCGCCGCCAGTCAGATAAGTCAACGATTATCCGCTGTCGAGACAGTGGCTCTGCGACTGCTCGCGTGTTCAAGCTCAATGCCACTCCAGTGGATCCTGTTCTCATTGAGAGGTACGGACAAATTAATCTTCCACAACAAGATTCAATGGTATTCACTTACATGCTGGAACTCAAACAGAAACGGTGGTCACGAACGCCAGTATAGGTTTCTCTGTCCTCGTTGTACATTACCCATTGGTTACCAGTCTACTCCTCCTCCTCCAAAATCAGGTCCTTTCTTGTACATCCTACCAGGTGCTCTGACTCAGATGCAGGGTCAATTACCACAAGGTGCTCTCGATGATGATGAATCGTAACTGTATGGGTGTCGAAAAGTTACATTCAGAAATCCGCATGTACAAGCAAGTACAGTGCCTTCAATTTAGCATATATTGCAGATGATGTTAAAATTTGAGTCTTCTTGATTCAGTAGTGGAAAATATCTGGTATCTGATTGCAACAGACCTCATTCCACTACAGAACACACATAGCCAATGTCGGAGACAGGAATAGCAAGACACAGTACACCGAAAAGACAAAGTTCCAGGAGCGTAGGAGCGTAGTGCTTCATAGATAGACGAGGCACAGCGAAACTCAAACAATGATTTATTGAACGTGATAACACTAATACGAGGGACTGATGTATGATGTATGTGAGATTGAAATAGTCGTTGGGAACATGGATATCGAATGGCCGTTGTATCATGAACAATGCAAACTGCTGCAAACTGAAAGAGATGAATCAGTATTGAGGTTCAACATGAAAACTATACAGAACCAAGAGAAATTTTGAAAGACTCAGATACCGTTGTAGGGTAAATACATGATGAAGCAAGGTTAGTAAGACCTGGCGCTCCGTTCATACAGTGTGAATAATGTTATAATCATTGTCAAAGGTGAATAGATGGTTTTCAAGGAGCATTAAGAGTAAGATGAGAACTCACGGGTTAGCGAAAAAAAAAACAAAGTGCTTGCAGGGAAACCAGAAGTTGTGGAAGACTGTAGATGGATGAGGACGGAGAAAAAAAAATTCCCTTTTTCAACGTTTTCCGAGCTTGGTCATGTTTGGCATCGCTTTCCAATATTACGTGACTGCTTTATCAATCCTAGGACCGTGTCGGATTTGTCGGTTTCTCTTCTTCTTCCTCTTCCTATCAGACTCTATCGATCTATACTGACATGTACAGCGACTGCGTATCATCAAAAATGCACTCAAGACATCGCAATTCTCCCAAATGTGGTTGCACAAAAGGAATCATTCTTCTTCACATTGAACAAGTAACCTTCGCAGGAAAAGACAAGGGAATGCGACATTCATATTGAACGTGACACCTCAGCTTCACCAAGGTTTCTCTCTACTCCAGACCGCAATCAGCCTCTCCGAAAACAGGTTCGGTAATCTTCGTTCGTACATGATCAACTTTCGAAATAACTTTGACGATAGGTCTATACCAATGACCCTGCTGCTTAACCCTCTCCCCCTCAGCTGTCCCCTCGCGTTTCCCTTTCCACCGATGGATTCTACCTTAGATTTGGACCTTGTTAACTCTCCCTACGTGAGCTCACGACAAGACCTTCTCTATCACATGCAGGACGTGCCTTATCAACTCTTGCAAAGCACCTATTTGTCGGAGGCAAGGTACAAGAGGATTCCTTCGAATCAATCTCGCTTGAACACTGTTTTAGGAGTTAGCCAATCTCCTACTGTCATTTCGTCTGCATCTGCTCGCTCGTCTCTTCCATCAGATTCGAGCGCAACCATCATGGTCATCAAGTGCTGACAGAACCTTTCCGAGGCTCCTGGAGTGTCGCCTTCCCATCTCGTTCTCAGTGCACGCCGAACAACTTCTTGACCGTGACACCGATCATGGATTTTACCTGGTCATCCTCTCACTCCACCCTCCTTAGCTTCATGGAAACTGGAAATCTAGAGATTCGTACTAGTGGTTTCTATTGATGTTCTTTCGAAGTCAAAATACAGTTTTTTGTATACTATCATCTATGTGCTTTTTAGCCTAACTTATTTCCGCTCTCCAGTTGTTCCGGTTTTTCCCCTTCTGCTAGAATATACTTATACATATTCAGATAGTAGGAATATACAAGGGAAACAACTCAGATCGAAGCAGATACAGGAGTAGGTAGACCTAGAAAGACAGAGACTATCCGAGTCAGCTATAGCTACAATTTGAAGGGTATAAGGGAGAATAAACCGTACAACAGAACCCATGGTAATACAGTGTCCGTTAGTGGCGTTTGTGCGTAGGCAGAGATACATCAGAGGAGTTTATAAATATGCATTGACTAGCGCGCATGAAGGTCTGTATGTCCGTGAAACCAAATATATGATACATGGAGAACGAAAGCAACAGAGGAGTGAGATTTGGACATAGTTGAGGCAAAGAAGAATGGAGAACAGGAATTGGACAGCAGCGAGAAAACTTCAGAGAAAGCGACAAACTCAAACCCCATTGAACAAGAATAAAAGGCCCGACCTTTTAACACAGAACCTGAAAGAGAATCAGACCCCTAAGCCCATTCTTTCTGCCAAGGTCCGATCTCCACTCCCGCTGTTACCTTGGCTTCCAACAAAATTAGAACTGGCGTTGTAGAGAGAATATGAACCTTTGTCTCCGCGTTCACCTCCGCCTCGTCGGGAACCTCCTCGGCCTCCTCCACCATTTCGCCTGGACCTGTTCCCATCTCTGTCGCGGTCCCGGCCACGATCCCGATCGCCACCTCTTTCTCTATCGCCTCTATCGCCCCTCTCTCTATCTCTGTCCCACCGCTCTCGATCGCGATTTCTCTGCGGAGACCCTCGTGGAGGTTCATCCTGAACTTCATCAATTTCCATCTTCACATTTGATTTGCCCCGCGGAGACCTCGACCTTGATCTTGATCGGCCTCTTCGTCCATTGTTCCCAGGATGATGAGCGGACGAGGGTAAGGAAACGTTGGACCTCATGGAGGGTGACATCTCGTCCTGATGTTGATCCTGGTCTGCCAGCGACAGGCGCTGCTTTTTGTGTACGTGCGAGTGCGCGCGAGGGCCAGTAGGCGGAAGGCGGCCTCCGGTGTTCGAGTGAGAACGTGGATGTGGTTTGATACCATTATTATGATAATGATTTTGCGGGGAGGCGGTACGATTGATTGAAGAAGAGGCAAAAGCCTGATAAGATTTATCGAGTTCGTTACTTGGAAATATATTAGTTCACAGGAGCAGTGAGAAGAAGCGAACTCACGATAGCGTGACAATGACCTGATGTGATTCTGAAGATACTGTCGGTTATGCGAACAAGAGAAAACAGAAGAAACTAACCTCTCAATGCACCCTCTAGCTTGTGTACGATTCGCTTCAAGCTCTGGACTTCCTCCTTCAGCCTTCCGGTCTCTCCTCTCTTCAGAATACCATACAATTCGTCATTCTCGTCTTGCAGTACCCTTACTCGCTGCGTCAAGGCAGCTGTAGTCGTATTGTTGGAGATTTCCGCTGCATCTGACGTTTGTGGAAGATGTGAGATATGCGGGAGTATCAACGAAGCAAACGTCGGCGGAAGTGTGACAGGTTCAGTCGTCGATGGAGGTGGTTGAGTCGAGAGGTACAGTCTCAAACGAGAAACTTCATCCTAGATAGACTATAAGTTGTTGGTCGCAAGAGCAATGTAGAAAAAACTTGCACTGAGTTGAATAACCTGCCCTTCCTTCTCCCGTAACAGCATTTCCAGCTCTAATTCTCGTGTAGAGGGTAAAGGAACATCCATGGCTCCAACAGTTGGGCTATGGGAAAGTGTATAAGATAGAATCGCGTCGTGGTTTGCTGGATCAAAGGGAAGCAACTGTTTTTCGATAAGAGAAGGAAAGAGGTCGAAGTGGACCAGAGCAGTAGAATCAATAGAGCTAAAATGGAATAATTCAAGCCAGCGTGAGAACTCCATTGGCCCTCCATTGGCCTTCCGTTATCACTCAATCCGCTTGCATAAAAGTACTACACATTGGAATTAATAGGCGAAACCCTCTACTGTAACTTGATGAGCACTAACGCTACTGTTCGCTAAACCCCCTAGTACAGCCTGTTCAAAAGGCTTGGGACCACATAAGTATATCTTTCGTGACAAGTCTGTACTCCGTAAATACTTCGAGTCAACCCGTTCTGAATGTATACGAACATCGTCAATTGAACCCGCCATTACCGTAACTTTCCTTGAGGTGAATAAGTCCAACATGAATTTCACCTTCTCTCCTGTGGAGTCAGCGGCCTTCATCAGCAGAGGTAGAAGAACATCAGGATCGCGTGTAGACAAGACCATATGTATGTCCCAGCGACATCCACTGTTGTCCGCCTTCAAAGCTTTGAGCATGCGTAAAAACGGTGTAAAGCCAATGCCACCGGCAATCCACAGAAGCTTGACCTCAGAATCCTTCGCAGGAGAAGGTAGACAGAATGAACCACTGAAACCAACCAAACCTAGACGAATTTCTAGATCAGAGGCATTTGTGAGTAGTTCTGGCCTCGACTTAGCCAGTGCGCGTGCAAGGTTAAAGAGAGCCCCTGTAACCACGCCACCGGGTATCTCGCGCATGGTAAGTGCAAACTCGTGAGTGAATGAATCAGAGACCGTCCAAGTACGCACGCGGTCGTCATTCAAGGATTTGGGATTCGATGGTGCCATGTGTGCATATTTGGGTTTTCCTAAAAGATCTGCAAAACTTAAGATGGCGGCTTGTCCTGGGTTAATGGTAAGGGGAACAGACGATAGAAACCAGAATGTGGCAATTGAAGAGGAATGCATATCGATGCGACTGAGCAAAACAGTCTGATTAGGGTTTGACGATATGACACGGCCGCCTGCTTCTTCTGCGAGGAAACGAAGAGGTGGACTGTATGGACTCTGTTCCGCATGTGTGCCCACGGTCTGTCGTACAGGAAGCGCGTCCAGTACAAATATATATCCAGTCACGAACAGAGTGGTGAGCGCCATTTGGGTATGGAGAGGCATAATCCGCTGAGCATCTTCCCCTACAAGATTCTTTGCTTCGCCAGTGAGGTACAGAATTGCACCGCTCTCGAAATCGACGAATGTGAAAGATGCTAGTGACGAGGCTTCGATGTTACCAAGAGATGTGAGAATTCGGTTACCAGAAAAATCAGGTAAAACAAGTGTACGTTGATCCTTGAGCGATACCCGGATGAAACCTTTACGGCCTCCACGTTGGTTCATACCTAGGTGAGACGGAAATAATGCTGCATCTTTCTCGAGAGCGACATAGGTAGTTCCTAAAAAAACTGTGTCCGAAGCCAAGATAAAATCGATGAGCTCAGCCGGAAGACGATCATCTTTCTGGAGATGTAATCTTTCGGTCATGAGTTTGGGATGTGTATTTGGATGAGGAGAAAGGTGTCGAAGATTTATGTATTTGGGACAATTCCCTATCGTTTCATTGATCGTCATTTCGAGGACAACGCAATCATCTCCATCTCCGGAGCGTTCATATCGTGAAACAAATCCCGCGATCTTATTCCTCCTCCGCGTTGGGAAGTGAATACCAATTCCAGCTATGAGCATGTTGTCCTTCCCTGTCCTCAAGATCGGCTCTCCATCCCAAATCCGTGCCGACACTCTCAACCTACTACCCCCAATGTACCGAATGAAACTGCTTCCAGGTCGTCCTTCCCCTGGCGCCAATATGGAGCTCCAAGGCCGCCCATCCGAGTCCACAGTTGTGACAGGAAGGAAGTGGCATTCACTGTGAAATTGAGCATGACCAGGATCAATCTCTTCGCTGATCCAGGTGTACATCCCATCAAGCGATGGATCCTCAGTAAATTTCATCTTTTGGCGGATGGACAGTTCGCCAATGTGCCAGCCGTTTAGTGCCATGGTTTTAGTGGGGAGATATGGACGTTTTTCGTAAGATGAAACACTACCATGTCTATATAAATACTGGCGGGAAAAGTGTCGATTTGTCAAAGGCCGCGCGGGATGAGTAAGCTTGAAAGTATCTCGAAGTCGGAAGTCTATGACCTGCAGCTATTTGAGCAGTGGACTCTGGGCGAGTCGTGGAAGGTCGTGGAGCAATCAAATGGGGTGGTGGTGGAAAGCTAGAATTACGTGTTGAAGAAAGAAACCCCTTTATCCAATAACTCTTTGTTCACTTGCCTTCTTGCTCATCCTTCTCGATTTTTCCTCAGATCAATTCCCTTCCTCGTTCATCCAAGTACGTTGTCGAATCTATGTCTTTTTACTTACCTTTACAGCGGTCGGCTCTTCCATCTCGTTACGAATCCTCTGGTTAGTCTTTGTAACAAGGAAGTTCCTCCGAGCAGAGTCCAGCCTAAGTCTTGCTCTTTCACTTCTGCAGCTTGGGATCATATCTCTTATGAGAACGCCAATGGTATGCTACCTGCAGCATCTGTACGATACTCTATGAAGTTCCTGAAGCTTCTCTTCAGCTCATTTTCAACACCCCACCAACTTTGTATGACTTATTCCGCCTTATCTTCGGAGACGGCCGGACTAGTTGACAAATATAGGCAAGCGGCTATATTTGGGCTATATACAGATAGACGGACACAGAAGTCCACCTGGCTTACGTCAGGTGGCCATGGACCGGCCTCTCATCAGAGCTGTGCGGCAGGCACTCTGATATTGGCTTAATGGGGAGGGTGCCCCCCAGATCCATCACCCACACCAAAAACACCTACACATATGCCGTGGTCCCCGATGCTATGCCGATGTTGCAAATCGGATCGGGTAACCATGTGGACGGCACCACATGGCATACTCCACCCCGTGAATAGGGAGTCATGATCTATCATTGCAAAGTAGAACCGGCGGGTTAGGGCAGCGGTTAAGCCCTCTGATGAGCCCCTTCGCAAGGGCGAAACCCGCACAAAGTCCCTACCTTTCGGGTTCGAACCCCAAAGCTGCCTAATAGCTTCGAAATAAAAGAATTACAAGCAACATCCGATTTTCAAAATCCACTTCAACAATTCTCTACCTTTGCAAACGAAGATGTCGAAATGCAGGTTAGCATCACTCTCAAACTATCTACTGCATCTTCGCTCATGGCGAACGGTTTTAGGCCCCTCTGGCTGAAAGTTCTTTCTTTGTCATACCCGACACAAATGTTCTTCTACACTATCTTGACGCCCTCGCCGCTTTTGCTGATGATGTGAAACGCTCTAATCTTCATGTCATGATTATAGTACCTTCTGCGGTGGTCGACGAGTTAGATTGGTATGTGTGTACTACTCAGTGGTATGATCAGTCACAGATCGAAGTCGAACTTCGGCACGCACTGTTTATGTAGGCAAAAGAAAGACATTTGGTTCTCTAGGAAAGCCTCAGTTTGGCTCTGGGACATGATTCAAAAAAAGAACGTATTGAAAGGTCAAGGTAGAAATGAACATATACGGAGTTACCGGGTACGCTCGTTGACGATATTCAAGTATGTATACAGCTAATGTGGTGACCAGGAATGTAAAAATAACGATGAAAGAATCATTGATTGTGCCCTTTACTTTGCTCGAAAACGACCGACTGTCCTGTGTAGCGCAGACCGGAATCTCTGTATCGATGCCGTGGCGCAAGGTATGCTCTTTTGCAATATCAATTACTGAGCTCCATTGATTCCAACAATGATATCTAGGTGAACACAACTTAGCTGTCATGAACCCTCACGACCATAAAAATCCTCGTTGGAGTTCTCGCGTTCTCGGAACATTTCTTTTTGGATCGCAATTCGAAGAATCTATCTTCCAGCAATGGAGACCAAGTTACACAGAAGAATCCATCGTTATCGCCCGTTCGGATGATGACATGGGTATGGACATGGACGTGGATACGAATGATGCCCAAGGATCCGAGCTTTATCAAAGCGATGCGCGCACTTTGTTACACAGCCAAGTAATCGATATATTTGTTGCGCTCTTGAGGGAACTTGTAGCGGCCGATCAACGAGACCTTCAAACGAAGGCTAGAGAGGGAGCTGCAGCTTCGATACATGCTCCATCTACGTTGAGATCAATCCACGCTCCTAAACGAGACGTGAAGGTGTCCGATATGGCTTTCGAAGACATTCTTAATTACGTGGCGCACCCTCCTGGTTGTCGTCCTATCAACTTACGGGAAGGCAACCTATCCCTGACAAGGTTTCTTTCCAAGCCTTATCAGGCATACACAGGGTGGCGCAATGGAAATGACTGGTCGAGACAAGATTGGCTTATCGCGCTGAAAAAGTTGAAAGAGATCGGAGAGGCGTGGGGAAAGAGAGGTGGAGATATTGTCAATATCTTGAAATATGATCTTCTGCCGCATATCCAAGCTGTTTTCTGCGATGATGATATACGACTATAGATTGCTCTCTTCTATGTATACTACAGTAGTTTTGAAGTAAGTCAGTGTTTAGATGAAACCTCAACGTCAACACCTAGTCGGAACAGTCGTTGTCCTATCGTCTGGACGAAGTTCCCATTCTTGATGGAAATACTCGCTGGAATGCTTCAGAACATGGCCAGAAAGAGAGGATACCGAGGATTCTGCACCAGACTTGGTGTACGGAGAACCTGCCAACACGTTGGAAGGGTATCTCACAAGAATGCAGAGATATGATGCCTGACTAGTACGTGTATTGCTCCTCTTGTTTGTTTAGATTTCCATCTGACCCTACGCAATGTCAGCGAATTTGGACAGATGACAGCTCTCGTGAGTTCATTGCAGAGCATTATTCATGGTTTCTCGATACGTTCAACGACTACAAATATGCCATTCGACGCGCTGATGCCATACGGTATTTTGTTCTTCACCACTATGGCGGCGTCTATCTTGATTTGGATGTAGGCTGTCTCCGTCCATTAGACCCGTTGCTGGTCTATCCCGTCATACTACCAAAAACCCACGAAATCAGGTCGACGACATTCAACCTGTGTTACTCTGAATGCGCTCTCATTTTCAACAGACTGGCAAATATTCTCTGCCGGTATCATGACTGATACTGGTGTTCGGGACATGTTCATCTCATCGGTGACAAAGTTTGCCTCAAGTGGGATGAGTTCACAGCCGCTCACGGATTGGTACGACGCCGCTTCTGGTATGTCCGAAACATTTCGCGCCAGACCTGTTGTCGGGGGACACCGTAAGTGACAACCACTTCCCTTAATTTCCGTCCACTAAAGTGTACATGTTATCTAGTTGCTCTGGTACGTTTCCTTCCTCCTATGTTCACGGGCGCTAATTTCTTTCTGTGTCTGTCCCTGGTCTGTCCTATGTTCCACCTAGTTGGCTCTGTATGTGCAATTTCTCATCATAGACTTGGTACATTTGCTTATCAACTCTCTTGCAGCAACAGTTCGTCAATCGCCGATACTGGTTCAACCAACTCTTCGCCGTCTTCATCCAACTCGAATACGGGTTATGCTACCACAAACATCAGTGTAGTATATCCTCTAATGGTGGTGCTAGTATTGGCGTCTCTTTGGTTTGGATCGTATGCTTGGTATATGTTTATATTGTAATCCAATATCATTTATTCAATGTGAAAGTCAATGTACATAACTGATCCCTCGAGGCTCTTAAAGGTTCTTTTTCAATGCTTCGTGTAAGCTTTGAGCTCAAACATAACTAACGTCTGTAGATACCAAAATCCATCATTTGGATCTTAGAACCCTTCCGGCCGGTTTGTACTTCTTCTCCTGTTCTTTTCTCCTTTTCTCAGTCTCCTTCTCCTTCTGGACTCTCTCCTTGTCGAACTTGTCCCAAAACTCCCGTTTCTTCCTCTCCCGTTCCTCGACCTCTTCCTTCTCTTGAACAGGTTTTAGCTGTTCCTCCTTGACATGCTTCTCCCAATCTTCCAATTTTTTACGTTCCTTATCGGCTCGCTTTCGGGTCCTGTCTCTCTGAGCTTGAGTCATGTCAATCTCACTGGGCTTGATTTCTTTTCCATTCACGTCCTTCAGCCTCCCCGTTTCAGCTTTCCACAGCCGTTCCGCCCTTTCCTCTGCCCTTCGTTCCTCTTCCAAATCCTTCCTCATCCTGCTATTCTGTAATTCCTCGATTTTGGGTGCTTGTCCTCCGACATTACCGGCTGGATTCAAAGCGCCTGCTTTCTCCAATTGCTCGTTTATCCCGCTCTGAAGTCGATAATCCTCCAGCCACGTAACGGCAGCTTCCTTGGCTGGGAAATTCTCCTGGGCGAACGAATTGATATCGGAAAAGATCCCCTTGGCGGTATTGACGAAAGGGTCATTCCCTTCACCCAACCATACTCCTTCCTTCTTCATCGAATCTTTCGGATAATTCTCCAATACCTTGTCGAATACCTTGTCGGGCTCAAGGTAAGCCTTATAATCATCGATTCTTTCTCGTAGATCTGCGCGTGTCTGTGATACGGCAAGAAAAGCGGCACCGAGATGAGGATCGTATGGGATACCCAGGGAGGCACGGTGGTCTATCTCGGTTTGAAGTTGAACGTACATGTGCTCGACGATCTCGTATGCTCGTTCGCCTTGACTATAGTCCTCTGGACTGACTTTGACTTTACCGGGATCGGAAGGGTTGGAGGGGATGGGACCAGTGTTGGGTTTCTTTTGCGACATGGCTTGCAGATGTTCTGACAGCAATGGACGGGTTCTGTCAGACTATGTAAACCCTCGAGAGGCTTGAGATCCAATTGTGTAGCTTACCTGTTCAAGTCGTGAAGGGAGAGGGCTACGGATGCAACGCGAGCAAGATGTAAACGGTATCGATATTGGACTGAGACCAAAGCGGCACAAAGGTTATAAGGTCGATTGGGTGCCTGAAGTAAGTCACGCAGAATGATTTGAATCTCGTGCCGAAACGTCGAAGGATAGCAATCTTGACAGCGACATTATGAATGGGTCCAGAGCGTGGAACTGGTGAAGGTCGCGAGGATAACGATTATTACTTGCGGCACCAATGAAACTGTAATTTTCACCTGATGACAACTGACAGATAGCCTGCAATTATTCTGCAATTATGTATAACGCAGTCAACTCAACGCAGTTAACTCGCCATCTTCGCTTAGGTTCGCTAATATTGGTGGCACAAATTAATTGTCTGGTCCTGCAAATAATTCCTATACGGGAAGTCATCCAGTACCTTCGATTGTCTGTCTAGTAAAGACCATAAACAGTCCTTAGTCTAGGCCTTGGGAACCTCCAACATCATCCCTGTAAGAACCACATCATAAGGGCAGTATATATGGTCGACGTGGACGATTGTCATTCCGGGCGCGAGAACGCTTTCTGCGGCGACAAGGTCGAGCCGAGGCGAGACGATCTTCACGTCCTTGAAATCAAGCTTGATATTGTCCAGCTGTTGGGGAATACTCCCCTTGTCTAGCTCGTAGCGATTATCAGAGTACCATGCAAATTTGTCATCGCTGGGCGGGAGATGACCGAGGATTCCAGTCTTGCTTAGCTTGAACGACGAGGCTGTGATAGACATGTCGACAGCAATGCCCGTGGTGTCTTCAACTTTGGCAAAATCAGTTGTCTACATAGCGTCAGTCAATGTATCATTCGATTGAAGATAGCCATTCACCTGATCGACATTGACGGCAACTCGAACAGTTCCATAGGTATACTTGCTTGAGGGTCCCATGCCCATATATTGGTTCAAGTGCTGTATGGAATACCAATCGCAGTCGTGACTGTAAGCGAGTTGAACCTTGGCCTGGCCGTCCTGAATGGTCATGGTACAGGGGCTCTCTTGTAGTTTGACGTGGAATGACTCGAAATGGGAACTAGTACCGAACAGAGACCGTTGTGGAACGTCGTTCAATTGAACGTCCCAATCGCTTTCGAGGTAAAACGTGTATTTGAAACCTTTAGCGACTGTCTCTTCCTTCGCTTTCTTGTCATCTCCCAGCTTGCGATCTACCCGATACGCCTCAAGCTGCTTCAGGTAAACACCTCGGCTAAAAGTTTCGTGTGAGATGATTATACTGGCATCTTGGTCTTTGGGTATTGGGTGGATAGGCGTGGCTGAAGTGCTGGTAAATGTAGCAGCAAGATTGCCAGAAGGAGAACCACTGCCAACTGTTTGGATGAAGATGCTCAATACGCCGTCGTCTTTTTCTCCGCTCGCGGCGAAAATGAATGATTTGGGTTGAAGCAGACCATTGGGATCAGCATCGGCTTTGATCGACTTTACGGTTGCCAGTCTGTAATCGATCTGATTGAGGTTGTTATGGTCTCCGAACCAAGCCTTGACTTTGTCAATTGCGTCTGATAGCGGCTCGTCCAGTTTGTTCTCTTTTCCGGATATGTTTATCTGATCACAAGCGGAGTAGGTCAGCATATGTAAGAGGACGGAGGGGAAGGACACATACGAATCGATATACTGCGGTCTGACAGCCGAAGTGGAGTATGATGTGTGAAGCTTCGACACCGTTCTCACCTAAATGTATCGTTTTGTCCGCAAACTGATCTGGTCAGGGTTGATACATTTCGACCATTGTGAGCTCAAGTACTCACAGTAGCTTTCGCATCCACATCGCCAGGTTCCACATCGCCAGTAACATTCTTTAGCGGTACCGTGACCTGTAATTCATACACTCCATTCTCAACGGTCATCACGTCCGGCTCTCCATCCATATCCCCCTTCTTAGTATACCACTGCATCGAGCTCTTTACCGCGAAGGGGATCCTCAGTGTAGCCGCGCATCCAGTCATGATCTCGGCTGTCGCAAAACTGAGATGGGGATGACCAAGGTCAAACTCGAGCTCGGCGGTATAATGTGAAGCCTGTTTCTTGTCTACCGGGACTTTCATTTTATCAGTTTTTGGATCGGCCTTCCATACGTTCTCGAGTAATGTGTTGAGCTTGGAGCAGCGATAGGACACGATCATGTCCCACAAAGCTGTAGACGTCCGGCCTTCCATACATTTGAGAAGGGTGTTGGCATCGGTGAAAGTCGTCATGCTGTGAGAGAGGAATGCAAGTTCAGTCAGGAGAATCACCGCCCAGTGACTAGCTTATTTCCCTATATATTTCTCAGCCGGGAAAAGCGTTCCTGTCGGAGTTTGAGGGTTTATCTTTCTTTGACCTTTCAAGCGGAAAGAGATTCCTCTCCCTCTGTGTACATCACTATTTGGTTACCAACGTTTGGGTACAGCTCGAGACAACATGGCTTGGTGCGTCGAGTCTGAAGCCATGGTGATGTGATGGCTGACACGATCACAGTGAAGGCTTCAATCTCTTCCGCTGGCCCAAAGACAAACCGACTCTGATCCTGTTTGGCGCAGATGAGCCCTACGAGCTGAACGAGCAACATTTGGATCACGACCTCGAGATCTATGCCGAGTCGGTAGTTCTGTCTGGATCCACAATCGCAAAGGGGAGTAGGCTCGGAGTGTACACCAATCAGCTCCGTGTAGGTTACGACAAGATCACCAATACCGTTAGTGGCACTCTGGATGTCTCTGGGATAGACGGCACCAGTGGCATAATACCAGCTGCATTGATTGGTGATGCCAATTCGGGCAGTTCTGGAGAGCCAGCTGGTCAACTTCGAGTCTATGCCGAGCTGGCAGATCGAGGGACGCTTCAAAACTTGTCACTCAACGCAATGGGTGGTAACGGTGGGCAAGGAGCCTCGACAGCAGATGACAAATCTGGGGGGAAAGGAGGGGATGGAGGAGCAGGTGGCACGATCAAGGCCGTCATAGGGGGAAATGGTACCATCCAGTTCCGCTTGCTCGAATCCGCCATGAGCCTGCTAGATATGGATGATGGAACCTCGGAATCTGTACGATGTGACCTGATGCTGAAGATTGTCGATGACTTCGAACGTGCTTCCGAGCGTTACTCCGAGCAGCACAAAATCACCGGGACCGAGAATGCTTTGGCCGACATCTCAGTTGCTATCACCCCTCTTGTCAAAGCCGTAAGCGAAAAAGCAGACTTCAAGACACAGTGGAAGGTTTTTCATCGATTCGCATCATGGTTGGACAATCGTGCAGATGAGGTTCAAACGACCGTGCAATCGAAAACCAGTTGGTCAGGTGGCCAAGCGGGAGCAGGAGGACAGGGTAAGAAAGGACGTGGTCAGAATGGGGTGATGGGCAAAACACTTGAAACTCCTCAGATCAGTTTCCTACGATTCACTCCGGATATGATGCGAAAGATACCAATTGCCATTGCCCATCCAGATCAATGCGCCATGGTCCTTCATCAGGCCAAGATCGACTACTTTGTGAACACGAGCGAATCAAACTCGAAAGCATGCCTGAGGTTGATTCGTCTACGAGACCGATTGTCATTTCTGGAAGACCTCAAAGCCACTGATCCAATTTACGTCGCCTACCAGGAAGCTGAACCCCGTATGCATCTCGTTCCTAGTGATTTCCATTCACTGGGATCTGGAGAGCTCAGCAGTATCACTCGCTTGAGACGCGTGGCGGCCGAAGTGGATGTGCTTCTTCGTCAAATTGATTCGGGTTTAGACTTTTTCAATCATACACCACAATGGGTTCCACGCGCCTCATACACTTTCTACGAGGACTTGACCGAGAGTCTGTTGGACAACTTCATCCGAACCGAAGGGGCTTGGCATCGCTATGAGTCTGCCGTTACAGCGCAAGATGCCCGTCTTCGCTCAGTACAGGAGATGAAAGATTCTTGTCGTATCCAGATCATCAATCTAAACGAGAGGGTTCGTCGTTTGGGCATTGACCTAGAAAAAGCGGTCAACACGATTGGAGATCAAGACACATTGATGCGAGAGACAAAAGCAGCGTTAATGGAACAGATCAACGTCAATAAGGAAGCGATTAGAACATGTAAAATCACTGGCGGAGTAGAATTTGAAGACTTGGTTGAAGCAGCTACAACAATTGCCTTTTGCCCGAACCCCGGAATGATTTCAGTTCAAGCTGTGGGTTTATCGTACAAGGACAACAAGCGGGCGGGCATAGAGTCGGATGATGGTGATCATATTAAGCCTGAGCTATTGCTTGAAAAGGTCGTCTCGGTCCGTGGAGGGGTTGAGAAGCTCGTACAAGGGTACAAACTATCAAAGGTAGAGTCGGGGACTGTCGATATGGACGATCCGGGAGCGACCAAATTGATCATGGAGAAAAACGAGTACATGGATATTGTCGGGAAATTCAAGAAAGCTTTGGGTAAAGCAAACCTGAAATTAGTCGAAGATGCATTCCAGGCCCACATCGGTGTGTTATTCGATGCATTTTGCAACAGTCAATGCTGACAGTGATCAGACGCGACGATCAAAAGGAATCAGAGTATTCTCGACTACAACGCATCGGTCAACATACTCGTCAAGCACAAAGAGCGGGTGGTGGCCTTGCAAGAAAAATCAAGTGATTTGTCAGATGCTGTTCTGGCGGGAACGGACCCCAATCTTCCCGGCATTGCCATTATGATGCAGCAATTGCATGCCGAGTCGTTATGGGCCTTACTGGAGGGGTTATATATGACCCAGCGAGCTTTAAGATTTCATTCACTTGCCGTCGACACCGAGCTCTTTCCTCCTACCACATCACAGAACTTGTCGGCCCTCGATTCCGCCACTTTGGGAATGGTGCGCACACGTCTGCTCAGAAGCTATCGGAACAGTATCGAAGAGACAGGACGCAATCCTCAACAGTTCGTCAGGATCCGTTATTACCTGACAGAAGCCGATCTGAAACGATGGAAAAGACAGATCACCATGAAGACCATCATAGATATACCCCCGGTATACCACGAGACCCCCATCGGGGATCACTCCTTGGCTGGAAGATCCAATATTCGACTGGATACCGTGCGCTTCTTCGTTGAAGGTTTAAAGACTACATATCCAACGGTAACCTTGACCCTGACACAATTGGGTACCGAGATCATTGTCGATCACCGAAATAAACAAAACGAATTCCAGCACGAACAAGTGCGCTTGCAGTTCCAGTATGAGGCGGGTACCATGTCTTTGGTCGAGTCTGGCACTGTCGATGGCAATTTGTCAAAAAACTTCAATGATCCATATGCCAAGATAGGTCCTTTCGCCTCCTGGATGTTGGAGATTGACCCTCGTTACAATCCAGGCGTAAATATCAAGGAAGCGACGAGCGCTTGGTTTGAATTCAGCGGAGAGTTTTATACATTTTAACTGAGTGCCTTTAGATATACTCGCATCTCACTACTATGGTAATTTAAGATATGCAAAATAAGACGGGATCTCTTGCCCACCTCGAACCACTGCAGTTGTTGTAGGAAAAATTAGATAGATGGATTCCTTATAATTAAACACGCCTACTGTGTATTTCTGGGATTTTCTGTGAAATTTTACTGGTGTCGGGCAATGTCCGAGCAAAATCAAGGATATGCAACACCTCTGACAAAAGATGATTTGGAAGGTCTGGAACAAGACCCAAAGAATGGGTCAATGCGGAAGAACAAGAGAATCAGCAGTGGGGGTATGAGCTTCGTCCATGTAGCGAACGTGTTTTGGTGCAGATATCAAACCAATATCCTGAATATGACGCCGTTGTTAAAGACAACTTTCGCCGAAGTTGCAGGTGGATGCTCTAATCTTTCTTCACAAGTCAAATAACTCACGAGCTTTCCACAGATAAACCAACTGTAGCGATAGGTATTGCGAATAAAGAGGCTTGGTATTGTGTTGTCGGTCGATGCTGTCAAAAGCTGAAAGGAGAAATACCTTTCGAAGATTGGGTCAACCGAATCTTAACCGTTATTTGTTAGAATTATCTCTCTTGTTCTCCTTCATATTTGAAGCTTACTATGACCGAAGCGTTTATGAACTACAGCGAAGGATTGCGTGGGTTCTCGGAAAGTAGATGTCCGAGTCGTGTTGTTCTCCCAACATTCCTACTATTTGGCAAATCCTACTGCACCTTCTCTCACAGCGAGGTCAAGGGGAAAGAAAGGCGCAGATATTGTCAATATTTTGAGATATGATCTTCTGCCGTATATCCAAGCTGGTTTCTGCGATGATGATATACGGCTATAGACTGTTCTCTTCTATGTACTACAGTAGTTTTAAAGTAAGTTAGTGTGTGATGTCGATGAAACCTCAACGTCAACAACCTCCAACCGGAATTGCGGCAAAAAAACAAAGTGAAAATCACGTAATAAGGCTTACCTCTACTTCTGCGGAAACCCAAAGTCGGGATAGCCTCCGGAATCTTTAAACCAACTCCAACATTCCTTCATTTTCCTACTCCCATGGCTCGCCGACGTACTCTATTCATTCTTCTTTCTGTTCTCGGTCTCTTCCTAGTCGGAACGGTCGTTGTCCTATCGTCAATAACTTATTACCTCTCTATCGACCCTAGTGCTTATCTTACTACGGACGAAGTTCCCATTCTTGACGGAAATACTCGCTGGAATGCTTCAGAACATGGCCAAAAAGAGAGGATACCGAGGATTCTGCACCAGACTTGGCGCACGGAGAACCTACCAACACGCTGGAAGGGTATCTCACAAGAATGCAGAGATATGATGCCTGACTAGTATGTGTATTGCTCCTCTTGTTTGTTTAGATTTCCATCTAACCCTGCGCAATATCAGCGAATACCTTCTTTGGACAGATGACAGCTCTCGTGAGTTCATTGCAGAGCATTATCCATGGTTTCTCGATACGTTCAACGACTACAAATATGCCATTCAACGCGCTGATGCCATACGGTATTTTGTTCTTCACCACTATGGAGGCGTCTATCTCGATTTGGATGTGGGCTGTCTCCGTCCATTAGACCCGTTGCTAGTCTATCCCGTCATACTACCAAAAACCATTCCTGTCGGTGTATCGAATGACCTAATGTTTGCTGAGAAGGGCCATCCATTCCTGGCTCAGACGATTCACAATCTTGTCACCTTCGATCATAACTGGATCCTGAACTATCCTACTGTTATGTTTTCAACCGGACCCATGTTCCTTTCTGCGCAATACGGGATCTACACTTCGTCTCACGCCGGCGCTCAGGGCGACCCTGTCCGAATTTTGCCTAAATCTCTTTACGGAAAAAACGCCAAAGAAGGTGAAGCGCCAGACTCGTTTTTCTCGCACTTCTATGGAAGTAGTTGGCATGCTGACGATGCTGCTTTCATCGGATTCCTTGGTCATTGGGGCAAGGTCCTGCTGTGGGTTGGTTTGATCGTCTTGATCGGGGGTCTCGCGATAATGGTGATTCCCGGAAAGCAACGTAGATACACGCTGCGGAGGATAGGCGGATACGACGTTCTCTTCCCGCGCTGGTCTTCCCGTACCGGTCAATGGCATTTCCACCTTCCCAGATCAGAAGCATCTTCTCAGAGTGATAGTAATCCAACTTCACCAACCTACACTGATGGATACGACGATGAGCGGTTGCCATTCGAAATGCGTCCTGTCTCACCAGCATCCACAGAATCATCTTTCGCAGGAGATCAGCTGGCTGGTCGTCCTTCCCCATTGGCCGAGACTTTTCGTCGGGTGCGCAATCGTGTTGCTGCATTCACACACACAATCCCAGATGAGGTCCCTCGAACGCCTCACCGTCCGGGAAGACGTCGTTTCAGTCGTGGTTACCTCTTCTTCCTTCCAGCCATATTCACTACACAACCTACTGACATTGAGGCAGGTTCAGAACCGCCCGTACCGCTTTTTTCTCGTCCGATAGCACGTTCTGATCGACCTCCTCGATACATGGATCTCAATGACGGTGCGAAGAACCAACCCGCGGAAGCAGAGGCACAGTTGATTGATCTAGGTGCTGGCACTGAGCATTCTTCGTCATCATTTTCAAGGAGGCCCTCTTCAGCGTCAGCCTCCTCATCCTCATTATAAGTTATAGCCAGGGTAAAGAGTCCTTCAGACTCCTTCTACATCCAGCCATTCCTCTGAAAAGCCTTGCTCCACATACTCTACAATTGATGAGATATATATTCAATTATACCAGATTATACCCTGCGTATCTTGAATACCTCATGTCCAATGACCACTAATACTTATTACTTGCCAGAGATAGGACTAGAGAGACATTTTGGATAGAGTACGATACGAACATCATTATTTCCAACTTTCCACCTGAACAAAATTAACAGATACAGCCTCTCATTCATAACTCCTACATTCATTTTCCTGCTATCTTTCTCATGTGCATCGATAAGGCAAACATGGCTACAGCCCCTGTGGCATATGTATAAATAGGACCAACAGTCCAATATGAGGCACAAGCTATATAAATCAAGGCCATCAGTAAGGGAAATGACTGTTAGCAACATACTGACCTATCAATGGGCCTATCGCGCGCCCTAATTGGCCAGAGGACCTAAACTTGCCAAGGGCTTTGCCTTTAGCAAGCTGGGGATGGACTTTAACTGGTTTGCCAGTGGTTATGTCAAAGCCCCCTTCATCACATTGGAGGGATGCAAAGGCTGTCAGAGAGGTCACCACTGTCGCTGAAGTGAACGCCATACATACAGCGCCAAGTTGTAGTAGACGCAGAGCCAGCGTAAAATTTGTGGATACATAAATTGGTAAAATAGCCAAGAACACCAGGGCCAGTGCACAGCTTGAAACACCACGTCGAGCCATTACGCCTTCACCAATCTTTGACGTAGCTCGTCGAACATACCCACCCTGTAAAAGGGCACTAATGATTCCGATGGAACCAATTAGCATACCATTCTGCTTGTTATCCCAATCGAACACTGTAGGACAATTAGGCATACAGATCGCGGTGATTGATGAAGTTACACCCACAGTCGAATGTCAGGAAAGTTAAAGTGAATTCTACTCCTGAAAATATACCGAGAAAGAGAAGATGAAGGGTGCGGAGGGACTTGAGGATTTCTATGCGTTGTTCGATGGTCTTTGATTTAGGTATCGTCGCGCCATTGGTTGACTTTCCGTTGCTCTTGCTTTTATTCTCGACGGGTTTGATACCTTTCCCTCTAGTTTCAGGTAGAGCAACGATGAGAAAGACGGTTTCCACAGATAGCAGGATAAGAGTGATGATAGCCGGGACCGCGTAGATGTTGAACTCGACCCCGAATGTATTTGCAGCCGGTAGTGGCTTTGATGCGAAGTAAGCTCCAATGGGAGGACCGATACAAAAGCATATAGCAAATGCTATGCCGACATGGGCTAATGCTTTAGAACGATTTTCGGGAGTGGTGACATCGGAAAGGATAGCACTGCAAATACAGTGTTGGTAAGAAGCGATGGACATTCGGGACAGAGTACGCACATTGCAAGCTGAACATTTCCTTCACTAAGGCCTCCGATAACTCGCGACAACATATACGATGCGAACGTCGTGGATTTGATCCATCTGGTTGGTTAACGATTCAGCAGCAGCCAAAACTGCAGCACAATGACATACACCAAGGCTGAAAGGATGTTTCCAATCATAGTGAAGAGTAAGACCTTCCTGCGGCCATGTTTATCGGAAAGGGAACCAATTCGAGGAGAGACTATAAATTGCAGCAGACTGATTCATTCTTGAGCGAAGGGAACATCAGCCGGGGTTCGAAAGTGGAGTGACATACGAAAAAACTGAACCCATCAGACCACCTAGACGTAGTTCATGAATATTTCGGCCCACGCCGGAAGGCAAAACAGACAGTACCTAGCAGGACAATGTCCCATTTCTGAGAGTGCAACGAGGGCTTGTAGAATAATCCTCGAATGGCTGACACAAATCGTAGAGTCTGTGAAAGAAAGCCATTGGGATTTGATATTTCCCTCTGCACCAAATTAGATCTTAGAGCAGGCTTTCAGCAAACATTGCCAACTCACAGTGGTGTACCATTCGATGAGTCTGGGAAAGAGTGGAAGTGGAATGGTGAAAGCAAAGAGATCCAGCACTAGCGACAGAAAGACTATCGTTTCGACTTTAGCCATTGTTGAAAGAGCGTTGTGTGGATTGTAGATGGAGGTATATAAAGGCAGTCCGGCTGGGTATACTATGTTTTCGCTCTCACGCAAGCTGAATGAAAGTTTAAAGAAAGGGAATAACGCTCCGGTTATTCGGTAGGCTGCGCTGATTCGGTAAGCGCTGCGGTTCGCAAGGGTTCGCAGTCAGTACTTGTACAACCAAGTGACATGCATATATAGTCTGGCCCACTATTCAACTTGAATGGCTATGTTGATCACAGTAGTGCCTATATACAGCCTATATATATCGTAACGCGTTGAACTACAAATGTTTACTACTCATCTTTCCTTCCTACACAGTTTCCACTGCAGCGTCCTCAGCGTCACCGACGACTGCTGTCCCCTGGTCCATCTCAATATCTCCATCTGCCACTCCGCGGTATTTTTGGTCTTCGGCAGCGTTCGTCAAACTAGTCTGATAGTGCGAGCTAGTTTCGGTCTTGGTGATTTCTCTCAAGGCCATCGTGGCATATGAGGCAGTTCCCAGCGTAAGGTTAATTTGGAGGGCCATGAATTTGCCCTGTTCATCAATTACCGGAGGATCGAATCCGAGCAGCTTATCTTCGTCAGCTTGGGCAAGAGGAACATCCGGATCCGTGTAGCGCATCACAGACCAAGTCATCGCGGTCGGCCGGTGGAGAATCTTTCGGTATGACCCAGACAGCGTGTAGTCTCTGCACAATACCGTCAAAACTGAGATTACAAGAAACGAGGGACCCTTACTTTTGCTTTCGCACAAAATTATCCGGGTCAAGGCTATCTATCTTGAGGAATTCGCGATATCTGTCGCCAAGTTGTCCCCCTGGGTAAGCAACGTCGGTGCCGGGGAGAGGCATAATCACATCAAGTATCGTATATTTATTCAGGTCCTCTTCCGTCAAGGTTTTTACTTGTGGTGGGGACCATGGCTTTCTCGCGAGTTTCTTCCGTGCACGATTGGACAAGGCCTTGTCTATTGAGATATTAGAAAGGCTAGATGGGTATCAGAAAATCACAAGGTGACCTGTGGCATCTTCGTTCTCATTGTCCGTGAGAGCTTCGCCATCTTCTTCAGGTTGTGCATCCGGATCAACTTCAAACACAAGGTCACCGACAACGGGTTTCTCAGCACCATGCATCCGAACCCGTTCAGAAACAATGGCGTTCCAGACATACGATTGATACGCATGTACATACATGAGTCGAAGGTTCCTTGGTATCTTGAAAGGATTTCAGTTTCGAGATATGGGACACAGCAATAATCGATCGAGTACCGTTGAAAGAGCACCCATAGCATTACGAGTGTCTCCTTTTTGCTTTTTGTAACTCTCAAGCAGGCAACGTTCGGCAACAACTCGTCTAGGCATGAGTGATAACGCTTTATCGAGGTCGTTGTCCACGAGCCATGCGTTTCGAGCGGCCTCTACGTCGGGGTGTTCACCATGGCGTGGCTGCAGAATCAGTGAAGCAGCCTTCTGCCAATTAGATTGTAACAAGGCCAATCCAATAGCATGTGTAGGAACGGATGCTGTTCCAAATCTCTGCATGCCTAGACCGAAATAAGAAGAGGAACACATTTTGGGAAAAGGCCAACGAACCGTAATAGTTAATAAACCCAGTATTCTTCACAATATTCAATGCTTTGTCAAGCGTTTCCATTGAGTCTACTTGTACACTCCTGATTCTGTCAGAAGGGAATGAATACACGGCGTGAAGTCAACATACCGAAGAGTTATAACAAAGGCGTTACCCTTGAGTAGCCCAAGCTCAAGACTTGCTTTGCGGTAGTTGAAGTCAGCAATACGAACTCCACGTTCGCCTCGTTCTTTTACGGCCTCTTCAGCAGACTTCCGTCCGTTTGTCACCGCATTCGCAAGGTTCCATACATCCTCGACCGTTTTGTTATTTCGTTTCAAGGATACTCTCTGGACAGTGACTCCGCGTTTATCCTTGGTCCCGGCTACTGAAAGATCCTTGACATTCACTTTGAGCATCCGAGAAAGATGAGAAAGCGCGTCTTGGGTATCCCGGTTGGTTTTTTGGAGAGTGAAATGTATGTACGGAGGGAATGTTCCGCGAGGCGCACGTTCAGATCCAACTCCTCCATCTATGAAAAAGAGGTTCATCGAAGTATCAGGACTGAAATGTGAAGTTGTAATGTACCCCTTCTTTCGCGTCCGCCACGTCCAACCCCACGTCTTGACCACTTGACCACGATCCTAGAGCCTTCATCGGTAGCTGGGGCAGATGTGTCAGTTTCACTGTCTAGCTTTCCACCAAAAAGCTCGCGAATAATTTGATGGAAGGCAGTCCTAGTCTCCTTTGAGCCAATTGGCTGTACAGGAGGTTCACAGATAAATCCTGGAGCAGATGATGGTAATAAGACGAACAAACTTCGGAAACGATTTTGCGATGGTCCTCTCTCGCTGAGCCACCCCCACGACCACCGCCTCTGCCGCCTCTACCTCTATCACGTCCACGACCTCTTCCTCGCTTTCCCCGATCATTTGACTCGGGTTCTGCAGATGAAATCTCTACTGCAGACGAGGAAACATCTTCGGTAGAACCTTTCCCGGTCCTTCCTCCCCAGCCGCTGTCGGGGACTCTGGGAGGCTCCGGTCCTTGCAGGAACATCTCCTTCAGCTGTAAAATGGCCGCTTCAGACAAGTATGGTGCCAATTCAGTATTGAATGATTCCGGCCAAGGTTCTTTGGGCATTTTTACCTCAGGCTTTGAATCTGCAGGCTCGGAAGTGGGAATTGTAGGAGCAGCATCAGCACGCTCGTCAGATTTTGCCGCTGGGACTTCCTTAGCACCGTCAATAGTGTTGCTATCGGTTTGGTTATTACCAACGTTGATAGATGAGAGTTCCGCAGAATTCTTTTTCGATGATTCTGGCATTGCCAGAGATTTTAGATGGATAACGTTTCCATCTAGATCAACTTCGTTGACCAGGAAATCAGTAAATCTAAAGAAGAATTTAGTCCTTGTCGTTGTCAAATTGAATGAAGACGCACCTCTGTTTGATTATTCCCTCGATTTTAGATACACCTCGCCCTACATACTCAGAAATTCCAACGTCAGTTTCTAGAAAGTTTATTGCACGGCCTTCTATCACAGTAGGAGGAGGAACTCCGAGTAGAGAATGACTGGGAGGTAGTATATATGGCGTTTCTTCAACGATTTCAATCTCTGCTTCATCATCAACGTCAGTAGACGCAGCCTGCGAATCGTTTATCTTTGGACGTTTAGGGTCACGTTCGAGGTCTCCGTCGTCGTGTTCTCGTTCCCGCACGAAAGATGTTGAGGACATGGAAAGAAAAAAGAAATTTTGATGCGAATTTCGGTCCGAACAACTTGGTCTTGAACTATCACGATGGCTTCTTTCCTTCGACAGACTTATGGACAAAGGATTCAGAATCACACTAACCCTGCTGCAAAATTACTTCTCGAAACCATGGAGAGGAAAAAATCAAATTTGGCGGTCAGCGTAGATGTAACCAAATCGAAAGATTTCTTAGCCATTATCGATGCTGTCGGTCCTTTTGTCTGTCTTGTCAAGGCAAATCTCTTTCCTTCAGGTCACCATTTACTATTTTTCTCACTCGGCGTTCCAAATCAAGACCCACGTTGACATAATTGAAGACTTTGATCAGTCGCTCGTCCAACAACTGCAAGATTTGAGCATCAAACATGACTTTGTTATCTTCGAAGATCGCAAATTTGCAGATATCGGTATGTTTAATTTCTGGGTTTCATAATATCAAGCTCAACTGCTTTTACCAGGAAATACTGTGGCCCTACAATACTCCAGTGGCGTACACAAAATTGCAAACTGGTCGCACATTACCAATGCTCATCCCGTTCCCGGTCCTTCCATTATTTCCGGTCTTTCATCTGTAGGCCTCCCCCTTGGGCGTGGCCTCCTGCTACTCTCCGAAATGAGTACAAAGGGTGCGCTTGCTGTCGGTTCTTATACACAAGAGGCTGTTCGTATGGCACGAGCTCACCGAGATTTCGTGATCGGATTCATTGCCCAAAGGACTATGGAAGGAATCGGCATGCAGGAAAATACCGTAGACAAGGACGACTTCCTCATTCTCACTCCAGGGGTAGGCTTGGATGCCAAAGGAGATGCCATGGGCCAACAATATCGTACTCCTCGCCAGGTGATTCTGGAATCAGGATGCGACGTTATCATTGTCGGAAGGGGCATATATGGCAAAGACCCAGGCTTGGTTGACGAGATAAGGGCGCAAGCCAAAAGGTATATGGAAGCTGGATGGGAAGCTTATCAGGACCGGGTATCAGCACAAGCTTGACTACATACATACATTTGAATTGACGTTTGCCCGAAATGTAATTTGAGCGCCAAAACCTCGTGTTTTAAAAGCCTGAAGTTTATTGACACTTTCCTTTCCAACCTTCTTCTACAACCCTGGTGGTTTTTTTCCTTTTATTTTTCGTACATCTCTATCTTTGTCTCTCTTTCTTTTATAAACGAAAAATGCCTTCGGCGATCTCAGTGTTTCTTCTGGCTCCTTTGCTCGCCCAATGTGCACCACTTCTCAAGCGAACTGGCCCCGTTCAAACTGTAGCTCTCTCGACCGAAAGCGATATCTCGTCGTCATCCATAGCTACTTCTTCTAGTTCGACGCTAGGAACTTCTCCTTCCTTTACGATGTATTCATCCAGCTCGCTTTCGTCTTCATCTTCAATTCCTCAAGCAAGTTCCGCCACTGTATCTGCTTTGGACGTTCTCGAAACACCTCAACCTGAAATTATCACCAGTCCCGATGGATCAGAAGCTGTCTTTATTGACCCAGGACCTCCCTATGACTCTAGTATCTCGGATGGCGATGCCTCTACACAAGCTGCGCGCTCTCTTGTCATGGGCTATTATCCTTACTGGGTGGGCTCGACATTCCCGCCTGAGCAAATCGATTTCACCAAATATGATTGGGTCGATTTCGCTTTCGCCTCCCTCAACCAGACGTTTCAGCTATCCTTCGAGGATCCATCGTGTCCTGATCTCTTGCGGCGAACTGTTGCCGCTGCGCACGCTAAAGGTAAATATGTCAAAGCGAGTATCGGCGGCTGGGGTGGTAGTCAGTAAGTCAATCGAAAATTCCCTACCAAACAAATTTGATGGCTTTCAGATACTTTTCCTCTGCAGTGTCCACGGACAGTAATCGGCGAACCTTTGTCCAAGAAGTGATTCGAATGATTCAGACATATAATCTGGACGGGGTTGACTTTGATTGGGAATATCCCGGCCACGAAGGACTTCCAGGAAATCAAGTGGACCCCGCAGACAGTTCCAACTATCTCTTATTCCTTCAACTTCTTCGGTCCAGTCTACCTCGTATAAAGAAAATCACTGCTGCGACCTCGCAAACTCCCTTCACGGACAGCAACGGACAGCCGATGAAAGATGTTTCAGCCTTTGCTCCAGTGTTGGACTGGATTATGATCATGAACTATGATGTCTGGCAATGTAAGCCATCACTCCTCGGTAATCATTTCGAGCTCACCGTCACGTTTAGCTTCTTCGACCCCTGGCCCAAACGCACCTTTGTATGACGGTTGTCATAATTCCACTCAACCCCAGGCAAGCGCCGCCAGCGCTGTGAAACAGTGGGGTCAAGCGGGTTTCCCTCTGAATAAGCAAGTTCTCGGTGTACCTTACTATGGCTACCTTTCCAACTCTAACGCTACAAGACTTCGAACGCGTGCTTCAAGTCCCTCCGTTCGACTCACCGCTGATGAAGGCGCTGATCAAGGCTCTGTAACGTTTCGCAATCTCGTCAAACAAGGTGCTCTTGTTGCTAGTCCTTCCAGCGACGGTCGGAGACGAACCTTCACTGCCTCGAGTGGATTCAATCGCTACTGGGATGAATGCTCTGCCACGCCCTTCTTACGATCTCAAACCTCAAGACAGCTTGTCTCTTACGATGATCCTGAATCGTTGCATATGAAAGGACAGTTTGTGAAGAAGATGGGTATGTTGGGGACCAACACTTGGGATATGAGCGGTGATACACCTCAAAATGATCTTGTCGTAGCCCTTATGGACGGACTCTTTAGTAGTTAAAATTTTATTCGGTGGACCGTGCATAGGCCTATGCAGGCTGAGCATAGCCGTGCACGTGGAGGCCGTATCGTACAGTATCACCGACGCTTCGACCGACGTATCAGTGTGCTTGGCAATGCCGCTTGATCCCTTGATCCGCATTCGAAGGGCAGTGCAGTTTTTGCCCCTTAGCAACGCTTGAATGATTGAATCCACCACTTGAACTTGAACCGGGGTGAAGCCTGAGTGTCGCATTGGTGTCATGCAAAGCCATGCAATTGGAAAAAATGAGAAAATTATCCCTCTTTGTTTCATGCTTCCGTGATGTTTTCTGTTTTCATTCTATTCGTCCCATTACTGTTCGTCGCGCCCGCTCGATGCGTGGATTGGACATCGACGCCTTTCAACCCCCCTTCCTTCCCGTTGGCAGTACGAAGCCCTTACCTTTCGGCGTGGCTTCCTCAGGGAAATGGCTCAGCTTTGAATGATGCTTGGCCTCAGTTCTGGACCGGGCAGGTATGGATGGGGTTGACAATTCTCGTCAAGCAGGGGATGTACCTGTGGACTCATTGCTATCATACAGATTCTCGGATGGGCCGGCTTCGTTAACGTAGATGGGACATCTTATATTTTCCTGGGTGATGCCAGTGTGTCCAGCGCATCTTTCAATAAAGCAACTCAAAAGAGCGCTAACGTACGTTTTGCCATTGGAAAATCTCCCTAGTTCTTGTTATTGATCAGTGCGCAGTTCACGGCTACTCAAAGCACATTCGTTCTTTCTGCTGGATCTGTTGATCTTACAGTCCGTTTCCTCAGTCCTGTCGAGGTATGCTGTTTGACTATCTGCCAAGAGCTTTCTTGCCATCTCATTCATTGATTAGCCTAGCGATTTTACTAAACAATCCATGCCTTTTGCCTACATGGCAATTTCAGCTGCATCAAACGACGGGAGCTCTCATGCCGTTCAGATCTATAGCGACATAAGTGCAGAATGGATTTCCGGCAATACTTCCCTAGCCGCAAACTGGTCAACTTCGACGGAGGACGTACTCACGCATCAGATCCAGCTACAAAATTCCGCTCCTTTTTCTGAAATTGATGACCGTGCACAATGTGTGTAAGATATTTACGTTGTCCAATTCGAGTCTCAATTCGCAACTTTATAGACGGATCCGCGTACTATTCTACGCTGAACGTGAGTTCAATTTGAATCACTCTACATTATTCACGGGCTGAGTACCTGTCCGTCACCTGATACAGCAATCTGGAATAACATACCAGACTGGAGAGGATATCATTGTTCGAGCACAATTCATCAACAACGGCAAATTAAACAATGTATTGGACACCAACTTTCGCGCCATATCCGATGACTGGCCTGTTTTTGCCTATGCTCATGATCTTGGCACTGTTTCCAACGATGCGACGACCCCTGTTGTCATTGGTGTGGGTTTTGTGAGAGATCCAGCATTAGAGTATATCGTCGCAAATGGGGCACTTCAGAACAGAAGTTCATACTTTCTGAACTCCTTCACTTCTCCTTCGGATGCTGTGAGTCCTTTGAATGGTATTTGTGGTGGTACTCACAGATCTTGCGTGAATATGTAGATGACATCTTTCTTGCAAGATTATGACAATGCACTCGATCGTGCCTTCGCTTTCGACGCACAAGTAGACAGCGACGCTTCGACAATCTCTTCCGACTACGCTGGCTTAGTATCTCTTTCCATTAGGCAGCTCCTTGGAGCCATAGAGATAACGCTTTCGAAGAATAGCGACGGTTCCTTCAACACCAGCGACGTGATTGTCTTCTTGAAAGGTATACAGCTTTGTTTCGAACACTAGAGATTTACTCAAGAAATTCTGCGCAGAAATATCTAGTGATGGAGTGAGACCAATTCGACGTGGTTTTTCCCTTCAATATAATGATAATTGTTGTAGAATGTCAACACTGTCGACGTCGTATTCCCCTCGTGGCCGGGTCTACTCTACCTCAATCCGGACCTCGGGAAGCTTCTCCTCGAAGGCCTTTTAGCATATCAGGCTACTGGACAATACCCGAACAAGTGGAGCGTTCACGACCTTGGTATGATTTTTCGCGATAAATTTCACATTTCCTTGCTCATGTCTCGTACCAGGAGCAACATATCCGAAAGCCGTCGGCCATAATGACGGACAAGATGAGGCCATGCCTGTGGAAGGTTTGTCGACTTCAAAATCCCCTATTCTATGCTCAACACTTTGATGCAGAGAGTGGTAATATGGTAATCATGGCTCTTAGCTACGCAATCAAGAGTGGAGATACATCCCAACTTGCCAAATACGAATCGCTTCTTGACCAATGGACTCAATTCTTAATTGAAGATTCGCTCGTTCCCAATAATCAACTCAGCACCGATGATTTCGCTGGGACTTTAGCTAATCAAACTAATCTTGCAATCAAGGGGATCGTCGGAATCGCAGCAATGGCCAAGATTGCAGCTCTTCTTGGTGATACATCCAAAAGCTCCAATTATAGTGTGAGACTTTCGTGAACCCGTCCAGGCTCTTCATTGAAGATTTGACAGTCAATTGCTTCTTCGTATGTCTCTAAGTGGCAAGCTTTCGCTACGTCCTCCGAGGGGGATCATTTGACTCTCAATGTACGTTTTACTGGCCATCAGATAGTATATGAAACTGGATGATTGATTCTTGGTTGTCAGTACGGGAACGACTCATCTTGGGGGTTGTCTTATAACCTGTATGCCGACAAGCTCCTCCAACTGAATGTTTTCCCCGAATCCGTATACACCATGCGTAAGTGACCTAATTTTTCAAATATCCATTCGATATCTACCCATGGAGCAGAAACTGAATGGTATAAATCCGTTCAAAGTGAGTTTTCCTCTCCTTTATCTGAATTATTAGCACTAACGCGACCTCATGAAAGATACTTATGGTGTTCCCCTTGACACACGGTAAGAGCCTGCGTCTTAATTTTACGACTGCCCTTACACATTAACCTCCGGCTCCAGTCATACATACACGAAATCAGGTCGGCGACATTCAACTTGTCTTCCTCTGAATGCGCTCTCATTTTCAACAGACTGGCAAATATTCTCTGCCGGTATCATGACTGATACTAGTGTTCGGGACATGTTCATCTCATCGGTGACAAAGTTTGCCTCAAGTGGGATGAGTTCGCAGCCGCTCACGGATTGGTACGACGCCGCTTCTGGTATGCCCGAAACATTTCGCGCCAGACCTGTTGTCGGGGGACACCGTAAGTGACGACCACTTCCCTTAATTTCCGTCCACTAAAGTGTATCTGTTATCTAGTTGCTCTGGTACGTCTCCAATAGTTCCTCCTAGGTTCACGGGCGCTAATTTCTTTCTGTGTCTGTCCTATATGTTCCACCTAGTTGGCTCTGTATGTGCAATTTCTCATCATAGACTTGGTACATTTGCTTATCAATTCTCTTGCAGCAACAGTTCGTCAATCGCCGATACTGGCTCAACCAACTCTTCGTCGTCTTCATCTTCATCCAACTCGAACAAGGGGTATGCTACCACAAACACCAGTGTAGTATATCCTCTAATGATGGTGCTATTGGCGTCCCTTTGGTTTGGATCGTAGGGCTTGCTTGGTATATGTTTATTCTGTAATGCAATATTATTTATTCAACGTGAGATTCAATGTACATAACTGATCATACGCTCCTCGCAACTATGAGCGAAACATCAATCAATGCTATATGGCCAGTTGCAGACCCAGGTGTGTTTCTCGTTTCTATAGCCTGATGATATTTGTGATTCAAAAATCGAGCCGTCTTCAAAGAATTACGCAAGCTTTCTGCAGTCAAGCATGACCTGCAATCACATCCAGAGTGCTGAGTACTTGCTAATAAAAAGAGGATGTAGGCCGGGTTCATTGGGAGTTGATTAGCAAAGTTCATGCCAAATCTGGAGGTGTAGGGCCACTTCGTGAAAATTCTGTCTCGAACTTACGTGGGCGCCAGCTCATGAATATGGCGACTGAGGACAATCAAAAGGGTATTCGGATTGCTTGAACCTGGTTTAGGCAGATTGGCGCCTGAGGCGGTATCTACATCACGATTGGTCTTTGTACTATAGCTACTACTAGGTCAAGTCGCATGCCAGAAGGGTCACCTGAACCAAGGCCTCATGCAGACCTCATGCGTATACTTCCCACTTATGTATATTGTCGAATTCTTTGACGAGTTTATACTTCTAGACAATGCGAGCCAGTACCCAGGGCCAGACCTACAGGTACAGTTCGCCGCTTCACGCGTGTTCAGTCTTGATTTGTTCTTCAACATTCCTATGTCATAGCCTGTCAACCCAAAAAAGATCGGAACCTGATCCTGAGCACGAAAAATTATGAAATGGATTTCAACGCCTCAAAAAGTGGCTCAGCTTTTCATCGTTGCATCACTCAGCTTCACTTGTGTGTCACGATGCGATCTGTTTTTCTTACTCTCGCTGCTGTCGGTGTCGGTCTTGTCTCCGCTGTACCTATAACACCTACATCCGACTCTTTGCTCCCCTGTGCTGTCTGTCCCGCGATTGTTGAGAGTGATGATTTATTGCCTTTTGTACTCACCCAGTCTACCGAGGGCTTGTTAAGCATCGTCTTGCAGTGCGAGTATGTCTCTGAATCCATCATACATCCATCCTCTTGCTGATCTTCATGCTATATTCGTAGCTACACGAATTTGCTTGGTTCCGCCTCCTGTTCCTATTTTGTGAGCACGACCAGTATCATGATCACTGTAGACGTCTAGAGAGGTATTGACCGATTTTCATTCAGAATATCGACGGTACACTTTCTTCTGAGAGCACTGGTATAACATGTCCCACTACCGCAACCCTCCTTCCACAGTCTGGGCTTGGTCTTTGTACCGCGTCACCTTTGTGAATCCATGGGATCCAAGAATTCATCTTTCTACAGTGTCTCGAAGGGTTGGTAAATCAGTCGTGATGCGGATGTCAATAAATCCATAGATAAAAACAATGTTAGTCACACCGGAGAGTACCCAGGCCAGGGGCCACCCAAGCACCCCCTGAAGGATTGGTGTAACACATGTCGCATTATTCAGATTCATCCGCTTGAGCCCGCGGGCAAAGCATCGGAAGCAGTTGCTATAAGAGAAAGTCATTTAATGTATCCGAGTCGTAAAGTGCCACCCCAAAATTCTATATCTAAAGAGGTGGCTGGTTCACTTGACGTTCAGACATTCGTCACAATGCGGACCATTCTTCTCGCTCTCGCGCTTGATATCGTTGTCCTCGAACTCGTCTCTACTTTACCTATGCAAGAGTCACTGTCATTCCCTTGCGCGGTCTGCCCTCTCCTCATTGCGGGCGGTATCCTCACTTCGGCAGTCGAGAAAGAAGGAAACAGTTTGGAGTGTAGGTAAGTTCTTGAGGTTTGATTCAGTATGATTTTGATGGTGACTCTCCTGGGTACTGCTTCCAAAGCTACAATTTGAATCCAAACGCTTCCTGCCTCTATTTTGTGAGCAGAATCGGGATCGGCCACTCTGATAGATGGCTGATCATAGATACATTCTTTATTTAGAACGAGGATGGTGCACTCCTTGTTGAGAGTCCTGGTACGAATTGTCAGGGAACAGCAACCATTCTTCCACAACCTGGACTCCCTTGTGTTGCTGTAGATCTGTGATTTTTTTTTCATTTCAGCAAAGAGTTTTTTTGCCTTCTGGATAGTATACCACCAGCTCGAAAAAACTCTTGGCAGCGGGCCTCAAGTTAGAGGTACAGCCTATCGGTTCAGGAATTGTCTTCGATGGGAAGACGCGAATTTAGTGGTAGTTGGGAATAAGAGGGAATAAGTCTTGTACGGGAGGATTGATAAGATAAATATACATCGGTCCGGTTCCAAACTTTAGACCGTGAAAATTTCTGAATTTAAGATAAGCAATGCATCTGCATGAAATCATCTTTTGCGCGACTGCATCGCCGTCAACGACATCAGGCTCTGGTTCAGTCACCCTTCACGACATAAACACTGGCGCATCTATTGCTTCTTTCAAGCAAACAAATGCAGCTCCTCATTGTACAACTTTTTTGAACTCTAGAAACGCGCAAGGGGGCTTTTTCTTTGCCGCGCAACCCGACAAACTGTTGTTACATGCATACAACTTCCAAAAGGTGACTTGATTCAACTTCCTTAGCTCTTTGCTGATGAGTCGTATCCCAGGATCAAATAAGCCTGAAAATCGTTGTACCAGAAAAGTTAACTTGCGTTGCTCTCGATACATCTGGAGATTTCTTTGCTGGAGGGACTGCCCAGGGACGGATCTATCTGTGGGAGGTGTGTTATGCTCTTTATCTTGCTTTAATGTCTCTAATCATAGAGCAGGTCTCGTCAGGTATTCTCTTCAACTCATGGGACGCGCACTACCGTCAAATCAACGTCCTACGTTTTACTCCCGATGGCGCTGCACTGCTATCAGGCAGCGACGACTCTGGGATCAGCGTTTGGTCGATGCACAGGTTAACCCCAACACCTTTGGCCTTTGCTGGATCTTACTTATTGTACTGGACAGTCTGCTAGATGAGGAATCCCAAAATACACTGTCTTTACCGTACTTCACGTTGACCGACCACACATTACCCGTCACCGATATTCTTTGTGGATTGGGCACTTTCCCCGAATGCCGTGTACTGACTTCCTCTGTTGATCACTCTGTCAAGGTCTATAACTCTTCGTCGTCTTGTTAAAACAGTCGGATACTAATCCACATCTCTTAGTTATGGGATCTCGCTACACGATCGCTATTGACGACATTTATGTTTCCTCAAGCAATAACTTGTTTAGTTTGGGAGCCTACCGAGCGATTGTTCTTTGCCGCCTCATCGTCACCGGAAGGTTCTATATATCAGATAAATCTCTTCCGACAGCTAGAGGATAAAACAAAGGGACCTACTGTGGAGGCTATTGGTGGGGGTGGAGTCAACGACATTATCCGTGTCACCGATGAATCTGCAGGTTCGCAGAAAAAAAGATTGATCAATGTTGGGTGCGTGATATAATAATTCACATCTGGCAGTATTTTCAACTCCTTTCGTTTCTTGAAGCCAGCCAATAACGTGTATGTCGCTGTCATTGACATCAAACCTTCTGGTCGGAACTTCGTCAGGATTGATACATATCTACGATACCCCCACCCATCAACTCCTTCGAACAATATCGACACATAAAGGGCTTTCAATCTCCTACCTTGCCACACTCCTCAAGCCCATAGATCTCACTGGCCATGTTAGCTTTAATTTCAACTCAAGTGTCACCACCATCGACACAATACCGGTCAAGCCCATCATGCCCTTTCAACGTATGCGAGACGCCAAAGCTCGAGAGATTCACGAGGTATCAATGATGTTACCTACTCGTGAAAACGTATGTTGTTTGCACATACTAATTGCTCTATTCCCGAACTAAAGATCCTTTTGAACAGGATTACGAAGACGAGAGCACGTTCTATAGCCAGGAAGCATTACTTCGTGACCACGCGTACTTTACCACACCTTCCAATTCTGGAACCCGACTTGGTGATACTGCGGTCCTGCAATCTCGGGTTACTGAGCTCGAGTCTGAAGTTGCTTTACTACGTGGACAACTTGGTCAAGCAAAAGGCGTCAACGACTTGATGTGGGAGACTGTCGTCCACAAGGTCATTCATGGTCAAGCCAAGGGTACAAACAACGCGAACGGTGAATCAATAGAAGATGAGAGACAACGGAAGCGGGGGCGAGTCGATTCAGATTTGGAGGTACATTTGTAATTGTTACACGTAAAAAAGTACAGTCTAATTTATGATATTTTATATCTTGATTCTTGAACATTATTTACTGGCCGCTCCTGCGTTCTTGAACCGTTCCAGTGCTCGTTGGCGACCCTCTTCGTGACTGATGATAGGATGTGGGTAACCAAGCTTACTGGCTACTGAAGCAGAGGGATTGTGCAAATCTATTATAAAACTCGATTAGCCCGAATACTTCTCTTACAAAAATTTCTCAACTTTACCTGGACCTCGAAGTTTGGACAGTTCTGGCACGAACTCTCGAATGAAATCACCAGTTGGATCAACCTTCCGAATGAGGGGGTAAGTATGTGACATACATATAATGAATCAAGGGGATGGTCAAAAACACAAACCTTTATGCTCTGCGAATAAGGATTGAAAATGCGGAAATATGGGCAGGGATCAACACCTGTGCTAGCTGACCACTGCCATCCCCCATTGTTTGACGCAAGGTCACCGTCAATCAAGTTCTCCATGAAGTACTAAAAACGACGAAATGGCAAGTGAGAATCACAAAAGCATTTGTATGTGGTTTGGACTCACTCGTTCTCCAACTCTCCAATCAATCATCAGGTCTTTCGTCAGATACATCGCGGTGATCATACGAAAGCGGTTGTGCACCCAACCCATCTGTTGAATGCATCTCATGGCAGCATCAACGACTGGAACCCCGGTCATGCCTTCCTTCCATCGTCTCAGCACTTCAGCGTCTTCCTGTTGTCCGACCGGGTCAGGATCATCATCGTTGTACCCTTTACCGACATCCCCTCCTCCAGCTCCGGCTTCCTGATGCGCCTCCCACTCTACAGCAGCGAATTTCTCAAGGTATGGTCGCCCCATGCTAACGCGAGGGAAAAAAGCTAAAATTCCGGTGTAAAAATCGCGCCACGCCAGTTCCTGAATCCATCGCCCGACGCCTGTGTCGCGGGATCCATCGACCTTTTTGGACTTTTGCAGCTTCAGCGTCGCACGAACACATTCGCGAATGGATATAACGCCTGCAGATAGGTAGGGACTTTTTTGAATATATCAGCCTTGGATTGAGTGCCCTATATGGGTACGTTGGAATGAGTTTACCTGAGACGACTGGTGGTATCACGATCGGCGTTGTCGCGATCTTGACCATATTTCATGATACGGCTGGCTTTATCCGAGGATTCTGCTCCTTCGGCCACCGGATTGGCGGCACCCATCTGCGAGGAACGGGATTTGGTATGCAGGAAAAGACTAAGAATCTGATTTCATTTGTAAGATTATGCATGTAGATTTAGATGAGAGAAGGTTATACTTGGAGTGCAACTTCCTCTCCTGCTGGCCACACAGTTGCCATTGTCTGCTTATCGTCGTCTTCCATTTCGAATCCTGGAACAAATTTGGGCACTTCACACTCAAACAATCTGGAAAGCTCTGTGTCTTCTCGGACTCCATCAACGTTGGGATGTGGATCCGGATACTCAGTGAGGTATTGATCTTGGTTGTCGTTCAAGACCGAAATCCATTTCCGCTGATACGGAGAGTATACCTGTCCAAATATCAGATGTGAGTTCAGAGATTGTGTGTTTCTACTTCACCGAATATGCTTTATTTTCCTTGGTTGTAACGACACCAGGTTCTATGATGCATTTGTTGTGGACAAAATGTGCGCGAACGCCCTTGGATTTGGCCAACGAACAGACTTCCATATCTCGCCTGAGCTCGTCTACCTCGTATTCGATGTTACCATATATGTTTGTACATTTCCAGTCTTGCGTTAAAGACAACACCGCAGCAGGAAGAGTCTTGCGAACGCTGTGGGTACTAGTGTAAAGAGGAATGTTCAATTCGGCCAAAGAGTTCTGAGAATTTTATCATTATCGATAGTTTAGTGAACACTCTAACACCAAGTGAACTCACCCTGATCTTTGCCAAATTTCGAAGGGTGAAATCAATCCTGCGAGGACCTCGATCGTGTGCTTTGTAATCTTGCGGAGATATGACAAAAAGCACAATCAGTGGAATTTCCTCCTTCTTTGCTTGGGCAGAAGCCAAGGAAAGCGCATGATTGTCCGAAACTATTCAAAAATAATCAGCTTGAACCTCGCGACAAAACACTAAACGCACTCACTCCTAAGGTCAGCCATCCTCATCCAATAAACGACCGCGTTGCCACTTTTGACTTTTTCACTCTGATTCTTTACTGCTTCCAAAAGTTTATCCATTGGTTGGTCTGCATCGACGGCTGCAGCGTTCTGAGCTGTGGCGACTTTCCTTGGAGCGAAAGAAGCAATGCGAGGACGTTTAGCGATTTCACTGAGTTCGTTGCCAGCGCTTGTGGATCTGGCACGCTTGGGTGCCATTGTGGAAAAACGATTGACTTGGGCGAAACAGAATCTCAACATTTTCTTGGTTTCTTATACTTGGCGGCAGGAATCGATCGAAGTAGATGATCGCGAAGGGTGACGTAATCTATAAATTCCCAAAATGGAGGCAATCAAAGCTGGGGAGAGATTCGGAAAACTTGGCTAAATTCATCTCTCGCATTTCCAAACCCTGATATTTGCACTCGAAATACGAGTACAAACCTGATATAAGCCTGTAAATATTATCAGCCTCCCTCCTTTTCGTCTACTTGCATTTCTAGTTTCTTCCGTTCCTCCTCCTCCTTTTCCTCGGCTTCGACTACTTCAATATCCAGCGGGAATGTAAGAATCGCCGCTATTCCGGTCAACTGATTCAGTTCTGTGAACGCTGTCAGTAGACGAGTCTTCATTGTGAATGGGCTGAGCACATACGTTGACCTGATTCATGCATGCTAGAAAATATAACCGCGTCTCCACCTGTCTGTTTTACCTTTTCAACAAGAGCGACATATCTTTTCCGTGTCTCAGGATCGCTTGCTCTATCGTAGGAAAAATCAGGTTTCTGCTTTCTGGGTGTGAAGCATAGACGCACCGAAAGAGTTCATCAGATATTAGAAGCGTGCCTATGGCGCCTCTATCTGCTGCTAAAATAACATGTTTCGGCCCATACCATGCCCGTAGCTCATCGCTTGCAAGCATTTTATGGAATCTGGATAATTGACGTTAGCACTAGGACGTTCATTATTCAAGTTTCATTTACTTGTCCAGTGTCAATCCCTCTCTTGCGAATTTCGTTTCCTTCAACTGTGCACTGATCTGCGGACCACATGTCAACACCAAATTCAAGACAAAAGACAAAGAATTTACCTCAGGGCTTTTCAAAACTTCGACCAGACTATGCACATGCGGGCTGCTAATATGAATCTTGATGCCTTTTTCCTTCAGCGCCCGCTGGAGGACCTTATCATTCCTTTTTCCCGCTTCTTGCATCACATAATCGTACACAGAATCTCTCACCCATCCTGGACTCGCAAAAACAATTGCCTTCAATCCCACATTGCCGAACGGAATATGTCGTATGAAAGCGTCGTATAAAACACCGTAGAATTTTGTCAATGCCTTTTCGTGTTGAGATGACCCCGCCGATGCAGCTTTACGAGGGATAGGAACGGATATTCGATGAGTGACCAACGTCATATGTTCTGAGAGGAGACAGAAGGCTGCCGTTCCCTCTCCGCAGACAATCGCTCCAACCTCTGCGCCTCTGCCTGGGACAATAGCCTCTTGTACACGCGACAAGGCAATACTATCCCACCCGTTCGCCTTTTCTATCCGCACGTCCCGGTTAGCTTCGATATCCAGAGTGTGAAATGCGCCGAGTTTCACATGCGGGTTCTCTACAATGACTCGACCAGCGATCTGTAACGCTGCGCTGTTGTTCGATCCACTTGGATCCGTGGAAGAGGATTGCTCTGCAGCTGCAGAATACGAAGAAAATTCTACATTGGTGACTTCGAGTGTGAGGTTGAGCCGAATTCTCTGAGAGTCTATAGATCCGGTAGCGGATGTCTTTTGTACACGGCTAGAATCAAACTTGCAAAATGAACTAATCAAGAAGGCCAAAAGAGATAGGGTTTGTATACTTACCGAATCGCGGGCGCACGCACTGAGTCGCCCTTCTGGATAAGATTATATAAATGCCACATGTCTTCGTCGTCTTCTGGTCGTAAGGTGACATGGCCAGCGCCATGTTTGTCGACGTATTTGTTAATCAGTTTCATTGTCGACGTCGATGATCAAGTTGCGGCTTTCGGGCCGGACTTCGTCTTTTCGACTTGAAGCATGGATAGGTGACCTTGCTCTGAAGTTCTTGTTATCATCCCTGACCTTGATCTGACTTTAGCAATCCAAGAATAACATCACTGGCATCTCGACTTGTTGAGCCCAACCATTCAGATCGATCTAAACACGAGGAGGATGCAGACTACGACGACGACGACGCTTTGTTCGCAGAGCTGGAAGAAGAGATAGAGAACGACAACAGCTCTGCAATGAGAGAGCAAGGACTTGAGACGCTCAGGAGGGAGTAAGTCAAGCTCAGAGCTCCAGCTATTTATATCGATGGTGACTATTGACGAATCAAGTTTGAAACAGAATGGCACGAATGCGGGAAATGAAGCAGAGTCAATACGGGACGTACAACGAAATATCAGATGAAAAGGAAGTGGTGCGGGTAACAGCGTACGCGTTTTGAGTTATGACACCTTTCATCCCAGTACAATGTGCTAATGGGAACCATTCCAGACACGAACCAAGATGTGTCGTACATTTCTATCACCCCAACTTCAAACGATGCGAAATCATGGACAAGCAGCTTGCTGTAAGCTTCCTCATCGCGCCTCAGTCATGATCTTTTACGAAAGAGTACAGAAAATTGCCCCAAAATACTTCAACACAAGATTCTTCCGCGTCTTTGTAGAAAACATCCCTTGGCTGGTCGAGAAACTCTCAATCAAGGTTCTACCTTGCGTGATCTGCTTTGTAAAGGGCGTTACCAAAGATCGGTGAGTATCGTTGGATCTGTCTGTTCTCATTTTTGCTCATCAGAAACGCATGTAGGATAATTGGCTTCGAGGAACTTGGGAATAATGATGCTTTCACGACAGCAGCACTGGAGTTGAGACTGTCCGTTTGCGGTGTGTATTCTTTTTACTCTGTGTACGAAATCCCGGGGGTTCTGAAGCGGTCCTTAAGGTGTGATACAAAAGCCCACTGGAAATGTACTGGACCCAATCTACTCAGTGTCTAATAAAGGTCGTCGCGAAGAGGATGATAACGGTGATGTTTTCGATTTGGATGACTAGATCCAGATAATCCCGAAATCACTGAGTAAGGCTGAGTAAGTCGAAGTCGGTCCTTGTCTCTGTATCAGATTGGTAAACCTTTGTTTTGTAGATCCTATCATCGAGTCGATGTACTGTCATATTCTTCTTTATATCCAATCTAGTCAAGGATTTCGAACTTTGCCATGAAACTTTAAACTTGAGAGAGAATCAGATGTGTGGCTTCTTTTCTTGTTACTTACTTGTATCAGTACAAAGTCGACGGACGTGTGCCCTGCTCTTGTTCCAAAAGAGGAAATCATCCTACCGTTTTTGGTATAGCAAATTTTAGCAACAAGATTCACCAATAACGCTCGCACGGATAGGTTACTATGCCATTTTGTGGAATCCTGTACTAACAGAGGTGTATAAAACAGGATATCTCAGCCAAATTAGCTTTCAGGCCCTTTGGAGTCGCACAACTGCCCTTGTCCCTCCTTTGCAAAATACCTCATTTTATACCCTTGCCAACTCTATACCATCTGTAGTACCTTTCTCGAGGCCAACTCAGCATTCGCATTCCATGTCTTCAGACAGCACGATGACTTTAAGTCTCTTCCAATCCACTCCTTCTCATCCATCTCCTTTCAACGGGCTGGGCCTGTTTGTACCTGCTGCCGCTGATCCACGAGAGTCACACGATGTCTATGGACAACTCTGGGAGGTGCTGCGTCCATTAATTTGGAGCTCGAGCGATGCCGACTCGGAAACAACAGGAGACGCGTCATCTCCCGGGACACGGAGAAAATCCTCACTCTCGCTTTCGAGGTTTTGGAGTTTCTGAATTTCCGCTACGTGCGTATATGATTTTCCCATTGACAACAGATTGCTGACCTTGATGTGTTCAGCAGACCCACCGCCAAGTGTGTAGAGCCCGCAATGTGCACAGAATTATTTCTTGGGACGGCCAGTAATTCCCCGTCTGTTGCAGGCTTTTGATAATATGGAGCTCGGATATTCATATACATACAGGGATGGCCCACAGCCTGCAGGAGGTTTACAATCCGGCCGGATATTCGATAATCTCATGCATCTTCATAGATCTTCATATCACTGATTTATCACTTCCATCGTATGACACCATATTAAGCAAACATTGCAGTCCAAACCAATTCCCTTCTGTGTTGTACTATGTAGATTGTATAGACATCGAATCTTGAAGAAAACCAACCTCAACGCATGTTTTCGTAGACGGTCAACCGATGCTTCGGGTAATATTTCGAGGCCCGGGTTCAGAATTCAAAAAGCCAGCGGGAAAACTTTTTCACAAACTAAAGATGTATGTCAGAACGGAGTGAAAACTTTTTAGAATATAGCTACATATGTAAGAGCTACAGAAATATCTTGTAGAGCTCCATGAGCCGAGAAGTCGAGTAAAAGTTCTTTCGTCATCGGCGCTAATGAATTGATTCTCATCCAACTGATCACTCGAAGTATGCTCAGTCAAGCATCTGATTTTGCCAGAATCCCAATGTTGAAGATCATTCTATTTGTAGTCTTTAACCTCACGCTACCTCTCAAATTCAATGGAAGAACTAGGCATCTATTTTCTCATTTGGACAAATTTCATCATAAACGAATCACTTGTTCATCTTTCCTCGAGGTAAGTTTCATGGTTATTCGTTGTGCCTTGTCTCTAAGTACAGCTTCCATGCTTTTCAGTTGGTGACTTATGAATTTCATTGGGTCTCATGATTCTTCACTGCTTCTCTCTGTGCTTCAATTATACTGTTGCATACGCCGACGGCTTGCGATGGTATAAGCAACGATCAGCCGCCATATGAGCCTTGGCAGTTGAATGAAACTCGAAAAAATTATAAAGATGTGCCTTGAAATATCCGACTTCTTGAATTATCCGACTCCATTTTGTCTTCCCTTCCACCTTCTCCCCAACAATGCGCTCTCTACATCATATTCCTCTCTCTGCTTTCCTTCTCTCCGCGGTCTATGCGTGGACATCAACCCCATTCAACCCTCCTTCGGTTCCCCTTGCAGTCAGGACGCCTTACCTCTCTTGCTGGCTCCCGCAAGGAAGTGGTAATGCTCTCAATTCCGTTTGGCCAGAATTTTGGACCGGCTCTGTATGTGGTACTTTATTCTTTCTTGGCACCAGCTAATATTGTGGTTTTACAGATTCTCGGATGGGCAGGTTTTGTCAAGGTCGACGGAGTTGCTTATAGTTTCTTGGGAGCTCCCGCTGTGTCAGGCGCGACTTTTTCCCAAGCTACGCAACAGAGCTTTTCTGTAATATATCTTTTTGATTTCAGTCGCATTCCTACCTGACCTTCTGTCACTAGTTCACCTCTACTCAGAGCACATTCGTCCTTTCTGCCGGCCCGATCGACGTGACCGTCAACTTCCTCAGCCCAGTCGAGGTCTGTTCATTCTATTAATCACCAGCTTGAGTCTTATCAAAAGCTCCCGTACATAGCCAACCGATCTTGTCAAACAATCCGTGCCATTCTCGTACATGGCTGTCTCCGCGGCATCTACTGATGGAGCGACGCATTCTGTCCAAATTTATTCTGATATCAGTGCTGAATGGGTTTCTGGCGACGATTCATTAACTGTCAATTGGACAACAACGACTGGTGATATCTTAACTCATCAGGTTCAGCTGACATCACCGACATTGTATGGGTAAGTGTTACTACTTACGATAGAATATCCACTGTTTCGAGTTCTGAAATCTTTTTTCTCTTAGAGAAGTCAGTGATCACACACAATATGGATCGGCCTTCTACTCTACACCAAACGTAAGTACATGCCTTGGTTAGAACAACATTGTATATTCATTTGAATTGGTCATAGACTGTATCTGCTACTTATCAAACGGGACAGGATATCGTAGTCCGTGCCCAGTTCATCAACAACGGTGTGCTCGCAAACACTGAAGACACCAACTTCCGCGCTGTCAGCAATGATTGGCCCGTTTTTGGTCTAGCTCACAACCTCGGTAGTGTCGGCAGCACCGAATCCTCTCCGGTGATTTACTCTGTCGGACACATTCGAGATCCAGCCCTTGAATATGTGGTCGTTGGTGGTACACAAGCACGGAGCTTGTACTTCTGGAGCGAATATTCCACGCCTGCTGCAGTGGTAGGCGATATTTTCTTGATCAAGTTCGTTTTTTCACGTTCCGATGGACTATAGATATCAGAGTTCCTTGGGGATTACAGTGCTGCGTTGACCAGAGCCACCACTTTTGATGCTAAAGTTCAGAGTGATGCTAGTGCCATCTCTACTGAATATGCGGGCATCGTCGCTCTGTCTGTTCGTCAGTCCCTGGGTGCCAATGAAATAACCATCAGCAAAGAATCAAGCGGAGCATGGAATACCAGTGATGTTATGGTGTTCCTTAAAGGTGAGTGTCTACTATATCTTCGTGCTTCCACCGATTTGATTCGTCCGGCTAAAGAAAAACATTTTAGAAATATCCAGTGACGGAAATGTGAACACAGTAGATGTCATTAACCCCGCCTGGCCTATATACCTGTATACCAACCCCGCACTCGGAAAATACCTGTTAGAAGGACTTTTCCGTTATCAGGAGACTGGACTTTACCCTAACAAATGGAGCGTGCATGACCTCGGTGAGTCGAATATTCATGACGTTTTATTACTAGTACTGATTCACCTTTACAGGCGCAAGCTATCCCAAAGCTCTTGGGCATAATGACGGTGCGGACGAAGCAATGCCAGTTGAAGGTAACTGTATTCCTTTTCAAAAAATTCGGTCTTCATTCAACGAACGGTCTCAGAATGTGGCAACATGCTCATGATGGCACTGAGCTATGCGCAAAAGTCTGGCGATAACTCACAACTCGCAGCCTACGTATGCCTCGTCCCCTACCGATATCGCCAAAATCTGCGTTGCTTATTACTTCTTCCCTTAGTCGAACTTGCTCGATCAGTGGACTCAGTACCTCATCTCCGACTCTTTGATTCCCGGGAATCAAATATCCACAGACGACTTTGCTGGTTCGTTGGCTAACCAAACCAATCTCGCTATCAAAGGTATCGTTGGAATCAAAGCGATGTCCGAGATCTGGGGGATTTTGGGCAATACGGCGCAGCAGAACAACTATAGTGTGAGTGGATAATTCATAAGAGTCTCGTACACACAGTTAAGAAGCCTAATTTTATACGCCTACATAGTCCATCGCATCGAACTACGTCACTCAGTGGCAAACTTTTGCAACTTCGACTACCGGGCCACATCTTACACTCGATGTAAGCAAACTCTGGGTCTTACCTAAGTGCCCGCCGTTCACTGAATTGACTATTACGCGGAATCTAGTACAACGACGAGAGCTCTTGGGGATTATCCTACAACCTCTTTGGAGACAAACTGTTGGGCCTGAACTTGTTCCCTGCGTCGGTGTATGATGAACGTATGTCACTCTCCATCTTTCTAGAACTTGAGTTGGGCTCATATATTCTTAACCTCAGAGACGGCTTGGTATCCTACTGTCGATAGTAAGTTGGTTATCGTTATCTCCGCTTGCGAGCTTTCCTCTAATTTATCTTTCAGACGCATTTGGTGTACCTTTGGACACTCGGTGAGTTTAACGCTAAGCAACCACATCCCGTACCAGACCTAACGCGCCTTTCCTGGTTGCTAGACACACATACACAAAAACAGGTAACTATTTCCCCTTGAGTTTTGCGTAACCCTGTCTCATGCTCTATGGTTTCAGACTGGCAAATCTGGACTTCAACACTTATGACTAACACTGCTACCAGAGATATCTTCATCGAGGCTGTATACAAGTGGGCGTCGAGTGGAACGAATAATGCTCCGCTTGGCGACTGGTACGACACGATTGCGGGGGCTCCGGAAGGATTCAGAGCGAGACCGGTTGTCGGTGGACATCGTAAGCAGCTTGTTTTATGTGGATGCAATACTATAGGATGCTGACTATGGGGCATTTGATTTCGTCTGTTCCTATAGTCGCCCATGTGAGTAAACCTTGTTTATGATGCTTCTGGTCGTTGCTCAATACGTCTAATGTAGCTCGTTCTATGAGGAGCTGAGTAGGAAGGCGCATTTATTGGGTAATGAAAACTGTTACAAGTCCTCGGAGACGGAGGTCAGAGCATGATACTTGGGTTTTGTATCTTTCGAATGGAAATAAACAACGGCGATTTATGCCACTCTCTTTTTTGCAACCCAATGGGCCCGATTTTGAATCAGTTCGGTGCTCGATTGTTGAGCGCGACATAACATATGCAAGTAAAAGACCGCTATGAACTTGAAGAGCGGATAGGGCAATTCGCCCGCGGTATTGTGCCAAGGGAGTAAAGGGAAGGAGTTTTTTGACTTGAATTGGATTCTCAGAATAGGGCTTTACTTCACTTCACCTCAATGTACTATGACACTACCGTTCACTGCGGTTGAACCAGATGGCACATACTCACGCCCTGCCCGTTGCCATTCACGCTCTTTTCACATCCCGATGCAAGACCTCCGTTCAGTTTCCCCATTCACCTCCCCGTTTGACACTATGCCGAGGTTGGCGAGGGCTTTCGACTCCGCCTTGGAAACAGTAACTGGATCCCCGGTGTTTCTACGGAAACTTTGTAGGTTCGGGTTTGTAGGCGGCATTCACGAGGTCATCTGGGCACAGCTCCGAAGGTGAGCGGTAATTAAACTATGTCTTGTGCTGACTGCTCCTTTCTGCTTCCTTTCAGTGGTTATCTGATCGTTATACATAGTTTCAATTCTGCAATTGCCAAGTACTACCAAGTACGTACTTTATTATGCTACTCGAAAGTTGTGCAAATATCAAAATATACAAATGGGAAGCTAGGGGATCGATTATACAAAAGACAAGTCGTCGAAGGGGGATGTTTACGATAAGGGTAACTGCGGCATGTAGCCACCAATGATTAAGAATCAAAACGAATACAAATGCAAAAAGAGCTATGCTGTATTTGGAGCCTGAGTAGGGTTTCTGCGTCCTAGACCATGCTGAGGTATAGACATGAACTGGGAACATGTCATACCTCCACGACTCCCGTCCTGAAGCTCCCGTCTAGGACTACGTGCTGGACGGGGTGGCAGTGGCGCTAATTGATCACCGGGAAGAGGACGGGCGGCGCCGCTGTTTAATGCAAAGGCAGGAATGGGTGGTACAGGGGGAGGTGAAGCAGCCAAAGTCGGCGAAGCGGGTGGAGAACGATATGGGATGGCGAATTGGATTGAGCGACGATGGCTCAGAGTATGAGTGGATCCTCGAGAGGAAGTGGATGATGATGAAGATGAAGATGACGAAGCAAAGGATACGGGTGAACCCGGACTCGGGGGAGGAGTTGGTTTGAGTATCCCCTTGGATGGTGTGCTACGTAGTAATGAGCGCGGAGGAGATGACCTCGAGCTTGGTCCGGATCTTTCCGACATTCTCCTTGAACGCGCTGGTGGTAATGGCAATGGACCCAAAGTGGCAACGTCGGGTGACACAGCGCGTGGAGGAGGAGACAGTGGTCGCGAGAATATGGATAGTGAGGACGCCATTGAAAGATGATATCGATAAACTCTGGGATCTTATAACAACTTGGAGTTCCGATTTCTACGCTTTTTAGTTGAGCGGAGCCGTGTCACTAATTAAAACGTCGAATACTTGTCAAAAAAATAAAGTATTAATGGTGGCGTACCAAAAAAGGCAAGATCTACTTGGGGGAAGCCTCGGAGACTCGCGGTCGGCACCGAAAGAAGAAATTTGCTGACGAGGATCAGTTCACCTGCTTCAATATCAATTTACCATTAATGGTCATTTTTGCGACATTCACCACCAGACTCACCGACGTTAACGGATACCTCAAGGCAAAAGATGCAAAGAGGTGCAACAACAGGCAACAATTTAGCCGACTTGCCCTTGAGCTTGGATGTTTGAACAACGAGTCCTTGAGTCGATAAGCAAATGTCCTGGGCTTCCATTCAAGATGCACTACTAGATTTTATAGTCCTAAATCCATCTACCTGACGTCGAGAGACAATGGAAGGCAAAATTGACATTTTTTCAACTCCATTGTTGTCCGTGAAAGGAAGGTTGTGGACACCGCACCCAATTCATTCTCAGGAAATCACCCGAACACGCCGAACATTCTTCAAGTTGATCCATATCTCCTGCCTGAAAAAGACCTGAAAAAGGACCTTCAGGTCTCAAAGCTACCAGAGCATCAATCAAACTTGAACGGCACCTGAAAATAATTGACTGTCCAAGACACCGACAAGTTTTTGACCAGTGACAGCGATTGGAAAGCATTGTGATTCTCTGGTGCTTCTTATTTCATTTGTTCTTCGAATTCTCTGCCTCCTTCTTCGTTCGAATCCGAACCATCGAAGCAGGAGAGAATCCGATGCAGTCGACTTTTATTTTCGATACGTCCAACGCTGAGTGGAAGGTATCGAGAAACACCGTCATCGTCGCACAGAACCAACAGGCTTATCTCTGCTTATCTCTGCAGCATCAGTGGGTCCCTCAGAGTCAGTGTACCGGTCCCGTACTAGTTCCCGATATGTTCGTTCTCCGTTAGCGCCGAGAACAGTATAACATTCCGCCCAAGTTCAAACTAAGCTTAACGGCGATAATCTCGTGGGTGGTGTAGTGGGTCTCACCCGACTGTAACTGTGGACTTTGGCGGGATTTCCTAGTCAACAAATTCATTATCAGCTGAAATTTCAAATAAGCAAAATGGACCACGAGTTTAAAAAAAATGCTGCGAACTGCTGCGAGGCCTCGTTGCATTTCTTGGGATCCGTTGCTGGGTTGTTTAGAAGCGCGCACACAAGGCATGTGTAGGCGTTGTCGACCGCGAATCATGGCTGAATCATGCATAGCGAGCAAAAAACACCCACGAAAAACTCGAGGCTGCAATGCTTCACGATTGCGTCAGAATGTAAGTCACTGTCAGGGACTGGCGGGAATATATGATATAGTCTTAGGCGAGGGATCTTACCCGAGATCCAAGCGGTAAAAACTCAAGTATACTCATCTCTGGACAGGGTCGAATACAGCATACTGCTGTTGCCTGCTGTTGCTCGAGCGATGCTGCAAGTATTTCGCTAGAGGACTGGACGCCGCGCCGCACTATCTGCTCCAGATAAAACGTCACGTCGAAAACCTGTGGCAAAAAAAAATAATACCAGTTGGATGCGTTACGTTGACGCTGGATAGACCAAAGGGACTGATATAGCAGTGGTCATAAGTGTGGCGCATACATGAATTATAGATGTCAGAGGATTACTAGATTACCAGAGATCGTCTGCATTAGAAGGAGCATGTAACGGTAGTTGCATAAAGTGACTAGAATAGACCGTGGAAGACCGGCAAGTGAGCAGTCTAAGGGGACAGTCAGAGAGTGTTATTATAACGGAGTGTTTGAAGAAAAGATCTTCCAGTACTGAGGAAGTGAGCCAAGCAAGGTGATTTGGACAAAGGAAATATGAATGAACGACGGGCGTCGGGGGATATGAGATGTGAAAAGCTGTGAAAGTGTAGTAAATGGAGAAGGTGACTTGAAGGCGAAATTAAATATATTTAAATTAATCTCGATTCGCCTTGACGTGGAATGACTACGGTTGGGATACGAGCGGTTCGAGCCTCATGAGCTGATAACAAAATACAAAGGCGCAAAAGTAGAGTTCATGAAGAAGACGACTTGAAATTTAGAATTTGTATAGTTTTATGAGAGTCCCGAAAGAAAGAGCGACAAAACGGGAAAGAATTTTCTCGATCCCGATCAGGAAACCCTTATTCCGTAAATAACCACGTTTTAACGTTTCAACTTTTTCCGTTTCAAAGATGCACGGTAACCGATTCTTTTCTTTTGTTTTTATATTTCGGGGGCGTGGCAAGGTCCTGTCAGAGAGTATAAAGTACGGAGGCTTCTAATTGCACAACAGTTTTCTTCCTCCGTGCTCGAGGTTTCTATTCGTTTTCGACTTTCTCTCTCTCTCTCCTCCCCAGGGCTTATTCTCTTTTTACACACACACCCATGTCCATCTTCGCTCGCCCAGAATCTCCTCCTCCACGAGCACCTTCGCCAGACTACTGTGCAGGCTTCAATCCTCTGCCGATACGTTCAAAAAAGTCACAGGCGTCGATGCGTCCGATGAGCTGCGACAGCGACGTGTCGAAGCAGAAACCGGTTCTTCGCAGTGTCCATAGCCTCGACACGGCGTACAATTCATCAGACGCGACTCATTTCGCTAATAATCCACAATTGCTCGGCCACGATCTTTCTAGACGGCCATCGAAAGGCATCCTAAAAGCTTCGCCTCCTCCGAGTCCATCCTTCGCTTCGATTTCATCGCGTTCATCCACCAGCTCTTCCAGAGGTCTGGTCCATAGCCGCTCTCTCCAGCTTGCTGTCCCATACCGCTCGCCGCCGGCCAGTCCCATTCTTGCTGCTCCGCCTCCACCAGTACCTCCGATACCTGCTCTCATCCTCCCCGATGCCGAGGAGAACGATGAAGAGAAGAACGAAGAGAAGAAAAAGAAAAAGGACGCAATTGAAGAAAAATCGCGCAAACGAAGGCACTCGAGAGCGGGAGGTGAGGCCAAGAGTCTGACTTCTCGCCTCTTTTCCCTGTGTACATCTCGACGAAACGTTGCTGTTTGTTGAGCTTAGAAGAGCTAGACTCTTTGCTCCCAGGGAGTCACAGTGTCGCTGCCGTCGCCTGCACCTGTGATATTCCTGTTTCTTGATGATTTCATGCTCATTATCGCTCGGCTAGTCCCCGAGTGTATGTATGTGTATGCTTCTTGTACATCCTGTACCCCCCCAGTTGTTGTATAAAAACCCAAAGGACTTACTCCCATTCATTCATTATCCTTACTCTCGTTCTAATTCGTATCATTCTTTTCGTATAATCCTAATTTCGTAGAGTTATACTTATGAAACACATAATTCTGCACTGCGTTCCTTGCTATCATCTTGCTGCAGTCTTTGTACTTGGTATATCTCAGTTACATACGTACGTATACATATTGCTCTGTACAGTACTTTGCGCCCGAGTCTGCACTCAGTTACATTGAAACTGTAATCAGATGCGATTGCCTGATAGACTCCCTTGAACATCGGGGCCAAGGCCTAGCCTTGGCGGAACCTTTCACATATTACGCCGCAGATCATTAAGCTCAGATTGAAATTCATAGAAACTTTCAAGTACCTTGTCCTCAAGGTACAGGACCTTCAGCTCTCGATTGCACCTTGGTCCCTAATACGACATTTCTGTTCCTGTGCGTCCTGTTTGGACCTGCACAACTAGTAACAATGTTATAGGCTTTGATTTAATTCCATCCGGGTGCGCACATACTTGTTTTTTCCCGACCGCTAGCCAGCCCATCCAATGATATAGTATGCGTACCGTACAATATTACCTTCTCCGGCTTCGTTCCCTACATCGTCCGATACGGAATATTGATCGATGTCGTCCTCTTCCTCTTCTTCCGCATCACATACAATGATCTCCCTTGAGAGTATGACCAAATCATTCTTAACCTTATCCAAACCAGGACCAGCAAACCTAAACTCCTGCTCGATCGTATTCGATTCAGCAACGAACGTGGGCCGGAGGGGTATGACAAGATGAAATACACCTCCTTGTCCGTTGTTGTTGTTGTTGTTCCTGTCCGGACAGTCTTTTTCCGATGAAGAAGGCTTCCGCAGCGTGTTCTGGACCACTTTGCGAATCCATGAAGCGTGTAAAGGTTCGTAGATAATGTCGGCACCGAATATGACATCGAATAGGCCGATGGTCGATGAAGTGTCCGCACCGGAAGTGATATCGGAGGGGGAGGAGAACGAAGACCAATCGAGGAATTGAGATGATATCGTCAAGGAAGGACTGGGAACTGGAAAGTTGGCCTCTATGTTAGCCTTCAAGTTATCTAGGACGGATGGATAGTAATCCGTAGAGATGATATCCATTTTGCATTCTGGAATTTTCAACATAGCAGCTTTGCCAGCAACGAGACTGACAAGACCTGTTCCAGCTCCAAGTTCCAGGACGCGGAAAGTCCTTTCAGATACATCTTCTACATCTACAGGATTAGGAAAGAACACAACCGTGTTATCCGCAATTTCTTCTGCCAGCACACAAGCCCCACCCCACGTCTGCGCGCCGACACTCCCAAAATAGTCTCCATTAGACGCGTTGGTCGATAAAGGGACATCGCTCAACGTGATCTGAATTCTCCCGCTGTCAAATTCAAAGTGACGCCGCACGGTACCTGCGGATGCTGTCCCAGCACAAATCGCCAGTAATGCTGCTGCCTCATCTTGGATATCAGCGAGATCGGGTGAGTCTGCAGAGTCAGACTCTAGGCGTGTAAGAGCAGATAACCATCGGAGAGCATAGGCATGCTCAAACGAGTCTTTGCGTATTGTCGTTAACGGTGATGACGAGCTCGGGGAGTGGAGCTCGGTGAGATTAGTCGGGGTTTTTGCTTTTTTCCGTCGAGAACCTCGAACATTCGGAACGTATATTTGACGCAAGTATGCAAGGCATTGGTGTAATATACGTGTTCCCGTAAATAATGATAAGGATTTGATGGGAGGGAGATAGCTTGTTGGAGGAACTGTGGATGAGAGGAATTCGGTTGTACTTGTGGAAGCGGAAGACAAATCGGGCATGGTCAAAGCGTGAGATATCACATCCTCAATTAGTCTAAGTTTCGAGTTCATTGTAAGCTTTCATATGTATTGATTATTTGGATGAATCGATGGTATATGGTATATTGGGATAATTCTTAGCGTCACGATATCAAAAGATGTTGACAAGGTACATCAAGACCCACAACAACCCAATCATACCATAACTCGACGTTCCCCATCGAATACTTCCAGCATCCACAAGCGGGACGGCAGCTCCTATCGTAGAATTCATACAGTCCAAAAGCGTTGTATCGACACCCGAAGGTAAAGGGACATCAGCTGTACCTTCCGAGTCGAAAACAGCAGTATTGTTATATCCGTCAAGTGTCAACGCAACAGTGCTTGAACGGAAATACTGCACAACCTGTTCGGGCTTGGGTGCATCAGGGGCAGAAGAGTTGTATAATACAGCAGAAGAACTTGACGATGCGCTGCTGGGAGTAAGGTGGGAGGAACAGTTGGCGTGAATGTCTGAAATGAGGTTGACTACTGTGGTGTTGTCCGATAGGATACGGAAGATGGAGGATGTAGAGTTGGATTGGAAGGCAGCTGTCATGAGTTTTCCACCTAGACGACTAGAATTGTCTGGAGATCCATACTAGAAATGATGTTACCATATATGCGTCGCGCCACACTCGTTGAGATTTATACATACTTCCTTTTCGTCGTATAGATAAGACGCTGATCCACCAGCGAGTCCTCCCCAAACTACAGGCCAGAAGAAGAACGGAAATCCGCGGCTCGCAACTCCCCTACCGGAGACACCTGGGTAACCGCTTCCGTATGTCCTGTGAATGGTTAATTTTCTGATTAACTACAAGCTACGAGACACCTACTTGGTTCCGTATATCTGGTCTCGAGTTGCACCGCCAGCCGAACGGCCTGCAAACAATTGACCTGAGGGAATGGTGATTATCTTCGTCACTCCATTACTATATGGTGTGATGGAACGACTTGAACCTATTATTAACGTGCGTGAAGTTTCATAAATTCACAAAATAGAGAATCCGCTCACCATAAATCGTTGAAGATGTGCTAGCAGTGGACCCTTTCGTGCCAGTGAGAGAACTACCAGCGCTCGAGCTACTGCCTTTACTGGGCGTCGAGCTTGAGCTTCCCTTGCCACCAGAGCTGGAGCTACTACCTTTTCCGGATGAGCTGGAGCCGCTGCCAGAGCCACTAGATCCCTTTCCGCTGCTGCTACTAGAGCTAGAGCTTCCTCCTCCTCCCGCACGTTTGTAAGATTTCTTGGTACTTCTAGTTGAAACCGAGGGGATATACATATTGTTCAAAACAATGAAGTGGGGCTTTTAACAGTCCGATATATATGTACCAACAACCAGTACAGCCGACCTACAGCTTTATTAAGGGACGGAGAATGCTTTTAGCGTGATTGGGCGGGATACTCACCTATACTCGCTCGAGGCATCAACAGAATTTGAATAGCGGGACATTAAAAATAGTCAAAAGGTGTATTTACATGTGGAATAAGTTATTTGAGTGTCCTCGTATATACCCCTAGATAGTATCATTTGTACATAGGTGATGGTCAGTATCAATATAGAAAGGTTTTACCTGGGGGCGAAGCCCCGCGCGGATGGGAAACACCCCGCTAAGCAAGGGACTGAAGCCCGGAGCATCTGAGCTGTAATAAATTTGCCAGCTAGACACTAAAACAATACAAAGGGTGGGTGGGTGCGACAAAAGAAGACGCTGTGTAAGAGGTCGGACGGTGAGTGTCGAGAGTGAGAACGAACGGGCGCCTAATAGTCCGCTGTGTGGGGGGATTACACAGTCACACGCCCTGGCTCCCGATGAAATATGTTGCTCTCCTCAGTGGAGGGAAAGACAGCTGCTTTAACCTCTTACACTGTCAAAAGAATGGTCATGAACTCATAGCTGCTGCCTCATTGCGACCTGAACAAGGCAAAGGTGCGAATCTGGCTCCTGAATTTCCGCCAGTCCCATTTATTTTTTCGGTTAAGAGGAACTCGATTCGTATCTTTATCAGACAGTAGGTCAAGATGCAATAGAATTTGTTGCACACGCCCTAGATGTCCCTCTTTATCGGGAAACCATCATTGGAACGGCAGTTGAACAAGGCTCAGAATACGGGACGCGTAGCTCGAGGAAAGGCGTAGACGGAGATGAAACGGAGGATCTATACAATTTACTAACAAATGTCAAGGTGTGTTTCATCATTCGCTCGTTCTGAGTCCCTCTCTAATCTCCGTACCTCGTAGTCTCATCATCCGGATGTTCAGGGAGTGTCAGTTGGCGCCATCTTGTCCAACTATCAACGCGTACGAGTTGAGCATGTGTGAGCATTGCGATTCGAAGCCTTCTGCATATTCTCAATGGCCTCATCAAGGTGTCAGCGCCTTTCCTTGACTTGTCTTTGTTATCTTTGGCAGCGAAGACAAGATGAATTACTGTCGGAGATGATCGAGGCTGGGATGGAAGCCATCCTTATCAAAGTTGCTGGAATAGGATTGACCACGAAACATCTGGGCAAGTCGCTTGCAGAAATGAGACCTACGCTCACCAAATTGGTGCGTTCGACCTTTCCCAGTTCATCTCGTTTACTTAGTTGGTTCAGAACGACCTCTACGGATCGCATATCTGTGGTGAAGGCGGAGAATACGAAAGTTTAACGCTTGATTGCCCACTTTTCAAATCTCGAATCGTTTTGTAAGATCGTACGACACATTGCTTGGACTCGTTGATGACTCTTTTTTGTAGGACAGATGTAGAAACGGTTATTCATTCCGATAATGACTTTGCAACTGTTGCTTATCTTCGCATAAAAAACGCGCGTTTGGAACCTAAGCCCACCTCCGATGCCCATGCACAACTCACGGTCCCGCCGATATTGGACAAAGACTTTGAAGCAGTCCGCACTTCTATTACCGAGGTGGAACCGCATTCATTTGCTGTCCATTTGTCCGAATCGGTTCCTCATTCCCTTGACTTCACAACAGCTACTAAATCGAATGGAAAATGGGTAGCCGTAACGAACGTCCAAATCGAATGTTCTGCAGACGCATCCATCGAGGACGAAATCACGCAGTGTTTCCACCTTTTACAGGGTTTGAATTTTATGGCATACTATCAATCGAATTCAAGCCTGATTCATCTACAGAGCGGCTTGCCTCCCATAATCTATCACTCGCCCACAGCGCCATTATCAACCTCTTCCTTTCATCAATGGATGATTTCGCCCGCGTTAATTCGGTATATGCTTCATTCTTTGGTACAAGCCCTCCGTCCCGAGCCTGCGTCGCGCTCGACTTACCCCCGGGTATTCGCGCCCGGATCGATTGTTTAGCCTTTGTTGAAAATAGGAATAATGTCAACTACGAGCGTCAAGCGTTGCATGTTCAAAGCCAAAGTTATTGGGCCCCCGCCAACATTGGGCCGTATTCTCAAGCTATTTTAGTGAGTGTAACTTGATCTTTTTGAGGCGATTGCAGCATTTATCAAATATTTAATCCTTATTATCCTCGTAGGCGGGAGAACGGCTCTTGATATCCGGACAAATTGGTTTGCTACCCAGTAGCATCGCTTTACCTTCTTCGCGCTCGTTGGCCACGGAAACAGCTTTGGCGATACAGCATGCTGATCGAGTTGTTGCAGCACTCAGGAACGGATGGGAAGGTCATACTCAGATGGCCATTTATTGGCTCAGCGAGGTTGGATATATCAATGCTGTGAGGAAAGCTATCGACGTGTATGATAGGGACAAGGTACGTGAGAGCTCCGATATTATGCTTTCTTCGTTCCGGGTTACTAAGGGACCTATCCTTTCCTTGAGGTCTCCGTGAAGCTTTTAGTAGCGGTGAAAACTCTGCCGAAGGGCGCTTTGGTTGAGAAGCAGGTTATGGCACATACCGGTCGAGCTTGGATAGAAGAGGAGGATTCTGACTACGATAGCGACGAAAAGAAAGAATTGGTACTAAAAACAGTGCAACCTATTTTCGAGCAAGGTTAGTCAAGTTTCCACGTAGCACGATTTTTCATTGACAAAGGTGCTCACTAGGGAATATCGTAGCCGGTAAACTGACTTTACACTGGGAGACTTCACAGTCGCATGATGCGCCTGATTCTATCGGTTGCACTATGTTGTGCCTTCAAGGAGAATATGCTGATAATGATGTCGCTCTGGTCGGAACGCAACTAAGATCCATCCGGTTCCTTCAACGATGTTTGAACAATATGTTGTCGATACGAAATTTCTATAATGTGACTAGAAACCCAAGTTCTATTAGATCTCTCGGTATGTTTTTGTTCTATGGGTACTCGTTGAATGCGTTGTTCCTAATTATTTTTTCAAGTTTCCATCATATTGAATTCTTGGTTAGATAGAAGCAGAGACATACCGCCCGTCACATCTATCCCTTCGAGATCTATCGCTACCCAGTCGGAGGACGACTGGAGCATCGTTCTGTTAATCATAAACTAGGTCTAGACCCAATTACGGTAAGCTTGAGTCAAAGGTTAAAGAGGTCGGGGGTTGATTGGTTCCTATATTGGTTCAGTTGATTCCCGCAGATGGACAAAAGTACACAAACCAATACATATATTTAACGCCAAATTGGGCACCGATCGAAGATGTATTGACCTGGTGTTGACGCTCAAGTCTCGACTCTGAAGTTATGAAGCCTCGAACATTTTACCTTAGGCTCTAGCTTGTGTTGGCTCAACGGTCTATCACTCACCTGCGATATTTGATTGGCTGCTAGTTGGTTGTACCCCTGATTGGCTGGAGTCTGCACTGGACATTTTAGACCAGCCGCCGCATCCATCTGGATTCGTATCTAAAAGAGACGCAAACGTGTTTCATTGGTTCCCTGTACTGGTATGGGTATGTACTGTACACTATCATACAACTATGGAGGCTAGGCTCAAAATTATACACAAACACCACAGTAACTGTGGGGTAATAGCCTTACAGGTGGCGAAATACTGTTCGATACATGTGGACAGAATTTGACCGACTCATGATCTAGTCTGTGGTGTTTTGGAAGGGGAGAGTAAAGACAAAGGAATCAAGAGCGGTTCATACACCGTGGGGCAGACTAGAATGATGTACACACCATTCGCCTGTCGCCTATGCTGCGAGTGAAGCCTCCACGATCGATATCAGTCTTACGCCCATGAGCGCGTCTGACCAACTTGTCTATTCTCTGACAGCTCTCTAGGCGAGCCTCCATCATGTTCTCAAACAAATCGAGTATCACTATGTCTGGTGAGGACTCGGTCTGGCTGACTGCCAACGAGTAGCCGGTGTCATCCGCTGAAGACCCTGTCCGACGACCCGCTGGTGGAAGAATGAGTCGAGGATCACTGAGCCCTCGATGTGGGTTTGCTCCAGTACCGGATTCCGGTTCGAAAGGCCCTCGTATTCGATCACTCCACGGCCAACGTGAAAATCTCAGTGTACTGGATGCCCGCGCTGTCGAAGGATCCGAAATGCAAATTTCTTCAGGCTCACATTTGAGCTTGGATGATTCGCCTGATGATAGCGAAAGAGAAGATGAAGATTTTTCATCTGTGCTGGAAGACTCCTGGACCCGGGAGACGGGATCGAGTCCTGGGTCGTCCTGAAGGGAATTGCGTTGCTGGTGGATCCATCTGCGTTCATAATGATAAAATTCGAATAGGGTGGTTAGGGTTCCTAAGGAGTTACCCAGCGTGGGACCCTCCAAAGGAGGTCGTATATCTTCGTCCATCTGCTGAGTATCAAGATTCATTGATTCTGGAGAATCTGGTGTCGGATGGTCTTCGACGAGCGTCGCAATTGGTGGGAGAAGCATGACTTGTGGAAATGGTTGGTTTTAGGGATAATTTTCTATTTCTGTACATACTTGGTGAGTATTTAACTTGTCTTCCTTCTAAGGGCTCGCGAGTTGCCTCGGCCCTCATTTGGTCTCGCCAATTTGAGTTATCTTATCAGCTATCGTCACGTGAAAATGAGTAACGCGTTCGTTCCAGAACCAGCCTTGAGTTTATTGTGCCCTTCATCATGTTCTTCGCTGCCAGTTTGCTTATACTCGCTGTCCGTGCGGCTGCTTCAAATGTCAATATATACCACCGCATATTTGCTCCAGGAGCGCCTGAATTACCTTTCGTCGAACGTGGGGTAATAAATAATTCACGCTTCCAACCTTCATCGACGTTGTCTCAACACTGGCTGGACTTTGAAACAGCTCTCGAAAGTTTACTATCTACTCCAGAAGTAGACCTGGGCCGGGTGCTGTACCAAGTCGCTTTGGAAAGGGAAGGCGCAGATCGGGATGTTTCTTCAGTCAAACTGGTAAGGTCTCGAATGCCCCAGACCGCTTCAGATACTGAGGTTTTTTTGGTTTCAGTGTCATATTCCATTGATTACTTCCGAATCCATCATTCTCCATGCCCCACATTTGGCGCAAAACAACGCTCCGTATGCGATTAACTATTTCGTGACCCCAATCCCGGACGATGGAGCCTGCCCTAGACTGGGCTCAGGTCTTGTGTCCCTTCCATCTCCATTCCAAGCATTATCCAAGCTAAACACGACAATCATACATAAACCAGATACTCAACCTCCGCAGTAGGTTATTCGTTCTATATCAGAATGACGTTAACACTACCGCAGACCACAACTCCGTACACCCCCTCAGCTAACAGCGGAAGGAGCGCCAGTGCAATCTCCGCCTGAAAAATCATTTGTTCAGAAGTACTGGATGTACATCGTTGCCGTCTTATTTGCTCTGTGTATGTTCTTTACATTCTATTGTGGTTTGCCAGTGTTAATCTATGCTCATTCAGTGATGACTGGCGGAGGCCCGGAAGAAGAAGGGCAATCTAGAGCAAGCACTTGATCCATCTTCTGTGTACAATGTATCAAACCAAAGACACTAAAGCATGCACCGTGACTGAGCCGATCTACATATATCTCGTAAGTACCAATTCCCTTGCAGTTTGAAACACCGCACGCTGAACATCCAAAAAACTAATTTACCGTTCCTTTCTAACCTAGATCGGAAATTGTAAACAGCTTTCAAACTGTATATCGAGAGATTATTGGGAAAATATCAAAGAAACTATGGATTTCTCTCTAAGTTAAGCCTTGCAACATTATATTGGTTTTAATAACGTCGTGCACCGTCAGAAAAAAGTTACCATACTTCATCGAACCTGGGCTTCGTCCTCTCCTTCTGCTTTGTTCTCTGGCTTACATGGAAGTTGATGTTGGCCTCATATACGGAAACGAAAGGATTTATTTGGATACCCGTCTCTCTGTCCCCTTTTGGTTGACTGACATTCAGTCAATCCTGAGGTAAGCAGTACAATGGAGTCCAGGTTTTAAGGTTGTTGCCTTCAACACGACTCAGGGGAGATAGGGATCGTCACTAGGTGTGCCGTTCATATCAATAGTCGTACGTTCACGTATCTGTTTAGTTTACCACTCGTCAGCTTTCGACGTATATATTCCTGGATATTTAGCAATTCGTTGCAGCGAAAATTCCAGATTGAAGTGCGTAAGTAGTGGTATACGGTGTAGAGGATCCCAAATGCACCGTAAATAGCACACTCGATTGGCGAAGGCATGGAAGAAGAAGAAAAGGTTGAGAATGATGCAGTCAGATCATTATGCTGAAAAATAACCTCGTCCACAGAAAAGGAGCGAAACAGGATCCCCCAGCATAAAAAGCAGGAGTAAGAATCTGAATGCTCTCATGATCAGGTTGTCCAAGCTCTGTGCATATCATTCTACGCCACTGTTCGTATATCAACCGTAAGGACCTGACGACCGGCATAGTGCGATATTCAGTTGCCCTTCGCAGAGATGGACCATGGCTTTTCAGTGGAATAACGAAGATATTAATGATCATAGTCGTTGCAGCCAGGAATCAATGTGAGTCCAAAGAAGAATGGTTAAAACACACTCACAGGTATTGAAAATAAAAGGGACCTAGACTCAGTTATCTTTCTTCATTCTATCGAGATCGAAAGACTGAGAATTTTAGGACAAAGGATTCTCAGTGATCCAGCATGAGTGAATAAATTTTCTAGATTTATCCTTCACTCATCGTATATTCTGGCCTTGACACTGAGATCTAGCCTGTCCGGAACCTGGCTAGCCGTCTTGTAGTCCACAACGAATCTCGTTCGTGATAAGCAAAGGGCTGATCCAGGCAGTAATGACGATGGTTGAGGTGTGAGTTTGGCGTTTCAATTGCAGTATTTTGATGAAAGAAGGATGAAGGAAGGTTCAAGGATCTGTTCTAGACAAATCTCAATCACAAAGGTTCCCAAGCTCTCATATATCGAACAAGATAAGCGGTACAAGTTCCAAAGCTAAAGCAACCGCCAAAGACAACATTGATCTAAGAACCGTCACTCGGACTTGCTATCCATATCAACAGCCATATTTTCAGGCCCTCCACCATTCGTACACACCACTGATTAATTTGCTATCTCAGCATTCGAATATGTCATGAACGGATAGGATATACGTACATATATCGCAGCAAACACAAAGATATATGATCCCTTCGACATGCAATGATTCAGACAAGCATGCCATCTTATGCAGTAAGGGAATCGAAATTCCATGTCCTATCAACTCAGTTGCTATAGTATGATGGGCCGAGTGCACAATCTTTGTCATGCTGGGTGCAAAAGGGGGGTCATGACTCCCAGTGTATCATTCTGTGTAGCATGACTCGAAGAGGACACGTTGCGCTCGGCAAGATTAGAAAGGCTGAGGATTTGTGTTAGATTGTATGTGTTCTCGAGTTCGATATGAGAATGAACGTACGTTGAAGGGCGGCACGGGAGTGATTTGTTCATCTTCGCCGGCCCACTAGTAGCAAGCAAGTGACGAATTAAAAACTATCGAGTCCAAGATGAGGTCCACACCATTTGTGAGGGAGGTAATCACCAACGAGTGGTTCTCGCTCGCCAAATCAAGCTTAAAATTGGATTAGTAAAAGGCAAAGGTATTAACCTTATGAGTTTCCCCAAGTCTCGTAGCATTAAACTGAACAGGTGATGTATGGTCCAAGCTGTGAGAGGAAGCTGGCCCGGATGTGGTCTTGTAATTTAAAAAGATCTCAGCATTCGTAAGTAAAAACTGATCCAGGTAGTAACGACGATGCTAAGGAAGAGTTTAGCGAGGTTTAGCGCTTCAATGGCAACTTTGATGAAAGAAGAACTAGAATCTGTGCAAATTTCAGCCTCAAAATCTTCCCAAGCTTTCAAGCATCAAACAATTCGGACGCAAGGGCAAGCTGCAGAATGAAACTCAGATATGTGCTGACAGCCTCCAGCACTGATTAATTCTCTTGATCTAATCTTTAGTCTGAGTTTTGAACGTGGAAAGTACTGTGACATACCACACAATATATATATATATATTCTACACACAGATTGTACTTTGTATGACTTATTCCGCCTTATCTTCGGAGACGGCCGGACTAGTTGACAAATATAGGCAGGCGGCTATATTTGGGCTATATACAGATAGACGGACACAGAAGTCCACCTGGCTTACGTCAGGTGGCCATGGACCGGCCTCTCATCAGAGCTGTGCGGCAGGCACTCTGATATTGGCTTAATGGGGAGGGTGCCCCCCAGATCCATCACCCACACCAAAAACACCTACACATATGCCGTGGTCCCCGATGCTATGCCGATGTTGCAAATCGGATCGGGTAACCATGTGGACGGCACCACATGGCATACTCCACCCCGTGAATAGGGAGTCATGATCTATCATTGCAAAGTAGAACCGGCGGGTTAGGGCAGCGGTTAAGCCCTCTGATGAGCCCCTTCGCAAGGGCGAAACCCGCACAAAGTCCCTACCTTTCGGGTTCGAACCCCAAAGCTGCCTATTTACCAAGTTTTCACATGCAAACAAAATCATGTCCCACTGGCCAAATTGGTATGGTATGATGGAGGAGGACCCGAATGTACAGTCATTACCATGCTAGGTGCAGAAGGAGTTAAACGCGTCACGACGAGTCCGAGTGTATCATTATTTTGAGCATGATAAAACGAGGACACGTTATACTCAGCAAGAAAGGCTGTGAGTTCCGATTAAATTGTATGTAAGTCAAGTTCAATCTGGGAACGGACTCACGTTGAATGACCGCACGGAGGTGGTTTCCCCGTTGCCACCTTCTCCGACGTACCACTAAGAATGCGGCAAGAGCTCCCACTAATATCAAGGCACCGACAACGATACCCCCGACTACGGCACCTACATCCGATCCGCTGCCTCCAGACGATAATGGTGGTGACGATGATGAGCTCGGTATTTCAGTTGAAGCGGTGAATGAAGTGGATGGAACTATAAAGTTTGATGAAAAAACCATCGAGTCCAAAACGAAGTCCGGGCCATCCGTGAGGGAGGTAATCACCAACGAGTGGTTTCCTCTCGCCAAACCAAGGTTGGACTGGTACAAGGAAAATTTCTCAACTTCATCACCCTCAAATCTCGTAGCATAAAACAGAACAGGTGGTGCATCGTCCAAGCTATAGGAGGAAGCTGGATCTTGAACTTGCGCTGGGAGTGTACCAAAAACTTGAATAGAAGTACCTTTTGGTAAGTCAGAGAGCTTGTTTGCAACCATGGTAGGTACATACCATCAAATGTTACATTGGCCGTAGAGCCGGCGGTAGTTGTTACCATAGTTCCATCAGTTTCGTTGAAGTTCCAGTTATCAGAGTAGGTGATGATAGGATTTGAAGCAGATAGTGTGGTTGTCATTGTAGTCTCTCAGGAATCTCGTGAAAAAAGGGTAAGAGACAGAGGAACGAAGAGAAAAGGATTAAGGGAATTAGCAGGAGGACACCCAAGGGCACCAACAACACAAATAAGGGTTTACAGTTGAAACTGGTTGTGTTGTTCTAAGACTGAGCTTTTGAGTGGTAATTGGACAAGATCAACCTGAACAGAGACAAGTTGTTGGATTAAACACCTTGAGTAAAGTCGAACAGGCATCATGTACTAGTAGTAGTGACATGGCGGTAAAGTGATCACGTCCACGTTCAAGAGCACGTTCATCGAGCTCGAACAAACATATGCCTTTGATGTATCCGAATAAGGTATTTAATCGCGCTCGACGTGAAGAAGAACAGCAAGCACAGGTAAAGTGCTTAATCCTAGTAACTTGAGGTTTTAACTGGGGCACAGCGCGTGCGGGTGGACAAACACTGCAGACACTGCACAAGCTTGGCGAGAAAATGTTAGGCCCAGAATGACGTAGAGTGCAGACCGGACACTAGAATGAAACAGAAAGGTGGATACGTTCGCGAGCAAGAGCTAGACGATGAGTGTGAGTTTAAAAGCAATAAGCGCCCGAACAATCTCTCAGGCCTCATTCTGGCATCAATACTCGAAATATTTTAACCACCATAAACTGGGCTTTATCCAAATCTTGCTAGAGTACCTTTGGAGTCTGGTAGTCGTTCTCGATAAATCTCAGCCTTCGTGAGCGCAACAGCGGTGATTGCGGCCAAACGGGAAGGGATTGTTCTTGCGAGGCTGGACGTATAGCCCAAGATGAGCTTGCGCCTCCATTAGCTGTAGTACTCGTAACCCATTGCGACCGCCCCCTCACTAATCAATTTGCGTTGCGCCTCAATTTCGAGGAATGTTTTCCTTGCTGACAGTGTCGCGGATTCTGTATACCTGTGTTGCAGAAAGATACACAGTTGGTGTTTGTTGCGAGGAAACGACGGAACGAATGATTGACCAAAAACCGCATGAAGAATTATGGGTGTATGTAGTCTTCGAAATTCAGTTATTTGATATGGTCATGTTGGGAGTGGCCGAGATCATCGCCGTGGACAGTAACACATCCGGCTGAAAGTGGACCAGGCTACAAGAGTTCGCTTCGCGACTTGGATCTAGTGCATCCATCTTCAAAGCGACCCGACAAGAGACGCAGCGAACACTTCAATTTGACTGTGCATCAAGCTAGAGGTTTCTGGAATTAACAAGAGCCCCACCAGCATAAGTGATGGCACATTGCCTCTCGAAGGTGTCGAACTACTGTCCACGGCACGGTCTGTTGGGTCGCGCATTTTCCTGGTGCAGCGGTCAGAGAACAACGGCAGCAGCAAGAGAGTTGATGATTACATTTGGGCAGAGTAAATACCATTAAACAGATATGTCAAAAGCAGTTCGATTGAAAGATTGTTAGCTACCTACAGTCGAAATTCGAACGGAAGATAGGAATATATATAAGTTATACAGAAGCATTCCCCGGCTAAATCCTCACCTTGGAGGAGGATCACACCCCACCACCATATCCAAATTCCATGGGGGGTAGATTATCCGAATCAGGTCTTGGTTTGTACATACTACCATGACGGACAAGACTCGATAGGCCGGGACTCATTTTAGGTAACGGTTCTTTTTCGTCATATCGAGGTTGTGGGGATGGGGACGAAACGAGATACGAGTCTTGAGAATAGTTTGGCGCTATGGAAGGAGAACCATTGTGCTCTGGAACAAAAGCTATCGCAGCAATCAGACCGTAGTATTTTGAAGATATATAAAGTCAACTCACGAGTAACCTCCCGGCGCTTTGCAGTTCGTTGTTTTCGTCTCCGATGTACCAGGAAGAAAGCAATCAGAGCAGCTAACACTACTAAAGCGCTAATGGTCCCCCCAACTATGCCCCCGACGTTGGGTTTGGATGTGCCGCCACTTGATCCAGATGAGGAGGATGAAGATGATGATGGGGGGTTCGGAGTTTCACTCGCAATTGTTGGAGATGTTGCTGTAAGATTCGACGAGAAGACTATCGAGTCCAAGATGAAGTCCGCGCCATTCGTGAGGGAGGTAATCACCAACGAATGCTTCCCACTCGCCAGATCCAGATTGGATTGGTAAAAGGCAAAGTTGCTAACCTCATTAGTTTCCCCAAATCTCGCAGCATTGAACTGAATAGGTGATGTATCGTCCAAGATATAGGAGGAAGCTGGCTCGGGTGTCTTATGTTTCAGCGCTGGGATTGTGCCAAAAACTTGGACAAAAGTGCCTTTACGAACGTTATATAGTCGGGCCAATCACAACCATAACATGTAGAGTACATACCATTGAATGTTACATTCGCCGTAGCACCAGCATTATTGGTAGCCATACTCCCGTTGTTAAGACTCCAGTGGTGAGAGTAGGTTATCATGGAACTGGAAGCAGAGAGTGTGGTAGACATTATGAAATGGCTATATCCGTAAAAAAGCAGTCTCCAGGACAGTGAAAAGAAGCGCGTCTAGCGGAGTGAAAGGACCTAAAGGCTATCCGTTAGTGTATGTTGTGACGGTTACCAGTCAAGGCCTTCAATTTTCAAAGTTGAGAAATCATGATTCATCTCTAGCTTGATTGACGGCATCGTATATAATATTGATGTTGAGCTGGTATGATCATTATCAAAATTTCTTGATGTGAATTTTGAACACTAGAGCGGTTTCAAGTTCCATGCACAGCGACCAGCAGTTAGTATAACTATCTGTAGGTTATTATTTTTGGATTGAGAGAAATCCTTGAATCTTTGTAAAACTTTGAGGAGGGAGGTCCTGAGAGAGTCTTTCAAATTCCCACGTTGGTTGCGAACTCCTAATTAGGCAATCGGGTTCTTTCGCTCATCGTCTTCTACACCTTACTACTAGACTACCATTTTGTCAAATCCGTTTTCGTTCATTCTTTTCCGGCCACTTATTCATCCTACTCTCATGTCTAACCGCTATGCACCTCTCCCTATCAATCCAAGAGCCAATCAGGATGCACAGTACGAGATGGAGGCAGCTTTCGACGATGACTCAGACGACGAGGAAGTATCCGAATCTCATCCTTTAACACGAAATACTAATCCTCCGCCAACCAATCGAACTCCTGGCTCGTATGACTTTGAAAATGTTGACTACGATTATCCCCCTCCTGGCTCACCCCCAGCTACATCACGTCCTATCCCAAGTAATTTTGGCACTTCGAATGGCCGGATAACGACTTTCGAGCTCCACCCCTCGCAGACAGCTCCGCGAAGGACTTGGATGTCGAGAGTACTATCAAATGTTATTCCTTCTCGGTATGGAGAGAGGTTTGGATACACGCAACTGCCGCACACCGGCGTTATAGGAGGCGGAACTGGCAACGACGGTGTATTTGCAAATATCACTGCAAAGCCCGGTCGTCCAGTAACCTTGCAAGAAGGTATGTCCACCCTTTTTCGACTTGAATCTCCAAAGTCTCAAGATTATTCATTTCTTTAGGAGACGACACATATGTGGTCCCTGAAGATAGTCGCAACGAAGCCCCTCCGACATATCAGTCTGCACAGGCCGATGCCGTGCCTCCTTATTGGGAGACCACCGTCCATGCTCCCTTTGCTCCTGATTCCATTGGCGAAATGATTATCGATTCACTTCCTACAGGCTCGCTCTTCTCCTTCCTTTGGAACATGCTAGTCTCAGTATCATTCCAATTTGTTGGATTCCTACTCACCTACCTACTACATACCACCCACGCTGCCCGGCTAGGCTCTCGCGCAGGACTCGGTATCACACTCATTCAATATGGATTCGCGCTTCGCTCTCGATTAGAAACTGATGCCGTCGGAGAAGATAATACTTGGGCTGACAATTGGGGTTTCGGGAACAACGAAAAGTTTCCGACGGCTGCCGAAGCTAGTTCCAACGATTACTATAAGAGCTACAACGCCAGCTTTGTAGGCAATTCCACCATGCCAAGTTTGACAGAGGAACAGGCTACTATGTTAGTCGCTGATGCCACTACAGAGTGGTTGTCATTCTTTTTGATGACATTTGGTGCGTATCAGTGAATATCAATATTCATTGTATCCATTGCCTTCTTTCAGGATGGTTCATTCTTCTGACTTCAATACTTGGGTTCTGGCGTGTGAAGCGCTGGGAACGAAATATCGTCTCTTCCCAACAACCAGCTCCCAGTGATGGCCCCCGTGCATCTCGTTCTCCTTTTGAGGGTATCTTCGGTCTTCACAGTCTCCCTTCGCGAGATTTTTTCCGTCAGGGCTTCGGTATGAACACCCACCAGGAGGATATCGAAGCTCAGGCCGAAGCCGACGCTCACCAGGAGGAAATAGACGAACAGGAGCTTATACAGCACTTGAATATTAGCCCTGATGATCCAAATCGAGCTAGGTTAGTTGCTGAGGCATTGACGAATGAGAGGAGACTTCAGAATGATCTTCGAGCGGCTGGCCTTTTGTAAGGATTGGGAATCATCACATAAATACAAATGCTTCTTCATCTCATTGACTTTTTGTTTGTAATATACACTAATCTGCGTATCACTATATACCGAGCTATACCGAATCCTGATTTATATAGCACTATCACCAACTGAATGAGCGCTAGCACACCTTTCGATATGCCTATCACGATACGCAAAGCCTTGGAGACAGACGCCCCATCTCTATCCCGAATATGCCTTCTTACTGCAAACGCAGGATCTACTGCTGAAGCTCTGCACGACTTTGGGGAACTCCCAGGACTGGTCTATGCTGTCCCGTATGTGAAACTTCCAACGACCTGGGGCTTTGTGATGGTCGACGATCTTCGTGATGATGAGGTAGTCGGCTACATCGTCGGATCCACAGACACTCGTGCATTCGAGGCCTACGCAGCAGAACACTGGTGGCCCCAGTTAGCAGAGAAGTACCCGCCGTTGTTGGCCAAAAAACCAGCGGATGAACAATACATGAACCTTTTGCGGAACATGCATACGGGATCAGATGCTTGCATCAAACTTTCTCCTGCTCATATGCATATTAATATCCTGCCGTCGTACCAGAAACAAGGATGGGGGAGGAAATTGATTGATACGGCGGCTGATTTCCTGAAAGGCCAAGGTTTAGATGGTGTCTGGCTGGGTTTAGACCCGAGAAATAATGGCGCGAGACTCTTTTATGAGAAAATGGGCTTCACGCATGTGGATGGAGCTCCAGATAATAATATGGGCATAAAATTCTGAGGCAGACGAGGAAGAGCAGGATCTAGCAGGATGTTTGAATTCTTATCTTATCTAGATTAGATTAGATTAGCAATCACAACGACCTTTTAAAAACTTCAACCTTTGCTTCTTGCCTTCCTCGCGGTTTGCTACTTTCCAGATTCATTTGCAAACCACGCAAACTCAGAGCAACGTCGTATTCAATAATTCGTCTTTTTGTTACGCATCTCAATTGCTCAAGGCCGTCAATACTTCGCTAGACATGTCGACCAAGCACCGGGCTGAGAGCAAATCTCCTCGTAATCGGGATGCTCGCCGGGCTTCGAACTACAATACGGACCATCTCGCTGAACCGCAAAACACTTATGACTCTTCGGCTCCTCGCTTTCGTAACCCTTTCAGCAATGATAATACTGAGGAAATGTTTACTGCACCTCGCGCTACCCTACCATACTACGGGAACTCTGTGGCATATGATCCTAATATAAACCCATCTCGCCTTATTAGTCAAGTACCTCTAGACCCATCCAACTACACATCTCGCTCAAGTGCTTCTAATGACTCTCCCGGATACTTCAATGACTCCGATAAATATTCCTTCTCATCTTATCAGCATCCTGCTGACATTAATCCTCCGCCAAACGCTTACCCTGGGGACGATCATTCCCCTCCGCCGAATCGTCCTCTTCGCTCCTCAGTTCGTCGCAGCGTCAGCTTCGCTAAAGGATCAGCATTACGGGAGTATGATCCAGATGAAGAATACCAGGACCCAGAAAAGAACAGAGCACTCAAGAATCGTGGTTTACCTTCTCAAATGCTGGACCTATTTGAGCTCAACCGAGAAATGAAATCTCAACACTCCGACGACTCTAATGACTATGACTACCGTCCGTATCGCCCAGACTTTCGTCATAACGACTCGATGGTGTCTACCTACTCTCAGGTCATGGACCCAGACGACCCTCGTGTTACTGGTGTCAAGGCTAAGTACCTCGAGGATCCACATGATATTGAAAAGAACACTCTACGGCAAATGGACTACCGTCACCGTCGAAAACATCTCATGCGTGTAAAGATCGAATTTAACGTTACATGTAAGGTTTTTGATTATTATGAGCTGCACACTCCCAGCTAACACCATCCTTCAATAGCAATGGTTAATCGTCAAGAGTTTCTAATCAAGCTAGCTCGTGCGCTCATGACATTCGGTGCACCATCTCATAGAATCGAATCGCAACTCATAGCAGCAGCTCGCATTCTCGAAGTTGAAGCCGAATTTATTCATTTACCAGGCGTCATTATTTGCTCTTTCGGAGATCAGGATCTAGGAACCTCAGAGACTCATTTCATCAAGTGCAATGGAAGACTTGCGCTAGGAGCGCTACACAAGGTGCACTTAATTTATCGTTCGGTCGTCCACGATGAGATAAGCGCCAAAAAAGCAAGTAACGAATTGGAAGACCTCCTGAAGGCTCCGCCCTTGTATTCGGCCGCTTTCCGGTGCCTGTTGGCGTTTTGCCTTTCTGCGCTCATTTGTCCCTTGGCTTTTGGGGGTTCCTTCCTAGATATGTGGATAGCTGGTGCAGGAGCGTTGATTATGTCCTTGCTTCAGCTCTGCGCAGCCAAAAGTACCTTATACGCGAACGTATTTGAGTGAGTGGTGTTTTGTTGCTTCCTGTACCGTCTACTGAAACAAATGTAGGATCACAGTGGCCATATTCGTGTCATTTTCTTCAAGAGGTCTTAGTAGCATTCGGAGCCGGATTTTCTGTTATACCGCAATATCTTCCGCCGGCATTGTCGGCATTCTCCCGGGATACTTAATTTGTAGGTGTTCCAATATGGGTATAACGCGCGCATGTATTAATAGTTTCCGATGATAGTAAGTAGCTCCCTCGAGCTTGCGTCAAAGAATATTGTTTGTGGTAGTGTCAAGATGGTATATGCCCTCATTTATACCCTGTTTCTGGTCTGCATCTTGTTCCGCTTCACCTAGCATCACCATCTTACCTACGCCATCGTTTTCTCTCTCACAGGGCTTTGGTCTCCAAATAGGCTCCGATTTCTATCTTTTGCTTGATAGAAGTATGCGCCGTAAACTTGATACTCTCGCCGCGTCTCTATCATCCACTACAATCCTGGCTGGAAGTTGGGTTGCGGACAACAGTACAGATAATGGAACGCTGCCCGTCGTCGGAACTTGGACATTCACGCATGCTGTACCTTCCAACACAGCGGATATCATCGACGGATGTTATAGACCAAAGCACTTTCCCTGGTTCTTGCAGCCCTTCCCAATGTGGACTGCTTTTCTCATCGTCCCAACTTTCTCGTTATTTTCGTCACTGGCCAATTTACAACCCTTCCGGAGCAAGCAATTGCCAGTTATGGTCGTGATTTCATGTGCATCATATGCATCGAACAAAATCGCTAATCATTACATCTTCAACCGTTCTGATGTCGTATCTGCTATTGGAGCTTTCACGGTAGGCGTGTTGGGCAACGCTTATTCACGAAAGATGGGTGGAACTGCGTTCACCTCCATGGTAACGGGAGTATTATTCTTGGTTCCAGTACGTGTTTTTGCCCTCGTTCCATCCGAGAAGCACAGTTAACAGGGACTGACGTAGTCTGGACTCTCACAAGCCGGAGGAATAACAGCTAACGGAAATGGTATAGATATCGGGGGCGCAATGATCGCAGTCACTATTGGTATCACTGTCGGCCTTTTCATGAGTCAAGCACTAGTCTATATGTTCGGGACGAGAAAGAACGCTGCTGTGTTTTCATTCTAGTTACAACGTTGTAATCTATTTCGTGTTTTCGATTTGTATGATTTATATCGAAATCAAGTTTCAACTTCTCCTGTGCGACTGTATTTATAACAGGTTGTGTAGTTTGGGCGCTTACCAGGCTACCGTTTTCTAAGGTGCGTCGAAGAAAACATCAAACAAGATTATTGCAGACCAATAACGAGCTTGTAAACGATTGTAAAGTACACGTAGAATAAATAAGTGAAGGATTCGTGAGGATATATCATCACGAACATGCAGATAAGTAAGTGAAAATAATGAAGATGGCATGGTATACTAAGCTATACAACAGGTCATACATGTGTTTGATGGCAAAATGCATCGTTTGCTCGTCGTCATGCGCATAGAGGATACAAGGCGTACAGAGGAAGGAGTGTGTGAAGTGAAGGATGAAAGATCTAGGCGATGACACAGCCCGATATCCAGGAAGACGATGACGACCCACGGGTAGAATTGCCATTGGTATGATCTCTCGACTTCAGAGTACTCATCACATAGCCAAACAGCGTATGCGGAGTGGGAACTTCCTCATTCCGTCTCCTCAGCTCCCTCTCGGCCTTCTCCCTAGCCTCCTGCTCCTCACTAACCCGACGTTCAACCTCCCCAAGCGCAGCCCTACTCGATTGGGCTTCCTGTCTCGCCCGCTCCAAGGATTGGCGAGAAACCTGCTCCAACTCACTCTTCTCAGTCGCCATCTGCTCAGCTGCGACCCGATACCGATCTGTAAGCTGAAGAGCTTGTTCGAGAGCTTGCCTCTTGGATTCCACTTCTGTCATTGCTGCGAGTTTAGCTTGCTCTGCTTCGGCGAGATCCTTCTCGGCCTGGACAAGCTTTCCCTCCATTTCCTCGGCCAGCCTGCGAGCTTCCCTCAACTCCTCTTCCATCTGTTCTCTAGCGGCCCAACTTTCTTCTTCCGCCTTCTCGGCTCGTGCTTCAGCCGCACGTAACGCGTTCTTAGAGGTATCAGCGTCTTTCACCGCTTCGTCCCTCTCAGCCTTCACATCTTGTGACGCCTGACGCTCTTTGGCTAGCAGTTGTAAGCTATCCTGCGACCGAAGCTCAGCTTCAGCTTTGCCCTTCTCGGCAACCTTGCAGTCTTGGACGGCTTTCTCGAGCTCCGACTGAAGCCTGGACTGCTCGGCGAGGAGATCTTCGACTTTAGGGGTTTTTGGCTTCGAAGGAGGTGAAGGGGTGCTGGTTGCGGAGGTGAAGCTGTCTTTGGTAAACGTACGACGTGAACGGGTACGCTCTAGCAGACCAGTCATCGTACGGGCGATACCGGGGTTGACACTGTGACCGTTGGCGCTCATCGTTGTGGGTTGCTTACTAGAAAGACGAGGTCAGTATCGAGTCAACGGAGAGAAGGAAACAAACGTACAGGAGTTGATAATAGAAACACGAAAGGTATTCGAAGAATTTCTGCTAGATAAAGTGAAAGGGATTGTTGGCAGAAAATAGAGTGTAAAATGAAAGGTGAAGCTGCGCCGCGAAGGGGATTTGTTGTAAGAAGTAGAGATTTAGTTCCCTGTAACTTTTCATTATATGTTTGATAAGGTAACTTATAGGGCTGCCTGCACGCACCCTGCACGATGCATCGATGGATCGTGCTCGAATATGATAATTCCGGCATGCTTCTGGCCTTCCTACACATGTAAACCCTGGTCAGTCACAGCCTCGCAGGGAGTCGCAATGATCATCGTAACTCCGGAGAAAACATGCTGAAAAAGCGTGGATGAGAATAGGAGGGAGCATGGAGGAGGGCTATTCAGTTTACATACCTGTCAGCTTAATTTCGGTGTCACTGCTAGTTAAGCTCCAAACGTCATTCTGATCCTCTCGCCTCAACTAAATTATTCCTTTTTGAGTTCTGGCGGGCCCCGACTCGGGGGCGAGGTTAATGTACAGTGTCACTCCATTGCTGCGTTGAATACCCTAAAAGGCCTAAAGCACGATTATCACTAACTAGAAAATTGAGGCAAACATGATTCTTGATCTGATAGGAATGATTGCAGATGTCTTCAGTACATTCATCCTCTTTGTCTCGCAGCACGTTCATTCAAACTCTGAGAATCAATTCCTTATGCGAGGTACTTGCAACAATGTTGTAAAAATGTAATCAGACAGACTAAACGAACGTACATAGTTAGCACGACACTAATGGGAAAATAGATAAAGAGAACAATACACATGTACATCAGAGTAGGATGAAAGACCATCAATTGTTCATTGCCGATCATTTGAATAGCGGAGAATACGCCAAAGACATCCCGACCAGTTTCAATTGACCGTTTTGTCCATCCTCAAAACATGTTGATGAGCACCGCCATAGTCCCAAGGAAGGTAAAAATAACCATGGCACCTGCATCGCGGCTAGCTGACGGTGGATAGGCTGCACTGTTCGATGATGCTGATGTATTGCTAGTTGTAGCTGCCGGTGCCGTCGATACACCGTTCCCTGCTGTACTTGTCAAAGTAGTGACCGGCCTCGTAGCACTGGTACTAGTACTCGAACTACTTAGCGAGGGGACTGGACTGCTTGTTACAAAGGCAACAGAGGATGAGAGGACGCTAGTGACAATGCCACTGGCACTCGAAGTAGCGGATGAGAAAGTAGACGGCACAATGACGGGAACCGAAGAGGTGAATGAGATTGGAGGTGATGGAGTAGCAGAAAGCGTGAATGTCGCAGTCACAGTCACGGACGAACCTCCGGGAAGAGTCGTTGTGAGAGTTATCACGCCAGTATCGGATTCCGTTGTAGTTATAGCGGAAGAAGAGGCGGATGTTGTTTCCGAAAATGTTCCTTTGTAGGAGGATAAGTGAAGGATGAAGGCGCAGCGATGAAAGAAAACGCACCGGTCGAAGTGCCTGGAAGCCCAGAGGAAGAGGTGGCGACTATACATTTTTTGAATCGCATTAGCAGGAGTCCACAAATGAAGATAGATTTCCTACTTACTATCACAGAGACTGTTCAAATCACTATTCACCGTGGCCTGGTCATCTGCAGTACAGATCATCGCGGAGCATTGAAGTACAGCAGAGGCAAATGTTGAATTTGTGCATAAGCAGCTTGTGTCGTCTCTGTGAGATATAGTCGTCAGCGTGATGACAGGGTGAAGGAAGAGAAACGGACGTTGTGCATCCAGTCGCCGGAAGGGAAGCTTGAATACAGCTATTAGCGCAAGATGGAAAGTCTGGAATTTGAGCATCTGCTATTCGAATGGTTGAAAACGCATATACGCAGGCAAGGATGTATATGCTCGACGAGGGTCTCTGAAAGAAGGAAAGCATTGTTTTAGGTAGTAAACGAGCTGAATGGGCTTTGGTGCACTTTAACGGCTTGGACACAGTCTGATGATCATCCAAAATCAATCAAAGAAGAAACTGACGGTGGACACTGGACATACCTGTGCCAAGACCGAGACTCGATGGCAACTCGAACGCTGTTAGTGGACAGCAGGCAATTGCATCACAAGAACAGCAAGATTAAATACGTCCAAATTCCAGAAAGGCCTCGAAAACCAATCCCGTAAATCATCTGCCTGTGCCCCATGCTCTGATAGTTAGTTTCCGACTATTCCACGATAGAAAAAGATCCGAAGTAACACTAGTGTATAGGTGCTTCTTCACGGTGATGGACGCCGTGAAGGGACATTGGAACATTGGTCGGACACTGGAAATGTACCTCACATGATTAAAGACGCCGTCCAGGTTGAACGTCTCTATTTCGCTTTGTATGCGATGAGTTAAAAAGAGAGGACGCGTATGAGACTCGTAGTCAACTAGTAATCCCTGTTTCCTACATCGACCGACGATATTAAATACTGGGTTAAATTGGAAGTTCCGTTTCGTCGACCACGCCTCAGGGCTTCCAGAGCTGTGGAACCTTTGAAACAAAACAAGTTCAAAGTGTGCTTGCAGATCAAAAAATTGTCCAATTTTGGGGTGGATTCTGGGTGGATTGAAAGCAATAACTTATCCTTTGTGACATCTTTCCTCTCTTTGTTGATTAAAGCGAAGCCCATCGTTGTTCTTAACGAACGCATATCCAGTGAATGTTCATTCTACCACGTCCTACAGAGGTACTGAATAGGTGAGTAGCACAACTCGCCAAAGCTCACATCCAAAGTGACAGCCTGGAGCACTTGAGGTCTACTTGATATCCACACCATCACACGAGTTTGACAGCGTCGGAGTACCCTGATGAACTCTGCCCAACGACGATGAAAGAGGTTAAAGAACGAAGGTAAACAACTGAATTATACGAGGTGAAAATACGAACATTTTAGTGTACCTATAAGATTATACTAGGAGTGTAGTACAGCATACTAGAGTCGGTGAACGGTATATAGTTTAGACATACACGGTATAATTTCCACATAGCGGGGGAAGGCATAATGGCATTTGCATAAAAGAAAAAACCCATAGAGAAACAGAAGAAAAGGATGATAAGATGGCAGCCTGCGCCACAATTATTACCCACAACAATCACATAACCGGCGTCGTATTGGCCCTTACATTATGCATACGAGGAATGGTAGATCCACCACCTCTGCTAGTAGCTCTCCTCAATGCCCAAATGTCGTTCAAGAGATCGAACTCGTCAATGACTCTCACGTTCCTCATATTCTTATCTCCCTGTACGATCTTGGTGATTGTCTTGTTGGACACGAGATAGACTTTCATTGAAGGCAAGTTCGCGTTGTGCAAACTAAGCTCGACACCCTGGCGCGTCTCCGATATGTACTCTGCGCGAGCAGAGAACGGAATGACGGTAAAACGGGACTTGCGGTCCTTGTTGGTGAGCGTAGGATCAGCTTCGACAACGTCTCTCATACGCTCTTCGATATTGGTGATATGGACATCGGACTTGGTACGGATGATGAAAGCGGGGATTTTCAGTCGTACACAGTTCTCCAGCACTGCGATGTCGACGTCAGTGAAACGGTTGTCCCAGACAACCATGATGGCGTCGAACACGAATAAACCCTGATCATGGAAGTAGTTCCAGCTGGGAGCAGTAAGCGTTCCCGCTCCTGGAACATCATACCAAATATGGGGATAATTGCGTCTGGCATCGATGTATCTCCCCACTGACTTGGTAGACTGAGTGCCAGTTGGTACTGCCTCTGCCGTGCCAGTGATGACCCCCATAAGTGCGTTGATCAAGGAAGATTTTCCTGTACCGGTGAGACCGGCTACTCCGACGTGGAAAGCGCCTTCACGGAACTGGCGAGATCTCCTCAGAGCATCCACTTGAGACTCCGACGGAGAAGTCGCCGGCTGGACACCATCCTTCCACTTGCGTTGCGCTTCATCAAATGCCTCCAAAGCTTTCCTGGCATTTCTCTCTGCCTCGTCTTTAGCTGCGATGGCCGAGATGGCAGCCTCCCGATCCTTCTTAGCCTGGGCTTCTTGCTTCTGGGAGTAACGTTCTGCGTTGCGTTTTTCAACTTCAGCCTTTTCCTTGGCCTTTCGATGATCTTCAGCCTGCTTCTGGGCATCGTATTGAGCGTCCCTACTCTTTTCGAGTGCACGCTCAAAGTCCTCCTTCATGGATCGAGCATCCTCAGCTCGTTCCCTCCACTCCTGTACTAACACTGTCAGCTCTTCAACACGACGCTCGGATTCTCTCAACCCCAACTCGGCGTTATCCTTCGCATCTGAGAGACTAATTTGGGTTTGGACGAGCTCGTCCTGAGCACGAGAGAGCGAAAACTCCATCTCACGCAGAGAGGCGACCAGTCCTTCCTTTTCCTCTGCCAACTTTCGCACTTGTTCCGCGAGATCAGCAGACAGAGCCTCTGCTTGACGCATCTCGTTCTCAGCATTCTCTCGTGCGAGTTTTTCTAAAGACGCGCTATCTTCAGCCTTCAACTTTGCTTGCTCCATATCTGCGAGCAGGATGAGAGCGTCTTCTCTCTGGAGATTGGCCGTGTAAGCCTCTTGAACCTTGGTTTCTGCGGTAAGCTCTGCATCCCGGCACCTTTCGTTTGCAATATCTCGAGCCTGTCGTTCTTCCCTGGCCACTGTTTCCGCCTCTTCACGAGCGGCACGAGCACGCTCAGCCTCCTCGAGGGCAGCGTCCCGTGCGGTCTCGGCGGCGTCCTTCGTATCCACTACCTCTGATAACCTAGCTCCTAGCTCCTTTTCGGTCAAAATCCTAGCTTGATCGGCCTTCTCGAATTTGGCCCTTTCTTCTTCTGCAGCTCGTTCAGCAGCGCCCTGAGCCTCCAATGCTTGCTTTTCTCGTTCAGCAGCCTCCCGAGCCGCAGAAGCGGAGACCTCAGCCGCGCTGATCTGTTTCTTGGTCTCCTCCTCATGCTCAGCAGCAATGCGTTGCGCCTCCTCCATCTTCTCAATAGCGGTCTGCTTCTCTTCTTCCGCCCTCAATTGCATTTCCTTAGCTTTCTGAGCAACTTCTTCAGCCTGACGACAAGCGGTGCGCGCGTCCTCCGCGTTCTTCTGGTATATATTACATTCGTCCTGGAGCTTATCGACCTTAACTTCAAGCTCCTCCTTCTCGGTCCGAAGCTCATCTATCGTGGCTTGCTTCACGCTGCCTTTGGACGACCTAGTTTTGGAAAGAAGAGTGGCGACTCGGCTCTTCATGGCCATCTTGCTCACTACTTGAACCGGATACTGTAAGACAGCACGAGGAATTCAGCATGATAAAGCATTAGAGGAGCACGAATACGCACAATACAGAACAAGTCAGGATACACTAGTTATCGAAGGGTAATGGAGCACCAGCACCCAAAAGTTCGAACAGATAGAAGAAGGAGTCGGAGCAGCCATCAATATAAGCAATTCTTCGAAAACGGAAAGGAAACAACGCGGTGAACACTTGGAGATCGATGGAACGAAGACTATTCAGCCTGCATCTGCATGTATACAGAGATCGATGATCAGATGCTGTTCTCGGACCATGCATAAAGAAAGCATCCAGCGCTATTCGAGCATGGAGAGTAACCAATTGGCACGTTCCATATAGCCTGCCACAACACGCACGCACTGAAAACACACCGGAAGGCATCAGAACATAACATAGACTGAGAACTAGTATTCAAGCGACAGAAGGCTAAGGACATGCTGGATGGAGCTGTCCAGTCAATGTGGTCAACGTCGCCTCTCGATTGCATGACAGCAAGGACCAGCTGCAAGATTACTATTGTCAGGATTTTGTATATATCCGCCAAATGCTCGTGGCCGGAAGAATCCGACCCGGCTGACGCTTCCTGTGGACGCGTCGTTGTAAGGCGGCTAGTAATAAGTCCGGGTGAACATTTCGACGACAGTAAGTACTCTACGTTCTCAAAACATGACTGCCGCAGAGTTTTCAATACCCTCGATAGATACTTTGTGTCCCAGAAGCGTCCGGATGTTATTTATTCCATAGCTGAGATGAAAAAAATGGGCTTAGTGAAGGAAATACAGGAATCAAAAGGAGCTGACCGAATCATTGTAGGTCGTTCCAGACTCAACCCCCACCCATGTACTCGCACATCCTTCGGGAAGCCCATCGGTTCCAGCATTTCAGGGCGAAACATACCACTGTTGCCGACCTCGACCCATTTGTTGAGCATGGGATGGAATGCAAAGATTTCGAGCGAAGGCTGTTCCAAGAAAAGAAATCGTTAAAATGAGCTTTCGACTGGCTCGGGAATTTCTGACCTCTGTATAAGGATTGTATGCTGGTTTGAAGCGCACTTTTTCTATACCCATTTTTTTGAAAAAGACTCTCATGAAACCTACACGATATACAATCAATAACTATAAGAAGATACGTAGAAGGATTCACCTCACCGATCAGGTCAGCGAGAGTCAGTCCTCTGTCCGCGACGACCCCTTCTACTTGATGGAATTCGGCCAGATGCGTAGCGTCCATTGTTTCATTTCTGAAGACCCGATCGATACTGAATAGCTTTGCAGGTCGAAAACCATCGTCTGCAGAAGTTTCACCAAGGTTAGTGGTAGCCTTTGCCCCATGTGTAAACTCATTTTCGTCTCCTTCGACCTCTTCTCCGCGACAGCGAGCGGCGAGTTTGTACAGCATGAACGTGGAAGATGCGGTGGTGTGCGTTCGCAAAAGAAGTTTACTAGACTCTTCGTGTGACCAAGGCGCACGGTAGCCAGTGGAACCGTAACCACCATGTTCATGGACAGTGGAAACACGCTTGTAGTATGAGGGCTCCGGAGGAAGGGATTTCACGGGATCTGTGTGTTCATGAGCCACGGAAATATGTAAATACCTAGAAAAGAGTTACCGGAAATATAGAAGGTGTCCTGGAGATCCCTCGCGGGGTGTTGCTGAGGTACAAACAGCGCATCGAAACACCAAAAGGCAGATTCAACAAAGGATGAGGTTGGCATTTCAGCGAAACTGCGTGGAATTTCAGAAGTCTAATGCGTTTTTGGACGTGTGTACCTACGAACCCCATTTCTAAAAAGATATTCCGAATTTCTTCTCGCACTTTGAGTAATGGGTGTAAAGCACCGCCTGCAGGTGGGATACCTTCAGCTTCGAAGTTGTACTTCTTGAACGTCGATGTCTTCCAGGTACCGCTAAAGATGTGCTTTCAGTTCTGGACAATATTCAAGAAGAGGTAAGCTGACGATGCAATCATTTCAGCGGTCAGATCAGTTTCGGGTTTTGCAATTGATGTGCTGAAGTTTACACCTTTGTGCACGGTAAACCACTGTCCTTTTCTATACGAGAGATATCTGAACCTGTAGTTCTCCACGATTAACCAGTATCTACTTACCGTTGGACGACAAGTTTCCGTTTCCGCAGATCAGCAAGAACCTTTTCACCTGATTTTAGATCGCCGGTCAATTCTACCTCTTGCAAGTCTAGCTGGGTCGTATCCTTGATAGATCCCACCTAAGATGAGCGTGTAAACCAAATTTCTACGCAACTTGCTCATTAAACATACTGCTTTAACCAAGCCATCACCTTCTTTCGCAATCCATTTCTGTTTAAACGCATTTCCTTGTCCAATTTTTGCAGTGGCATCTCCTACTTCCTTCTTGAGTTGAGCTGGGGTCATCGGTGCACCTTGACCCTTTGCTGGAAGTGCTGCCCAGACCCGCGCTTCATGTGATCCTTCTTTGGCAATTTGCGCGCCCTCGGGGGAAAGTATGTACGAGAAGACTTCGTGGCTGTCATACTTAATCATCTGTATCCCGGTGATTTAATTCTGAAGATTTCGGGAAGTATAGCAAAGACGAACATCTCGACTGAGAAGGGAATTGAGAGCACCCAGAATGGTGATCTGGGAATCATGAGAGGAAGCCGGCTCCGATTGGTTTGGAAATATTAAAGACCTGGTGTCTTTTATCGTGTCTTGTCTCTCGAGAGTATCAAGTATGAGCTGTTGTAGAGCCTCAGAGGCCATTTCGGTCAAATGATGATTGGTTCACAATCGGGAAATCTTGCTGACTCGAGAACATCATAATCCACGTGGGACGACGGACCGAAATTAGCCGTAACGTCTCTTGTGAGCAGCAACAGGCAACGTCTTCTCTTAATGTCTTGGGACAATGCTTGGAACAATGCGCAGCCTCATATATCAAGCATGCAAGATGAACTCCGCTCATTGAATTCGCCGCCCTCCCGTATCATACGAGTTGGACAGCTTGATTCCGAATTGCTGGACGCGGAACTTGGGAACCTCTTGGTGGAACCGCTGAGGAAGGCTCTTTCGCTAATTAGTGTATGTGTTTGTTGATTATTCTAACCCTTTTGACTGCTTACTCCTCTCCTGAAAGGCCACGCTGCAGCGGCGTTTCGACGCAGAAATCCATCTGCTGATACAACTCACTTTGTACCGGCTATCGGTATGGAATATGGGTGCCAGCTACGGTGCCAAACTGCAAGGTCTTCGGTATTTCCATCCTACGTCTGACGATCGGAAGCGTGCTCGTGCGTCCCTTGAAGGTTCCGCCGGCTCCATACTTACACCCCGCAAGCTTCCGGCCTTCCTCGCCAGCTTTTGCTCATGCATGGAGCCTTAGCCATAGTTGTTCCTTATGTTCACAATCGCTTACGCGCCTATGGACTATCAAGAGCCTGGCCGGATGCACCTTCCTCTGATCGAAGACGCAAATCATGGGACCTCCTTGTAACTTTGGAATCATCGTACGCCTTACTCGGGCTTACTAACTTTGTCGTTTTCCTCTGGAACGGACAGTATGTCGTTGTATCCAAACTCATGCGTAACTTTTCTAAGGCCCTCCCGTTCATTTCAGATACCGTACAGTAACAGATCGACTATTCAAATTGCGTTTGATACCAGCACGAAGGCTTGTCCAGCGAGATGTGAGCTATGAATTCATGAATCGCCAAATGGTTTGGCATGCATTCACGGTATGTAGTATGTCCTATGATCTCTATTATCGCAAACAAAGATCCTTCTCAGGAATTTCTGCTATTTTTCCTTCCGTTGATCAATACTCGGAAAATTCAACGCCGCTTCCATCGACTGTCAACCAGCGTACTATCATCTCTTGCATCACAGCCGAAACCGACTACAGCTTCTAAAACTCGTGGAAAATACTGGTCTCTTCCCGAGAGCGAATGTGCAATTTGTACCGAAAACGCATCATTCAGTCTCAACATGACAGAAGCCTCAATGACTTTTAGTAATGCCACACAACTCTTCTCCTCGGAAGGGGTGCAAGAGCCCGAAACGACACCTACACATCCAATAAATACACCCTACATCACAGATTGTCAACATACTTACTGTTATCATTGCATAGCTGAACGCATGATGCGCAATGCAGACGATACTCATGATACTCAAGGCTGGGAATGTCTCAGATGTGCACAGATAATCCAGAGTGCTGAAAGATTTGTCGTGGATCCCTCAGCAGGAACAGCAGAAAGCGAAGTCAACGGAAGTGATTATGCATTCAGCAGTGACCTGGATTTCGATGTCACAGACATTTCCGAATCTATTGGGAGTTATAGCGAATCGGGTCTATCTGACGGTTATTCAACATAGCATGTAGAACTTCAGCTAGTAAATAGGTGTAGGTCTTGTAAAATAGATCAAAAAGTAACATGAGATTGACAACATGATAGTATGAAGTTTAAGCGGCATTTAAGCATGGAGCTCAGCCTGAATTTGCTGAAGAACCGTAGGATCAGCTCCTATTAGATATTGTTGCTGGAAATTTGGTGTCTTGGCTTCGGCTTCACGTAGTTTACCGCCAACAAACGTACTCAATTGCGTCGTACGGACGGGATCTGATTCAAAAATCTAGAATTACATTGAGCATTAGCGAATGAGACGAGCTTTGTGGACGTACTACTTTCCGTCGCTCATATTCAGGTGTGCCCTCTGAACCTTGATAGTAAGATGCAGGTGCATCACTTTTTTCCCAGTAAAGGGTAAGGTACGATGGCACCTCTTGTCCATCCTCGTCTGTCGTGACGGGATTCTGAGCCTCCCTGATCTCACCGAATACATCCATCCAAAGGTTGAAAATTTCGGAATGTAAGCGACCAAGAATTTCAGGTTGTCCAGTGCTGACAAGCGCAGCGGTCCCCATAGCCACGAGTTTTCGATGTCTGGGTTCCGACATATAATCGAACTACATGGGAAACAGTTGAAGGGGCAGAGGGGGATTTAGAGTGAAAAATACTTACGGTGCCCCACCAGCGATCCAAGAAAAGATCATATACTTTCGCCTCAGTCATAGGTACATGTACTTTGTGCAATTCTTCAGTTCTTTCAACTCCGACAAGTGGCGTCGCATCCTTTATTAGCTGAAGGAGCGCCACTGGGTTCGACAGCGCAATGCGCGAGAGGAGGTATTCGATCTCACAAAGAATTTGGGTATTCTCTTCCTATTGAACATTAGTGGAATCAAAACGACAGCACAAGTACTGGGATATACCTTGTCCATCATGAAAATATCTAAAAGATAGGGAAATAGACCAGACTTATGCATGGCTTCGCCCCACAATTGTACAGGAGAAAGTTGAATCAAAAGACTCAGTGCACTAAGTGCATCCTTTTTGTTTTGCTGAAGTGCCGGACCTTTGAGCAGAGTAAGGAAAACATCAAGCAAGGCCACAGCGTCAATCTGTCGAGCAGTTGGTGAGGTCAAAATGAGCAGAGTGTTAAAATAACGGACCATACCTGTAACATGCGGGCAGGGTCAAGAACGAAATACGACTCCATGATGTTGATCATGGTTCCGAGCAGTTCTAAGTTGGTTTTCAGATGATGTACCAGTATATCCATAAGACTAGCAAGAGTTCCATTGGGACCAGGATTATCAATTGTAAGCGTGTTTCTCATAGCCTCCCTCCACAAATTACTGCCGTCTCCGTCAAGATTGAACTATCCAAGGATTAGAAGCTTGATCAGGATATATAAAAATAAACATACGCCTTGGCTCATGCTTTCCTTCACCAGCGGGACTATGATGTGTGATAACGCGGTCGATTCCGGACCAATTGCCTGGTGTACAGGTATTAGTCGTATCCAGATAACAGACAATTACGATATCTCCTGTACCTTGACGACGTTAGTCATTGTCACAAGGAGAGAACTTTTGAAGAGCCAATCATCATCTGCCTCCCTCCCTACAAAGGTTTAGAGACGCAAAAAGGTTTTAAAAGTATGATAGCTTACAGAGTTCAGGGATGGGACCGGTAATCAAAGGTACAAGGGGTATGATCTGAACGAAACATCGACGGGTGAGTGCCGTGAGTGCAGTCAATTCATGAGGTGTACATACCTGTTTCCCGGCTCTATCGATGACCACGTTGAGCGCATCATCCACTTTCCTCTTGCTATCGAAAGTGTTCGCTTCGCCAATCAGGCTCATAAGCTGAGCGACCGCCTGGGGAAGAAAAGGCGCAAATCCGTCAGGGTCGAAATCTAGAGTCTGAAGCGCAAACATTATCTGAGAATCAAGCAGGAAAGTGCGATAACCTTACATCGACACCTTCCCGCAGCGCAACAGCAGCCGTTAGCCGAATGATCGTCGATCCTTGACCTCGCTGTGAGAGAAGATGCAGCAAGATTTGCCAGATAGTAGGGATGTTGGGAGAACAACACGACTCGGACATCCACTTTCCGAGAACCCACGCAATCCTTCGCTGTAGTATATAAACGCTTAGGTCATAGTAAGCTTCAAATATGAAGGAGAACGAGAGATAATTCTAACAAATGGTCATTTGGAGGCAGTTGCACCTCAACGGTTAAGATTCGGTTGACCCAATCTTCGAAAGGTATTTCTCCTTTCAGCTTTTGACAACATCGACCGACAGCGCAATACAATGCCTCTTTGTTCGCAATCCCTATCGCTGCAGCTGGTTTATCTGTGGAAAGCTCGTGAGTTATTTGACTTGTGAAGAAAATTAGAACATCCACCTGCAACCTCGGCGAAAGTTGTCTTTAACAATGGTGTCACATATTCAGGATATTGGTTTGATATCTGCACCAAAACACGTTCGCTACATGGACGAAGCTCATACCCCCACTGCTGATTCTCTTGCTCTTCCGCATTGACCCATTCTTCGGGGTCTTGTTCCAGACCTTCCAAATCATCTTTTGTCAGAGGTAGAAGACGAGTGATGATGATTTTGACAGCATTATCGATGAAATTTGCCGTCAACACTGAATCGTTGATTTCAGTGGTAGAAAATAAAGGTATTTGTTTGTAGCAAACCATTTTTGTTCGCCGATCCATCTCGTCGATGAGTCGTCCATTGGCCAACCAAATCCTTGAAGAAAACAAGTCCTTGAACCAGAAATCGAACAGGATATAAAGCCGAGGGGGCATCTAGAATTATGTAAGTAAAGTTTTATTAGAAATGAATAAGCAACTGTACCTTTAATGGCTGGAAGATTATTTGCAGCCTCCACGATCTGGCTCCAATAGAACATTACTGCGTCGCTACAGCCAGGCAATACTGCCATTCGCCTAGGCTCAACAGAAGCCATCCGAAGATAGAACTTCCCAAAGCGGCGGATATGTTTTGCGAGGATCTGATGCGTCATGAGCGTTTGAGGACTGAGGTTCGAGGGATCTTGAGGTTGAAGCTGGGTAACTACGGCGCGCTGGACCACAAGGCGTTGTAATTGTTGAACAGAATCATGGAAAACTTGTGTTAACTACGAAGAAGTTCAAATTTTAGGTCAATATATGCCTATTCATAGTAGGCACAAACCCAAGGCTCGAGTATTTGTTTCTCTTCGTCTGATATCTTGCTAACCCGTTGCCAAATCCAAGTAACCAAGGTCACCAAAGTTTTGAAAAGAAGGTGGGAAAGGACTAGGTCAGTGTACAACCGAGTGTTTTCGAAAGCTTGGGGCTCTGGAGCCAATTGGATGTTCTCAAAAACCTTAACGAAGTAGGCGTTTATTGTTTGATACAGATGGTCAAATATCTGAAAAAGTTACATGAAACAGTATCTTGACGAGCGGATCATAACCATATACCTGCTTCATGACCTTGATACCATTCAACATTTTCATACTCGCAAATTCTTTCGTAACGCCACACAAAAGTTGTAGTGCTCGTTGAAGTACGAGATTAGATTGAGGGGATTCCATATTTGCAACGTAGCGCTGCTGTAGATTAGTATCTATTACACTCATCAAGTCGTCGATGAGTGAGGGCCTATTATTATGTCACTATGAATGACTGAACATCGATACGAAGGGAGACACACCAGGCATGCGGAAAATCTGCCCGAGCGATCCTAGCGACAGAGACCTTGTTACAGTCTGCAATCTTGAGGGTGGTATTTAGCATGTCTCTTGATCGTAGGTCGTCAACGAGGGGGTTTTACCGTTGCATCTCTTTCGTCAAGAAACGTCATGCATCGTGCCCGTATATTCGCTCGATTCTGGTCATTTTGAAGCCTGCACGGTCAGTCAATTACAATTCGTTCAGTTATGGCGGCACCGAATCGTATTCGTACTTTCTTGATTTCCAATTTTTCAATGCTTCGTTTTTGAACTGTATACTTGCTTGAATTCGGATTGCCAAAGGAAGTGTTTTCGCCGCTGCGATCTCATGGAGTGCATCATATACGCCAGGTAGTTGAAAAAGCTCCTTCAGCCTTTTAGTAGAAGTTTCGACACGCCGTGGATCTTGCTGAGATGTGGCGTCGCTGATGACTTGGAATAATTCCTCGGGAGAAACCTGCTGTGAGTCGCCGCCCCGGGCCATTCCTTGCATTGTATCACCAATCGAGAAATCCAGCGTCCACCACGCCTAAAATGAAATGCAAAAAGACAAGATGGATCGTTGGATAAAGACCAAGAGGAATTAAATGAGCAAAAAGAACATGGCATGTGACAAAAACGCGACGCGATGTATCTTTGCTTTCTTCTTTTATCTCTATCACGACTCATACTTTTTCCTTCGCCCTCAAGACATATCCACGCTGGTTTCAACCCCTGCAAAATGCCTCCAAGATACCGGCGAAAGATTGAGGAAGAAGTTGTCGAGGATTCAGAGCCAGAAAGAGAGGCAGCGAGGCTCGAACAACTTCAAACAAGCAAGGCAATGGGTTCTCATTTCGAGAAGCCGAGCGATAGCTATACGAAAGCCACGAGTCAGAATTTCGAACTTTCGAACAGTGTCATCGAAATATCTGGCGCGTCTTCTCATCATTCCTCAAGCCGGCTGAAACTAATTCGCGAACCCACAGATGATAGCCTGGTAGAAACCTCTTCACATGTTCTCAACAAGAGGAACATGTCAGACCTCCCACAATCCAAATCTCACGGAGAAGTCGATAACAGCATAATTGATATCAGTGGTACGCGTTTGTCGTTTGTCGTCGTGTCTGCTCATCAAACAAATACGACAGATTCATCCATAGAACTACTACAATCGGCTGGGACTATACCAAAATCTTTCGCGCCGAAAACGGCGGGCCCCGCCCAGTTGTTTGTTGATTTAGGTGACTATAACTCTGAGTTGGACAACACTCTGCCCGAACTACGGTTAGCGAGGTATGCACATACCAGCGCTCGGCCTAACAAACCAAAAACAAACCCCTCACATTCTGCACGGGCGATGTCTACCTCATTCGGTAGTTCCCGATCGGCTATAGTAAAGAAGATTACTGCGCAGACCTTGGTTCAGCGGCTCAGTGACGAATTTAATGCGGACTCCATCTCCCGTCTGCTGATGTGCGTGTGTTGTAACTTGAAATGGACCACGCGAAAAAGTGTGTCCCAAAAGCTCACTCACTTCAAAACATGTGCAAAGAAGCACGGCGTTCAGGACGACACGTTGGTCGACCTAATCCGCAAGGGTATTATGGTTTCACCTGCAGTTCAGCCCAAGGGCAAAGGCACATCCATAGTCGTTGACGATGCATCTCCGAAGACTTTCTTCGACGAAGTCATGCACGATGCAGCTCCGAAGAAGCGAACTAGGCGGCAGGAAGTAAAGAGTACAGTCAAGGACATTGCAGAAATGCGAAATGCTATCCTGCTGAAAGCTCGAGCGATAGTTGCCAAAGGGGACTCGGACGTACGAGCCCTACGCGAACATGGAACTGGTGAACATTCAGACAGTGATCTATCCATCAATTTTGTGCTGTCTTCGACGCCGAGGTTTGCGAAAAGCAGTTTAGCTAGTAGAAGCGGCTTGCAAGCTCGATACATGTTTTACAACGACGGAGGAACTCATGAATCGCCTCCCTCTTCTCCCAATACTTCCTTCTCTCCGTTTTCACCTCCCATCCAACAACTTCCCCCTTCACCTCCAATATCATCATCGGGAATGGGCGAGGTTCTCCAGCCGCTAATGGATATTGATGTCCATAACTTGCATACCCTATCCAATAATAAATATCCTGTACGTCAACCTATGTTGTTCATTGAGAAGCAGACTGATAACTCACAGGTCCCTCGCAATTCATATTCACATTCACGATCCCCTATTTCTACATCTTCAAGACCGAATCAGGCTACCCTGAAGATCTCGAAGACTTTCGGAACTCCCAACTCGCCCCCGCTCACCCCTTCTCCTCAAAAAGTCATTTCATTGACTTCCTCTGCCAGTCCACCGACATACAGTCCTTTTAAGGATCGCTATTATACCTCGGACGAAGATATGAGGCAGTATATGGACGATGCCTATCTGCATTATGATCCAGAAGACAATACACATTCTCTTTCCACTACAAATCAACCCCTTCGCAGAACTCCGTCAAAATTATCGCCCGCTCCCCTGTCCCCTAAGTCAAAGTCTCGTTCCCGCAGTACTACTGCTCTTCGAAAGAAGCCCGCTATTAAGGAGAAAATTGTGATTGATGCAGCATGGGCGGAGGACATAAGGAACAAAATTATGAAAGATACGACGCTGCATCTTCGTATCTTGAGATTGGAGGTAGGTTTCTGTCGAGTCGAGTTTCTTCAACGAGTGACCGACGTTTTTGACTTGTTATTGCAGCCTATACATTTCGATGTGTTCCTTTCGAAGATAGAAGGACAGGATCAACAACCATCTGCAAAACTCAAACATCATCTCCGAGAATTTTTGGATAAACAAGCTATCAATTTCTACGGTGCTGAACCTGTAGGAAGACAAAGGCGTTGAGCCATTGTATCCATCTCCACGTATGTATGTATCTATACGGATGTAGTTGTCATATATATATGTACATCGAATGCACATATAACTAGTAAATATAATTTATCTTTTGTCGAGATTGAACGACCACCTGTTGAAGGTTTTAAACAATTGAAAAATATATACGTACAGTGTTCTAGGGCTCCTTGAGACACTAGGGTTCCTTGATACACTGACCGTAAATTTTTTTCTACAAAGCTCACTCATTCATATCTACTATCTCAAACTTGTTGTATATGTATGATACATTTTTGAGAAAACATTCAGAAGCTTAGCTTGTTTTCTTATTGGACAGTGGGCATAAAACATAGGATTTTGCCAATATTTTGTGTGCAAAACTTTTATTTTTTGTTGTGAGCTTGGTTTGATTTTCTGTGAGCCAAAGTAAAATGCTATAAAATGATGTTGTTACTATTCCCAAATGTTCAGATACTTTGAAATACCCCAAAGTAACATACATGTGCAAAATAAACAAAATACTTTTGATGGTGATATTTTGCCTGCCAAATTTGGCCTGTCTCAAGGAACCCTATATGTGAGAATATTCTCATTTTCAAGATATTTTCATAGAATTATCCACTACAACTTGCACTCTTAGATGACTATCTTAAACTATCATGACTTACCTTTACTTGAATACTAGATAGAAGAAATTACCCAATTGTATGTGTGAAACATCTAATGTGTCAAACTTGAAGTTTTGTATCAAGGAGCCCTAGAACACTGTACATATATTAAAAATGCTCGCGCAAGTCTTAAGGTCTGTATTCCAGACAAACTTACACTTATAACGCAACCTCAGCGAGATCAGCGACTTCTATCACACCCCCAACGAGATGCAAACTCCCCGCGACCAAAGCTTTCACAGGAGAGTCACACTCTGTTGTCAGGCGGTGGACGATCCGGATGGCATGCTCAACTGAAGGCAGAACATGAATGTGGTCTTTTGGGAAGGAAGGCATTAGAGAAGACCAAGCATCAGCTAACTGATGTTGAGTCCTAAGTTGGGCGAGGTCATCTGGCGGAAGGGAAACAGCCGTCAAATCTGTCTTCCCTTAGCTATTTTCTAGAATCTGCAGACATAAAAGAGCTTACCGCCTTTGAAGCCTCCATCAGCGTAGGTAACATTTGTGCAAAATATTACCCGGTCAAAGAACGAAGGGGCATCTTCGCCTGACTGTATCTGGCCGAGTTGTGTGGAAAGCTGATTGTAGACTGCCTCAAGGAAAGATGGTCCAGCACGTCCACCCCCGGTGTTGAATATCAATACACGTTGAAACGAACGACTAAGTACGGTTGAATGAGGTAGTCATTGGAATAGCTGCATGAACAACTCACGGAGTAGAATTTAAGTGAACTCCCACACCTGGCTGGCTGAACCATTGTATACAGCATTCCAAACTTTCTTTCGTGTGTGCACCATCGAGATACCATGTCAAGTTGGAATAACCAGGATCAGCAACTGTTTGACAGCGACCTGGCCATCTGGTGCTTTGCAAACCATCTATGAAAGATCGCGGGAGAGGGGCTTCTTCGCTCTCAAGGTCTAATTGATGGATGAAAGTCTTTGCAAGGTGAACAGCCAGTAAGGAATTTCCAACTTGATGGGCACCAGCCAAACCTATTGGGACGTTTGTTTGTGTTTAATGCTTCCGAAAACGAGCATCGAACAATACCAAGTTTAACATTGACCATTTCGGGAATCATGGGTGTCACTATGAATTCGGAAGCCTGCAATTTACATGCTAAATGAGCAGAATTCACAGACGAAATTACGGACCTTGAGCTCCTTCGCGCGCTCCGCCAAGACTTTCATCCCCTCTTCTGGTTGTTCGACGGTAAACGCAGGAACTCCTTCCTGAAGCTTATTTAAATAATGGAGTTATGAACACCTTAGCTACTGACCTTGTATATTCCACCTTTCTGCCATGCAATTTCTTTCAGAGTCTTGCCTAAAACCCCGACATGGTCGATGCCTAACGCCGTGACGCCGGTGACGATCGGTTTGGGAACAATGTTTGTGCTGTCATACATCCCTCCTACACCAACTTCAAGTATAGTTGCATCCACACCAAGACTGAGGAATGTGTGAAAAGCCATCAATGTAACGAATCTGAAATAACCGGGCATAAACGGCGTGCTTTCGAGCTTTCTCTGGAACGCAGGGATTCAATGGCGATAGCAACACTGTATATTGCAATGAATTATACCGAATCGTTGGCTTGAAGCTTGTCCCATACTTCAAAGAAATACTTTGTGAAATCCTCTTCAGACAGTGGTTTTCCATTGACTCGAATTCGTTCACGGACGGCCACCAGATGCGGTGAAGTATATAATCCTATACGACAACCGGTCAAATTAGGACTGTGGATGTTCAGCAGTTACGTACCAACTTTCCACTCGGGTTTCGTATGCCGAAGTATCGAGTCGGTGAATGCGCTGGTCGATCCTTTTCCTTTCGTGCCGGTGATGTGAATGACTTTTAAGGCATTTAGGTCGTCTGTCTGCTCAAGACGATGATGGGCATTGCGCTATCACGGGAGAAAAACCTAGTCGCACCTTGTAACCAATCCTTTCTAAGTATTCCACCATCTCTGGAATGGCAAATTGACTAAGCCGTCCGCCGGAAGCTCGAACAGCCTCTATAGTTGCTGCGTTAGATTGCAGAGAGTTCAGATTGTTCACGGCATCTTGATATGTTCTTGTAGACATTCCTCGCCTACCACGATAGCTCAGAGATAAACAGCGACTAAAGAAATTTCGTATCTGCATCATCTATCAATTGCGCATGCGTCTAATGATGATCAAAGGTAAGTGAGTCACTATCACGTCCTATGCCCGTGACTCCGATATGCGGGCGCTAAATTCCAACCAATTCTTTTCAACTTCGTATCTTAGTCTACCATCTATGGAGAAATATCTTACAAACACGGATCTAACTTCTCAAAACGATACCCAAGATAGCCCACGGGGGGCTCCAGGTTCAGCAAGGTTCAAGCCTTATACTATTCTGGAACGTAAATGTGGTCCCAAAAAGAAAAAGTGAGTGGTCTCCTATTACAACAAACAATTACTTACCATTTTCTAGTAGCCTACTCGATCTTTTACCTGAAAGCGGGAATCCGCCCTCATCTTCAAGTGTCACCAAGCTGCTTTTGAAGACACTGAAAGAGGCTACCAATCCTATCGCCCATTCTGATCTTTACGAACGCACAGGTGCGTCGCATTGAAACTTGAACCGGCGTGTACTCACGTATCATCAACAGAACATGTAGTATCAATGGCTTCAGGTCACCAAGTTTCGGAAAGTCGTAGGAACCATCGTCCGTACCTCCAAGAACGCAGCCGTAAGCTAGCAGTACAAAAGGAAACTATCAATGCTGCAGAGCAACCCCAAATCTTGTCCAATGTTAAAGTCTACATCGATGGCTTTCTGACAGGAACCACGGATATTGAAATGAAGCGTGTAGTCAGTCGCGCAGGCGGCCAAATACTGTATGTAACTATAAATACTTGCTTTGATTTACGTCCGACAAACTACTTTCCTTTTAGATATTCAGCCTCTGGCGCTACCCACATCTTGAGCTCACAATCATTGAGTGGATCCAAGACACATAGGCTTTTAAGCAAGAAGACACGCATTTCTGTCCATGTAGTTAGACCCGAGTGGGTGTTCGACAGCATAAAGGCAGGGAAACGGCGACCTGAGCGAGATTACACGATTTTGAAGAATAGCAGCACGCTGAATATCGCGATGATGGTGCAGAAACAGAAATAAAGTAAAAGATAGCGCATAACTTTACATTGCGCATGATGTAGTCACGACGCTCATTCTGAATATGTACCTAAGATGTTGAGGATCGGTGCCGCTTTATTCACAATTTCACCAAATCTTTGACATATTTTGTCATTCGAAATCGCGTCGGAATGTTCTCTGAATGTGGTGCAAAATCACTAATCTAGGACACCAGACTGGAGGTAATCATCAACCAACCTATGTACCCTTCAGGCCCAGGTGAGGACCCGCAATCATTTCTCACCACGCAAGCGATTTCCTTCGAACAATCCGAAATTTGTCGTCGACCACATTATGGCCCATATCGACCTTATGCTTAGTAGCCAACACACTGCAGGGATGATATCGACATCGACCACATTGCAAACATTATAATCGTAGGATAGATATACATGACGTGGAAAATGATACGAGCGGGGGTACCAACAAAAAGACGTGGAAAAGAATCTAAGGAAGATAGTACATCAGTCAACAAGAATCAGAAAGAAAGGGATAATGGATATCAGGACGCCCTTTGCGTATGTAGGGCGTCAGGGAGATTATCGTCGAAATGCACAGAGGCATTGTTTGGTCTGGTGCACAGCAACAAGCTCATCATTCAAGAAAAAAGAAGGAAATGCTCACCATTGGCGCTTCGAATTACCGACTACATAGTTGGACCTTGGAGGCTGAGCTTCGCTGCATGCTTGTTGGAAAGTGGAAGACGAAAATTTTTTTTCTTTTCGTGTATGCTAATATAGCACTATTAATTCCCACGCTAGCATATGGGGTAAATTATTTTGAAGCCACGCCGAACAGCGGGGAAACTGCTTTCTGCAGTCCGAGTCCATGTAAAAACATTAAACAGCTGCTCGCTCTAATATCTCCACGCTCCCTTACAATTCATATTTCCCAATCAGGATTCCCTCAAAATGAACTTCCTTTTTACCCCCAACCACGTTCAGCTTCTCAATTCCTGCTATCCCCCTGCTTCAACTCTTCTCACTTCCGGTCCAGAGTATTCGCCAAATTCCCAAGAGTTGAGTCGGTTGACCTACTATGCGTATGTCGTTGACTTGTTTCCTTACTGGGTCAATGCTCTAATGGGGTTGTCGCAGCTCAAACCATCCTGAAAAGTTGACCAAGTTGGGCAGCGAACTGGAAAAACGAGTGAAGACCGAGAGCCGCAAGGCTCGTTCAGGAAACATCAAGATACGAGCGTAAGTTTGAGGCTCTTCTTCGATAGTGTATTGACCCGTGGTCTTGTTATAGATCCCTGCTTATCACTCTAGCAATATTGCGATCGCTAGCTACAGAATGTCGTCGAGATATTGCACTCCTTTCTCCCTCATTGATTGCGTCTGTTGAAAGCACCCTCTCCAACGAGTTAAATGATCTAGAAGTTGTTGCCAGGGCGGCAAGTGTGGTGCGTCTTTGCATCATATTGATTCTCGATAAATCTTGATGCTGTCTTCAGTTTATTGCATGGACTACCTTTACAGATGGCCATATAATAGGGGCAGATAGCGGCTTCACCGAGAACTACCTCTCCAGTCTACGACATTTTGCATTTCTCTGTAGCTCCGATGCACAGGACTTCGAATTGCGTAATAGGTGCGTACCTACCGCTACGCAGTATTTGCCGTAGTTAACGTCATTTCAAGAACTCGTCTCGTAGGGTTCGCTGCAATCACTGGTGCTATAAACTCTGAAGCGCTATACAATGACTCTTCCCAATTCCGAACCCAGACGTCGATCATCATGCGACCAGTACTTCAAACTGTACTCGAAACTGATTTGGCGACATTGAACAAGCAGTAGGTTATTATTTCAAATTTTCTGACTGAAACTAATTTCTTCAGGGCGGGAAGTGTGAAAGACGCGTCGATGTCTCCTTATTTGGCTGAATTCAGAACAAGACCCGTAATTGAACGTCGTGCTGCGTCAATCCACATACACATCGATGGCGAAAACGGCCCCTCAATGTCTGATGTTTCAAGCGCCGCCCTTCGTGCCTTCTCTTCTCTTCTCGAACACGTCAATGGTTCTCAGCTTGGCCATATAATGCGCTCTTCCTTCGATAGCCTTGATGAGCTGAAGGGTTGGAGCCATATTGACCACTGCTGCTGGTTCATACTGAAAACAGCGGAATGGGCACAATACCAATACCGCTATGCCATCCCGACATGGTTAGTGGAGCGTTTATTGGAGAGTCAGGATGCGTCTAAGACCACTGACATGCAAAAGGCATTAACAGCCATGGTTACAACGGTGTTCAATTCTCCGGTGCCTCTAATCAACCTCTCTACTTCTGACATACTGACAAATCTGATGTCGCTGCTGGTGCGGAGAATATCTGTCGACTTCAACCACGCTATTATCCCTTCACTAATCAAGTGCATCTCATCCCTTGGGCGACATGTTTATTATTCAGACCAAATTCATGACCTCGCAGTATGTCCGCAGTTATTTCGATGCGACCATGTTGTTAATGCTACAAGCTCAGGCTGAGCTGATCACGCACCTTTCCATTGTGGAGGCTCAAGCCATATCCCCCCGCAGCGATTCGCTGTATGAGGAGAAACGTGCTCATGCTTTAAGATGTTTGATAATGGGCTTGGCAGGTTTGATCAGTGCAGCGGACGACGGCGAGCACGAAAGGCACGAAAGACCGCAAAGCAAAGCCTCGTTGTCTTCAGATCCAGATGTCAAGCATGATGACCACTCTGAACATCGGCGGTCCCGAAGAGCCCGGGTACCTCCAGAAATCTGGCAAGATACTATCAGCCTCCTTTTAGATGCAGACTATGCAGTACGAGCAGACTATGCAAATGCGTTAGTGTTCTATATTGTCCATGAGATGCCCAAACATGGTGACGTGACTGATGCTGAAACCAAAACGCGTTTCCGTCGCGTTGCTGATGGGTCTCAAACCGCACCTATGAATTCTTTACTGCATTCCAGCGACCTGGGTAGCAAATTTCTTCACGCTGTCTATGCCTTTGTGTACATCCTTTCCTCCTCATCGCTCAATCTTCCAAGTACCTCCAATTCATCACCCAGGCTATCGACAAAGGATGAACTCGAAATTAATATCGAGCCAGCAACCCCTCTTCCGGAAACACGTATTTTCGGAGATATGTCGTCTCAACATGATCGGCGACCTGGTGCTTTTCATTCGCGAACGAGGAAGATTGCGGCAGCTCTTTCGCGATTAGATAAATCACAGAAGCTTTCGTCTTCAACTTCGGCAACAGTTTCTGACTATCTTCTCATACAAAATATACTTATCGCAGTTCATCAGCAGCTGCCAGTGCGCAGTTTAATGGTTGGAGTACCGATGCTGTTAGCACTTGATTCTTTATGCCAACAATCCGAATGCGATTCCTCAGAGGTCATGGCTCGTGTGCATACGATCAGATACGTTCTTGCGAAAGTTTGGTTAGCCATTGGTAAAGAATGGGGTTCTACTGAGCTGCAGGCCATTTCCGAAAAGGTTCTGTTTCTACCTCTTTCCCTCTCTCGCGCGCTAAACTTGTTATCTTCACATAGGCTCTCGCATCCTTACCACCATCATTATTTCCACTAGACTCCCAAGCAGCAGAAATAGGAACATATCACCCGCCCCAGAATCCAGTTCCTATCTCTTCCATTGATTCCATTCCCAGGTGGTCGGGTGTTGATACTAAAGCGGTTCTTTCGGTGTTGGCTTCGGACTCCGGCGTTCAAGAAGTTTTCGGTTCAGATAGGGAGCAACTGTTGTCATCATTCTCGAAACCATGGTCAACAGAAACAGCCCTGAGAACTGGTAGGTTTTTTTATCACAGTTTTGAAGTCCCTGACCGAAGAATCCAACGTAGCCGTTGAACGACCGTCTACATATGATGCCACTCTTCGTGGAGATGGCGTTTCTCCTTTGCTGAAGATATCTCCTGGTCTCATGCACATTGAAAACATATCTTTACAAAGTTTGGCTCGTTCTAATCGTGGTGTCGGTGTCACTGACCTTCGAGAAGCCCTCGAAGGAAGGAGCAGTATGTCCAATCCTAATTTGGCGAGACCCGGTTCAATATCGACATTGGACCATGGGTCTTCTGTCATGGGAGGCGAGGGCAGATTTGTTCAGACACGCCCACGGAGTGCTAAAAAGCGTGCTTTGCCCGCTGGGCCTGGTGAAGTACGAGATGTTTTGAATAAGCTCGGTCTGGGAAAACAGAACGGAAGTCTACTTAAAGCCTCATTTCCTACACTACAATCCGATCAAAGGTGGGTCAACGTGGTCCTCATCTTTAGTATAACTTACGAATAAACAGTTCTTAGATCATCCGTTGTGAAATAGATCACAGCATCTTCTCTCTCTTTAGGATACATATACTACACGGACAATGAATCTTATTTGGTAATTCTGTTTGGGCAAAAGATCTGGGGAAGGCATAATCAGAAAATGTAGTCTTTCCCCAATTGGATATATATTTTTTCCAACAATCAAGAGTTATTAGAAGATATAAGATTATCATTATGGTTAACGTCTTGCTCTCGTTTGCTGTACAGAAACAATCTTCCTCCTCGCTTCTTCCTCCAACTTCGCCCAATACGCGAGTTCATTTTGAGACTTAGGATGGGCTACCGACTGAACCTCTCTCTGTCATTCGAACGTGTCACAAGAGCATCACTCAAATTTCGAAACTTGACCTACATTTAAACCTCGCAAAAGCACTTCATAGAATGCGGATTGGGTAGTAGCTTTTGCAACAGCATCACTAGTCTGACTCGTGTACCGTTGTATCAGTTTTTCTACTTCTTGTCTCATCCGTAGCAAGCTGGCACGAACGGTCAGCACAGTATCTTCAATGGGGCGAAAATCCAACGTACTTGGAGAATATCATCGTCTCATCCTCTTTTTCTGTGAGAATCACGAAGGCGATGAAAATCTTGATATAACGAGTACATATCTGAACAATCGTTAACCACAATTTTCACTCAATCTCGCCGCAAGATGTCCTTACACTCTTGACAGTTGATTCCGTGATAATTGTTGTGCGACTGAAATACCCACCGCTTGAGCCCTCAGCTAGCTTCTTGAGCGCTTCGATATTGTCATTCATGAGCTTTTGGAATACTGGCCACATTTGTAGCCGGAGACTAAACATGAATGTTACACCTGGAGGACAAGCACGATTCTCAATTTCTGTCACAACATGTTCTGTGAGACGAATCATGGTGAGGAGGGGAAGGATGGGGGGAGGCGGCTCGAAGACAGTTTTGACGAATGTCTATCACGACGAGTGAGTAAGAATGAATGCATAGACAGCGAGGAAAAGATGTTACCTGAACATATTCTAATACAGGATTGAAAACTTGTTTCCATATAGTATCGATGTTGGACTGTTCTTCGCGTGCAGCGTGCGTCGCGGAATTCGGTGCACCTGTAATTGATATGCTCTCGACCTTGTTCCGCCCGTCATAGTCAGAACCGGAGTTAGATTGACGCTCCATAGGACTCAGAAGAGTGGAAGGGGATAGAAGGGACTTTTGGGAATCGAGGGTAGGCAGTGTAGACTCTACGGTGAAAAACGTCTTTACAAACGTGTATTCAGCGGTGGCATTATCCATGAAGACGAGTAATAGTGATCGGAAAAGGGCTTCAGGGTATTCTTTCTACAAGTTGGATAAAGCATTTGAGTAAAGAGACACAGACAGGAGACAAACGCTTACATAGGTCTTATCGTCAGCCATGTACGATAATGTAACACTGGGTCCGTCAAACTGAGCATTTGAGAGCCGTTCAATATCGAGTGGGATATCGTCCGACTTTTCTAACTCCTGAACTATTAAATCGAATCGTTCCGTTGTACGTGCCTAAAATATATGAGCACCAATAGTGACTTCAGGCGGGAACGGCGTATCACCTTGATGACGCCCAAACTCCGAGCATATCGTCTGAACCCGGTCTCATAGTATACGCGTGCGGCTCCTACGTATGATCTCTGTAGTTCATGAGCTACAGGAGCTGCCTGTCGTTTTAGAAATGCAAATAGTGGCCGATACTTGATCAGGACTGAGGTTTGCATCACTTGCATATTGGTTGTCACAGAATTGCGGATAGGTTGAAATAAAGCCATGAAAAATACCCGGAGTTTCGTTGCCGCCTTGGAGTACGGTAGGTGACAAGACGAGGCCGACGAGGAAAGAAGACATACTACTATTCGTAGACCTTCCGCGACGTCCCCTAGATCCCTCGCAGCTTTGACTCGCAAACGGGCCTTGATCACTTGTAAATGTCGCTCAAATTCGTCTATGGCTACAATCCATGGTTCGCCAACTTGTGAGTCCAAGATAAGCATTGCGAGTGAAGGTGGTATAATGATGTCGGTAATGAGGCTTGCCAACGGCTTCTCAATTTTCTAATCAATACGCGTCAGCCCGTGCGACCAAGGGGCGTACATAGTAGATGAAAGCGAACCCGCCGATTCTTGAGCCTGTTGTCAATATCTTTGCTCCTGTCCTGCAGTTCTGATATTTGACCTGAGACTGCAGTCAGGTCCTTCTGAAATGTAGATAGGAACGATTCAAGAGAGTCCAACAGGTGTACGCTGGTCTGTTGGGATAATCGAAAAGGCGAACATGACACGAGAATACTGTAGCACACCTGAACCTGTTCATGTAGTTCCACAAATTCTTTTTCCCGTGCTATCTTGGAATAATAGGATCTTTAAGTGAACAAGTCGAGGACAATTATTGGCAATATCGTACAGAGAATTTCGATTTCTCGCTTGGAGGAGCTAGAAGAAGGAATATCTATAGCACAGGTCATCCTACGTTAGAAGGTTGTTTGGTGGTAAACTCACTGTTTGTCGACATGAAGGTGGAAGAATTGGCGAGCGCTCGAAAGAGACGCCTATTATCTATCGACTATCTTTTATATGTAGTTCTTTTTTCTGCAGAATTACGGATAAATTGTAATAATATGTATATATACAAGCTTGAGGACCCGCACCGCATGTTACGGCCAGGTTCATCAGCCTGTTGGAGGCAAGTTCCCAAACCCGTTGGTCCATGGCTGGGCCGTCCAATTTGCTGAGTCAAATATGAGCGCCGTATTTCCGCGCGCGCTTATAATATCGAGTAAGAAATCACCATTGCAAGCAAGGTGAGTTGCTGCTGTTACTGCTTGCGCAGCGTGGCTTCCAGCTTGTAATGATTTATCAAGCTAGAGCGTTATGCAGACTACTGGAGTAATGTTGAGGCATGGCTATATGCAATTGTCCTGATACTTCACTCTGAATCACTTGGTTGTCCTCTTCCTCCTCTTCACTCTCTTCGCCAAGCTGAAACACAGTCTCAGGGGGCAAGTTGGGGGAGCCACAAACCAACCTCTCTAAAGCTTCAGATAGATCAGGTTGTTTCACCTGTGTCGCACGAATCCACCGCCGGCTTATCATCCAGCTTGAGACTCCTTTCGGAGGGAGTCCGATACTTTCCTTGGGTGTACCAATTGCGCGATTCATTTTCGCTGAACCGCGTTTAGGAACCGCCATATCTTCCTGATCCAAAGCATGGAAAAAGCGCAGTAGGCGACTACTCCTCCACAGGTAACCGCGAGTGTAGAGAGTAGTGTGTTTAGATACGTCCGCATCGTCGGATTCCTCGGAAGACATACACTCAAGTTGTAGTGCGCCATCAAACGTTGCATGTTCAAAATTCGGAATTCTCAAGCGAGCTGCTGCACGAGTGTCAAGTTTCTGCAGTATATCAAAAAAACTAGTTCAAGAACTCGAATCATGACTCACTTTCTTCCTGCGTGCTGATCTCCGGGCATTTTGTGCCCTTTGATCTCCCCTGGACTTCATATTCTCTGCTTCCTTGACATCTCGTTGAGATTTGAATTTCTGCCGCAAATTTGTGAAACTCTGATCAAAAGCTGATTCCAAAATATTTTTGCTAAAATCTCTATCAGGAAGCTCATTATATAGTTGGCGGTTCTGCTTGATGTCCTCTAGGACAAAAGACCTCATACGAATGTTGTGTACGGATTGCTTCATAGTCTTTTCCCACACGAACCGAATTGGCTGGGATGGATCGCGGATCGTCCCCTCAGGTTGACTGTCCGGTAAAATTTGATTATCTCCTACGTCCATGAGGCGTAGCATATGCCTACGCATTGCTTCCTGAGCGAGGAGTAGGATATATATATATCAGTCAATTATCTTCAATGCGAAAACTCTGACCTGGATAGAGCGACATTTTCGCTGATAATGGTCCCCATTGTGGGCAGGATCTTCCAACCAGTCGTCATTATTGGAACCCTTGTCGGAAGGTAGTTTGGGAGAGAGCGCTGATATGCCTATGGGAGAATCGCTACCTGGCATAATCATCGGAGAGTCTAGAGGAGACGATGATGACGACGGCGCAGGCGACATAGGGGAGCTATACTGTGAAGATGCTGACATAGGATAGTTAGTTGTGGAAGGATTATATTGCCGGATAGGTGACGAGGAGGATCCCTGGTTGAAGGGATCGGAAATCTGAGGCACAGGAGAAATTGGAGAGTAATATTGCCCATGACTTCGAGTAGTCGCAGGACGTGAAGCTGGCGAGCCAAACTGGTAACTTGAATGCTGCAAATCAGAAGTTGGCGCAGAAGGACCAGCAGTAAAAGCCGATCGAAGAGAATAGATTTCTCGCTGCATTTCCATCATCTGTCTTTCGAGCTCTGCCTGTCTTTGGGAATATCGTTCTTCTTGTTCTTGCTCCCATGCCTGCCTTCGTTTCCGCTCATTCTCCTGCGCCTGACTGGTCTGTGTAACAACGCGTAGAAGCTCTTGTATCGCGTCGTTACCTTCAAAAGACCCTCTTTGCCTAAGAGATAGCACCGTTAGCCGTCAGAAGAGGTGGAAATCGCGGCCGAAAACTGACCGAGTTGCGGGCAGTTCTGATATAGCAAGCTCTAGCTCACTACGGTGAGGGACATACTGCTGCGAAGGCTGCATGACTGGCTGAAGAGGCTCAGAGTAGTTGGCATTAGATGAATGGGTATTCCTGGGTTGAGTAAAGTAAGGATTGAGAGCGTCGGAAAGCTCGCTAGATCCCATGCCTATAACAATGCCCTGAAAGAGGTTGGATAAGCGCCCAAAGGATTTGTTTGGTCAAGCCAAATATCACGGCTGACGCGTCCTTCATAAATCGTATTCTTATCTTCACACTTTCATAAACATGGATAGCGATTTCGGAATGATGATGAGTGGTGGTCGTGGAGGAATGCAAGCCAGAGGAGATGGGACTGTTCCCGACAAGTATGTCTGCACACTTCATGTTTCCCTCACTTCGGCTTATAATTACTCTTTAGTGGAGAAGTAATCCACATCTCTTCACTAGCGTTGCTCAAGGTACGCGTCGATACTGCTGCTCGCGCACGTCGTCATAGCTCGAATTTCCTGTAGATGCTTAAACATGGTCGCGCTGGAGTCCCTATGGAGGTCATGGGACTGATGCTCGGCGAATTTGTTGACGAGTACACTATCCAAGTGATCGACGTCTTTGCTATGCCTCAGTCTGGCACGACCGTCAGTGTCGAATCAGTAGATCATGTCTTCCAAACGAAAATGTTGGACATGCTAAAACAGACTGGAAGGTGAGGGTCATGTTGTGACCTTATTAGTTAGTCTCACTAAGTTTATCTAGACCGGAAATGGTTGTGGGATGGTATCACTCACATCCTGGTTTTGGATGTTGGCTCTCTAGTGTTGATATCAATACGCAACAAGTGAGCCTGCTTGAAAATCTCAAATGTCGAGTCCTCCTCATGCTTGATTCCAATATCAGTCTTTCGAATCCCTTAACTCACGTTCCGTAGCTGTTGTCGTTGATCCTATTCAGTCCGTCAAAGGAAAGGTCGTCATTGATGCTTTCCGACTTATAAATCCTCAAACTGTCATTGCTGGTCGCGAACCGCGCCAAACGACATCCAACATTGGACATATCAATAAACCGTCAATACAGGCCCTCATTCACGGCCTGAACCGTCATTACTATTCTATCGCTGTCAACTACCGTAAAACACCACTAGAACAGGCAATGCTTATGAACTTGCATAAACGGAACTGGACGGAAGGATTAAAACTACGCGATTTTAACTTGCATAAGGAAGATAACGAAAAAGCTATCAAGGTATCTGACTCCATAAAGATGTAACATGAGTTACTGACCACATTTATTTAGTCCATGCTCACCCTTTCGGAAGCATACAATAAATCCGTGCAAGAAGAATCCACGCTTACACCGGAACAACTTAAGACGCGGCATGTTGGAAAACAGGATCCGAAGCGGCATTTGGAGGATGCAGTTGAAAAGGCGATGGGCGATCAGGTTGTTCAAAATCTGGCTACTATGTTATTAGCTGAGCTGTAATGATATCACCGGAACTTATAGAAGGAAGTGGTTTTCAGTGTGTATTAAGCACTGCTACTGTATCTGTGCGGTCGTTGACGGTCAAGAAGACAATTTATAAATCTTGAGTGTTGGATCTTGGGTCAAGGTCCACAAGACCTGTAGCCTCCTGTAGCGTGGTCGACGATTTCATTCCACTCTGCGGGGAGCTTAAGGGAAGTCACTGTACTAATAGTATCAGGGGCTCATATGTGCCAGTGAGCCGGTGAGCTTCAAAACGAAACAGCTCTAGAGTGTGCCTGCACATTGAACTCATCCAATCTCAGGGTAGAATAGACCTTGCAAGCAAGGCGGTCAATTGCTTTTCAAACTCCTTTCTCTTCCCTTCCATCCGGGGACCGGCGGTGAGAAGTGTAAAGGTACGCCAACAAAGATAGCGAAAGTCATGAGAAGTCGTTACGAAAAGGACTTGGGTTCGTTATCGTATCTAACCTATATATTCATATGTACTGCATTCGGCCTTTTCAGCTTTTTATGTAGGTACAAAATATACCCTGGCACGTCAATGAAGAATATTGGGACTAAGATTGGGTGTAAGCATTCTCCAATTAGCTTCGGTAAAGTCCAGAATCAACGCATTAACCTAAATTGACCAAGAGCTCATGATTCGACCAAACCTTGACCAGATTTTACAGATATGTATATTGGAGTTTATTTTTTACTAATATTCGAATGAGATAGCTGGAAGATATTGCGTTTGCTGAGAATCGGAATGATTCCCATCATTTTGGCTCTACGAATTGCTTTCCCCACCCTGCGCTGATTCTTCTTTGTGAGACCGGTAACATTCCGACCATATACTTTGCCCATTTCGGATATGAAAGGGAGGAGCATTGCCGGATTCATGGCCTGCTTGAGTGGGTCCACGCCGAGACGATAGAAAGGATCCTTGTATTGAGCTTCTCTTCTCGATGGACCGACTTGGGCTCTTGTCGGTGGACGACCGCGTTGTTTGACCACCGATTTATAAGCAAGTCTATGAGGCTGAATGAACTTTACGAAAAGTCAGTACTCAAGGCAAGCCCAGGAAGTAACTTCCTTGCCTGGTTTGGCACGAAAGCACGATAGGGTGAATTTGAATTGGGTATATAAGCTGGAAGAAAATAATGAGTCAGAGACCAGATTAAAGCAATAGGGACAAACTAGTGGTTCCGGACTCTCCCTCAATGAGTGTTTGACCTAATTCCTGCAGTTCAAGAGACCCAGTATCAGGTGAACTGGGTGCAGAGGAGGAGAGAGCGGCGAAAGCACCACGAAAAGTCGGTCTTGACCGAGCTATCGAACGAAGGCAGGCTAACATCCCCAGGAAAGTGAAAGTGATGAATTGACTTGGCAGTCGCGTTTCACAAAAAACCTTTAAGATTCACTGTCACAGTGTCAGAAAAAAGCCTAAAGAAAACACGCTACCGGTTCACGTGTGTATACGTTATGAAATCTTCCCAGCGACCAACTTGCTCTAGACTAATTGACCCTGAAGTTTCCTTCCGTCCGGCTAGCAACTCATACGACAAGCACCGTCCGTCACCTTCGCTGTCGTGAGCCACGAAATCGACTCTACCGACGTCGTTGGCTTTTTCAGCTCGACAACTCTACTTGCTTCGCCTCACATACCTTTGGCAATTGACTTGGCGACAAATTGAGATTGTAGTCTAGTCTCGCTGTTGTCTCGACTCGCCCATATATAACCCGTCCATCTTTACCACTGCTTTTCACTCTTGATGTCGTCCTAGCTCTCGATAAACCATCATCAGTCGCTCATCGTTTTTTCACCATTCGTTTGCCAGGATCTCTGGTTTTTGTTTTCCTCGCTCTCGCTACTGCTCTCTCCAGGTGCTTCCATGTCAGATTCTGGTCAGCAACAGCGCCGTCAACCTCCTAGTCCTCTTGTATTTTCTCCAGAAGCTATTCTATCGCCTCCAGCCTCCCAGACCAGCCAGCAGGGCTCTGCGTCTAATGGCGCAAATACCGTCTCCATGCCTTTCGTCAGGCGTCATGTCACTCGGAGGCTTAAAGCTGCCAAGGCTGAATGTGACAAAGAGCTTCAGCGCGTCACCAACAACATCACGACATTTTTTGAAGAGCGTCTCAAGGATCATGAGTACGAAACCGAGCGGGATAGAGACAGAGATTCCCAACTCGGTGACTTCGACCATTTACGGGATCAGTTTGCATTCCAGCCTCTTGATATCAATCGGTCTGCTCTTCAGACAGACGAGTCTAGTTCCGAAGGTGGATACGAAGCAGAACATGAATATCATAGCCGGCACAGTCGTCAACGTGTGTATTTTATCTCAAACCTGCATGAAATTGATGTTTACATATATTTTTTCTGATTCGCTATGCAGCGTCCTCAACATCCGCCTCAATGAGTCCCAATTCTCATCGCAGTAGGCAACAACAGAATATCCCATGGGAAAGGCCTTTGTCTGCATCCATGTCATCAGGAGTCATCTCTTCCTCACCTGGCAGCTCAACCGTCATGCTTCCCGAAGCACCGCTCACTCGTAAGCAAAGCTCCGCTGCACCCACATCATGGAGTTCGCAGAACCTACCATCACGGCGATTATCGCGCACGATACACATTCCTTCCCGACCACCTCGCTCTGGTCAGAGTTCTCGTTCTACTTCTCGTTCTCGCTCCCCACTACCGCCTCTTCAAAGTCACGCGTCGTTCTCTGAATATCCTGTCTCGTCTTCCTCCAGCAATCGTCGCTCCTCTCGGATACTCATTGACGACCCGGTGGATCCCATCATGACTACCCTGTATGAGCTTATCGGCGTCGCCACTGATATCACGGATATGTCTGTTACACAAATCACGGCGCAACCCAAATGCTGCGAGGCACTTGTGCAGAGAGTACAAAATATCGGAAAAGCATGGGAAGAACATCCTGATTGGCACGGACGAAATTGGTACGTGCAGGTACTTCTCGCTGTCGCCAGTCTTAGTCGTGTAGTGGAATGGTGGGAGGCTGAAAAACAGTTCTGGAACTTTGACGACAATCAGAATGAACTGGATGAACCCTTGACCTTTGTGATGAAACCCGCGGATGAGTTTGCAGTTCCAGCTCCTACGCCAACCCGGAGAACAGAGCCTTCCGAGCTAGAAGACTTTAGGCTCAATCACGATAATGACAACAAGCTGCGTTTACATCGGCCCACTAGCCATAATCGGAAATCCAGAGATGAGCATCCCAAAACACTCTCTGCCTCGACTGCCCATTCTCAAGAGCATTTGGAACACGAAGGCCGTTCTGCTTCCAAGTCACACGATAATGCAGAATCTGCGAGGGTGTTGGCAACGGAGCGGTTAAGGCTACAAGCTGAAACGGCTCAGAATCAAAATATCGTTTTGGAACTTAGTCTAGATGGAGAACATCTCATCTGGATCAATTACGCTTGGAGCGTCGTTGTTGGGTAAGCTTGCCGTTAATAAATGCGTAGCTATCTTGTATTAATTTTTCAAATAGCTCGGAGCCAGAAGATCTTTTTGGGTCTCGTGTCTCACAATTTTTGCACCCAGCAGATACTCAGGTGTTCGATACTGCGACGCAGCGTCTCCTTGAGGATGATTCTCATACTGTTGAAGCTAGATTCAGACTCCGTGTGGAGCCTGAAGGTGATCGCGAACCTCCTGCAGGACAGGCTCTCTTTCAGCAAATGGAAGGCAAGGGTATGCTCATGATTGATCGTGAGGACGGTGAACCTTCTCATACTATGTGGGTCATCAAACCCATTGCGCCCCCTCGGTATGAGCTCGAGTCTCCTGCCATCACGCTAGTTTCTGCAGGGGATATCGAACCAGACGAAATTCCTGCATCTGCAGATGTTAGCTACATAGATGCTGGGCAAGATGTTCCCGAAACGCCTTTCCCTTTCCCGCAACCTATCATTACTGATCCCATCCTCTGCCGCATTTGCGAGTGTCATATTCCCCAATGGTACTTCGAAAAGCACAGCGAGACTTGCGTGGAAACACATCGATTGGAAGCTGAAATTGGAGAGTGCAACGAGACCATTCAGGAGCTACGCAACACTATTCGCGATCTTATTCTTGCTATGGACCGCTCTTCTCCCGCTACTCCTCCGGAATACCGTGGCATGCCTATTTTCTCCCCGTCATCATCTCCCATCCTCTCCTCCCCGCTACATCTATTCCGCGCGAACAAGATGCAAAAGTTCGGTGTAAAGAAAATGCAGCGACGATTACTTGATCAGTTGGATGATATATTACAAGTGGCTGCAGAGGTGTCTGTACCTTCGTTGAAGGAGGAAGAAGCTAAAGAGCCTATTGAACGACAGAGGTTACTCTCACCGGGGTCGGAGAGAAAAATGTCACAGATCAGGAATTGGTGTAAGCCTATCGCTGAAGATTCTGCACTCGGTCAATTGGCACAGGATGTGGAGAGGGTAATGAGACAGAAGATGGACACTGTGGTCAGAATGCAGAATACCATTCGTTATTCTGAAAAAATCTGGCATGAGTGGGAAGAGAGGGTTGTAGCTCACCTCGCTACATACGCTGATGATAGCAGTGATAGTGAAAGTAGCTCAGATGAAGAGGAAGGTAACATGCATGGCCCATCAGGAACACGCGAGGATGAATGCGACGACCATTCTAGTACCAAATCTGAATATGCCTTCAGTGGCGAGTACAGCAGCTCAGGTCCTACCCCTCTAGCTCCTTCTCCTGCCCCTATGGCTGTAAGTGCGGAATTTCGACCTAGTTCTGCCATTTCCATGGCGTCTATGTCTTATGGTGCTCGTTCACTGCATACACGTTCCTCGACGCCCTCATCTGTGTCATCTCCTCTTGCCCTCGCGGCGCCAATTGTTGCACCCTCTTCACCAGATGTCCCAGCGATGAATCTAGATGGACCTAGCACAAGTACTAAGCTAACAATCACGACTCGTAAATCCTCTTCCAGCCTGTTGGAGCCCAAGTTCATCGTAACTCCCCCGGCCTCACCACAAATACTCGCTCGTGATGCACTAACTCGAGAGTCGTCAACAAAGCGCGGTCATCGCCGACATTCCACTATCAACCCGATCACCAGTCCTCCAGGCCCGGGTGGTGGCGGGCCTCTGTCTCCGCGAAACCCTTCTGTAGCACCTTTATCGCGGACTACACCAACGTCGATAAAAGACTTCGATATCATCAAACCCATCAGCAAAGGTGCTTTTGGGTCAGTATTCCTCGCACGAAAAAAGGCGACTGGTGATTATTATGCTATCAAAGTACTGAAGAAGGCCGACATGATTGCGAAGAATCAAATCACTAATGTCAAAGCGGAACGGATGATTTTGATGAAGCAAGCCGAATCACCTTTCGTGGCCAAACTATATTTCACCTTTCAAAGCAAGGAAAATTTATATCTGGTCATGGAATATTTAAATGGTGGCGATTGTGCTGCGCTTATCAAGACTCTTGGTGCTCTGCCGGAGGAATGGACAAAGCAATATATAGCTGAAGTTGTTTTAGGATTGGAGTATCTTCATCAACGAGGTGTTGTCCATCGGTAGGTCGACAAATTATTATTTTTTCAGCGCAGTATTTTAAATGCGCATTTAGTGATCTCAAGCCCGATAACCTACTCATTGATCAACATGGTCATTTGAAGCTTACAGACTTCGGACTCAGTAGGATTGGTTTACTGGGTCGGCAGACTCGTGAAAGTCAGATTGGTCGCCCTTACACGAGATACAGCTCTCGGTCTCGGCCACCCTCTTTAGACTCAGCGTACTTGTCGTCCCCATTGTTCAATGACCTTAATGGCGGAGGTTCGTACTTCAGCCAACGCACACAAGCGGTTCCGCGCTTTGGAAGCTCCCCTTATCTCTCTTCTACAGATGATGTTGGCGAATCTAGTGGATCTGAATCTGTCGGATATACCACCCGGCGTACGGGCAAAGCTGCCGAAAGTCCCTTGCAGTCTTTCGCAACGGAACTCACGACTGATTTGAGATCACACTCGCATTCACAATCCAACTCGAACTCTACAGGTGGCACGCCCCCAGGTGAACAAAAGTTTGTTGGTACACCGGACTATCTGGCTCCAGAAACCATTCTTGGTCTTAGAGGAGATGATGCAGCGGTTGATTGGGTGCGTGGATGTAGTGTATAAAACTCTGCTCGACTAACATACCCTTCAATAGTGGGCCCTTGGAGTCATCACCTATGAATTTCTCTATGGCATCCCGCCATTCCACGATGAGACACCTGAGAAAGTATTCGAAAACATTCTCTCGGGTCATATCGAATGGCATGAGGAATGGGTTGATTTTTCCGATGAAGCACGTGATTTTATGGAGAAGCTGTTGGTGACTGACCCATCTGCTCGTCTTGGGGCTAACGGTGCAGAAGAAGTCAAAGCCCACCCCTTCTTTGCTACTATCGAATGGGATAAAGTCACCACCACTGAGGCTGCATTCATTCCGCAGCTCAATGATCCGGAATCCACTGACTACTTTGATGCTCGTGGGGCCGTACCTATGCTCTTCAAAGACGACGAGGAAGGCCAAAGCGCGGCCGTGACCCAGCCATCCGCTTTGAATAGTCCAATAATCGATTCTTCGATGCCACCTCCATCCATGCCTGTGCCGATTGGCGGTGGTGGACGAGACACGGCGACTTCAACACCTAGTGATGATTTTGGTTCGTTTAGCTTCAAAAACCTTCCAATCCTCAAACAAGCCAATGACGATGTGATTCGGAAATTGAAGACGGACCAAATGGTGCCACTCACTCACGCTATCTCCGAATCCACAGGACTCCACAATCGTAGGAAGAGTGTTTCTCATCGTATCAAGAAACCTCCCAGTGTTGTGACGACGATGGAGCCTTCATCACGGATCTTGGCTACTGGACCCCCTTCTCCCGCAACGTCGACGTCCTCAATTGCTTCGTCACCGTCTCGATCAAGTCTACCTCCTTCCACGCCTGGCACAGGGAGTGGTACTCATGCTCGCAAACCGTCTGAATATGGCGCCGTCGAACGGTTCAAGCAGAGCCATCTGGAGGGTGTTGAACGACGGAATTCTATGCCAAGTCGTTTGAGAACTGCATCAGTCTCTAGTGCTGGAGATGGGTCAGGATCAGAAACATGGAATTCTTCAGTCGGACACGGGACTATCAACACTCCACCCTCATCTGTTCACTCTATAGACCTGCGAAAAGGCCCTGATCCCAATGATCGTGCTGTGACCTGCCTGTTAGCCGAAGACAACCCGATTACTGCCAAAATCATTGAAACGTTGCTGATCCGTCTTGGGTGTAGATGTGTAGTAGTTGCTGATGGATCTGAGGCGATCAGTGTCGCAATGGGTGATATTAGTAAGTTTGTGTTTGTTTCTACATTTTCCATCATCTAATAAGGCAAACTTTGTCGCAGAATTTGACTGTATCTTAATGGATCTGCACATGCCAGTACTTGATGGCGAGGGTGCGGCGCGATATATCAAAAGTACCAATAGCAAGAACACGAACGCTCCCATCATCGCTATCAGCGCATATAGCGCAGCCGGTGAACAGGGTGACTCCAACAACCTTTTTGCTGCCTCATTGGCGAAGCCTTTGCAAAAAGCTGATTTAATTGGTCCGTTTTTTTCTATCTGGAGCATACAGATTAACTTATACGATATTATAGCCGTTTTTCGACAGCTAGGCTTCAAAACAACAACGATGCAGGGACCCAACTCGACAAAAGTCATGGCATCCCATAGTATCGCTGTTTCATGACCACGACCTACTCACGTTCTTTTTTTTTATGTCAACTTTGCATAGCTCATCAGATGTTTTTCCTTCTTCATTCGTCTACTCTTTCTTTTGCAACCCATGCCCCTCCTCCATCCATCATATTTTTCCAGCAAGCATTGTTTCGATTTTCATCAAACATTTATACAGGCATTTCTTCGATTCATGTTTCCCAACGTTCTTTCGCATCTGTTATTGTATTAGATCAACGTGTCGTGCTCAACCGCTGCTTTTGTACATATAATACATCCGCCTATGCCATGGCTCAATGGATCATTTTTGCAAGATATGTTCCCCAATTTTCTACGGGTTTCTTGCCTCTGCGTCGCACTATATACGAGTCGTTTGTACGTCCCGATTTCTTACAGAAAGTCTTGTATCCCATGAGCTCAACGCTCGACTCGGGCCAATCTTTCCTTCTACATATAGGGACATCGATATTTCCTACAACCACTTACTGAATTTTCAGACAAAATCGGTGAAACCATTTTGATCTCCGTCTTGACATAGAGAAAATTCGCCACTGTTCGCCAGTACCCATATATCTGCGGCCCTCATGGTCGAGAGCCTGGTTACCCGGGTATAGCTTTCCTCTCATATGATGGTCGACGGGGGCTCAAGTTTAAGGCTCCAGGCTCCAGCGCTCAAACAACAGACGGCGGAAGTACTTACAGTTGGTCACTTCAGGTTGTAATCCGCGATATACGGTAGTCACATCCTTCCTTTGTTTCCCGTGTCTCTATCGTGTTATGATTACTTTTCCACGTTGCATGCAAGCGATTTATTCTCTTCATAAACTTCACGCTTCCCGAATTCTTGAAGTCGAATCGCTTCTTTGATGTTTCCGAGAGTCACAACAGTATTCCGGTATGTGTATGTGTGTCCGTCTGAAATTGAGCTGGCAGACGTTGTTCTGAACGCAGCTTAAGCGTAGTTTAATGTAGAACTGTGTATGTAGTTGCAATTTATTATCGGGAAAGCCAAGCACTGTAAAGTCTGAATGTAGATCCCGACGGACCCTTCTTGTGGCATTGTCAGGCTTTGATTGGCGCCTGCTGATCAGCGCCAAAATTTGAATTCAAAGGTATCGCCTGGAATCGTCCTTTGGAACCACCCACCCAATGCTAATTCCTGCTAATCCACACACTGACTTCCTTTCAACGTTGTTACATATTGCAATATTCGCTCCGGATGTTAATGGACAAACAGGGTTCGGCTCAAGATATTAATGAAGGTATGTTGGAATTCAGGCACTTTGTTTCTTTCGCATGATAAGTCTATCACAGCCTCATGGAGAAAGGAAAACAAAGTGAATTTGCAAATTCGTTCACCTCCTTCGCCTTTACTCCCAAGAATCATAATGGATGAGTCTCCCTCCACCGTACACAGCGCCGATTTATTCTTTTCAACGCCTCCGACTCTAACTCGAAATCGGCCGACGTCTCGTCGTTCGTATTCAACGGGGAAACCGAGATCACCTTCGAATCTCAATCGCTCAAGAACTTCACCTTCACAGAGTCAACCAAGCAGTTTCGTGCCACCTCCGCCTCCGCCTCCATTGAAAATTGGCACTCAGTTGAATCCAGAGTGCCCCGAAGATCAGAGAGACCTTCGGACAGTTATGCAGCTCTCAAAATCGGAAACTGAAAGACAAGCATTGTTTTTGGACAAGCTTAGTAGTCAAGAGGAGGATGATCTTGCTCGAGCGCTCGCAGAATCGTTGCGCATGGACGAAAAATCCCATTCACTATCTTCACCTGGAGCAGGTCCTTCTAGGCCACCAATTATTCCTGTCCACACACGGCCCCATGCGCAGTCCCTTCCATCACCACTGAGACCCAGCTCTGAATCAACGCGGCCGCTAGTCGAGGCTGTCGCTGTGACTAATTGCCGTTCAAAGTCTCCTGAGATTGAGATCAGATATCAATCCGAACCCTCAATGCGGTCCTCACCTCCACATAACAGTGTTTCGTTACTTGATGATGAAGCGCTTGCACGGCAATTAGCAGCAGAAGAAGAGAGGGAAGATGAGCGTTGGCGTGAGTCGGCCAGACTATCTGGTGAAAATCTACAGCCATCTGTAGAGGATGATGAAGCGTTTGCACGCCAATTGGCGTTGGAAGAAGAGGAAGAAGATAAACATGAGACTCCAGCAACTGTCCCTACTCTACCGCCTGCATACGCGGATGCCGTTTCTCCATCAGCATCCGTTACGAATGCTTCGTTATCGCGGAGCGATTCCTCTGCCTCTTCAGAGAGCCTACCTGCTAGGTCTTTGCAACCAATGCGTTCCAGTAGCGATCAAGCATTTGCTAATGAGAAATCAAGACATTCAGTACCCTCGGCGTCTCTTCCCTCACTGAAAGAGCAGTTAGAAGTTGAGGATAACATGGGTTCCATCAATGTCAATCAGTTTGTTGACAGAGAACTCCTTCGGGGTGTTTGTGAGTCTTGATTCCTCGTAGTTTTTGTTGGTCATTCAATCAGTTATCTTGTAGCAATCGGGTTTTACGATCCAGTAGTTCAGGACCAGGCGCAGGCTATGGCAGGTGTAATGCCAAATATCATCAGTTTGCCGTATGGGAAGTCACCACCACTGCATTTGCAAACTACGAGCTGGCGGCATTTGTTGAAACTTATGGCAAGATTATCAGGGACGCGCATAGAGCCCACCGCACAGGCCACACAACGTAACGAGGATCTACATCTTCGTACTGTCATTCAGTTTGTCCGGGTAAGTGTCTAACGTGTTTCTCATCATTCTGCAGGGATCTAATAATTCCCATTCATCTATCATAGCCACACTACAACTCGTCCACTTGGCGCACTATAATATGGTTTACCATCGACCAAGATGCTGAACGGCCACACCTGCGACGAAGTTCAAATCCAAGTGGAGACGTCGAAAGCCTTCCATATTCCTATTCTCTAATGAAACTTCCAGCCCTCTTGCGCGATGGCTCAGATTCACTCCTCTCGAAAACGTATACCATTCCCTCTACACACAGTGTTCCATATCCAGTTCTCCCGATTTCCTTCCCTAACCTTACACTATATCTTCAAGCTGCGCTGGACGAGTCTCGAAGGTACTTCAATGACAGCTCAAGTGGGATGCGAAAGTTTGCCAAGATGCTGGAGCATTGTTATCCGGATGAGTTCGACAGTGGGGCTGGGGCGAATGAGAGGAGTCGTGTGACGGGACTGTTCAAGAAGGTTATCGGTCGGGGCGGGAAGTCGAGTAAGAAAGGCCGGGGAGGTAATGAAGAGACATATGACCTGGTGACGCCTTTTGTGCCGGACGAGTGGGGTTGAAAGATATGTGGTTGCATCATTTGACTTATTTCTAGGATAACTTTTTTCGACAATTTTGATACCATTTATTCCACTTTATTCCACCCTCAATCTAACCTCTATCTTTGTATTTTTAAGTACATAGGTATCACCTCTTTAAGGATGCCATAGCCAGATACCATGTCCTGTAGTACTAGTATGAGTATCATCTGGCTTTTGCCACACCGATGAAGGACTGCCTCCAACTCCTGACTTGCCCCACGTATCTTGTTTTTGACAATGACTACAGCAACGTTGTTGCCACTAGTCCCTGGGACCAGCAAGAAAAATGGGTGTGCGTTCACGTACCCTTTGCTGAGCTTGGTCTTCAATTGCTATCATGTAGCCTTGACTCATACATAAGCGGAATGTCCCTCGCCTTGTCTCTTCAGAGGTCAATGACGATCCTTGGGATTGCTTCCCCGCCCAAGGTGCGCAATACTGTCCTAACCGGATGCGATGAGCAGCTATGATAAATCAGGTCGAAATGCACAAAAATTATTATCAAAGCTGTGCCGTGATTTGTTGTGCCTGAGATTGTTATTTGGCCTTTTCAACTCCAACCCCATTTACCCTACTGCCCTATGCCAGTCACCGTAGAACATTTGAGTACAAATGGCATAAAAGGTTCTGCGCAGCCTCAAATTGCCATTACTCCACTTACTCCTGAAGAAGAAGGTGAGCATCATCGTTCTTGGTCTGTAAACTCCCAGCTGAACGTTCAAACTAACACAGTTTCTTTTCGTTCATCTAGAACGCATCGTCAATACACGAATCACAAACGATGAGCGACCACTCAAACGCATAATAAAGAGATTTCATCATTACATTAACGTGGCGCATGCACCACTCCTTCCATCGGTTCCTAGTGGGTCCGTAGAGGACGCGCGGGAGAGTTTTCTCGTCGAGCTAGCCTCTTTTCAACTTTTGTTGAAGAAGAACGCCATGATTTGCGAAGCTGAAGCACGGCAGGTCGAGGAATACCAAAGAGAAAAACATCGAATCGGTGCGTAGTATGTAAACTTAGTGGTTTTGCGGTTCACCTTAATCAAAGCACATTAGACCTCGAGCACAATACGCTTCGTGGACAAATTGAACAGCTCAAGACCTCACTAGAGGAAGCGCAGCTAACCCGTAAACGTAAGATGGAGTACGACCTGATTGCAGAGAAAGTGAATACTCTTCCTAGCAGAGAAGAGCTAGAAAAGTACGTGATATCTTTTCGGGATCTCTATGCTTACTGAAAGAAAATTCTAGGACCATAGAGGCTTTGGAGAATGATATGGTCGCCATCCGGGATGAGCATGAAACGCAGTCTCGAACCATACAGAGTCAAAAAGTCGCTTTGGATGGTATCATCTCGGACTTGGGCTCACTACGGTTTCATGGCGGAGATCCTACGGTCTCTGGTGTACCCTCACATAGAGGTACACCTACATTCGAGAGTAGAGCTTCTGAAGGCCTGGAAGAGCTTGAAAGTATACAAGCTAGCGAAGTCACTCTTGGACTTTCAAAAGGCGACGAAAGGGAAGAGGGAGAAGAAGGAGAAGAGAAGCCACCGGAGCTGGAAGTCAACGGCGATATTGAAATGGGAGAGGTCGAGGAGAAAACGAAAAACTCTCGGGCGAGAAAGGCAAGAGAGGATTTAGAAGAAGGAGAGGCAACGGATGCGAGCAGTGAACTTTCTGAACCTCCAGACAATATTTGATTGTATTTTCACGTTTACTGTATTGTTGCTCACACATATGTAAAGGTCAAAGATTCGACAAAGATTTCTTTGCGGATATGGTCAAAGGCCGTGTCATACTCTTGCATTCCACATGTACAGTTGACATGTTCTTTAGTTGCTAGCCAGAAATTATGACTTTGTGTAGTCTCTACCAGGTCTCTACTCCATCGCTCGAAAACCGATGTCAATACTCATCAAATCCCTTGCACAAGTAACTGGCTTTCCGTACACCATTGCCGCCAGGTTCCCTATAGCGTCCATGATTATTTTGGCTTCTGGGTCTACATTGTCGTTCCCTGGATATCGAGCGGAAAAATGATTCAGGATCAGAGAAGCTGCGCCTATTCGTTTCGCAAAAGCTCCAGCCATCTGTGGCGTGGAGTGGCCTCGTTCCATTGCCGTTCGCTGAATACTTTCAAATGTATCGTCGTCTCTTGTATTTGGCACGATACCGGGAAGATGGGCGTTCGTGGCCTCGTGGATAAGCAAATCAGCATCTTGTGCTATGGGTATCATAGGTGACGGGTCATGGGTATCCCCTAGTATTACGAGTTTGCGCCCGTTCCTGGGCGTTGGGCCTTGAAGTACGGTTCCATCGGATAACCTGACAGATTCACCAGCTTGCAGAAGGCGCATGACGCTCATGGGCGTGTTTGTACGCTTGATATCTGGAATATATTTTTTGGGGTCGATCTTGCCAGGGACTGGAGATTCAGTTATAGTATAACCGATACATGGAACGGAATGATAAATGGGAGCCGCAGATACCGAGAGAATGTTGTCTTTGTATACGTCTGACCACACGCCATCGACCTGCGGAATATTTCTTCCGGTAGGAGATTCTGATCGGAGGCGCCATAAATTGGTGTAGTCGCCATTTTGAGGATCGGAAGGGAAGCGCAATTCATGTACCACGTACGGACGCGAAAGCATGGTATGAGTGTATGTCAGCGCACTTCTGACATATGCCCGAGTGCCAAGAGGACCGTAAATCTCGAAAGGCTGATGAACTGAGCGTTGAGATTGGATAACGCAGTAGGAGCATAACGCACTGGTTCATTCACGTTGACTTCCTTCCTGGGATCTTCAATCCCATCTGCAGTACCTCCAGCTCCATTCAAACAGCCGGCCAGTAAGGGTATCAAGCCGAAGATATGGTCGCCTGAACAGGGTTTCAGTTTCTGAATCTTTACTTGAAACAAAAGACACAAACCATGGGTATGAGTTATAAACACCTTTTCAATCTTACCCATTTTGACGTTACTCTTCTGAACTTGATGCTGCGTAGCCTCGCCGCAATCAAACAACCAAACATCACTCCCTAGGCGAACAGCCAGCGCGGAATGATTGCGTGTTGAAGAAGGCATTGCGGAAGCAGTTCCAAGAAAAGTCACATTTATTGGGCTTGAATGAATAGGTGGTCTACTTGCTGAAGCCTCTGACATGGTCAGAGCTCGTCGTGGACGCTGAAAGAGGAGACACTTGAGTTACTGATCAATCGAAATGACTCAAAAGGCTATACAGGTTTTTTGGAGGTGGAATGATAACGATTCAAAAAACCAAAATTAGGTCTTAAATTTTGAAGCCATCTTGTCCTGCATTGAGCAGTCCCTACTGGTTGTAGCATAGGACATGTAACCAGGGTCTCGCTTGAGCGGGGAGATCCCGGTCGAGAAATCCGAAATAAAGCCCGATCAAATCCGAACTATAACTGATTTGTCAGCATTGCGGTCGTCCGGCTGAACTTGGCTCGGTCAAAATCAACGTGAGCAAGAGGTGATGTTGTATCATCACCTTCTCGTCATTCGGTTCCATTTCCGAGCCTTTGCCTTTTTTGGTATCGACCGCCATCTCCCTTCACTTATCTTTCTCTTCGACTTCAGATGACTTCTCCTTTACTTCCGTTTATTCTATCGACTTCTAAAATGACTTCATTATTCTTTCTAGCCAGTTCTGTGAGGTTCTACGGAGCCCTTATGACTCTGCGGAATTTCACAACAGACCTTATTTGTGTACTAAAGTCCTATCTTCTTATCTCTGGCGGATTTCTACGGTACCGACACTAGATAGCCCAAAGTAGTATAAATTATCGTAGGAACTCGAGAATAAAGTCCAGAATTCTCTCGCCTATTTGGTTGCTCGACCGGTAATGAGCTTGCCTCGTTTTTGTGTGAAAGAGAAAGGAAGGAATCTAATGGGCACTCCAACCAACCAATCTAATACACAATATGCGAGTTCACTGCTATCAAATTTATTTAATAGCAAGGGGTAGCGTTGGCAAAGGTTCCGCAAAGCTTTGAGAGCTAAGTACGAAGCTTTGATCAATCAATTTGAATCGTTCTAAGGATTCGATATATTCCTTTGATCAAGGTAGATTCAGCACGATTTGTGCTTTGGTTTGTATTGATTTGGGTATATCAAGAATTGGGGGTTTGAATCAAAGTAAATTAAAACCGAAACACACAGACCCCTACGGAGGGCTAGAACTATGTGCTGGCACAACCACACAGCGTGATTTGCCCTTAAGACCAACGACTGATCCTAAGTTCGAAGAATACCCAACAACTGGATAGACTTCTCGCAGTCACAAGGAGCAGAACACGACGTTCCTATACTCACAAGTGCCGGGCCCGAATGGCTGCTAGCGAAGAGGTTTCAGTCTGGCGGGAGTGTGTCTTTCCTTTTTACGGATTAGCACTGCAACGTCGTCCCAAAATCACTTGTATTCCAGATACATCGGATCGCTATTTATACATACAGAATATAGAGTCGCATAGTACAATTAATTTAATACAATAAACGTTTGGAACCGCAAGGAAACTTCTACACTCAGTCAGATACCATTTAATTTGAATCTACATGTCCTTATTTGGTCCATATTGGTTCCAAGATTCTAGTATACCTCCAAACATAGGTAGGTACTTCAATATTCATTTAATTTAATTGTTTTTGGAGGATGACTCGAATGATGTTCAACTGTCATTGCTGTTCAACACTTACTTCGATCGTTTGTCACCTCGTCCGGAGGCAAATCAGCTCTCCTCGATTCTAATCCTATCAATCTGATTCATCTGGATTAAACTAATTGCTTCTCTCTTTCAACAGACACCCATTGTGCCTATACTCTATCAAGGGAGTTACGCATAGTATTCATTTAATTGCATTCTTCAATATTTTCTACGTCAGGACTCTTTTGACATTCATTTGATATGTCTTCGGAGCCTCGCAGTACTTCGATCGTTCTTCTAGTCATTTTCCTCAACCATGCAACTTGATTGGTCTATTAGACTAAATCGCAGTCTTTTTAGATTAATGCATGATCTCGTTCTAGAAGGAGTATTTGATAATTCCTGAGTTCTAGAAAGTCATTTCGAGTCAATCCTCAGTTCATGGTCACTTGAGTAAGTTCTTCCAAACTCCTGCCAGTGTAAGGTCCAATAAGAATACCCTTGGTATGTCATACGTGAATGGTCATCCTTCGGATGTAGTCCGAGTCTGGTATAATCCTGCTTGACAAACAGGTAGACTGCTATCCGTAGGTAGTATCGGGAATGGGTAAACTAACCAACTTGTGGTAGTATGGGTATATGGTCCCTTCAACTTATTAGACTGATTCAGTATCGACTTTGACTGTCAATCTGGGTCTCAATTACAGTCCTCTTGATACAAATCTATACGTGAAAATGTCACAATTCACAGCATAGACGTCTAGCCAAAATTTAGGCGTGTCATCCCCCCCAAACTAAAGAATTTGACCGTCCTCGGTCATCCGTAGTTTTGTATAGGGAAAGGATACCCAATCTGTTATTAGATTGATTCGACAAGACTATATCTCCTTTTAATGTAAATCACTGGGTTTGGATCTCTACTTCTCCGTGCTCTCCAATCAATTTGGATGCCCTCAAATGGGTTTCTAGCGCTCATCTTATCAATTTATTCACACACCTGCTACGAATCGTAACAGTTTAGCGCTCAATTTGAATTGAATACTTTTTCGGTATTCGTATCACATTTCGAAAATTTAATTCACAATCTTTTCATCATCTAGTCACAGAACGAGCTTCCATTTCACGGAGAACTGCTCTGACGTACGCACTGATTCAGTGTGTACGTTTATTTGGTTCGGGGCACGGGGTTCAACAAATTTTCGTTGAAGTCCGTTTTCTTCCCTTTCTTTTTCTCCCTTCATCTCGTTCTTATCAATTCAAAATGGCTTCAACCTCGAGTCAAACTCGATCTTCTGCCTCTACCACGCGTTTACCAAGCTCTCTAATGGAGGCCCAGGTGATGCTTGCGGGTATTTCTTTTAAATCTACTCTGCCTCTTTTCTTTGAAAGCACTGTGTTTCAACGACTTCAACAAGGCGATTATTCCCCTCCTATCATCGACTCAAGTAACTCTCCGGATTACGATGGATCGGGTCCCTTCCCTGCCTTTTCGTATCCTCGCTCTTTGGTTCCATTCTGTTTCCCTTTCGAAACTTTGCGCCCTTTGTCAGTAGCATCAGGCTTGGATTTATATTGTTCTGCCCAGATGGCAGTTCGAACATTACAGGTTTTGACGGACGATTCTCCTTCCATGGAGTCGTCGGAAGTTTATGATGTTTTCGAGGAGGTTGCACCATTTCTGGTGCGTAACTGAAAACCCCTCCTACATTGTTTATATTAATGGTTTTCACTAGGTTTATATTCGGGACTTCTGGATCGGTTGGGCTAATTGCCCTTTATTCGCGGAACAAGTTTTATTGTCGGCAGAATCCCTATCTCTTGATCTTCCAATTTTTCTTCGTGACAACCTGACACAACAATGGGGGGTTCCACCGGAGCACCGTTCTTCAGCTGAAGTAAGTGTTCCTTTTCTATCACATTCTCTTCATTCTTATTTAATTTAATTTACAGGGTGTTCCCAAATTTGAACAATTCCCTGCTATTCCAATCCCGTTTTGTTTGCGCTTTCGTGAGGGGAGCGCAATGATGCGTATGGTTTCGTCTAAGGATTTGGATGTTTTTGCCTCATTACGCAGCAAAGAGTCATCGGCAGTTGCACCGAAGTACACTACTTCCTCACCACCCTTGGAGATCCAAGCTTCAACCTCTGTTTCCAAAGCGCTCGTAGCTCCTCCACGATTAATTAGAAGGAATCGGGAGTTAGAGAACCTCAAGGCCGATGCCTCCTCGTTTCGTGAGTTATAACTTTAATTCATAGATTTTTGTTTTATTTATCCATTCTTTTCACTCAGTTGCTTCTCCCCGTTCCGCCCGTTCAAAAGACTCGGATAACGAACTCTTGAGTGGGTTCCCTTCCGCAGGCTCAGCTCCCGTAGCCTCTTCGTCTACAAAGGTTTCCATAGGTAAAGGGGAGCCTAAATCCAAAACTACCGTCAAGGTAGTTGAAGATTCTAAGGCTGATCGTCCCCCTCCTGCTGGTATGGCTTACAAAAGGATTCGACTCCCTCCTCGTTCGAGGAAAAATACTTCGATTGCCTCAAAAGGAAAAGCGCGACAAATCGTTGTCACTGACGAGGGCTCAACTTCCAATGAAGTTGAGTCTGAAGATGAGGCTGAGGATGAGGATATTGCCCCTCCTCCAAAACGCCTCAAAACGACATCTTCCATATCTGGTAGAATTTTTATTCTTCATTTTTCGTCTCATTTTATTAATTTAATTCGATTGTAGCTTCACTGCCTCGTCGTCCCATTAAACGGGTGACCGTCCCCAAACGAGTGTCTAAGGCTGCAGCGAAGCCCGTTCCTGAGCGTTCCCCGGATAATACCTTCCAACCGGTACTTCTGGCGGACTCTCAAGGACGATTACGGCTCCCTGAGCAGTCAACTGGTGCCTTCACACCCTTTCCCAGATTTGCTCATGCCAGGGTAAGTCGTTGTTATTCAATTTGATTCATTCCAAATGCTAACTATATTAATTTAATAGAATAGCGCTGCCTTAACTCAAGAAAACCCTCTTCTTACAATCAATCCTGACTTCGTCGAGCTGGGCTCCATTTTGGAGACTCAAAACGCTCGTTTCACGATGCAGGACTTGATGCAAGTTAACCAGGTAATCCGCGACGTAAGTTGTTTTTCAATTTCTTATTTTAATTTAATTGCTAATATGGCTTTATTTTATATAGCCTTCCATTCCCAGTCAAGCTTGCGTTTCGGCACTTGCTCGAGGGGATTTGGAAGCAAATTCGGCTCCACTACCCGGGTACAAATGTCAAGCCTGCTCCTCACGGAGTTTGAAGTGCTTGGGGTCCTTGGATGTGGAGCTGGCTATGGACGCGCTCAACGCGCTCCATAAGGCCTCTACTAGCAGTACGCATAGTAAGTCCATTTTTATTCAATTTCATTTGATTTATTTAATTTAATTCATTCGATTTTATTTAGATCTAGCAATTTCATTACGACGAGCCATCGACTTGAACGACCAATTGAAACAGCTCGAGTCTCTTTTCGACTCCACGCGGGACCTCTTCTTGCGATCCGTCTTGGATCTGCAGAATGCCGGAGAGGACCCTATCGTCGTACTGGAAGCACTCAAGGCCGCCGAGCCCAATCGTCGGGCGATTAGTCTAAATGAGTGGACCCTTATGGCCACTCTATTCCGTTGGCCCAGTCCATTCAATTTGAGTGGACTGGACTTCGACACTCGAACTCCGGGGGAATGGATCGATCTGCTACGCAGCATCCATTCCGGCGAATCAACG